ACCCTCGCAAGGGTTGTCGAGGGTGAGGGGTCGCCTTTGGGCAAGGCCCAGTGGCCTCTATTGGCTGCGAACATTTGGGTCTGAGGTTTGCGGTAGCCCGTCACGCTTTCCGACAACCCCTGGATCGGCGTGCGACTGCCGATCCGCACTACACCGTCATCGCGAAAGTTTGGATGGTCGATTCCTGAGCCGACCACATCAAACCGATGCCATTAGCGGTGCAAGTGCACATTTCCACTGTCGAATCCCTAGTTCCAGCGACGAGTGCGACCGATTCATCACAACCTGCCAATCTCATTTCCACAGCTTGGCCACGCATTTTGCGGAGGATGCGCGACTAGAGTAGTTGTATGTGTGGTGCCGAAGATAATTGCGAGGTCGGCGACCGCTTTCGCATTTGATACGAACTCGATCAACCCAACGAATAAATCGGTGCATAGTCCTCCAGGATGGCGTTCCACGCCATCCTGGAGGATACACGCGACCAACGATCTCATACAACGTTTCGCCAGCCAACGGAACTCGTCCAGCTGCGAGCAAGGAGGTGCTGTGAGTATGGTGATCGTCATGAATGAATAACTTAGCTGAATAACGCACTGAGAAGTCGACATGGCATGGGCTGACCTCGTCATGCCTCGTGTTATAAGTCTTCGTCCTTCTCCCCATGATGCTGCTGTCGGCAAGAGTTGGGGCGCCAAATACGGCGGAATGTACGCGCAGACCAAGGACAGATATGCAGAAGGCAACACCACATTGTAAACTGTCGTTGCCACTCGCTTGACGTTTTGTCGACCACTCGAGGCCGTGGCACGTGACGAGGGTAACGTTACAACGTCAGCTACCACGACCGTGATTGGTAATTGTACGAACCTCGTGTTGATAGCCATGCGATGCATACATACTCGATGCAATGGTATTCGAGGACTCACTTGGCACCAAGGCAAATGCTTGCCACGCAAGTATACATGGCGCCCAAAGCACACACTACAAGGGCTCCAATGGTCGTGGTCTTACAACCATGATGATGTGCAAACTCGTCACGAATTGTCTGCTTCAGCACTAGTCCATCATGGGAAAAAGGTGGCAATCGACCACGGGATTGTTCACGACGCGACAACGGAAACCTCACCACAGCCATTCACCATCCATAGGTCGTCACAAACCATAGCGATTCACCTAGTCCTGTCGCAGGCCGTCAACGAAGCTTGGGCACTGCGACATGTGCAATGACTATGTCGAACCGATGGTCGCCAGTTTGTGCTGCCGCCATAACACCTCCAGGCAATGTGTGCCAGTGGACGAATACACCCCCGCGCTCGCCTGCACAACGTGGGTTTTCAGCATGTCGACTCCATGTCGCTGAGCACCAACTTCGTGAAGTGTCGAGGCTGGCGCAGACCCCCTGCACGAACACGAAAGCCTCGGCCTGTGCACCAGGATGGAGTACTCCATGACCTTCATGTCGAGTAGTGGACTGTGCCAACGCTACTCGATTGCTTTGGCCACTCTTGTGGCGACGATCCCGATGGATCTCAAACAACGTGTTGCTGTTTGCCTTGGAACACAACGATGTACGCCACTGCAGCATCACCATCGCTTGAAAGTCCCGTCGATACGCCAAGCGGGGTTGGATTCTATCATTCGCTGGACTTCTATTCTCAATGAAGTGCAGCACGTCCTCCGTTGTCGAACCCTCGGGTACGAACAACCGACAGCCGGCAAGAACTCAAACCAACCGGTCGAACAGACGCCATCTCTTTGCGTCTTGTTCGTTTGCGTGATGTTTTTGTAATTCCCTGGGGGTAGGCGGAGGGAAAGTGCTCTACCTCGAACGAAAACGTCTTTGTCCCCCTTTTCAACTTGAGGGGATCGTGGGTAGATTGTCCACTGTAAGCTAGGGTTATTGAGCGCTGTTCACATTTGTGCAGGCTGCGAGTCGTTGGAGGTCGTTGCTGGTGCCAGATGAATGCCCGCTGGGAATCCAAGCGCCATCACAGCGGCCGTGAAAAATCATCACGCTCAAGCCAAGAATTAGCAACCTGACTCGGAGCCGGTCGTTGCGATGACCTGTCCGAAGTGCTGGCGGGATTGGCTTGGTTTTACGGAAGGGAGGGTAACCCCCCCGCATCTTCCCTTACTCCACTTGCGAGACATGCACCCGAGACATGTAATGTTCTCTGCTGGGCGAGTGTGGGGCCGACCCAGACGGCCCGGACGGTGGCCACTCCGGCGTCAACCAAAATCAATTTCTCCGCCTCAGTGTCGGTGGTTGCTCTGCGCACATGCCGAACGACTCGCTCCTGCGAACGTGCCTCATCCAAGGATGCCATGACACGGCCATCCCCAACACGTGGCGGTGTAAGCTTCACCGCCACCGCGGCATGTGCATCATCGACAGCTGCACCAACCAAGCATACGCACGGCAGCTTTGTTGCCGCCACGGTGCCAAGAAGGAATGTGCGGTCGACGGCTGCTCACTACGCGCTCGCTTTGACAACGTGTGCTACAAGCACGGCGCAACCAAGAAACTGTGCATCGAACCTGGGTGTCCGCAGCCCGCGCAGGCCCGACAGCGCTGTGTCAAGCACGGCGGAGGGCGGCAATGCAAGTTCTCCGGCTGCACAGCGCATGCGAGAGCGGGGGGGTTCTGTCAGCGCCATCGCATGTCGGGGAAGCTGTCTCCGACCGCGTACCCTTCGAAGAATGGCATCAATATGATGTCGCTGTGGGGCGACAACGCCACATTCACGGTTAAGAAAGCCCCGGCATCTCTGCTGACAACGCCGCTCGTCTCGATCGACTCGACGACTGACGTTTCACAGCTCGACACTCATATTCCCCTTCAACCGCTGTCGCTGATGCAACTGATCCACGGCATGGAAACACCACAGCCCGTCACGGCGGCGCCACAGTGGGCATCACCGCATTATTGCCACGGCACCACCGTGCTGCACAACATCTTCGACCTCCTCGGCGACATTTGAACTTGGGCTTGTATCGATCAATACATATTTGTGTATTCAGGCGAAGCGAGGTTGTCTGCTCCGGGCAATGCGCACCTTCTCGACGCCGAGCTGCTTGAACTGAATGCGACAGCGGTTGGGGCCTGCCAACACATTCCTACGTGAAAACTCGTTGCTGGCAGAATCTCCCCGACCTGGGCGAAATCGTGGCCACCACACGGATATTACCGGGGCGGCCAGCGACATTCGATAACGTTTGCGACATGCGATTGTGCCGGCGCGTCAACAACACAGGTCATGTGGAATAGAGCGTTCGCGAAATCTGAGGAGGGGCAGGATGGAGGCCAAGATGAGGCCAACGCGATGCCACAGCCACGGCATCGAGTGGGGGTTGCCGCAGGTGTATGGTACGCTTCCCTTGGGCCGCCCAGTCATCGCTACAGCCCGAACGCGTCGACGCTGGAATGATATCTGGTCAAGTGGGGTTGAAGCAATAGCATAAAAGCACAGGTGCTGGCTGGTGGGTGCTTGTCAGTGTTTGAGCTGTCGTACAGCGATGTGTCCTCCAAGGAATTGTCAAGGTGGCATCGTTGGCAGGCAAATGCACTTGTGGGATGAATGCCTAGGTACGACAGCAACACCACCAACTCAATGTACACTTCGCGTCCGACATGGGGGAAATGAACCCTGCCGCGTCGTGAGTTGCTCTCTGCGGTCGTACGTCGCGAACATGTCTTTCCAACCGGTGCGAACACGAATGTGGGTTAGCCTCCCGACTGCCCCAGTCCACGTAAAGGTGAAATGCGTACGCCACAAAGCTCGGACGTGCCTGCGCTGGACGATGACGTTGTCGTCCTCAGTGGCAGCCCCACGTTCCAAGCCACGAAATGGGCGTTCTACACTGCCAAGTTTGGAGGGCGCGACACCACGCCCGGGCTCCTCATGGACATCAAAGTAGCGTACTGAGGGGGGGAAGTCGAACCTCGACGGCTTCGATGCCCATGCCAGAGCGCACAGCGTGTATCGGTGGCCTGGCTGCTGTTTGCATGCAACAGAATCATGATTACATCCATGTAGTGCGCTCGGGCTTTAAACATCCTGGCATCACCAAGCCGCCCTCCTTTTTGTGGATGGTTTTCACTACGCTACGCCCCGTCAATCTACCAAACATGGTGATCGGGTTCGATTTGCGAGAGATGCACAATGCAGCATATTCGCGCACGCCAATCCCCATGTTTCGGCCACCACAACGCTCATGTTATCCATCTCTATCGTCGAATCGTACGATCGATGATTCGCGTGTAGCCGCGGCCGGCAATGTACCGCTGGAACGGTCCTTCTTCGAGGGCGCGAAGAATGTCTTGCTGGACGTTCAAAAACAGATTTGGCGACGGAAAGTCCGTCACGTGGCTGTTGTCGTGGTCCATTGCGATCGACAGGCGTCTGTGCTTTTGGTTGTCATGGAGAGACTGCCGACACAGGTCGATGTCCGAGGTTTGGAGGTGCGCGCCGGCTTTTTGTGCCGCCTAGGGCCACACCGTCCGGCTGTCAAACCAACGCACTTCCACGTCCCGACCACACAACTCTTTCCAAACTGCACACGCAGGAGAGGGAGCGGTCAACTCTTCGGTTCTTACCGGAATGTACTGGAGAAGCAATCGTTTGACGTGGTCCCATTCGTCCTGGGCACTTCCCGCGGCGAATGAAGACACAGCGTGGTTGGGCATTTGGTTGAGTTGCTGGTGTTGCAGTTGTTGTTGCTGGAGTTGCGATTGAAACCGAACGAGGCCATTGCGACGAAAGAGATCGCATTCGGCCCACGTGTCGAGTAAAATCACACTCGCCATGGACTCGCTCGCCATAAAGTCGCGAAACATCTTGCGCAGCGCGGGGTAGCCCAAGATTCCCGACACGGCAAACGGAGTTCGATCTTGATTGCGTTCACACGTCGTCACCGCCTACCACCGTCCACAGTCGCCATGACGTTGTTGTTGTTTTACAAAGCATCCCCACGGGCAAGGCATTGGCACAGCAACACACGGCGAATGACACGAGAGAAGGAATGGGACGAGTACCTCGTCGACGATGAAGCTCTCGGCCTTTGTCAGCATTTGGTTCTCCGCAGCCAGGCGAATTTCCCGGTGCAGCGCGTGTATCCATGCCATCATGCTGTCGTCCGTGGCCGAGCAAAACTGTCGAAAGATCACGTCAGGCACATTCTCGCGACGACACGCCACGCAAACACAACGCCATGCTTCACCTTGGACCCCACTCCGGGCCTGAACACCACTATCGACAAACTCACGGCAGCAGCAGCAGCAGCAGCAGCAGCAGCAGCGTGGTTTGTCGATATCGACAGTCGCGATGAAAGGGTCGGCGTACCCGGTACACGCGTCGACTTGTATGGAGCTCGAAACAGTGTGGGACGAGGGCGTCCTGTTTTACGATCTGGGCGTTGAGAAGCGGGATCGCTGTGATGTCGCGCTGGTTGAATTCGCTCTTGCAATAGTACAGCTTATCGTCCTTGAGGACAAACCACCGCGACCGCCACACGTTGGCATCTTTCAAACTCGCTTTTTTTAACGTCCCGGCGCGAAGACCCTACAACGACGTTGACGCAGGCTCCTTTATTTCGAATCGCACCAGCCCGAGCTTTTGCGGTAGAAGAAACACCGTGTCCTGTGATGCGGCCATGTTGTGCTGGTTTGGGTGGCCATATTGACTTAGGGCTGATGTTGGGTTCGAGTAGTTGGGGGTGAGCTCGAGTTCGGCTTCGAGGTCGATGGGTTTGCCGCGAATGTCCTACATGTTCTCATCATATAACCATCCAACCGACGGTCCCGTGAAGCATCAAGGCAGCAGGCTCAAGATGCAAAGGGTTCAAACAACGTTTGAGAGAAGTGCCGTGTAATTGCTCAGAAAAGACATTCGGTGGCGATGTAAAGACAAAACGACTCGAGGCGCTGGAAACGATACCTTGAAAATAAATTTGAGCGTTTGCCTGGCGCGATGTCGTGGTTTGGCACGCACGGGGCCGGACACTTCGTTCGCAACGATCTCGGGCACGGACTGGCGCTCCGAATGGATGGCTTCCTGCACTTGGTAGATGAATTCGTTGTCTTTGAGAGTACGCGCCGACATGGACGACCCTGGATGGAATGATGAGACTGCTCATGTCGCGGCAGAGCGTACCCTTGCTGTTGACGTACAACATGAGGATCGCGTGGTGTGCTTGTTGTTTCGACGACAGGCGCATTTTGTTTGCCATGATTTGCCGGACCTGACGACATGACAAGTGAGGACGAGAGTCGATGGAAGGCACATGGGGATGGAGAACCTCCAGGACACTCGTGTGCTCTTCCACACGAAGCACGGTGCTTGATGTAAAGTTGGAGTTCTCGAAGTAAATGCGCACAAACCCGCGACGGACCGCTGCGTTTGCAATGTCCTCTGCTAACTTCTCCGGCTCCTTCACACCAAAGGCTACCACAGCGTCCATCACGGCCACTGTCAGAACTTGCTTCAGAAGACTGTGTGCTTACTGCTTGCAAGTTGGCCGGTCGACGGTCCGCGCGAAGATTGCCGGACTGTGGTGTCGGGTGCGATCGACGAGCGAAGCGCGGCATCTTCGCGCACACGCTGCAATGGTTTTGGTCCTAGGGGAGGCGACCGGAGCAGCGTGTCTGGTTCACAGAGCATGGATCGACTGGATTCGAGCATCGGCGTCAAGTCCGACCCGTCCGAGTCCCGGTGCGGCGCCTGCATGGTGACAGCGGCCGTCGAACTGGCCACTCGCGGTGTCGGAACATGCGGCTCGGCCGCTGATTGGTGGATGACCGACCCAAGTATTCATTCTCACAGGCACTACGCCCTATGCATCTGCCGCTCGTTGCCAACCCTGTTTGGCAATGTTTGCACCATTCGGTGCGATCGAGAAGTTTCGCAGCGTGAGTTCGACGCGCGTTAGTCTGCATGGCTCGGTCGCGTGAGGACTATAGCTCACTGTTTCCATCCCATTTCTGTACACGATTATCAATTCCAAGAGTCCCTCCATACCATAATTTTCACGACGTTCTCTCAGGTGATTTGTTTCGGAAGGTTATCTATTTTCAAGGGTTTTCGCCCCACATCTCAACGAGAGCTCTCGGGCCCGCCCGTGTTCTTGAGCTGCAGCAAGAGACTGCGCATCCGCGACGTGTCGAACATGTCATCGCCCGCGTCCTTCGGGCCCCTGTAGCATGCACTTTTATGATCACATCATTCGAGTGCATCGGGCGAACGTACGCTCCTGCGTCCGTTTTGGGCTTGACCGCAACGTTCGTGTCGACCAAGTCTGTGACTCGATTCCACGGCTTCTCCGACGCCATTTCCGCCAACAACTCTTGGGACTTCTTCTTTTCTTCCTCCAATTCCCTGCGTTTGCCCATTCATGTCGTCAGGACGTCATCGTCCGTCGTTTGGGATCGTGATGCTTTCGTTACCGGTTTGTTGCTGCACGATGCGCCAACTTGTCGGTGCGATCGCCATAGTACTTGTCTAACTCTTCCTCGGCCTTGCTTCGCACATCACGGATCAATCGCTCTTCCTCGACACGCTTCGCTTCCACCTCCGCGGCCAACTTGGCTTCGAACTCATTCAGCGCGGGCCAGCTGTGAGCAGGAGCTGGCGGTGGAACGACAGCTTCACCCATCGGCGTGTTGAACACCGGCTGCGGGGGTTGTTCATACACCGGTTGCGGGACTTCGTACACCGGTTGCGGCGCTTCGTACACTGGTGACGGGGTGCTGTACACCGGTTCAGTTGATGGCGTCACGTCATAGAACGACGCGTCGGTAGCATGAGGAGCAGGGACGAACTCGTCTTCGTATGAGGCTGGTGGGGCTTCGAAGGAGGCGGTTGCCGCGTCGACGGCGGCGGTCGCAGCTTCCTGCGCGAGTCGGACAAGTCACAAACTGACAGAAGAAGTGTGAATAGTACCTGCGACGTATTGATCGAGAAGGATTGCAACGACGAATCGTGAGCAATGATGGGAGTGGAATTCGCCGGCACAGGGTTCTCCAGCGGACCCAAGCTCTCAGGAGACTGTACAAATTGGTCCAGGGGAATGACCCACGGCTCGACGGTGTCATGGTTTAATGTCCAGTTCTCGTTCGTCTTATTCGGGTCGTTGAAGTCGTACACTTGAGCCCAATGGTTGTTTTCGGGCTCCAAGTGCGCGGCCTCGAATTGCTACGTCAAGTATCGTTGCCGGTGAGTTCAACGGCATGGGGGGATCGATTACTGCAGGGGCTCACGTACTTGGCGAAGCCCATGGTACGCTGCATTGAATGTCGAAAACACAACGTTCGACGACGTTTCAATGATGGGGTCGGTCAAAGTATACAAGGACACTTGGATCGATGAGCAGTCACGGGTGCGGAGCTGCTTGCTGCAAGGAACAACGATGATCAGATCGAATTGGGTAGGGCATGTCTGCATATGCTCATCGCACCATGCAATCGTGAAGAAGCAGTTGGTACAATTGCGCACAAACACGCTCTCAGAGCTCGGTCCTGCGAGAAATTTGAGATATATACGATGTCGTGGAATAACGATAGAACCTACCGATGTACACGCGACAGTTCACCAAGTTGTCGACCTGTACTTGATCCGAGTGGTCAAGGAGATACACTTGGCAGTTCTCCAAGTCGGCCACGTCAAACGGTTGTCTGTCGGTCCGTCGATCAGTTCGTCCATCGCGACGGCTAGTCGGACATATTCGTACCCCTGGATTTGCCCCGGCGCCTTGATCAACGTCTCATCTTTCTTGTTTTTGAACGTGTAGTTGGTCTCGAACTCGTACTTGCGCCACTGGTCGCGGTCCTCGAACTGCGTTCCGTCGGAAGCTGTAAACTACAGGCATACACAATCAACCGCATGCACTCCATCTCTTCGTCCAGTGGAACTTTGCGCGCATCTACTCGTCGTACCGGCATGTCGTCTCTCGTCACGGGGTTCTTTTCAATTATGCCGAAACCGCTGCCCAAAACCTGGGGTTGATGCGGGTCCAAAACGGATGGTTTTCCGGATAAAATGGGTGAGATCCGGATGTCTGATTTCTGCTGTTTAAAATGCCGGCATCGTCTTGTCATAGGATTTGAAATTCATTTTAAAAACCTGGAGAGTGGAATAAAAAAACCATGGATGGATTTTCACACTCGTTCCCCGTCCAATGGATCAAATCCACTTTCAACGATTTTAATTTTGCTGGAACAGTGTGTGTGACCATCATTCCTTTGTTTTAAAAACGCCTTGAAGGGGATATGGAGTGTTGTAGTGATGGGCGTTGTGCGATGGATTTTGTCGCAGTGTCGGGATGGACGGTTCATTTCCAGGTGACGACTCCCTCCATGACGACTACAGGCATTTGACTGCATGGAGTAGATGGAATCTCGATCACATTTGACACGTTCTCTCCACCGCACACGAACAGCAGTACCAGCAGTGCCTACGAGGACGAGGAAACCAGCGAATACGACGAAGCGCATGCTGCAGTCATGTCGACGCCGACCGTATCGACGTCGTCCCCATTCTCACACGTCATGGGCGCATGGTACCTTGGAGACATCATGGACAAGATTTATGCATTGGACGCTGCCACTGGTGGTCGTGTTCGTGACGTCCTCGCAAAGCTGCGGTCGCGTGCGTATGCTCCGGTCGCGTTGGACGCATCCTGGGCTGTCATGTATTGCAGTATCTGCCACCGCTACACAACCCATGACACCGCCCACCACTTATGCCGAATATGTCATCGTGTGGGTGTACACACGACCGCGAAATGCCCCGTTGCCTCACCCTTCGTCCTTGACTGCTCCTTCTGCGGCACCATCCCGACTGGTCACTCTACCAACGACCACTGCTGCGTGAATTGCTACGCGCGCGGACAACACAGCTCGTGCGGGATCTCGATATATGACGTCGCAGTGTCGTGGGGCAGCCAAGTCGCACCTTCTTCGAAACCTGTGTTGGAGTTTACGCAGCAAAGCGACAGTACATCTACAGACCTCATAAATGTCTCCGCAGGTGCGCCACAACCTACCTCGTCAATGCCAACTACATTTCTAGATGCCACGACTACACACTCGCCAGCTTCGGCTTCTGGTTCTACATTCTCTAGCTGAATGGCCAACCTCACTTGAACCCTAGCTCAATCCTCATGTGCGTGCACGTTTTGCGGCAGCACACACCACAACACAGCCCGTCACCGTTGTCGGCGGTGCCACACTCAGGGAGACCACCGATCGGGCCATTGCCCTGCGCCAGCTATAGCGACACCATCACCACGCCAAGCTCCTGACGCGGATTTGACCCCACCAGACTACAATTGTGGTCTTTGCGGTGGCGCCCACCATGACACAGCACAGCACCGCTGCCGCCGTTGCCATGTGCAAGGCCAACATCGATCCAGCCAATGTCCCAGAGCATCGACGCTCGTGTCGACCCTGCTCGGCCCAACCCAAGCCATGGTGACCCAATACATCTCTCGCAGCAAAACCCTCCAAGACACACTCACATCGCTCACACCGTGGACAGCCGGGGCAACGGCAAGTGCATTTCTTCTGTCAGACATGGAACTCCGGCTTCGGCAAACGCTCCAACGCCTTGGCCTGTGGGGGGCCGGCTCCCAGACACCGATCGGTACACCCACGAATCCACCGCGGTCGCCGTACACCACCGCGACGGCATCACCAAGTCATGCAACGAGCGATCTTGCCAGTGGTAGCTATCAATCTGTAGTCGTATCGTACCGAGAAGGATCGAGCGTCGTACCGGATCGCATCGTCAAGTTCATGCGGCTTCTCATGCACACGAACGTGTCGACGAATGCATTCCACGTCGTCGTGCACCCGAATCGCTGGGACGACAAACGACCGGGTACGTGTAGTTCCTGCACGTCCGCATTGGTGGAGCTCTACCATTTCCCAGCGTCGACGCATCGCATGTGCACATCGACCTCCGCTTGCGTTGTAGGTATGGTTAGCCCCAAGTCGCTGCCGCCATCGCCCCGACAACGAGAAGCGTACCAAGCTCACATGAACCAATACACCAACTCGGTTCTTGTCGGCGCCAAGGTCAAGCTCCTTGCTCTCCATCCAGTGCAGCCACCACCTTCCGCGACTGGTCGGTCCATATAATGCGAACGCCGCCGCCATCTTTTGGCGTCGCTTTTGGTGAAAAAACATGCTTTCCCCGTTCTCGTGCACGAGTTTGAAAGAATATATGCACCGACCCGCGCTCCACTGCGACACATCGAAGCAGTAGACAACCCACCGTGGTAGCCGACTGGAATGCTGACAAGTTGATGCAGCCTGGTGACGTTGGAACGAACGGGCCTCTGGTCCAAGTCATCTCAACAAGCGCCGCCATCCATACAAACACTGCGTATCCTTTATCCCATCCTGTGCCGTCTAAAGTTGCGTCGCCGACGCGTGGCAAGTGTCGACGACCCGCTGGAGCTTGGCGATTTGGCTCAAAAAGTACAGGCCGTTGCGCTGCTCGCGCTTCTGTTCGTCGATCTTGATCAGGTCGTTCGAGAGGTAAAAGTGGACGTCCGAGTTGACTAAATCGGACACGACCTTGAGGTGCATGCACTCGGCGACAACCGACGCGACCGTTGATTCTGGTGCATCCGACGACCGGAATCGGGCCAACTTGGCTGCTTCGATCGATCGGTACAGCTTGATGTACGATCGGAGCGCTGGCAACGACGACTGGCGGTGGACAAGTTCCAAGAAGAGCTTGGTCTGGAACGCGAGTGCTTCCTTGGATACGTCTTCGGCGTCGGCGGCAACGGCAGCCAGGATAAACTTGGGGGCGGACGCAGCAAACAGCTCGGTCAGGGCCTGCATGTTGCTGCATATAGATCGATTCGTGACTGACGGCTACAACGTGACGCATGTCGAACATACCCCTTTTGAATTGCTGCCAGCTTGTCGCCGACCTTTTCACGCAACAAGGCATGGACTTGATCTTCGACGTTGTTGCCGGGGGCCAAGTACGTGGCAATCCCGACGAGCGCGAGCGCCTTTTCCGTCAGTTTGTTGACCTGGTCGTAGTCGGCAAACTTGGAGTAATACGCGCCTATGGACAGACAGGACTCAACCCGCTCATCGACGCCATCAAGAGGATGTCGACCGTACGGTTGCGGTGGACTTGCAAGATAATCTTGACAAACGAACGAACGGCAGACGCAAAGTCGCCGAGCATGAGCTGGGCAAATCCGAGGTGATAAAAGACTGACACGTGGCATGAATACGACTTGAGGTAGATCTGGTCGCGCTTGGAAAAGTCGATGGGGGTCAAGAGCTGCAGTGCTGTGTAGTAGTCGCCCGTCAGAACATGGGCGCGGCTGAGACAGATGAGCGCAAAGTATCCCAGTTCCTTGAGGCTCGTCGCGGATGGCGTCGAGTCGCCCGACTCGCCGTTGACGAGGATAGATTTGATGTTGGAAGCCTTCACAAGCCGGTGCAAATACGAGTGGACCGCTTTAGTTGTCCAGATGGATGGGACTTCCGTTTCGGTCTTCAGCTTGGCGCGGTATTGGCAAAACGTTTGGTACTGGTACACGAACTCGCCGACAATGTCAAACAGCCACTGGGACGGCATCGCATCCAACACGAGCGAGCCATCGAGAATGCCGTCGAAAATCGCAACGTAATTCTCCCACGACGCGTGGTTGAACTCGAGGGTCGGTTGGAGCTTGGAAAACATGTGCCGGTAGTAGATCTGCGTATACAACGTCAAGAAAACGGGGTCTTCGTCCACGAGCGACATGACGGCGTCGCCGTCCGGTTCCGGCCACGGACTTTGCTTAAAGTAGCTCGCGGTCAACGCAGCAAACTCCTTGTCGTACAAGCGATCCATCTCATCGATGTTGCCGGCAATCATGTGCGTATACATTTGGGAGAACCATCCTTTGACGCTGTCCGGGAGGAGGAAGTCGGCCGGCTTGTCGTCGCGCACAAAGTCCGTCATTAAGGGGAGCCACGAGAATGAATATTGGACACCAGTGGTGGAGCGTGCTGAGGCGATTGGCCGATCTTATAGCCAATCAAACGCAATAAAATCCTGAATGTCTATCTTTACAACCAATCCAATTCGTTACAACTGCATTTTTTTACCAATAATGTGTAAACTGAAGAAAATTACAGCCAATCAATTTACTCCACACACCGAATCCCAACCGGAAGAAGATTATCCGGATGAAGCAGCATGCAGCGCTTCTGGCAGCGCGTGACGACGTCGAGGCAGGCGGCGCCGCCACGATGCGTGTTTTGCGACCACGCCACCCTTGAAACCAATGGTATTCTGTACGAAGATGAGAGGGTCATGGCGTTTCGGGACAAGCATCCACGGGCCACGGCACATGTCCTTGTCGTGCCAAAGGAACACATCGCGACGTCGGCAGACCTGACACCCACTCATGCAACCCTCGGTGAGTTCAACGTCTCCATGATGATCGCTTACTTGTTATCGTTCAGTCGAACACATGCTTTGTATTGGAAAGGACGTCCTACATCAAGAATGTCGTCGGCTTGGGCTCACTCCGACGAAAGAGTAACGACCTTTGGACTCGCAATCGCGCTCACGTACCCTCCACCGTTCCTCCATCTTGTAGAGCTGTGTTTGGATTTCACCAGCCGCCGTTCAATTCGATCGACCATTTGCACCTTCACTGCCTCGTGCCGCCATTCCTGCCGTCGTGGAACGAACTCCGATACATTCAAACTCCGCTGCGCAACTTCATCACGGCCGACACGGTGCTACAGAAATTCGCCTCCCGCAACGCTCCTCCGTCCCCGTGTAAATAGTTTTCGTTCTCTAAGCTCCGACCTGGCCTTACACGCTACCCATCGCACTCACACAGCAACTTCGCATCGATCGCGTCCAAAGATGAGCTGTACCCAAGCAGGTCTCGGCAATGGTGCGAATTGCATGCTGACACTGGTTTTGTTAACACTACTGGGCTACTTGCTGCAAGTCAGCGCTCCGTTCGACGCCCCGTTTCGCCTGATCGCTTCAGTCGCCAAGACTTGTTAATGTGTGACGCGGGTCAGGGCTTCCCGCAGCTTGCTTGATACGACTTCAGCTCGCGCTTGGCCCATGTCGAATGCAGCGTTGTCGTTGGCCTCCGCGACTTCTTTCAGGTCCACGAGCGTCGTGTCAGTGTCGATGGGGTGACCATTCAGGAGGAGCTTCTTGATGCTGTCGCTCATTGCGTCCATGCTGTCCTTGGTCTGCACGACGCGGTACAGACATCGAATGTTCTTGAGCATCCGGTCGGTGAGGGGAATCTTGGGCAAAAGCTGCTTCCCGCGGAGGATTTCGGCGTTGCCGTCCGCAATGAGTTGCTTGCCCTACCCACACGATGATCATGTGTTGGCTGTGGGGCCCATTCAAGTGAGTCGTACTCGTTTGATTTTGTCGTCGCCCACTTCCATGTTGTGGCGCAACTCTTGAATCTTCTTGAACCCGAGCAGCGCCAGGTTGAGTTGCTGCTTGCGGCCCTCTCGGTACTTGTCGACGAGCTGCATGACGGCCTCCCCCTCCGCGAGCAACTTTTCGCCACTCGCACGGATGTTGATGCCGTCCTGAAGAATGCGTCGGCCTTCGTCTTCGCGATCCGTCAGCGCCACCAGTCCTACAACGAGGCAAGAACGTCAGGTCTGGAGTCGTGGGCATGCATGGTCCGCCGCGCCATCCACTAGATCATGTGTCGTCGTAGCCGCGCTCCAAGGACATGCAGATGGACACCCCATCCGTACCATGCACTTGTGCATTGAAAAACCATCGACAGACCCCCATGACAATGCGAAGGCGCTTGACTTCGTCAGGAATCGTTTCCGACCGCCACATGCGCAGCGCGAGCTTGTGCGAACGGTCCATCGCCGCGTACACGTCGCACGACCGCATTTGCAAAAAGTACGAAAACTGGCGGTCGCAATTCTATGTCAACACAAGTGAGTGTCATCATGGCTCCACCAGAGGGACAGACATGGATGCGGTCGTTGCCGGGCGGATCGGTGAGTGCAGACGGCGTGTCGTTGGTCGGGGCCTCGAATTTGTGGCCAACGTGGTCGAGCCAGAGCCCTTCAAACACGTTGTGCTCGGTCGTGCGGCGAAAACACACGCCGAGACCGTTCACCGAGTCCTTGGCAGCATATCCATGTAGCCCGACGATTTCTTCGCCTTCTTCTCCGCGTAGCAAGAATGGGAGGCCGGCGTCGGCGCGGCCGTACCACTTGGACCACCGCCCTTGGGTCGTGCCAAACCGAATTCCCAAGATCGTCGACTGCGTTGCGTACCCTTCTATTGCTATCAACCTAGACCCGAGCTCGCGTCATGATGGCAGGACGTCGTCACCAAGCCTCGACGTACAGCTCGCCAGGACCAAGGAGAAAGATCGAGCTGTTGCCAAAGGGGTTGCCGTGTATCTTGCCTTCGGTAGTTCGGTTGTACGACTTGACCAACACAGCAATCCCATCCACGCTCTTGCCGCAAATCACGTTGACCTGGTGAATGTGGCCGAATGGCACGACGTCGACGTACTCGAAGCGCTGGCCGATCTCGCCGCCCATCAACGGACTCAGGCGCTCCTACACCGGCAGGCAGGCACGGGTCACGAAAATGTAGCTGCCGAGGGTGAATCGATGGAGAGATGGAAAGTGTCTAGGCCAGCGCTGCCGCGTCGACGACGACGTGCCAACTGCCGACGACGACGCACCTCGTAGTGGTGCACTTGACGCTCGTTGTACGCGACAAACATGAGGCGGTTCTCCAAGTTGAGCCGCTTCATAATGTCCTTGGAGTGCATGGCAAACAAGTGCTTGAGGGTTGGGTTGCTGCACACGCTGAGTCGTAGTTTGCGGTCGCATGCGCTGAGAACTTTGCGGATGCGCCTGGACACCAAGTGCTTGCGCTTGCTCCACAGCGACGACCGGACGCGCTCAATGTCGGCGGTCGGCCGCCGCTCGACGCTGAAGTGTGGCAATGGAATGTATTTCGCTTTCAACTGGACCTTCCACCCGACAAAGACTCGGCCCATGCGACGAATCGCCGATCTACGCATACAGGGTTACGTTGGACCAAACAAACCCGTGTAGCTCCCAAGCTCGGTCGATCGAGCCCATCCGTGGCCAATGACATGGATGGCTGGGATGGCGAGAGAACGCACCGTGCTCGGAAGTGCCGGATCATGGCATTCGACGCGTGCGTGAGCTGTGTCCACTCGACCCAGCGGACAAACACGGCCTTGTACGAGTTGTACGACAGTTTTTTGTCGAGGACGGTCGGAATCAACATGAAGTCCTGGTCGACCAAATAACCTTCAAACTTGGACACGAGCACCTACATGCGACACCGGTTACCGCGATGGCCAGCGGTCGTTCCCATGCGAGAGAGCAAAGACAGACGAAACAGGATGGCAGACGTTGGGCGGCACGCCCATCACCACTACCGCCATGTGAACGTACCCGACGGCGTTGCATGTTGCGGGCGAGGCCAGGGCTTTCGTACTGCGCGCGATATCGGATGAACGCAATCCACTTGCGCCACATGTGCCACATCGATTTGAGCGTGTGGAACCGATCGATGTGCGCTTCCCAGTAAGCAAAGCTAGAAGAACAACGACGCTCCAGATGCCATGGGCGGCGCTGGCACACGTACCATCGTGCGAGTCGAATCCAGTTGCGGACCTTGGCGCGATGGCCCAAGAGCGTCGCATGCATATCGCTTTGGGGCATGCGCAGCGCGCGAAACGTCGACTTGAGCAGCATGCGGTTGTATTTGTCTTGAAGAACGTCAAACGTCCGGCATATTGTTTCGTACAACCGCCGGACGCGGGTGTGCAAGATCTGCATGGGGTCAGTATCACAGAGTCGCAAACACAAGCATGGACCTGCGACGCGCAGTGATGAAGTTGGGACCGCATGCCCGCGGATTTGGTTTCTTCTTCGTGCTGCAGCCTCGCTTCGGCTTGTTTCGCATCGGCGAGGTGTGCTTCTATGGCGGCGAACCGGTGTGTGCTGTCCACACGCTGTTGAGCTAACGTGTGCAACATCGCGGCCAGGTCGATCGCGTCGACGGCTGCCTGCGCAATGCCTGGAAAGTCAAGTTAGCCTCACGCGCCCTCCGCCTGCTTCCAACGCGTACCTGCGTCTCGCCACTCGCGGTCGGCTCGCCACTGCAGTGCACGTTTTGAAATCGGAGGCTGTGCGTCGTTCGGCTCATCATGGGCTGCCTGTGCGTTCACGTCTTGGACTTTGTCACGGAGGCGCTTCGACGACGCGCGGCGCAACGCTTCCTGCACAGAAAAAAATGGCGTCGGGCGTTATGCCTACAGGGAACGTGGACGGACCTGGTGCTTGCGATGCAGTAAGAAGCGAAGCCATGTCGAAAAGTGCTCCGACAACAACCGAAACAGTCCCAATTCGGTGGCAAACCGGCCTCGCTTCTTGAGCTCTCGGTGGAGCACCCACAGCCGAAAAACCATCGGAGCGACTCGTTTGAACACCATGGCCTGCGATGCAGCATGGCATCATGGCATGATCCAAGCGAGCCGTACCATGGCTTGAATCGCCTGCCGATCTTTCTTTCGGTACTTGATGTACATGGCCATGCCCAGTTCGTGCGTATGGCTCTTGAGCTTGATTTTCGACCCTGCAGCGTGCGGGGTTCAGTTTCGTAGTTGCAACGTCGATATCACAGCATGCACATGGGCTATTGAGCACGCGCGTAGAAGCCGACGGCGTACCGAGATGCGACTCCATCATGCGTGTGAGCGGCACCTTTTCATGCGCGCTGTCGCCGTCCCATGCGTCGGCTGTCTTAGCCAACACGCCATGAAAGCACAAATACTTGCGCCGACGTATATCTTGCCTGAGGATTGAATAGTACCTGGGCCAACTCCGGTCAATACCGACCGACTACGACCACCGCTTACCGCCACACGTGCATCGCGACACGAATCGTGTAATGTTTGGTTTGCCAGAACATGGAAAGTCCTCGCTTTTCCCAGATCTACCACACCCACCGATCCAGCCCGTCACTTGAGAAACCAGGGTGCCGCGTCAACGTACCCGCTTCAATCGCGCCGACACTTGTGCGATCGCGCGCCACGCCGCCACGATGCCAAGCTCAGTCGTTGCATTCCGCAGGAGCGTTCGGCGCTGGACGACGCCTCGTCCCCACTGCTTCCTCGCGACGTATCTAGTCAAGAAGGCACGAATCGATGAGGCTGAACAACCAACGCGTTGTGGTCGAGGGCAACATGGCTACCACGACAATGGCAACGCGGCGTACCGTCGCCATCCACGGACAATGCGGAGCTGGACGTAGGTGTGAACCACGCGGCGCAAAAACAGCGCTTTGCCCCGACTGAGCAGAACAAATTGGACGTAGCGCTTCCACACGTAGAGCGGCCAAAAGCAGATGCGGTACAGCTCTCGGTACCGCGTTGCGAGCAGCATGCGGTACCTCCACGCGACGAACTTTCGAAAGACGACGTGGCGCTGGTGGCGCAGCTGCCGCGCGCGGTCGCGCCAAGTCCGGAACACACGTTTCTTCAACTGGAACGCGAAAAATTCCTGTCGCTCGGGAAACCAAAACGTGGCTTGTCGCGCAAAGTACTGCCGCGCGCCGTTTTGAATCGCGTTGGCCGCGACGTCGTGAAAGACATGCGCCGCCTAAGCAAGACAACCGTCGACGACGCCGTGGTGTGCAAGTTTCGAGGCACGTACATCTTCAAGGTCCACGTCGTCGAGCCCGCGGTTGCGACCATACGTTTGAAGGAGCGCGTTCAATACGACGGGGACAGATCGATGGGCGTGGTTTGCGTCATCCTGGCACTCTTCGTGGTTGTTCGAGTGGTGGCGACTGCCATGCGTGGCTGACTTGTCTTGGGTTTCAAACAGCAGCGCCGCCGCCGCCGCCTTCCTTTTGCGATGGAAGATAACTTTAAACAACTGGTCGGTCGTTGCCGCCTTGACGGTGGCACTGGGCCACGCCGCGTGCATAAAGTCGAACCGGTCGAGCACGCGGACCATGCCTTGTGCTGTCGTTTGCAGTCTTTGTTTGACTGGAGCAGAACCCGTGAGATGATGCCACGGCGACAGGACGACTACTCTTCAAAAGCTTCCCACGCCATGGAACCAGTGTCGACGCAAGAGATGAAAACGCCACGACCCACACACTCGACGACAATATGCATGCACGATTCAAGAATGGCACGTACTCTTGCGCTCGAGCATGTCGCGCTGGCGATTTCGGTCGGTCTGTTCGTCGGCTGCCGCCTTCTTCTCGGCTTGCAACTCGGCTGTCCACTGCGCGATCGCTGTCGGGTCTTTCGGGTAAAACATATCGCGCAACATGGCGAGCGAAATGAAGCGCGGCACCACCCCATCGTCGTCGTCGTCCTTCTTGACGTGAAAGTGGACGGCGTCCGAGATAAAGTCCGTGGCGTCGTCGGCATCGATGGCGTGGGTGGTCATGTACGTGTGGATGTCCGATCGAATGCGATCGACGTCCATTTCCGTGGACACCACGCCGTTTGACTGCAGCACGCGCTCGACTTGGGCCTGGCTTAAATCGCCGCCTACCGTCCCCGTCAATCGTTCACCTGCATGCGCTCGCACGCACGCACCGGAGAATGCAAACTCGATGGCGTCCCACCGCTTAAAAAACTTCTTCTTCAAATACGTTTCTGCAAACAAACCAATATCTGCCATCGTTTGACGGCGGTGCATGCCCATCGTCGCAACTTCTGTGGACGCGGCGCCCGGCACGTGGTCGACCAACACGTTTGGCATCGGTGTTTTCCTCCGGGGAGGGGCGTGGTTGGTGTCGCGCTCAGAGGGGGGGTCCCCATCATGCGTGTACGCCACAACGTCGTCGTTGTCTCCTTCCTCGTCTGACAATGAGTCGTACAAGTCGTGTTGCGGATGGGCTGGATCCAACGATGACGACACCTACAAGAAAGCTGCTGCGTCATGCAAACTTGAGGCGCTGCGATGCCTACGTGGGCGTTGTTGTCCGCATTTATGGTGGTGTGAGCCATAGAATGCACCGATGGGAAGTGCCGCAATGTGCCGGCGCTCGTGTGTGATTTCAATGGCCGTGTGGAAGTTGACGGCGGCGGGTCGACGGCCCACGGATCGACAACTTTTTTCTGGGAGGCGTGCTGTGCTTGAACAATGCGCAACATATCCATGGAGCTCATCGATTTATGCAGCATTCCGTGGGCCGCTTGTGACCTCGTTGGGCTCTTGGGAAGCTGCCACAGCCCGTACTGATCTGCGCCGTCGGGAAGCTGGGGAAGCTGTGGAGGAGGCAGCTGTCGCCTGGGATGGAGCGCTGTCATCGTGGACCTCCTCCGTAGTTTATCATTTGATGGCACTGGGCCTGCTGTCTGCACCTGTTGGCGAACGATGTCCAGTTGTAATGCAGTGTTCATCCTGGACATGCGGGGCTTGAACGGGGAGTTGCTCGTCGGCGCCGCGGCGGACACGATCGCATCGACGGGCAGTACAGGAAGGGACAGGTCATACCATTTCGGGATCGGGAACTCGGCAGCCAACTTCTCTGTAGTCTCTTGTTGCTTCTCACGCCGCTGGAGGTCCATGCTGGCGGCGACGCGCCTTTTCGACCTGTCCAAAAACCTCGTGCCAACTTTTCATACAAAATTCACAAAAACTCGACAACCTTCCAATCAAATGTTAAAACAATTCACAAAAAATTGACAAAACGCAGCTCACCTATTCTAATGAGATTCTACAAATTGACAAAAATCCAGCAGCAGAATTGACTGAAATTCATGTTACCTTAAATAGTGTAAGGAATCCAGAGTAACATGAAACGCTGGAATTCTTTACACTATTTAAGGTTCCAGGCTTCCTCGTGTGCGGCACCGATGCTCATCCTTGCGGAAGGCTACCTGAAGAAGAGATGCGCCAACTTGCCTGTCATGCGACGGCGGTACTGCATGCTTGTTGTCGACGACTCCAAGCCGCCACCATCATCTTCATCGACAAAGATCAAGGTCATGCTACGATCGTACAAAAACGAAGAGTCGAGGATGGCATCGATCGACTCATTTGTGTCGTCGCATGTGGTGAAATGCATCGGGGAATGGACCGGGAAAGGCAACTTGCACACGTACCCAAACGCTTTTGTGGTGGAGACGCTGCAGAGCAAACTGTTCCACTGCTCGGCGGACTCTCCCGACGACAAGGCAAGATGGACTTCTGCAATCGAAGTGTACGATCGACTGTCCGTCGGCTCGTCGTCCATACCTCCCCCAATTGATACGCCCGTGTCTTTTACCCATGACTTCGACGCTGCAGGTACCTCTCACCTCCTCTGCACAAGTGTATCCGTGTCCCCAGGGCCACAACTCGTCGAAGGTGACGGCGGTGGGATACCTGCTCCTGCACACCTCGAAGGGCAGCACCATATCGAAGCACCGGACGCACCATCATCCTTCACTCGACCAGCTTCAACACGTCCCAAGAGCTTGAGAAGCGATGCTTTGTTCAAGTCCAAGTCGAAGCAAGGTCGCCGAGGCAACTACAACGACATCGACATGGATAGTGACGAAGAGCAAGGTCCATCCCATGTGAGGCTTGCTTGGTTGCATCGTTTTTCTCATGACTTACGTAGGTGGACTCGGTGCACCTCGATAGCGCGCTGCTGCAACTCTCAACAACAAAACCTTCCCCGTCGAACGATCTCGACGACCTTCCGTTCAACACCGTCGATGTTCCATGGTCCTCGATGAGGCTGCACTACGTCGAGGCACCGGAAGCAGCTCCATCCAATGCTGACTGCGCCATGGACGATGACGACGAAGAGTATTTGGACTTGAACCCGGATATGGTCGCGCGGTTCTCGCACATGCGCATGATGGAGGCGCGAGGTCTAGCCAAAGGTACATTTCGTGTGTGTCGGCCCGAGCCTTCATGAATGCCCAGACTCATTGAACGGCGGATTGCTGCCGCCACGGCGCAGCGATGGCGCTCGATCGAGAAGCCGGCACAAGACACATCCTTCTGTCGTCGACGACATGGCGCCGAAACCGAAAAAGAAAACCAAAAAAGAGCCAAAAAAAGAACGAAATACAAAACAGGTCCACCACGGCGACAACGACGGCCGTACTCCAGCGAACCCCGCGCCTCGACGCGACCATTCCCCACCAGCTCCTCAAGAGAGGCGGATGTACAAAGTCGCGCCCCCACTGCCCCCACCACCACCCTTGCCCACCGCTGCCCCACGGCCTCCGCCGTCCCTCCAGTTACCCGCCATCGACGACTTCTAAAGCCAATGTCTGTCTCCAACATCACTCTTGTCCTTCTGCTGCGCCACGTACCCCACCGCGCTCAAAGCGAATTCCACATCTGCCAAGCTGGTGAAAGAGCAGGAGGTGAGCCATCGCAGCATCATTGTGAGCTGCACCACGTGCAGCGTACGTGCTCGACATTGGCATGGGAATCGCCACGGTGCCATCCCGCTTGCGACCCACGTTAGCGTTCTTCCACGCAGTTTAAAAAGCTGGGGGTACCGGGGTTCGATCCCCAAGCGTTGATAATTTTTCATGTTCCACGTGGTCGTCCCCACTGTGTCTGCCACGCATCGGTGTCGCTTACGTGACGAAGATGTGGGAGTTAGGCCGACCCAGCTGCCATGAACCAACCCACGAGTGCCCATCGATCTCGCAGCGTCGGCATGGCTTCGTGCAAGAGTTTACCGCTGTCAAACAGCACCAGAGTCCCACCCACAGGATCGACGTCGACGGGGGGTGTCTTCTTGGATGGGTATGCGCGCAACGCGCCGCCATCCTCAGCTGAGTTCCAGTTCGCATCGTTGAGGTACAGCACCATCGAAATGACCCGGTGCACTTTTCCTGTGGAGAAGTGAGACACTCGGACATCGCTACCGACAACATACCGGGAACGTGGTGCTGCTGGTCAATGTGCTTGCCGTAAAATCCTTTGCCACCACCAGGGTAGTACAAATACTGGAGCTCCATGACATCAGCCAAAGGTTGCACGTTTGAACTGAGGGTTTCTCGCAGGTCACTGATCGCGTCCATGAGAGCGTTGCGGATGGCGACGTCTCCCACGTCTTTGCCGGCGGCTTCCGCGTCGTCAAACAGGCCACAACACTCCGAATGGCGTTTTCTCAACTCCATTTTCTGGGCTTCACCCTCTCGACCGCCAATGGCACTTTGAGTGAACGCTCCTGCACCACGTAACGCTTCAGCATCGCATCGAATTCTCGCAACCGTGGCAGGTGGCAACCATGCAGGCGTCACGGAGATATTCCCTGATCCAATCGACGACAGCGTTGTAATGGGCGACGGTGTGAAGCTGTGTACTTGCCGTTTCTTGGCACGTGGACGTTTTCGTCGGCGCTTCTTCACGGTGGCGTCAGAAACGTCATGTGTAGCTGGCGACGATTGCTTCCGCTTCTTGGATACTGACGGATGCTCAGGGGGAGTAGATTCTTGAGACCTCGCTGGCGCATCTCCACCGTTACCTTTAGAAGCAGTGACTTCATCGACGGCGACGATGCCCTTCTTCTTGAGTCGGCGCTTCTCTGCGTGCGACAGCGCCATCCAAGCAGTTCCAAGAAAAGGACAACAATTCTGTTCTTTTTTGTACCAAAATTGAGTTTAATACTTTCAGTTGTCGTGTATCTATAGTTTAATCAAGATGATGTTTAGATGGTATAGATGCATAAACACCAAGATTATAAATTTGTACGAATAAGCTATCCGGGATGCCCCACGGTTTCATTCTTTGCCACGCTTCCCGTAACTGATGTCGACGGCAATTGCCGCGGCACGTGCCAAGACGAAGGGGAAGACTCTCCTGAAGGATATTCTGAATGCATATGGAGAAATTGACAGCGTGGAGGCATCTGCTGAGGCGATCTCGGATTGGAACCGACGAAAGAAAGAAGCCATCGCTAACGGGACTTGGGTGTGGCGAGAAAATACAATGGCATTCGCGATCCCCAAGTCGAAAGTCGCCACCCACAACATCAAAGGCGAGTTTGCGTGCCTTACTACCTTGTCTGCAGAGCTCGATGCAGTTGTGCACGGGCCCACGGCACGAAGAAATCCTGCTTCGGTTGTTGACGGCATGCACACGAAAGGGTGTTCGTGGAGGTACACAACGTCGGTGTTTAGTTCGATGTGAATCCCTTGATCTAGTGCGGTGTTTGACGGCAAATTCTACACCTGCACGAACGAACTGCATTCCGAGACGGAGGTGATGGCGAGGCGATGCAACTGGCATGCAATCGAGTGTCGCTCACCGACCCACTCGACGTCGGCGGTGCCTGACAAAACGATTGCCATTCCAAACGAAGACGCGCTGTGCTTGTCCTGCTTTGCAACGTCCCGATCTCGGTTGCCCAAACACCGACAGACACCGCCAGCATTTGATCAAGTCATGATACCAGGCACGCAAACCGTCTTATCCCTCTCGTCCGCCTGACGCTCGACTCGGAAAAGGGGTGCATCGGTCGGAGGCGCAAAAGGTCCAAGCGAAACTTGACATTGTCACACAAGCCAAAGTCAAACCCACCATGTCCACAAATCAAGAACTCTCAAAAACATCGACATGTGCTTGGCGAGGACACAAACCCGGTCAAAAGACATTCCAGCCACACGTGTGCCACCGCACAGTCCTGCTCCATCCCATCTACGGCACGTACTTGCCCATGTGCGGCTACCATCAATCGCCATGCGTCCGAAACCTGACCAAAGGCACCGTGTGTCCTCGCATTGTACAGTTCAACGCGTACGGGCTGTGTCACAACCACTACGAAGCTCTCATGGCCACGTACGTCGCTCGTGTTGCGAACCCCACTCACTCTGCATGCAGACTGCCATTTCACGAACGCCGTGCAGACAAAACATTTGACTCGCCGTTTGACCCACCCGACGTGTACATGGATATCGACAAAGGCAGGGCCGCAGTGGCCCCACATCCACTTGCGCCAAAACTTCCGCCTCCCCCCTTGACTACCCCCTCTCCTGACTCGACAGTGCCCTCAACGTCGCTCATTCGAGGCACCCTGACGTCGGTATTTGCCGCGTGGACATCTCCTGTCCAAACACTGTGGTGGCAAATCAACTATGTGCGACAAGGACCACGTATTGCTACGCGCCTCCAAGCGATCTTTCGAGGCAAACAAGCACGCAAGCAAGTTCATCGGATGCTGTTGGAGACATAGTACGTTGGACACAACAAATTCGTCATGTGTCTGCCCGACGTTTGGTGCCGCCAGTGATTTTGATTATCTGTTGCTCATGGTCATGTGTCATTGTATTCATGTAGTGCCCGCAAGCGCACGAAAGCAGCCATCCTCCTTCAAAAACACTTTCGAGCTCGTCAAGCTAAGCGCCATGTTGTCCAATACCGAGACGTCCTTCTTCGGACGTCAATGTTGCTCCAGCGCATGGCGAGGGGGTACATCTCACGTCGGCGAGTGCACCGCACAAGACGTTTTCGCCGGCTTTGCCACGCAGTCGGGGTTTACTTAACAGTTCGGCGGGCGATTTCCATCTTGCACTTCCGTGTGGACACGCGTCGTGGTCTCTCGTACGTCGCTCGCACTGAAGTCGTCCGTGGCGATCGCCTCGATGATATCCAACCACAACCTTTTCGTAGACGTGGCAGCGATCGCGATCGTTTGATCTCGTTGTCTTTGCTCCAACGGCGCCATGCAGCCCGAGTTCTCGCACGGGCCATGCGCGCGTGGAAAAAGGACAAGCTGCAAAAACGTCAGCAAGGCGAGCTCAAGTTCAAAACGTTCCTGAGCTCTGTCACAATCCAGCGAGCGTGGAAGCGGTACCAAAAGCTCAAGTGGCTTCATGCGCGATTCCATGCCGCCCAACGCATTCAAGCGCGTATTCGAGGCGATCTCACGCGATGCTTGTGGGCCAACGACCCTGGCATTTCATCCACAGTCCTGTGGATAAACCCCCGCAGTGGATTTGCATACGTTCGGCATCGACTCGATCCCACAGCGTCGCCATCGTACTCGGTACCAAGTCACGCTTCTCGACTTCATGCTAGATAGGAACGCTCACTTGGACTTAGGTGGTCCGACGGAGCATGCGGCGAGATGTTGCGGCTCGAATGATCCAACTCCATTTCCGCGGGTATGTGGGTCGCGTGGCGGCCAACACAGCTTGGGCCAACATGGAAAAACGATGGCAGTGGATCGATCCAAGCCAAGGTGAGAGATTTGTGTAATTGTTGCAAGCGGCTGATGGCAGGCAGACCGGCGAGTCTTGAGAACGCTGCTACCACACACGTTTTACCACGAAGACAAACACCACCACATGCGGCCAATTTTCAACGTGCCTGTGCCGTATCGTGCGTTTGCGTATGAATTCCAGGGTAGGATGTTGTTCTGCCGTCGCCGCCTCAATTGCTGTGGCAGGGGTTGTGGATTTGCTGGACGATCAAGACGGCCTTCGTTGCGCGAACATGCCACCGCGCCGCCCGACTCCGCCCACCCCATGGACTGTTGTCGAGTGCCCTCTATCGGCCGACTCGACATTGTCGCTTCGATTTCCACCCACACAGTCCATCATTGAGTCGTCGTTGCTCGACACTGTCGGCATCACGTCGACCAAGGCCATGTACCCAATTGGAGCGATCGTGTACGTCCACCTCCCAAACAAGAAAATGCACCCAGCGACGATAACACGCATCCATGTCGAGACGGACTCGTTCGACGTGGCATTTCTTCCCGTACGTTCACACTTGGGAGAGCCATACGAGACTGGTCAACGTAGAGGATGTTGTTATACATTCCATGCCGTAGGGCCTGGTGTCGATTCGAGGAATTGCGATCACGGAGGCCAAGAACATCCACGTGAGTCGGATGCAGCTCGAACCCCCGCCCACGCGTCCTGTCACACTGACGCACTGCATCCACGCCGAACGAAAGCGCGTGGCAGCTCTTCCGACCTCTGCCAAGTTGCCCGACAAGTCGGCATCACGTAATATCATTCCCAAGAGATCGTGGCCAGATGTCGCGTCGAGGTTTCACGCGCTTGTCACGTGCGTCCGAGATCATCACCGCCGGCTCTTGACCGAGCCACCGCTTTGGATGCGATTCGTATTTGATCATCGCGACTTTCTGGACCAGTATTGGCTGCGCTTGCTGCACGACATCGAGCACGGCCACCCAACGGACCCGCACTACCCAAGTTCGTGCCCCATGGAGGTACGTTCCCGGCGACCCACCACGAACAATTATCGATGTCCACACGTTTTATTTCATCGTGTTCAGGGCATGATCTTGCCCTTGCCCCATGTGGCCAAGTGGATGAAGACGAAATTGTTGTCGTTGGGGTTGGAAGCTACGGCGTTGGCCAACCAAGTTCCTCCCAAACCGCGCCACGCAGTGCGTTCTCGTGCTTCCAAGAAGCAATCGTTTTTCACAAGGTCCATGTAGGCTGGCAAGGCGGTGCAGCAGTGTTCGCAGCACGCTGTCATCCCGACGACATACGTCGACGACATAGAGGCCACATTTCTTCAACGTGCGAGTGCCTCTTGGTTGTGCGTATCGAAAAATAACATTGAATCCAGGCGACATGCGACTGCAAAGCCCTGCCAATTCTGACCGTCACGCTTCTCGGGATGATCTTGATACCCCCAATGCGTCGAGTGTGTCGCTGGCGGACATTCATAAACTCGTGTACCACCTCAAGGTGTCTACAATCCGATCCAAACACGCTCTCGGGACATGTCTACTCATCTACTCGCCGATTCCATAGAGCTTACCTGGCCACGTGCCAGACCACGTCTTGCAAGTAACCACGCGCAACGTCCGCACGTTTGTGTGCAGCCACCCAGCATGCGGGCGCTGTTTTTCGTACGCTTTCCCATCAGCGCCTGCACGCTCCAGTTTACGTTGACGGGTTCTAGCACGCGGGAAGGCGCTCGACTTCACAAAGAACTGCACTCGAACAAGCCACGTTTTGCAGGCGGCAATCCCTTGGTCGACCAGGTACAGCTTCCAGACGTTCTCTCAGCAATGGCATCGTTGTTTGGAATCGCGTCTAGTACATGCACAAACACTGGCCACCCGAAAGTCCATGGCGCGATGAAAACCAAATGGCCATCCAAGGAACGGCTAACACGGGGTTTCAGTGTCCGGTGTGCGATCGATCGTTTCCAACAAGACGTGAAGCATTGCGGTGCGAATCACTCGAGCGTGTGCTGGCATCGTGTGTTCATGCGGTGGATGTAGCCATGCGAGTGCTGCGCATGGTCACGAGCAGCCGCGGGAACAAGTGAGCACAACAAATCCCAACATTATTTGGCTTGGGACATCGCGCACGATCAACGACATTGCAAATCGGTTTCCCGAGCTTCGCAGGCCCCGCGTGTGCCCCACGTGCTCACGCAAGGTATTTTGTCGTGTCCGTAATTGGATGCCGCATTGTTATCTCGAGTAGATGGCCCAACCCGACCCAGTTTGCCGATTGTACCCATCCGTGTGCATCTTGATGGAATCGGCCGTCATTTTTGCGACAGACTTCAAGGCACTGTCGCCTCAATTCCACGTCACTTGCCCGGACTGCGGCTTCAGGACAGACACCCCGGGCTCCAAGTCATCCGTGTACCTGAACATGCACGTTTTGTGCCGCGACAGGCATGGGGTCGATTGGGCGTTGGGCAACTTGTATCATGCTCCCCCCGCCGTCGCTTCCCTCGGTGAAGCTCTCATCTTAGGGTATTCGTGCTGTGGTATTGTGATCTTTTACCGAATGACGCACCGTGAGTAGTTACGACTACACGTACGAGGTCCTGCTGCAATCGCCCTTGGTGTGCATGCCATTGACCCAATGCAATGGATATGCCATTGTCCACACGTGCTCCCGCACTTACTTTCATCGCAAAGTGAAGGCGGTCATACCACCTGGGCAAGTCGAAAAATTCTGCCGCGTGCTTCGTCCATCATCCCAACACGCAAAACCCCCACCGTCCGCGGCCCCAACAGGTGCAAGGCCAGAACAGTCGGCTTGATGTTTCAAGCCATCCCACACGATTGAATGAAGCCACTATCCTTCCAAGCGTCTGGGAACCTGCTAGTTGTATTGCCGAGTTTGTTCACAAGGAACCTCTGCAGCCCTCCACTACAGCGCAGCACGAGGGCGATCGTATCTTTGGTAGCGTTTCGATGCGACTTGTGGCTGTTCGTCGAATCGAAGCTGTGGGGTCGTCACTTGCTAAAGAGTCGCTCCGAAAGGTCGTGGGTCGTTTCATTCGCCACCAAGGGAATGCTGAACATTTGGGCCACTTTTTCAATGCGGGTGGCGTGGGTTGTCGTGAGTGTTGCGGCCGTGGCGTCTGCCGCGTTCTATCCATGCAAAGGCGAAAAGATCCGCGTGCGCAAGCCATGGAGCTTGCTCACGACTCCCGAAAAGGAGCTGTTCGTCGAGGCGCTTGGTGAAGGCATGCGTCGAGGGTTCCACCACCGGTTTGCCGAAATCCACTCGGAGCCCGAGAGCGAACAAGAAGCCCACGGGTGCATGTTTATCTACTGGCATCGCAAGTTCCTCCTCGGGTACGAGAACATGCTGCGCAGCCTCAAGCCGGAATATGCGTGCATAACGTTGCCGTACTGGGACTACGCAACCCTGTCGAGCTCGTACACGTCGGGTACAGTCGCCGCGCACGATCTGAGGTTTGTACTCACTCGGCGTTTGTCTAGGAAGCTGCCGAAGCGTCAACCAGTGCTCGTCCGACATCATTGCGTACTTGGGCGGGAATGTCGATTCGACTTCGACGCGGTCGTGGGACCTTATCAACCGTGACATTATGGGCGGCGTCGGGTGTGTCCGAGGCAAGCCGTTCAACAACTTTTGTCAGTCGACTTCGGCGTTCGAGTCAAACCAGTGCATGGGGTGCATGCCGCGGGCCAACTACGACCAAGCCCGCGTTCCAGCCGAGGCCAACATTGGCCAAGTGTTTGCACAAATCCTTGGCGGAGGCGATTCGTTCAGCGCAGCGTCGCGTTCGATCCAGTTGGGAGCGCACAGTACGTTGCTGCGTTGTGGTGTCGGTCGGGTACGTATGGCTGACTTGGTGGCGTCTAGATACGGTCCACGCTGCTCTCGGGGGGGCAATGGGAACGCTGAAGTCCCCCGCCGATGTCCTCTTCTACGCCCATCACGTACGCGGCCAGCGACGTGGTTGAGACAAGTCATGACGGTCGTGTAGGCTCAAATTGACTTGATGCATCGCATCTACTTCAAGTGCGTCGTCGCGGATGCTGCGCCCCCCAACCGATCAAAGGTCCTGACGGACAAGGAAAAGCAAAACGCAAACGACCGTCGGATCTGGACGAGCTGCCGACGGGCGTCCAACACGGTGATCCAGCCAAAGCATTGGGTCCGAATGTTCTCGGGGGAAGCGGGCAGCGCGCCCATGGACGTGAACAATCCCAAGAACCCCCTGTACGAGTTCTTCATGGCGCTTCCACGCGAGTATTATCTGTACGCGGACGGCGACGACCTTGGAAGGTTCAGCTACCAATACCAGTACACTGGGATGCTGGCCGACATGCTGCTCAAGTGCAGAAACTTTGTGGCTCCGCGACGGTATGCATGCTTTCCCAACGTTCTCGATGGAGTTGAGGGGTTGTATTGCAGGGCGCTGCTTCTGGACGAAGAAGACGGGTACACGGGCAACAGAAGCCACTACCAGCAGCGCTGTGTAAAGCGACCGTTGCTCGAGTGCGAAGTGAAGGAGAAGTCGTTCTTGGACTTTATGTCCACCAAGGCTGGTGAACTTGGCTGGTCGCACGACACGCTGGTCGAGCAGCTCGAGGCGCTGGTGTGCATCCACCAGGACGAATGCCTCGGCGGGTGCTCCGATTACACCGAAGAATTCAAACGCGTGTTTCACCCCCGTGGTCCCCCGCGCTGCAAAACGATCACGGACCGCCTCAAAGCGAGCGACCTGTTCATCAAACTGCCCGCGTGGCGCCAAGTGATGGCCCGCTACTTTCCATGTCCAGATGACGAAGAGGAAGCGCCGTACATGTAACCATCGATAGTCGCGAGTTTCTCTCAGTGTTTGTGACATCGTCGACGGCTTGATCGAGAACGTCCAAGCTCGTTCAAGACCTTCCTAAACCTTCATGCATTCGTATGATTCCGCGTGGTCCTGGCACTCTAGCGTCGCTGCCCTCGATCGAATAAACGTCCTCCCTTTCGCGCGGTTCGAGTCACGCGTTCGTCCTTGAACTGCATCAGTCGCTTATTCAAGCATCGTATTTTTGTTAGCGTTCTTGTGCACACGGTTGGTATGGCGCTTCGTGTGTGTCGCTGCCGCAATTGTAGCCCAGACCATTGGCAAGTACGATCCGCATGCCGTCCGCGTGCGCAAGCCATGGAGCTTCACAGCCATGGCCGACATGAACTTGTATATTGCGAACACATGCGGCGGGGATTTCACCACCGATTTGCCGTATTTCACTCGGAGCCCGAGAGCGAACAAGCTGCCCACAGGTGCATGCATGTCCGCTGGCAACACAAGGTCCTTCCTCCTCGGGTGCGACAACATGCTGCGCAGCCTCAAGCCAGAATATGGGTGCATCACACTGCGACCTCTCGACCAATTCCACAGCGCGCTGACGCCTTGCGCTGCCTCCACGGATGTAAACCAGGCGAGGTCACATACTTCCGTGAGTGGCGGAGTAGTTCTGGTCGTAGCTTTCCCATGCCAGTGCTCATCGAATTCCGATCGGGCCAATGCACCACTCGAGCCAACGCCACGAAGACATTTCGGAGCAACACACCGCCATGTCCACCCGTGCGGCTCGTTGATGCTTGTGTCGGGGTTTCGAGGTTTCGGGGTTTCGGGGTTGCACGCTGGATATCGCTTAAAATAAACTGTACAATTCGAGCTAAATTGAGGAGTTGTCGAGCCGTTCCACCAGGCTCCATGAAGCGCCCGCGGATCGACGAGTTTTGCCAGCGGCAAGCTGCGTCCTGCGCACCCAAGATTTGATTCGCATGGTGACATCGTACCAACAAGGCCTCTGTATCGACGGCCACGACCTTCTCGTGGCTATTCAATGGCCAGCCGTGAAGTCGCTTGGCATCTCGTATGTGTTCTCGACGATGGGGGTGTGGCCGTTTTCCCGTCTGGCCTCCTGGACAGATAAGCATGGCTTGAAGCACCTCGATCGCGTCCTCGACTTTGTTGAAGAACGCTCGGCCTGTTTTCTCCTACACCACATTGCGTTTTGTGTGGCCGTGAGGTACAATCACCTCCCAATACTGCGTCATGTCGGCGGTTCCCGCTGTCACGAACGCACCGGCTTGGATTTCACCATGGCGATGGACGTTGCTGCAAAACATGGTCACCTCGACATCATTCAATGGCTACATGCGAATCGCAAGGAAGGCTGCACGTCTGCCGCCATGGATCATGCAGCTCGAAATGGCCACGTCGACGTCTGCGACTGGCTCCATCACACTGGCCTTGCCACGTTTTCGTCGCATCAGCTCGACGTCATGAAAGAAGTTGTGATGAAGGGGGATTTACGAATAGTCGAGTGGCTGCATCGCCATCGGACGCGACAATGGCCACGAGGCCTCATGGACGACATCGCGGCGGGCGGAAACGTGCGCATGATGGCCTTTTTCCACCATCACACAACTGAGCAGTGCACCACCGACGCCATGGACTTCGCAGCGTGTCGAGGGCATTTGGAAATGGTCCAGTTCTTGCACCACCACCGCCACGAAGGATGCACGACGCAAGCCATCGACTTGGCAGCAGGTCGCGGCCACTTTGACGTTGTCAAGTGGCTCTACATCCATCGCCATGAAGCATGCACGTGGAACGCTATCTATCTCGCCGCATGTGGTGGCCACATGCGCATCCTGTATTACTTGGCTCGGGTCGCGCACGTGCGCACTACTGCGTGGCGTTGTGCGCAGGTTGTTGCCCAAACGAGCGGCCGCCTCGATGCCCTAGCAGCGCTGAACAAGGTTGCGATGGCCGCAAAGCGGAATCGTTCTCGATCGACGCCTCACTTTGACCGCTGCGCCTAGACCCTCGTACATAGATGGTTGTGATTCATCCAAGCAATGTGTCCATGTGTACAGCGGTGGATGGCATTGCCTACACCGCTCCTTTTCCCATTGTCGCAAGCACGTGCAAATGGCCAACCATGTAGAGCTTGCGTACACCCCAAGGCAGCATCCTGCCACGGCCTCCGCCCTTCCGCCGGTAGATAGCTGACATGAAGCATCGCCAAGACAATTGTGCCTACTTGCGCACCCCAACCATGCCACATGAAGCGTTGCGCACGAAATTCTCCGGGACAGGTCGACCGTAGATTGTTCCAATCGATGGTTTGGTAAAGTTCTCGAATAGAGAAACGTTGCGGGGCGACGGATGCTGATGTTCGTTGGTTCCTGTGCGTTGTGAGTTTTGCTTTGATGGGAGCGGCGGCAGCGCGGCTCCGGCGTTGGGGTACCCGTGCCACACTCTTCGCCGTACTATGGTGCTGCATCGTCGCCCGCGCCGCCCTGGCAGAAGGTACTGCAGGTGGAGAAGTCCACTACCGGCTGTGACGTTGTGGCTCGTGTAGGCCATGGAGGAACCAGTGCTCCCGGGCACGAGTCGGCAAATGCCACGTCGACGGCCCAAGGAGGCCACGAAAGCGGCGGTGGACACGGCGAGGAGACCGAATCGGCCGACGAGGGGTTTTACAACGTGATGGCGTCAATCGTGACCATCACAGTCTTGATCTTTCTCTCGATTGTGTTTGAAATGGTGCGTGCTGGTCTCGACTCTTGCAACCTCACGTTCGTGTGGGCGGTAGGGTGCCGAGTGGCTCCGGGAATCGACGGAAGAGATCAACATGCCGTTTGTCAACACAATCTTTAATGAGCTCACGACCCTCGGGTTCATCGGGTCGATCCTCTTTCTCATGTCCAAGTCGGGGTACTTGGGCCAGGTCTCGACCACACCGCATTCGTGGATAGCTCACACACGTCGTTCATGAGTCCCTGACTAGATATCCCAAGCGTTGTTTGGCCACGACAAAGAGATGGAGCTCCTCGAAACGATCGAGATGCTGCACATGGCGCTGTTTCTGTTTGTAATCATCTTCCTCCTCCTGTGCATGTACGTTCACCGGGCGTTGTCGCATCGACCGATGGCATCAAGCGATCGATAGTGTGTTGCTTCAATTTGGCATTCAAGTCCAAAATGAACTGCGCGAGTTCGAACGACGCGCGCCGTACGTCCAGGTGGTCGTGGCAGACTATTGTCTGTCGATCGAGCCGGCCACGTCCTGGCGGACCAAACTCAGCTGGCGCCGGTGGCAAGACATCGCCAAGTGCAAACGCGAAATGGTGTACGTGAGTCTGCGCCGCCGATTTGTCGACTACCACTCGAACCACCCGGTGCGACCGACCGCCACCCTGTCGTCAACCACGGGAGAGGTCATGCGTGAAAATGTGTTGGCAGGACCCGAACAAGGCGAAGGAGCTCGCGAAAAACTTTCAGCTGGAAAAGGACACACGGTAGGCCCGACGACCACCTCCGACAGGCCGTTGATCGATGGTAGCTTCCCCTTCAACGAATACTTGACCATTATCTCGGGCGAAGTCATGGCCCGGCTCATCCAAATCGACGCGATCACGTGGGTTGCGCTCGAAATCTGCATCGTCGTGTTGATTTTCGTCTGCTGGTGGGTCGGCCCCGACAACGAGGTGTTTGTCCTGTTGGGGGGCGGCGCCATCCTCATCGGACTCAACCAACTCGTGTACCGCCGCATCTACACGATGAGGACGCTCTTGACACCCCCGCTGCTCTTCAAGAAGGCCGACCGGTACCGTGCTAAACCGGCGTGGCGGGCGCAACACGGTCTCCCGCTCCTCCCGTCGTCGCCGTGCATGTCGGACGAAAAGGTACCACTGCTCTCGTCCGAGGTAGTTGACTCGACCTCGCGCGGCGCTTGGTCACGTCCTGTTTCAACATAGGAGAAGCTCGCGACGGACAACATTCCGCCCTTCTTGCTCCAGCTGCCCCAAGGAGGTGTCGAGTTGACGCCCCAGCAACTCGCAGATGCCCAAAAAGCGTTGCTCGGGGGCGGCAACGGCGTCCTCCTCGCGCTCTTCTCGACGCGGCTCGTGTTCCTTTTCACGGCACTGCACTTGAGTGTGTTTGTCATGCGCACGGCGGGGCAGTTGGTCCACCGCAACGACATGAACGCGCTGGAAAAAGGCGTCATCTTTATCCTCCTGGCGCTGCCGAGCTTGATTGTGGCCAGCGTATCGACCATGATTGCACGGGTACGTTCCAAAGGCATTGCGATCGAGGCGGTGCCGGACGCTGTTGGGGGGGCGGTGGCTTTGTTCCCGTCCCCCGCCAAATGCGTTGAGATGGTGTTGGGGTGCGCGACTGTGTGTGCTGTGTCAAGATTCTGGGCATTCCCAGTGCGGTGCTCTGATGGCCATCGTCATTCAACAGGATGGCTTGTATTGCTTCAACGTGGAAGCGATGAAGGTGCCGCGTGTGATCAATAAGGTCATGCGCATCTTGAAGGCGCGCCAAACGCTGCGCACGCTTCGGTTCGTGGCCGAAATGAAAGTGTACCTGCGGGAGCACCACGCGAACGAAGAGAAGGCCGCGTCCATGAAGGAGACGGCGACGGTCCCAACACCGGACGTCGACGCCCTCCGCCGCCGGTCCCTGTCGTTCAACGACGCAACGTCCCCAGCGCTGCCGACCCATCACAAGTCGACGATCGACCACAGCGCGTCGGTGGCGACGACGGGCGGCGCCGGGCTCTCCGCCCTCTCCCCCCGCACGCGAACTACCGTGGAAGAACCCATGTCCCCCATGAGCGAGCCGAGTTCACGGTCCAAAGCGCACGGCAAACGCGACAAATACGACGAAGAATCCGAGCGCCGCGAAGTCAACTCGATCTTTTGCCTGTTTGACCGGGACAAGTACGTGCTGTCGAGTTGTCGGATCGACGTGGGAACGATGGCTTGAATCCATGTTGAATACCCTGTGCATGCCTGACCGAAATTGCAGGTCTGGCGCTATCACGCGCGACGAGATGCAGTCGCTGTTGCATGTGATCTCCCCCGACATGACGGAAGCGCAGATTTCCCGCATCATCCTTGTCTTGGACCAACACCACACAGGAGAAGTCACGTTTGAGGAATTCTACCAGTGGTGCCGGTCCCACATCCACGTACGGCCGACACGTTCGTAGCTCGCGCGCCCTGACGTGGTCGGTCCGTGCGCAGGAACACTCGTCCAAGCACTCCAAGCACCACTTGATTCGGGAAGTCTTCAAGATGATCGACACGGACGGGAGTGGGTACATCACGGTCGAGGTGGGGTTGTCTTGAGTGTGTAAGCTGTTCTGGACCACGCATGGTAGGAGTTTGTCGCCATCTTTAAAGCGCTGGGCCAGTCCTTGGACCACGACGATGTGGTGAGGCGTCCCTCGGTTGCTGCTTTCACTGACGGTGTCCGCAGCGCGAACTCGTGTATCAAATCGATCGCAACAGCGACGGCAAGATCGATTTTGAGGTATGCCGACCCACCCACATCCTCGACAGCCTTGTCCATCCGTCGATTGTAGGAGTTTGAGAAAATGCTTCACAAGCATGCCGTGTAATGGCGTGCGTCGAACGGTTCGCTGAATGCCATGGTCGCGAGTGCGCCAGGTATGCCTGGGACTGCGACGAAATACAAACGTGGATGTGGATGGCCAAGAGCACGCAAGGCATTGAATGTTCATTTTACATGTGATGCAACAAGAGAGCGCCGACCCATTCATGTCGTTGCTCACCGAGCGGCTTGTCACTCACGCGTTCGCGATGGCAGCGTCGTGGGCACATGGAAAGAATCGGGCGAGAATGGCGCGCCAGTTCTTGACGCGGATGTGGAGCTGGCCATTTTTCCAACGATCGACGACGACTTTGCACCGCGGAGGACCCATCGGGTGAAAGGTTGCCTTGAACTCGTCCGAGTAGTCGGCACACCCGCCGAGGCACTCGTGGTGGTGGATGCACACCAACGCTTCGACTTGGGCGATCAAGTGATCGTGGGACCACCCTCGTTCGCCAGCAACGTTCGACATGTAGTCGAGAAACGACTGCTCGGTAACTTCACAAGCAAGTCGGGGGCGGTCGACACACCGGTCGACGTAGCTCGGGTTCGTCGGGGACCCGGCGCTTTGCAGGAACGTAGCAGTTCTACGACCGCTCACGTGACTCTGTCGATGCATGCTCGCGTGCAACGTACTGCGGCGCGATGAAGCGTTTGCACTTGGTCAACATGTCGGCCAGCATGCCCGTGTATTGGTATCGATAGCTGAACCGGCCCAAGTCATCGCCGTCTACGTACTTGTAGTAGGCGCGGGGAAGGTCCTTGAAGAATTCGTAGAGCGGGCTCGACGGGTTGTGGACGTCGATTTTGACTTGGTTGTATTGCCCGGCGAGCATCAGGACGGGATCCGTTGACCGAATCGTTGTCTCGTTGTAGCGCACGCACGATCGCCAGATGCGAGTGTCGCTCTCGCTGCGCTTGGCGCTGTCCGACAGCACCGGCACGCGGCCGGGCACGGTGTCGGCCACGACACATTTGAAGTAGATGCGATGCATCAAGTCGATTTCGGCCTGTTGCACAACATGGCGAGCGGAAGAATTACTTGGCAGCACGCAAGTGATGGAGTCGTACGTGGTGGAGGTAGAAGAGTGGGTCACTGGGGGACTGAAATGTTGCCATCGTGCTCCCAAGGGCATTGTGAATCGTGTCTACGCCAGGCGTGACGTCGTTTCGATTTACCATGGCATGCCCAGTCGAGAGTTGTCGACGTACTATGCGCGTTGTTTTGGATGCTGCTCGAGACTTCGGCAAACGTTTTGCCGGTTGTCGGCGATGCCCCGCCGAGAATTTGTGAAAAGACCGGCACGATGTTCGTCTCGGGAGGCACGGCAGCCGACGCGATGTCGCCACGTGGGACACATCGCATGCATTGCTTGGACTGAAAAGCCGACGTGGATTGACAGAAATTGTCCAGCGGCGGTCGCTGCACACACCCGATGCCGTGGATACGGTCGCCGTTGATGCGATACCACGTCCGTCTTGCATTCGAGTCAGCCAAGCCTCCGAGACTATCAATCAAGTTGGTGGCGCAGCTATACATGCTCTGACAGGAACCTAGCTGGACCGATGAGCACATTGTGGCCACGGGTGCGTCGCATACCAGACACAAACGAACTGGACAACGTAGCATAATCCCAGTACGGCAGCGTCAGGCATGCATACTCGGGCTTGAGGCTGCGCAGCATGTTCTCGTAACCCAGGAGAAATTTGCGGTGCCAGTAAATAAACATGCACCCGTGCGCTTCACGCTCGCTCTGTGGCTCCGTGTGCATCTCGACAAAGCGATGATGGTATCCTGCCGACATAGCATCACCCACAGCAGCAATGTGGCGCGCGCGTTCTGTCGCAGTCAGCATGCTCCACGGCTTTCGCAGGCGAAACGTTTCGCCTTTGCACTGGTAACGTTGGGCATGGCCGACGACCAGGATCGCGAGTAGCACCAACGTCGCCACTGCTGCACGCATTCTGCTTCCTGTCGGCTAGGTCAATTCGGTTGTGGCGACCCATCCATGTCTCCGTGGATTGCGATCGCCTCGACGAAATCTGAAACCTCTTTTTTAATCGAACATGTTTGAACTTGATAAATGTATAACATACAAATATCCAGTATGAAGATCTTGAAGAGACAATGTCCTGTCCAGTCCAAAATCTCTGCAGCTGACGAACTTGCATACGCGTCAGCGCGAAATGCCTGACCATCGGGCTGTCATTGCTCCATCGTATCTCGGACACGGAAACCAGCCCCACGTCAAGATCGCGCGAGACTGCCGATACGTCGGGGACATACTCCGATATGTTGTTTGCTGGCATGGCATGCAACGGCATCCGTAGCTCCTTCAACATCATGAAGCGACTCACCTGGCCATGACGAAGTTCGCTGGACCTGCTGCACACTACTTTCGATGTTGGCGACATCATGAATCATGCTGCAGCCCGCTCTCGTGCTCGGACTAGGTGGCAACTTTTTCTATGGACCATTGTAGTGCATAATTCATACTTGATTGAATACGCTTTGATATTTTGCTTTTGTTACTCTTTATCCGGTAATCCGGATAAAGAGGATCGCTGTGAGGGGGCTCGACAATCAACCTGGCGTGATGACGAGTGCCTCATGGAGATGGATCGTCGGCGCGGTCCTGCTGGCATGGTGCGCCGCGCAAGAAAGCGACCATGGTATGGAGTCCGCGGCTGGATGAAACCATTTTGATTGCATATTTGCGTAGAGGGAGGAAGTAGTGCGGAAGAAGCTGGGCATGAGAAGTTGTATGCGGCAGTGGCATCGGCCGTGACAATCACAGTGCTCATATTTCTCTCCATCGTGTTTGAGAGTGTACAGAGCACGCGCTTTGCATGATGGTGTCACATTCAAACATTCGTAGGGTACCGAGTGGCTTCGGGAATCGACCGAAGACACAAACATGCCATTCATCAACACTATCTTCAGCGAGCTCACGACGCTTGGATTCATTGGATCGGTCCTTTTTGTCATGTCCAAGTCGGGGTACCTCAGCCAGGTACGACATGCAACCAACTCCTCCACGCACGTCCTGTCACAACCACACGCAGATCTCTAAAGCGTTGTTCGGTCCCAACAAAAGTGCAGAGCTTGAAGAAACAATTGAACTCCTGCACATGGCGCTCTTTCTCTTCATCGTGATATTCCTCATGCTATGTTTGTATGTGCTCGCATCAGTAGATGCATAAATTGGTTTGATGATTCTTGTCCAGGACCTTGCTCAAGTTTGGTGTCCAAGTTCAGAATGAATTCCGTGAGTTCGAACGGCGAGCTCCGTACGTTCAAGTAGTTGTGGCAGACTACTGCTTGGCCAGCGAGCCTGCCACATCATGGCGACAGTCACTAAGTTGGTCGTGGAATCATGAACGTACGAAACGGAAGCGCGAGATGGTTTATGTGAGCCTTCGCCGGCGCTTTGTCGACTTTCGATCGAACCATCCAGTAAAGTCCCGAAAAGATATGATTGTGCCAGGCCTTCTCGATTGCAAACGTCGTGGACGTTCACGACTTGTCGAGCGTGAAAAATACACGGGGCTCATGGTGCTTGCAGGACCCCCACCGAGCGTACGAACTCGCCAAGGACTTTCAACTCGAGCGGGATACCAGGTACGACGAGTTTGACACTCCTTGACGGCTCAACCGTCGTAGGTTCCCCTTCAATGAGTACTTGACCATTATTTCGGGGGAAGTTATGGCCAAGCTCATCCAAATTGACGGCATTACGTGGATTGCACTGGAAGTGTGCATCATTTCGCTCCTTGCAACGTGCTGGCTCGTCGGCCCGGACAACGAAGTGTTTGTTTTTGGCATTGCCGGTGGATTCCTCGTTCTCCTCAACCAGTTTGTCTATGGCCGAATTCGACATATGCGACAGTTGCTGACGCCGCCGATTCTGTTCAAGAAAGCAGAGCGATACCGCGCCAACCTTGCGTGGCGCGCCCAACACAACTTGGCGCCACTCGTTCCGACCCCACCATCCATTCCAAGTGAATCCGTGCCGCTTCTGCCGTCCGAGGTACCCGCCCTGGGCAGTGCCCCATCGTTAATTGTCCCTGCCGTCCCCAACTCAGGACAAAAACACTTCCCTCGTCGATTTCGTCCCGCCATACGTTCACGACCTGCCCCAAGGCGGCGTTAACCTTACAATTCCGCAACTCCAAGACGCCCAGAAGCGATTGCTTGGGGGCGGAACAGGCAATGGCGTGGTCTTGGCGCTTTTCTCCACTCGACTCGTCTTTCTCTTTACGGCACTCCACTTGAGTGTGTTTTTGCTGCGGACGCTACCCCATCTGGTCAACCGCACCGACATGGACGTGGTTGCCAAGGCTCTGTGCATGGTTGTGTCGATCTTGCCGAGCTGCATCGTGACAAGCATGTCCATTGTAATTGCTCGGGTACGTCGATTCGTCATGTGCTCGGATGTCATTGCCTACCGATTCGGTGATCGAGTAGGACGGGCTGTTTGCGTTCAACGTGGAGGCGCTCAAGGCCCCCCGCGTAATTAACAAAGTCATGCGCATCGTCAAGGCGCGGCAAACTCTGCGAACGCTGCGCTTCATTGCGGAAATGAAGTTGTACTTGCGCGAACATGAAAACGACCATGTCACGAGCGACTCGACTAGCCCAGACGACCATGCAGCGCCTACGAACGGACAGGAAAAGGCGTGGGGCGGCAGCCGTGGCTTCAGCCTCAAATCCAAGCCGCATCAGTTCGTGATGAAGGAACTTCCGTCGTTTCACTTGGACGACAGCGATTGGGGTAACATGTCCGTGTTGTCCCCACGCAGTCGTATGGCGGTGGAAGTCCCGATGTCACCCATGCACGACCCTCCGCCATTCCCGGACACGCCTCTCGGCCATCGTTCCCATCATCCGACGAAAGACCAGTTTGCCGCCGAAACCGAGCGCCGCGAGATCAACTCGATTTTTTCCCTGATCGACAAGGACAAGTCGGGCAAGATTTACACGTACGAAATGGAAGGATTCCTCCAGCAAATTTCGCCCGACATGACGTCCGACCAAATTCAAACCATCATGGACGACCTCGACAAGAGCAAGTCGGGCGGTGTGATCTTTGACGATTTCGAAGCGTGGTGTCGGACTCATATTCATGTACGTTGACCGACGTGGACACTTGCGGCGGCGGCGGCGGCTCGCGACCGCCATCGTGGCGTTGCACTGGTCGATCTGTCCATCGAGAGGGCACCAAGGCTTGACGAATGCCTTTGCGTACAGGAACACTCGTCCAAGCACAGCAAGCATCAGCTGATTCGAGAAGTGTTCAAAATGATCGACACGGATAAGAGTGGGTACATCACGGTCGACGTAAGCACACGTCCAGGGCGTCGGAGACGTTGGCGTTGACTGGCTGTGTGGACCGCGTGTAGGAGTTTATCTCGATTTTCAAGTCGCTGGGGCAGTCGCTGGACCACGAAGATGTCGTACGTGTATCGCGCGTGTGGTTGGCTTGTTTCAACTTGCATATGTGCTGTCGTCCTGTTGGGTGCATCGTGGTGGGCTGACGGCAAAGGCGACTAGCGCGAGCTCATTTACCAAATGGACCGGAACAACGACGGCAAGATTGATCTCGAAGTATGTGGCGAATCTTCCATGCCTTCGACTGTCGATACTTGTCTCTTTGCATGTAGGAGTTCCAAAAGATGTTGCACAAACATGCCGTCTAGCTCGTTGATGGCCATGGCACGCCGCTTCGAATGAAGCAAGTGGACAAGTACATCATCGCAATTCAAGCGCACCAGCGTCCTCATCTATTAACTGTAAACGGAATCGCCGGTGAACCCTCTATCGTGGAAACTCCCAGTGTTCCTTCCGTAACCCGCGCTAGGCGACGCCACACGGCGGCATAATCCCCCGCTTTACCATGTCTTGGACGATCCACTGGGACTGAATCCCAGCATTTGGACAGCCTAAACAATGTTACTTGGTCACGCCCACGCCGATCTCGCCCTTACCGCCGCAGTGATGCAGTGCAACCACGGTGTTGTCGACGGCAGATATCACGGGCGAGCCAGAAGAGCCAGGCTGTGTGTCCAGCATATATCCTGCTTGGTTGGGGGCGCATCTGCACGATTTCATGAGCGACCGACGGCATCTCCGTTTTTTTTAAGGACATGCCTACCCGGACAACGTCAACGATGTAATCACGCCGGGCGTGGTGCCGTGCATTGCAGCCACTTGCTTTCCCCTGCCACGCGGGTGCTGCGGGATGTACACGGTCTCGTTGAGTTTCGGCCCAGACGCACGCAGTTGGAGGTACCTGTGCAAAGTCATGTCGACGACGGTCCGCGCAAGTCCACGTACCCAAGTCCGGGGGGAATCACGGCCGGGTCGAGCTTGACCAACGCATAATCCAAGTCTTTCGAGGCGGCGACAAATGTTGCCCCGCGAATCCACTGCCTTGGGGACGCCTTGCAACTCCCTTGAAACGAGCAGTTGGCGGTGCACGACGGGCCTTCCGCCATGAATTCAAACGTTGTGTTGGCAGCGTCGGCGGCACTCTGAATGCAATGCTCATTCGTGACGAGATGGCCACCGCATCCAAGGAGCCATCCCGTGCAAAACAACGATCCGAATGGACGATGCGTCAACAGACGAGCGACGGGTTTCGACGCAACGTACTTGGTCGTGTTGGCAAAACACTGCGCGTTCACGGCATCGTCCGTGCCACAAATGGATTCCCCGACCGACGCGGCGGACGTCTCGATGGCTGACGTCCGGACGCCGTCCACGTGAAATCCAAAGCACCCATCCGCTGACTCGGCGCCGCCATTCACATGTAGCTCCAAGACAACCGTGGATGCGTCGACTGGCACGGAATAGAGCGGGCTGCTTGTTGTTTTCGACGTCAGCGTGTCGACGACGGTCCCCACTGTGTGGTTAGTCGCGGCCAAGATGCTCAACGAGTCGCCGGGCCTCAACTGGACGTGGTCAAAGTGCAGCACGACCATGTCCGCCCCAGGTTGGTCCACGATAAACGTCACAACCCTCGGCGCTCGTGGGTACTGTGAGCACGTCATGCCAACGTCCACCGGGGTCAGAGCCATCGCCGAGTCGGGATGCTTCAGCGAAGCTCGACCAGTTGCGAGCGCACACAACAAGGCGAACCAGCTCGAAAAGATGAAGGACATCTCTTCGATCTTGGTCTCGACGGACGAAAAATCAATGAGCAAATGGATCGGACAAGTCGACGACCATCCATCAATCTTCATCGACCAGGAGTCTTTCGCCGGCAAGTCGTGGAGGAATCCGTTGCACAAGATACATAAACACACTTGGTGGATTCCATGCCAACGGCCTCCCGTCCAGGGTGTGCTCAAACGTGACGACGAGCGCCGTCAGCGTGCAGCACGCAGCTGCAGGCTGGAAGTGAAACGAGAAAGGAGGGTGCATTCACCTGTTACAAGCTATCCATCAACCATTCAACTCGGTTGTAGGATGCAAATCTACGCAATGCTGCATTGGGGAAGGATCCCGCGCCGTGCGAAATCGTGCACGAGCTTCTGCGACTGGATGCCACCGTTGGGGCATCCTAACGTGGCATAGAGGCTCAGAAACGTACTGGGAAACGCCGCGCTCATATACCTCCACAATGGTGCAGCGCCACGACCGAGTTGTCCCGAACAGACACCACGGGAGACCCTGACGATCCCGGTTGCGTGTCAAGCATGTACCCAGCTTGGTCCACCGCACACCTACGCAATTCCCCCGCGGCTCGTCAACTTGTATCGACCCCGTCGACACGAGAGGCGTGCAATGTTACCCAGCCAGTGCCAACGTCGTGATCGTGCCTGGCGCGTGCCCTACCATCGCTGCGACCTGCTTTCCCCACCCAAGGGGGTGCTGGGGAATGAACACTTGCTCATTTAGTCGCGGTCCAGACAGACGCAGCCGGAGAAACCTACGTCCTTCTTCAGAACATCCATGTCCATATTGAGTAAGAGCAGTTCACCAACCCGAGGCCTTGAGGGATCACGGCAGGGTCGAGCTTGACGATGGCATAGTCCAAGTCCTTTGACGCGGCAATGAACGTTGCCCCGCGACTAAACAACCTCGGTGAAGCGCCACACGCCAACTGGCTGTTGCAGTTTGTCGAGCACGACACGCCCTCTGCCATAAATTCAATCAACGTGTTGGCAGCATCCACGGCGTCTTGGATACAATGCTCGTTTGTGACGACGTGGCCTTCGCACCCGAGCAACCAGCCCGTGCAAAACGCAGACGAGCCCACACGATTCGTCAACAGCCGCACGACTGCTTTCGACGCCGTGTACATGCCCGAGCTAACAAAACACTGCGTGTTCTTGGCGTCGTCTGTTCCGCAAATGGATTCACTCGCCGACGCTGCTTTGTTGCCGTCTACTGCTGACGTCCGCACACCGTCCACGTGAAAGCCATAGCAGCGTCCGTCACCGCGGCTCGCTCCGCCAACAATGTGGAGCTCCAACACTACCATAGGCGTGTACAGTGGAACTGAGAAGAACGGCGCCGTCGATGTGGACCGAATCGTGTCGACCACTTCCCCCACCGTGTGGTTCACCACGGCCCGCAGCGCCAACGAGTCCTGGGCCATCAGGTTGAGGTAGTCAAAGTGCAAGAGGAGAATGTCGGCGTCGGGCTGGTCCACTATAAACGTGAGAACTGTTGGTGTCAATGGATATTGAGCGCACGTGAGGCCAATGTCCAGCGGTGCAAGGTTCAGCGTTGGGTCTGCGTGGGTGGCAGCCGACGGCTGGCCGATGCACACGCCACCTAGCACCACAACGGCAGCAAGGATGCAACGGAGTGCGCACGCCATGCTTGGAGTGCAAATGGAGAAGCTGCGCATGAAAGAAAACCGCGTCACGAGAGACTGGACCCCATCAAACGCATGACTCGTTCATGGCTGGTGACTTGAAGCAAAACAGTTTCCTTCAAATAGTGTACTGACTTTGAAAGAAATAGTGTGTGATGTCATGCTGCCTATAGACATGGCCAAATTTCATGCAATGGAACATGCACAAATCAGGCACTTCTTCAGGATGCACTACGTCAAAGGCGCGTGGCGAATAGTGCGAGAACGACTCGACAGGATGTACCCTTCGCGGGGGCTGCACGGCCATGCCCCAAGCATTGCCGTCTATACTCCAAGTAGCGTCGAACGAAGTTCGTCGTTCTGGATGTCCATAAATAGTGTAAGAATACAAATAGTATGAACCTGTTTCTGCTCGAGGATTGGCTGAATCGACGGCATCAGTCACTAACGCCGTTAGCGAAAGAACTGCATCCTTGCGATGGCGCTCGCCAAGGCCGCATCGGGCGACAACGACCGCATCATGGCGCGCAGCCCATCAGGTAGCACGCAGCATCGTCAACCTGATGCTCTCCTACATGTCAACCTTGTGCAGAGGAATGCGACGACGAGTACGACGCGCTGGAGTCACCGTCCAGCCACAATTTGCATGACGATCTGAGCTTGCGCTTACCTTGCGCGCCGACGGTGCGCGTCGTTGGCGTCGAGCGCGTGAAAGCTCTCCTGTACACGTACAACATGTTTGTGATTGAGGTAGCCGCCATGAATTTTGGCCACGAAATGGGCTAAATCATCTACAGCTGTCGTTACCGGGCCACCAAACGTGGCGGATCCGCACGACGACACCGCGGTTGTTTCAGTTGCACTTTTTCCTCCAGAAAGCTCTCCACTTCCGTCATGTGTTTCAGTTCCCATCGTCGTTGCTGGCCCACCACACGCCGGTGGAAGTGGGACCGGACACAGTCGCCAACATTGAGACATTCTTGACCGATGTGTTCTCGCACAAGGCGGTGTGGCGCCACCCTCGCGTGCTGGCATTTGTCGAGTACAGCGCGCTTCGGTTCGACCCGCTCCTTGGAGACAGTCTCGTGGAAGGATGGGTCAAGATGCGGTATGTGCCATCACGGAAAGGCACGTTGCATGGCCGCCACAGCTTCATCGGGTTCCACTTCACCAAGGACAACCTGTTGCGCATCGCCGAGATTGCAGTCGCCGTCTCGCTCTGCGTGATCATTCCTGTTGGCGTGTTCAACATCTTTGTCGCGGCGAGCTCGTCCGACACGGTGTCGGAGCTCCAGACAGGTGGCCTGTCGCTCCCGTGAACACCCTTGACGTTCTTTTGTCGTAGGTTACATTGTCGCCGCGTCCATCTTGAGCGCGATTCCAGGACTCTACTTTGTCGCCATCATGTATCAATACTTGCTTCGTCACCGGCGATGGATGGTGGTCAAGCCGACGTGCATTGCGTTCTTCGAGACGGTGCGGTCCACGGCGCCAACGCACGTCATTCTGTTCCAGCCGCACACCGCCATCAGCAAAAGCACGCTGCTAAAGCACGGTTCGTTGCTTTTCCAAGCCTCGACAGCTATGTGCATCCTTTGTTGACGTCGCGCTTTGTTGACGTCGCGCAAGTTGGTGGCGTACGAGGCTCATGGTCGTGTCGCGTAGGCCTCCACTGGATGATGGATGGGCTGCACGTGACGACGCCAGCAGCAATTGTCGAGATTGACTTTAAATTTATGGGTCAGTGTCAGTACTTTCACGACGCTCTCAAGCAAGCCATGGACGAGTGCATGTACAACTCGCTCCACAAACACAACTCGTTTGCCCCCATGCGTCCGGCTGTGGGTGAGTCGCTGGGCAAAGCGCTGCTCAACTCGTCCCGACATGGCGTTGCTCACTCGTAGACGCCCACTCGACCAACGTCGCGCAGCATCTCGTGGACGGCGAAGAAGCGTTCGCGACCATGTTTTGCCACCTCCGCCGCGCGATGCGGCAGATTTTTATCACTGGCTGGTGGATCTCGCCACACTATTCGCTCGTTCGGACGTCGGCCCAAGATCGTCTCGAGTCGGAACTCAGCACGTACGCGACCCCACAATCGATCGTCTTGGCGTGACACGAATCCTGACGCAGCGTCCTGCGCGAGGCCGCGGCCCGAGGCGTGAAAGTGTACGTGCTCGTGTACAGGGAGCACCACATGGTCTTGCCCAACGACAGCAAGTTCGCCAAGTCGTCGCTCGTCGGCCCCAATATCTACGTGCTGCGCCACCCGGATTTTGTCTTGATTCCGCAATTCTGGTCCCACCACGAGAAAATCGTGTGCATTGATCAAACGATTGCGTTTGTCGGTGGCTTGGACATTGCGCTTGGCCGGTGCAGTCGACTCGGATGTTTCGCCGTGACAGCGTCGGTGGTGTAGATTCGACTCGCCGAACCATGCGCTGACCGACGTTGGTGCGACGACGTGGACGGGCCAAGATTACTCGAACCCGCGGCTGAAAGACTTTGTCGACGTCCAGCACGTCCACCACGAATTGATTGACCGGGAATCGGTGCCGCGCATGCCGTGGCATGACGTCCATTGCAGGTCCATGCGTTGTGTCTGTCCAAACTCTCATGGACATGGTGTAGGCTGGAAGGGCCCATCGCGCTGGACATTGCGCGCCATTTCATCCATCGGTGGAACTTCACGGTACAAAAGAAATACACGGTGATTGCGAGCCGGACGCGCAGCTGCCACCGGCGGTCCCGAATCCCCGCCATCGTGCCGTACACGAGTCAGCCGCATGTCGACGAGTCTCCAACGGTTGGGGAAAAGGTCCACTGCCAGGTTGTCCGGAGTTTGTGCCCGTGGTCTGGCGGTGTCAAAACGGAAAAGAGCATCCAACAGGCCTACATTGACACGATCGGTGCCGCCAAACACTTTATTTACATTGAGGTCGCTCGACGATTCCGTTTTGCATATGCTCTCAACCGAGGCTGGTGTAGAATCAATTCTTTGTCTCTGGCTTTGACCAAGACGTGGCAGTGTCGAACCGTGTCGTCGAGGCGCTGTACGACCGCATTGCCGACGCCCACGCCAAGCGCGAAACGTTCCGAGTCATGTTTATCATGCCGCTCCTGCCATGCTTTGAAGGCGCCGTGACGTCGGCCGACTCTGCGAATTTGCGCGCCGTCATGCATTGGCAGGTGCGGTCTCGAACGCCCCCAACAACGTGGTCGCTAACGTGGTGCAGTACACCACGATATGCCGCGGCGGCCACTCGCTTCTCGAGCGACTCGCCAAGATCATGCCCGACCCGAGTCATTATGTGGCGTTTTTTGGGCTCCGTCAACACGCCCTCTTGAATGGCCACGTTGTCACGGAGCAAATTTACATTCACAGCAAGCTGCTGATCGCAGACGATCGGGTGGCTATCATTGGTACACGCCCCTTTTCATATGCCAACGACATGGACGGCTCATTTGGCATTGCGTCGACGGCAGGGTCAGCCAACTTGAATGATCGCAGTTTGTGCGGTGATCGCGACTCGGAAATTGCTGTCGTCCTGGAAGATAGCACGATGGAAATGGCGCATTTTGGGAGGAAGCCGACGACTGTCGGTCGCTTTGGCCATCGGCTCCGACGTCGCTTGCTTGAGGAGCACTTGGGGGTACGTCCGGTCGGGCCGACGATGACTCATGTGCTTGCTCGTGGCATGTCCAGATGGACTTGGAAGACCCGACGAGCGAAGTTGGATGGCATACGATTCGTAGCCTTGCCAACAACAACACGGACATTTACGAGCGCGTGTTTCAGTGCTTTCCGACGGACAAATTTACGTCGTATTTTCACGCGGTGCCCGAGGCGCATCTCCACGAAGACATCCGCGTCGTGTACGAGAATCAACGGTACGCTTGCCATCATGCGATGCACGTTGGAGCAGGCGTTGATGGTGGATCGCGGCAGGTATGCGTGGGGGTCAGGCTGGTCGGCGGACCATTTGATCTTTGGCGAACGGACTGCGTGGAGCGATGCGTTTGGAATGCCGTTCGACTCGTTCACACCGAGCGCGTCGTGGCAGGTGGACGTGTCGGAGGGATGCTGCGACAGCGACGGATGGCAGTACGCGTTCTCGTTCAGCGCATTCAAGCACGACAAGGGCGACAAACGATCGGTGCCCCTGTGGTATCGCTGGGTTCGCCGTCGGAAATGGGTTCTTGTCGTGCATGTACGTGGCGGTCCTCGTGAAGCGTTGCGGTTGACATGGGTCTGGGTGTAGAAGGGCAAAGATGTGGGGGCGACGGAAGTCCAGGACGAGTCGTCGGTGGATTTGCGCAAATTTTTGCGCCGCGTGAGCTCCCGCATGCTGTCGTCGCGAACTGTGGGCGTCGACATGGCCCTTCATCCAGAGTGGATGCCGCCAGAAGTCGAAGAGCTCAGCCACGTCAAAGGCCAGCTCGTCGACTTTCCACTCGACTTTCTCCGCGACTGCGACTTGCAACCGCTCATTCTACCCAAGAACATTTTCATTTAGCCCTGCTCGCATTCAATCCAATTTTGATTCTGGCTTGTCGTTCTTAGCGACGTGATCCACCGTGTCCCCATGGGCGTCGTTGTTCACTTCATGTTGCTGCGCGAGGTGCTACCTCGAGAGAATAGAAATGCTTTGGCTTGGATACGGGATGGCAAGCACTGGCTGCTGCGTTTGTAGAGTGCCTCGAAGCCCGTACGAGGCACACGTCTGAACTACAGAAGGTATTGCCACCGGAACAGGCATGCTCGACTGCAGTGCGGTGTGGACCTGCCAGTCGCCCTTTGATGGATATCGTCTCGCTCGGAGAACGAGACCATCCGTCGCACGAGATTGCAGGATCCAGCATTTCAAAACTCATTGGCCTTTTCTACATAGCGACCATTCCCGCCTAGTCAAAGCGTCGTGGCATGCCGTTGAGAGCATACGCCGACCCATTCGTTCCTGGCGCGGCGCCAATGTGGACCGCCGTCGTATATGGAAGCATGGCCACGTGGAGCCCGCATTGCCACACTGCCAACGAAAACTCTCGCTCGAACACGTCGGACCGTTCGTTAAAGGTCAAGCGAGGGCATTGCCGGAGCCGACGCAAATTCCACACGCCAGGGTTTAGGGAAAACCCCGGCCAGTACCCAAAGGCATGATCCACAATGCCAAACTCATGGCGAAAGTACACGTCAAACGGATGGCTGTCGTGCATCGTTCGTGGCCACCCGCTGAATTGGGTGTTGAGCAAGACCTGGACCAACGTGGGGTCGCTGTCCAACACGGCTAGCGCGTGTGCAATCGGGTGGTGCGGGAGGTCTTGGAGCCACTGCCAGTCATCTTCAAGGTACAGAACGAATGGCGTCGAGACCAAGTCCAAGAGCAAATTCAACGAGTGGGCATGCCCTTTTCGCCGCGTAAACACAAATTGAACGGTGGGGAACGATTCTTGCATGACCCGTCGATCGGCAGCAGATGAATGGTCGTCGAGTACCAAGATCATGCAAATCGCCACCGCCGTTGAGTTGGCGTACGGGAGAAAGCTCTTCATCGTGGCCAGGAATAGAGACAACCGTTTGCACGTTGTTAGTGCGACGGTCAAGCACTGCCGAGTCGACTGCAGCGGAGCATCGTGTGCTTGGACAGCCGACCGAGGAGGTCGATGCTGCACGCCACGAGCAGCGATCCATGGGGCAGACGCGTCCGAGAACGCCAACTTGTGGCGGATGGAAGCCACGGCGACGGCAACGTCTCGGCCGGGCACACGATGGTTGTACCGCCACAGGTGGTACTGCACGGCCAACGCGACATCGTCTCCTACATAAATGTCCAACGGCGGGGTTCTGCCAGGGAAGGCGTCGGTCGTGATGGCCAGCTGCGCCTCGTTCTGTCGCCACCGCTGGACGCCATGAAACAGCAGCGTTTGGATGTAGCATTGGTAGAGCGGCTCGAGACCATACAAAGCTGCAATCGTGGCTCCAACTTGGGTCGGTGTTTCGTTGGCATGCATGACAACTTCGACGGACAGCTGCCCAAACAATTGCAGGCGAAACCCAAACGGAATCGCGACGGTGGATGCGGGCGTCGGCCGTGGTGGCGGAGGCATGGCTAGGATCGTATGGAAACAACGGTTCCAATCGTCCATGACGGAAGCAACAGTGCTCGCGTCGGACTCGAACAACACCGAGCTCCTCGATTGAATCAAGGTCGACATTTCTTGACGGTACGACGTGTTTTGGCCCAATGCCAGCGCTGTGGCCACTGAGGAATCCAGCGTCTCTGGGTGAGTCAACCGACAACGGATCGCATCGCTGACACTCACCGTACGCTTCGTCCGTCGCGGCAACGCAGCACGCCGTGATATTCATCTTTGTGTACATGGCAGCAGTCAGTTGCGCGATCGACGTGCGTGCAGTGTGGGCCACAATCGGCGTGCCCACCGAAAACACTTCGAAACTGCTGCGGCCGCCGCCCACGGGAAATGGATCCAGCACAACTACAAGCCAGTGGTCTCAGGCAACCTCATCGCGACAAAGCCACCTCACCATCGGCAACTTGGCACAACGTCAGGAACGCGTCGGTAGACAGGTATGGCGCAAAGACGACCCGTGACTCGAGATCTTGCAGCGACAGCACTCGTCCGAGCCGACGACGAATCTGTCCGAGCAGCCAAGGCGCGTGTGAGAGAAAACGAGTCGAAATTCAAATGATCGTCACGTTGCCAACCTCCAAGCGTACCTGTGTGGCCAAGTGCGGGACCGCCCCTTCAAGGAGCACCAAGTAGCTGTTGCGATGGCCCGCAAGAATTGCCGCGACGAGCGAATCCATGGCAGGATGGAGCTTGTACAACGTTTGGGGTATCAAGTACATCACACGTCCGTCGTCGTCGGCAGGCAAGAACGACAGCAACGACCGATGAAATGAAAAGCGGGGGCGGTGAAACACTGTCGTGAGCGACTGCATGGGATACAGCGTCTCGGTGAATTCGTCCTGGACCCGCCAGACAATGATCGGTCAGTTGCACACCGAAGAGCCCGATACCGGATTGGACTGGAAATGCGTCGATGTGACAAAGTAGTCGACCGTCGACAGCCCGGACGTGACGGCGTGGCCCCAAAACAGAACCGACCGCAGCGCCAAAGTCGCAAACGCCAAGAAGTAGCTCGATGCGTCCATCCCAAGCTATTCCGTCGTTGAAAGCAGATATGCGTCGGGTCGGTGCCAACCTCGGTGAACAACAGTATGTCCAGCGCCAGGTCGGCGACGACCTGCTGGGCGTGAAAGACGTCGTTCGGAAGCTGCACCACGCGACTCATGTGGCGGGACACTCGATCCGTGACGTGGTCGGCGTGCCATGGCCGACACCGCAGCAACACGAGCTCGTACGTTGCATTGGATAGCCTACGAAACCCCACGTCGCCACGATGAATCAGCGCAAATTCGTGCTCGTAAACGTGGCCTACCGCGTGAGAACACCCTGCATCAAGAGCCCGACGGAATGATGATACATGAAGGCCGACAGGATGCCGACACGGATCCGACGATGCACGATGACGGCGGCGGACACATTGGATGGTCGCGCATCGACAAAGCGTGCGGTGGAAGGAAACTGGAACGTGTGGTGGCGGGCAGCGCGAACGTGCGGCGCCTCAAACTCCAAGCCAGGCATGCTTTTTTCGTAGATTTGAGCCAGCGTTCGTCGCAAGTGCTTGTTCGGCCCACCTTGGTACACCAAGTAGTAACCCATCGAGCCACACCTGCCGCAGCCACTCAACAGGACATTCCACAACCCAATCAAAACTAGACGCCCTCTCGAGGGAAATGCATTCCGGCTGGTTTTCGTACCCCGTGGTGTAGATAGGGTTGTCGCCAAGCGATAACGGAGAGTCCGCCATGAGATCTTCCAGCGCCGTGGTAAATGTTTGCCGAATTTGGTGGATATCGTTGGTGGAGTCGTACACGCGAGGCAAGAGTGCTGTCGCAAGTTGGAGTCGTGCGAGGTCGCGCAAGGCTGGTGCGTGCTGGGAGGCAACGACGACGCTTTTTGCAAAGTATGCTGTAGACGTATCGGAGAGTCCTTGGTTGCCCGCGGCAATGCCAAGACTGAAGAGAGGATTTGGATTTTGCGGGTCGATTTCGACGGCTTTCTGGCGTACACGATAAGCCCTCCAGCACATGGATCCATTGAAAATACCTGCCAGTGCGACATAGCAGACAACATATCGCCAGCACGCTGGTAGATGTTGCCCATGTTGTGGTGTAGTGCTGCATTGTGTGGCTCAAGTTTCTATCGATTCGTGTCACGAGCCTTGTCGAGCGAAACCACTCCACGTACGAGGGCGACGGCAGCGGCAGCGAGGGCCGCCGCGACATTGCCAAGCTCAAGATACGCGCTGGCCAAATTTCCCCGTAAAGCGCATTCATGGGGGTGCCACTGAAGACTCTGCCGAAAGACTTCAATCGCAACGTGCGGTCGCGATAGCTTTTGCCACAGGAGGCCCAGTCTGTTCATCGCATCTAAGGAAAGCGGCGACGACGGCTCGGTCATGACTGCCAACGCACGTTCGTAGGCAGTTTTTGCTGCTGACGTGCGGTCATTCGAGCCGTTCTCAATGTGCCTGGCGTAATCGTAGTGCACTTGAAACGCCATCGGTGACCTGTCGACGTTGGGAAACGTGTCAAACAACGTTACCCAGCAGCGCTCTGCAGTGTCGTGGTCGAGCGCCTCAGACAGGTCTTTGCAAAATCGGTGCATCGACTTCATCGAAACGATATAGGACGAGCGTTGCGACTGTTGCTTGATTGTCGATGTGGTTCGTCCAATTTGACCAATGTCCCCGCGAAAGTCGATCATACCTCTGGACACTCGAAACTCCTCCACAGCCCCGCTGAGCAAGCCACTGCCATTCATCAATGCATGCGCGGCAATCGCGAGCATGGCCATCTTCTGGATGCCGAGCATACTCACCCAGGCGACGTGCCGGCCCATCGATTTGCGATCTTTGGGCAGTCGAATTCGGACAGTCACTCTCAGCTGTGATATATTCCGGTTTCATACAAAACTAAAGATAAAAGCAGTGAATTCTTTTTTAAAGTTGCATGACGTTGAAGCGAGTGCATGCTGCGAAATTTCAGGCTGGGATTTAAAATTTCATAGAACAAGGAGGTACAACTCGAAATTTAAATACATTCTTGCCATCGAGACTGTGCCCCGGGGTACAGCTTTCCTCTGAAAATCACCATCATATTGCAGCCACTCAAGTCCACGCGCCTCCACCACTCCGGCCGCTGATCGAGAACATGGCCAACAAGCTGCCGTCCAAGGAGAACGCTTTGTTCCGCTCCATTGTCGTACGTCTTGACGATTCATCGCTGTCTGTGTGTTGACGTCCAGCTCATGACGACCTTGGTCTGTGTGACGTGTAGAAATGTTACGAGATTAAGCAGTACAAGAAAGGCCTCAAGGCCGCGGATGCAATCTTGAAGAAGTTCCCCGACCACGGCGAGACCCTTGCCATGAAGGGTTTGACGCTTAACTGCATGGGAAAGAAGGAGGTGCGTGCATCGCATCCGCATGGGTCGCACTCTAACGTCGGAGACATATTTTGTGCAGGAAGCGTACGAGTTTGTCCGCCAAGGTGTGAAGCAGGACCTCAAGTCGCACGTGTGTTGGCACGTGTACGGATTGCTGTATCGATCGGACCGAAACTACGCCGAAGCGATCAAGGTCCGTTGCTTGTCCCACGCACGATCGTTGTTGCTTCAATGAGACGTGTGTAGTGTTACCGCCAAGCGCTTCGCATCGACCCGGACAACATTCAAATCCTGCGCGACCTGTACCTGCAACAAGTCCAAATGCGAGATTTGAAGGGATACGCTGAGACGCGCCGGCAGTTCCTTGCACTCAAGCCCACGAATCGCAACAACTGGATCGGGCTCGCGATCGCGCACCAACTCAACGGCACGTACGACACGGCCATCGACATCCTTGACCAGTACAACGACACGTTGAGCCCGACGCGCGAAGGGTATGCTTCCATCGATCTCCTTGGTAGACACATCTCAAGGCCAGCGATCTAGAACCTACGACGACAGCGAAATGTACTTGTACCAGAACGAGTTGATTGAAGAGAAGGGCGATCTCGAACGGTGCCTGGCCCACCTCGAAACGATCAAGCCGTTCGTGCTGGACACGTTGGTATGGCGCCAGCGCAAGGCGGACATGCTGGTCAAACGTACGGCCAAATGTGTTGCCGGCCGCCTTTGGTCGTGGCATTTTGCAACAACTGCCCTCACGTGCATCGTGTGTTCTAGTCGGCCAGTTCGACGACGCCGTGGCCATCTACCAGGAACTCCTAGACATCAATGGAGACCACTACCATTACCACCGCGGCATCCAAGCCGCGCTCTGCCGTCGCCCCGACTGGCTGGCACTTAAGTCCGTTCCGTCTGCCACGGAAGCGCTGACCGCCGACGAAACATCCGTGTTGCTGAACATTTACCAAGGCAATTCGTCCCCGACATATGCCCGGTTGTCGTTGGATCTGTTGTCTGGCGCCGTGTTGGAAACGTCGTACGTGTGCCTTTTATCTTTGGCACCCTTAAGTGGTGCCATCTCTCGGACATGCGCTTTCTCTTGAAATTCCTCGAGTGGTCTCATGGCTGCGGCTAGATTGGACGAGTACCTGCGCCGCGGGCTCAAGAAGGGTATCCCGTCGCTCGGATCGGACATCAAGGTGCTGTACACAGCGTCGACGAAGCGCGACATTCTGTCCAAGTTGATTGCAACGTATTTATCGGAAGAAGCGTCCACTGGGCCGTCTGAATGGGTCTGGCGCCTGTACTTGGCGGCGCAACACTACGATCGCCTGCGCGACATTCCCCAGGCCCTCAAGTACATCGACCTTTGCTTGAAGCACACGCCGACGGTGCTCGAATTCTACCAAAAGAAGGCACGGATTCTGAAACATGCCGGCGACTACAACGCCGCCGCGACTGTTGTCGACCAAGGCCGGCGGTTGGACCTCGCCGATCGATACATAAACAACAAAACGACCAAGTACTTGATGCGCGCGAACCGCATCGCTGAGGCCGAAAGCACCATCGCGCTCTTCACGCGACACGAAGGTGACCCGCAGCAAAATCTGTATGACATGCAGTGCATGTGGTACGAACTGGCCGCCGGTGCGGCGCAGTTTCGCCAGCGCCACGCTGGCCCCGCGCTCAAGAAGTTTGCCGCGGTGGAAAAGCATTTTAACGACTTCCTCGTACGTGCATGGGATTCTGGAACATCATGCCAACCGAGATGTCCTCTCGCTAGGATGACCAATTTGACTTCCACTCGTACTGCATGCGCAAGATGACCCTTCGTGCGTACGTCCAAATGCTACGAATGTGCGATACGTTGCTGGGCCATCCCGTCTACGTCCAAGCTGCCCACGGCGCAATTGCGGTGCATGTGCAACGCCATGACGAATTGACGGCGCCCTCGCCGTCGGCGAATGCCAGCGGTGCCAAGCTGAGTGCGGCCGACAAGGCCAAAGCCAAGCGCGCGGCTGCCAAGGCCCGGAAGGCCGAGTTCCAAAAGGCAGAGGAGGCCAAGGTTGCGTCCCAACTGCAGAAGGAGCAAGAAGCGCTGGAAAAGGCTGCCGACAAAACCAAAAAGAAGAACCAGAGCCGGCCCAAGGACGCCGTCGTGGACCCTGACCCGTTGGGCGAGCAACTGGTCGCCAAGTCGAACCTGGAAGAAGCGTGGCGCATCGTCACTATCTTGCAGCAATACGCGCCAACCGACATCCAAACCCATGTACGAATTCTTTGAGCACGATTTCATCGACAGAAGCTGATGGAGCGGGCAGGTGGCGGCATTCGACGTCGCGTACCGACGGGAGAAGTGGCTGCTGTGTTTGCAAGCGCTGGTTGCAGCCCATGCGATCGAGCCATCGCATCCCAAGACGCTTGTCCGCCTGGTTCAATTGTACACGAAGTCTGCGCCTACCTCTGGCATCGTCGAGTCGTTGCTGCAAGAAGGCAAATCGGTTCTATTCCACGGCCTCAAGGACATCGCAGCAGTTGTGAAAGACGCAGCGGCCAAGCACACGACGCTGGAGTGGCGGGTGGCGGTCGCGGAAGCGGCGTGCGTGGCTGAAGGAAGTGCCTCGCTGAAGGCCGATGCGGTGACGTTGTGGCTGGAAGACAAGGGCAAATCGTCGTTGGCAGTATACGAAAACGCGGTTGCCGTCGTCAACAAGTACGGCTGCCAGAAGGACCAAGATACGTTCAAGCAAACGGCCAAGACGTGGTTTCCGTATGCTGCCCTCTTTGGCAACAAGTACGAGCTCACTCCATAAAGACACGGAAAAGGATAAGAGGTGGGGTCCACTCGCCACCGACATTATAGAGTCTGCTACGAGTTTCGTTCGTTGAGGCGACTCTAAGAGAGGCTTGCGAAAGTCAGCCATGACTGATCTGCCTGGCGGATGTGACGCCATTCAAGTGCTGGCTGGTGTACCCGGCCATCTCGGTTGCTTCTTTCCGATGGAATATGCCAGTGGAACGCAAACAGTGACGCTTTCGTGGTCTCTCCATGTTGCACGGACATTTCGCACAAGTATGTGAGAGGTGCATGCAGCGTTCCCGGGACATGGCAAGGATGCGTGAAATGAAGGAGAGGCGGGGAGAGGGCGCTCCTCTCCATGGCACGGCGTTGGATCTCGCGGTGATGTAGTCATTCCTTTCGACCTGGGTACATCTGCATGAAATGCAACTTGAACAGCATCGACACCGTCGGTTGCCTTGCCCACCACGACGCGTATCGATGAATGTAGCTTTTGCCGCGAACGTCCACGAGCAGGGTATCCCGGCATGCCTCTCGCTGTTGTCGCCATCCGTGCGAGCAGCCCATTGCAAAGGCTTGTGTTGATGTCCGACGGTACGACTACACCACGTCGTATCAGTGTGCCCCCCCCCGTCCATTTGAACTTTCAGCCGACCGTGAGGATTATGCTCCGTTGTGGGTCCGCGGCACACCACGTGCCTGGTGCTGCGAGGGGGTCGAGAGCGGACACTCCACTTGCCGTCGGGTGGTCCATTATTCGTTCCGATGGACGCGGCCCCACATCTCCGAGGAATTCGTGGCACTTGATGTCAACCACGCCACGGATGGTCTTGGTATTTCCCACGACGCCAACATGGTGTCGGACACTCACAAGTTTTGTCCTTGTTCGCCATATCTTGGTGGACGGGCAAAAAGGCGGACTTTGAACACCTTGGAAAACATTCCAAACTCGCCGTGCGTCACAACCACACAATGCGACGCATCGTGCCATTCGTTTTACGTGGACGTGAACAAAGTGTCTCCTAGCACGGGTTGTACACATGGTCTTGCAGTCGGTACGCCGTCAAGATTTTCAAAGTCCACTAGACTACACGCTTGCCTCCGTTGGCGCCCGGACACATGAGCATGCCCGATTGCAGCGCAATCCATCCAGTTCGTCTTTGCCTTTCTGCTTGGCGCCGCGATATTGTTCCAACTTGCATTCGTTTCGTATCGACGTCGTCGTGTCGCGGTTGTCGTCGTCGGCTTGGGACTCGGGCGATGATACCAACGGCCACAGGCCCCCAACAACCGACGATTGCAGTGTCTACTCTGGCGATTATGGTGGTGACCGGCCAACAAAGTTGCCCTGCCCTCCACACACGGCTCGAACGCCCACCATGAGCGATCGAGTGTGCACTCACCGGCACAATGCCACCTCCTCACCTCAGTTCCAGTGTGCGCCTCGCCCATAGAGAATCGATCGGGTTTGACTTCGTTGCTGTGCAAGTTGCTCTGGACATGATGCGAGGGCGCAGCAACGTGGACGAGACAAACGTGGTCGCGAACTCGTCCGAATTTCACAATCACCCGACATTCCCTCCATCGTTTTGACAAAAACGGGGGTGTACCACCAAAAACGCGCAAACATTACACTTGGCGTTTGTAAACGAGATTCGACCTCAACCCGATACAAAGTCGACGTGTACCCGTTTCTGACGCATGTTTTTGAAGCGACACAGCGAAGGCTGTGTGTGTGGAACTATTGGACGTCGCGCTCGGGAGTGCGCTCGCTTCATGGACTCGCGCTTCCCTGGCCGCCGCTGGTTTGACTGTATCACGATTCGCGTGTCCGACGCACCTTCCAAAGGCACGGTGACCTCTGGCCGACACACGTCTGTCTTTTACACCGTCACGATCTCCCACAAAGTCACGGGCGCGACGACGACGATCCTCAAGTCGGACTTTGACTTTGAAGTGTTGCGTGACCAAGCACAGAACGCGCTCGATCACGGCCACGTTTGTCGTGCAGCGTGTCCTTGGTATTACGTTGACGTGTCTGAGCATGTTCCTAAAAGACGAGTCCTGACCGTGTTGGAAACCACCAAGCGATCGATCGCAGCCCATATTCGCATGTACCAAGATCTCTTTGACCACACCGTTGCGTTTATCTTGTCGCCAGAGTCCCATGCATGTCCAAAGGCAGAAGTGGCGATCCCTCGGCTCTTCTTCGACTTTCTCGGTCAAGGCATGGATGGAGCGTCCGACCTCCTCGTTGTGTCGCCGCCAGACGGATCATCGTCCAAAGCATTGTCCCGGCACGGGTCATATCGAACAGAATCGCAGCATCAAGCCAAGCTGTCGACTAGCTATTGCGGTGTATGCGGTTTGATGCTGACCCCAGACGCTTCCACGGCGCCATTGACGGTGCAGTTGGACACCGTTGCCCTCACCACGCTGACATGTGGACACGTCTTTCACGACGAATGCATCCTCGAGGTGCTCAACGTGAATCTAGAGTGCCCATCCTGCAACCCGACGTACGAAGCTGCAAACGTAGACAATTAAGCGTTCATCGAGTGGCACGTGCTCCTGTTGTGTCGACGCGAACATGCACGCCGCCGAAACATTATGCATAGGAATCCCCTCCCCCCGATGCGTCCACGTCGCCAATGGCGATGTGGATCGGCACCGTGGCCCGGACGAAATTGGCTTGGCGCATGTGTTCCACAAACAGTGCCATGCAGTCGGTACGTTTTTCAAACACGAATGTGCTGCATCGTTCTCGTCGATGCGCGCTCCGTGGCAAACGTCGCAAAACCCGACCACGTGCGAAGCGGGAGTGTGCCTGTCTCTTCGTTTGTGGTCAACGGCGCCCGTGCGACTCGGCCATTCCATCATCGCGTCCGCCCCGCGCAGTCGCCACAAGACAATTCTTACATCGTCGACTGCACCTGGTACACCATCCCCATCCCCATCACGAGCCCTAGCCCCCCAGATCGCCACCTCCCTGTCGTCCGCATCTGTCGACATCCCCTCGATCCCCCCCACCAATCGATTCCATGACCGCCGGCGATGCCACGCTCCAACACGATAATCCCAAAACCATATATAGATTAAAAACTATGATTTTGAAATATTCTTTCCTGCGACATGATTTTCTCCAAAAGAAAGTCAGTGGCGCAACCGGATGATCCGGACAACTGGCATTCCGCGACGAGTCCGATACTTTATTCAATATCATCTAGAGTCGCGGCCCTGTCGTAGAAGGTGTGTATAAATATAGAAGGGGCCAACGGCCAAGATGTATGCTTCGACAGCAGTACAAATACAAAGTGGAACGGACGAAATCAAAACAGGATGTGATGCAAAGGGTCGTCGTGATGATCCGAGTAGGAAGTTGCTTGGCCGAGTGGCATTTTGATTGGCTAAAAATGGAATTGAAGTTTCGGATGAGCGAATGAAAGTGCTCCGAATCGGAGAGATTCGACTTTTTTCAAGAAATGGGCGAATGTGCCGGCACTTGGCAATTGCCGTCCCTGCTCCCACGTTTCCTCCGCTTCCGCCATTTCTCGCTCTGTAGCGGTGAACATGGCGTGCTAGACGACCCAGAACGAACGACATGGACACACTTGCATTGCTACAACTTTTGAGCATTCGAGTGGTCAACAACTATCATGGGAGCTATCAACAGCGTGCGTCGATTGACCATCCAGTGCCTTGGCTTGCTCGAGGCACTTGAGCCCACCGACGTCGAGATTGAAAACAAATCCAGCGCCACCTTCATCATGGAGTCGCTCATTCGAGATAAATGGCCTCATCTTACTCTGCGCCCCTTTGGGTCCTCTGAAAAGTACGTCATATTGGTGTGCGTACCATCTGACTTGTGAACGATCTTGTACAGCGGATTCGGTTGTGGTTCGAGCGACCTGGACCTCGGCATCTTCTTCGACCCACCTTCTCACGTCAACTCATTGTTGTGGAACGATCGTCTCCAAGTCCTGGCGTCAGTCGCGTCCATCCTGACCCTACATGATGGCATTGAGCTGCACCAATTTATCTTCCATGCTCGGGTGCCGCTCGTGAAATTGTGGGATTCCCACCGCAAAGTATATCAACCCCCACGCAACTTCCTGCTTATGTTACGTCATAGCTCGCCATCGACATCAGTATGGGCAGTTGCCACGCAGTGTGCAACACACAACTCTTGAAGCGGTACGGCGAGTTAGACCCGCGCGTCCGACCGCTCGTATTTGCTGTCAAACACTGGGCCAAGCAACGCAGCCTCAACGACGCTTCGAACGGTACACTCAGCTCTTATGGTATGCCACTGATCCTCCTCGTTGCTTCTATTGAATATCGCATGTAGCCTGGATCATGCTGGTGTTGTTCTTTCTGCAAGCCCGTGGCATTTTGCCATGTTTAAGCCCTTTGGATGAGGTGTCCGACACTGCGTCGACAGTCGCCAGCTCCGACGACATGTCGACATTGTCGTCGCCCACCAACAGCACCAGCAGCAACCACGCGTCGACGGCCTTGAGCTCGAGCACCCAACCCATCACCCCGAGCAGCGAGCAACAACCTCGAGCTCATCTGGGTGTGCTGTCAGCAGAGAAGGACTCTGTTGGTTCGCTGCTTGTGGCGTTTTTCCAGTTCTACGCGTATGAATTTGACTACCGCCACAACGTTGTGAGCCTGCGTTGTGGCCATGCTTTGCCCAAGTTGGCCAAGTGGGGTCTCGGCCTCGGCACGTGGCGCTTCTCCATCGAAGATCCATTTGATTTGCACCATGATGTCGGCCGCGTGATCTTTCATCCGAAAGGCCAAGAACGGATCCTGAACGAACTGCGCCGCGCCGCGGAGATGTCGCAAGTCCCCACTTGTCAACTCGACGAGTTGTGCGCTGCACAAGTCGAATGCACGTGTTTTATTTGTGACAAACCGGGCCATGCCCCGCGCGATTGCGCCGACTCGACGCCGACAAGCACACCTGTAGCCCTGGCGCCGTTGACGGATCGGCCTTCGCCCATCCGAAGCCGCTCTACAGGGGGACCTCCCCCGCCTCCACCAGTCCTGCAAGCTTTGCCACCGCATGCCAAGCTACTCAAGCGCCCGCGTCGCCGATCCAAGTCGAAAGGCGCGACAAGCATGGCCAAGAAGAAGCTCCTCGTTGCGTGGCGGACGGTCGCGTAGTGCACACTCCTAAACATAGTTGCGTAGGGTATTTATTCAGTAGCACGAAAACACTGGTTTGCGTCGGCGCTGGGACTCTGCAAGCCGACACGCTGTGGAATACATGGAGGGATCGGATGGCATTGCTTCCAAGCCCAGGATCGTGCAGCCACTCGGGTCACAAGTCTTCCATACGAGGCAATGCGTCGTCAAATGGGGGAGGTGGGCTGCCTCTGCCGTCGTCCTCGAGTGCGATGAAGGCATCAGAAAAGGACGGCAGGCACTCGTCGCCCTCGTCGTCGACTTTGTCCAAGCCAGTCGCATCGTTGCTCCGTTCGCCGACACTGCCACCACGGGCACATGGCTCGGTCTCATCCATGACGCAGCCAACGCGTCGCTTTCCCACGACAGAGTCGTCGGCATGCGTTGGTGCGTCGGGTGCCGACGAGCTGAACTGAGTCGTCGGCGCGATTTCAACTGCCGACGCTACTTGCATCGGCTGGGAGTCCGTGATGGCGTCTCCTTGAACGCAACTCGTGCTTGAACGAGTTTCGACGTCGATGGGCATCTCGTAGAGATCTTTGTCGTCGTCGACTTTTTCTCGTCTGTTCGTGTCGATGGCGCGCTGTGGTCGAAGCGCACGAATATGCGTGGCCAAACGCAACCGATGCACAGGTTGGGTGATGGAGTAGGCGTCTCGAAGCCGCATGTCGAGATGGGTGTCGGTCGCCCACTCGGCGAGCATCGCTCCATCGACTGCGGCGAGTTTCGGCGCCACCGTTTTCACTTGGACAGTGTAGATGAGCCACTTTTTCACGTGCATGCGAGTCCACGTAGCTACATTCGTGGGTAATTGGATGGTTGGCACCGTGGCGTGGGCTTTCTTGGGTAGGTTGCGCTTTGGTTTGGGCTGGTCGGAAACGGCGGCGCGGAAAGGTGGCAGGGATCGCGGCGACGCGATGTCCACGTCATCGAAAGCGGTGCGCGCAGAATCTGCCATGGATGTACCGGGGAGTTGTAGCTCGGGGGGACGTAGTGGAGGCGGTCGTTGGATGGCATGACGCTCTTTGCACGACAGGTTTTGTATTCCTTGGTTGCCTGTGCAACGTCGCCACGTTACGTCCCATTCAATGACCGCAACAGAGTCCCACCGCCGCTGTCTGCCTCAAAGAGCACGAGCAACTCGCCATTCGAAAAGCACATTTGGACCGTGTCCGTCGTGTGGTTGTACTGCAGCGGGACCGCGCCAAAGTGCCTGCAGATTGAGATTTTCGTCGGATCGACCGTCTGGAACGACATGCTTGCATCAGTGGTGGTCGTTGGATTCGATGATGGCCACTACGAACCAGCTTCGACTTGCCCTTGGCATCCGTCGCCTGGCTAGCGTGGCTCGCCCCAACCAAGTGGTTGTGTTGGAGCCAGAAGAGGCGTTTGTGAATCCGAGCAACGACGTCCGCCGCCAATTCCATCGGGTCCGTGGCCATGTAGAAGAAGCCGTAAGGCGACAGGATCTACGTGACGTTGACGCGAGGCGGCGGCGCGAGAAATTGCAGACGTACATGGACGCCAGTGTGCTGCTTTGGTCGACAGCACGCCATGAATTCGTCCAGGTTGAGGCTGCCGTCGCCGTCGCGGTCAAAGCGTCGGAGAAAGTCTTGCAAGATCGCAGGCGGGAACGACACGTGGTGCATCGATTCAAGGTACGTCGTGCACTCGGCGAGACTGAGGCTGCCCGAGCCATCCGTGTCGATCGCGCGAAAACCCCGCTCAAAGTCCGCGTCCTGAACCAGCGACCGAAACGCGCCTTCCACCGACAACGTGTCAAACTGCACATTTCGCACGAACCGATCGAGGCACGTGACAAAGTGGGGGCGGGGGCTCATCTACACACGAACGTCGAGGTTGTGGTCGAGTCGGACCAACGCGCGCACACCTCGGCGAGCGGAGCAGCCAGCACTCGACAAAACACGCACACGGCGACCCATTGGGGACACGTCAGGGCCAGTTTCTCGACCAAGATCGTTCGCCAATTCGCAACAGACACGCAGTTGTCGTCCATGGCGACGGTGTCGACGAGCTGGTTGACGGTCTTGAAGACGTCGCACTTGCCTCGCGCTTTGGTCGATTTCGCGACGACCACTTTCCGAAGCTGGAACTCGAGCAACTCGACGTGAAAGAGCTTGGCGGACATCGTGTCGACGAGCACGGAAACATTCAGGGCGGGAGCCGAGATGGGTTCTGGTGGTATCGGGGGAAACGCAATAAGTAGCGCTGCCACTTCGATGGGCTTCAGGACCACGTTAGCATGCTGCAATGTGCTGGCAAATGCGTCGAGAGAAACGCACGATGCAGATGGAGATGGTGGAAAGAGCTGCCGAAGCGGTACGGCGCGTTTGATCCAGTCAAATAGAATGTGCCGCACGACGCGGTGAGCAACGTCTGGGGCAAGCACTGGTTGAATTGAACGAGTGGGAGGCCCGTCTTCGCTTCCGTCACCAGGAGATGCGTCCTGCATGCGGAAAATGGACGGCGATCGCTTCAACGGCATGTCAGCGTCCATGCCATCAGCTGCCGAACCCGCCGGAAGCAGTGGCCAGGCGCTGACCTCCCAGCTGTGTTCTTGAGCAGCTACGTCGTTCGTTTCTCGTTTTAGCTCCGACGTGTCGACGGTGGGCGAATGGCGGAGGGTGTCGATTGGTTTTACGTCGTCGGTAATGCGACGTTTCCGCTGGTCGTGGTGTCGTGGGGAGTCGCTGCGGTCTGCCGTCGATTCCGTGGGACGAGGTGGCACGCTGTCTGCCAACTTGGCTTCACTTGTCGCTACTTGTTCGAAGCACTCTGCATTTCCAGTCTTGGAACTGCTGCTACGGGTCGCGATCGTAGCGCTTGTGTTTTGTTTCTCCGTGGAAGGTATGACGCGCATGTCCAGTTGTGGTTTCGATGGAGAGCCCTCGGATGCCCTCGCGATTGGCGCGAGGAGCGGTGGCTCGGGTGTTGTCATGCGTGGCGGGGCTTCGACCGGCTCGGGTGGAGCGTCGTGGGTTGCGTGGGGGTTGGCCATGTTCGGCGGTGGGTCGACATCCTTGTCGTGTGCCGACCGAGGCTTGTGCCCCAGCCGGCTCTTGCTCTTCCGTGTCATCGAGTATAGATAAAACCGTCACCACACTTCAGTTGGGTGGCAGTCGGTTTCGCCATGGCCGAGGCAGCGCCGCCGCGCTTCGTCACAAACCCTCCCAAACTGGCCCAGGATATCCACACGCCCCTCGGCACAGCATGCCGTGCGGTTGTAGCACATGTGCAGGAGCAATGCCCAGTACGTCGCCGTTTGACGCACGCCAAACGCCATGTGAATTCGATCCCCGCTGCCTAGGGCCTCGTGGCAACCATCCAAACGTTCCTGGACACAACGTTATCCGAGGCCATTCAAGAGCGTGAAACCAAGTACGATGTCTCTGTGGCTAGCGCCATCTCGTGGCGTGACTGAGCCGTAGGTACGTTAACACGATGAGCGACGTGTTCAAGCAAGAACTCAAGACCCGCAACGACACCGCTCAGCGGCTCATGCAAAAGTGCGCGGCGCTCGAGACGCGAATGGCGGAGGCCGACGCCGTCACCACGATGCTGCACTCCAAGTTGGACCGTCGGACGTACGAAATGGACAACCTCCGGAAAATGCACTACAAGGAGCTCCTTCTGCTGCGGGAAATGGTCGCAAAGCACCGCACCGATGCGCGCACACTCAAGGCTCTCGATGGTGCGGTCGTGTTTCCATTGCCAAGTGGATGCGGTCTCCACAAATCCAACGCCTGCGGTGTTTAGATGCGCTCGGGCGCTCCAACAACGATGCGGACGACGGGGACGAAGCCAATTTTGGCGGCCGCGGGGGACGCAGCTCGGTGAGTAGTGCCGACTCACGTGGCATGCGCGACATGCTCGCGTCAAACGCACTCGTAGTCGATTGTGACGCCCTCAACGGATGGACGGCTCGAAGCAATGAAACTCGACTTGGAAAAACGAAAAAAGTTCTCGGATGGCCTGCGCGACGAGCGCGACAAGTGGCAGCAGAAAGCGATCGAAGCGATGTAAGAACACGTGATGGACGACCCATGGAGAGCGGCTACCGACGAGATGGCGCCTGTATTGCACGTAGGGAGCAAGTGGAAGCGTTGAAGGATTTGATCCGCAAGCGGGAGAATAGTCCGAATGCGGGAGGGGGCAGTGGGTCTGGCATGTCGGACGCGTACTTGACAGCGTGGTGGTACGGTGGCGCCGAGAGCGGACTCCGCGAACGGCAAGCAATCGAATCGGCCGTCTCCGCTCGCCACATCACGTACGACGAGGTCGCAGGTTCGGTTGCATGGCCTTTGAAGCCACATGCGAAACACACGAACCCGGTGACTTGGCTAGGATCCGTTGTGGAAGTTTTGGCGAGCCCCGACTTGTGGGCGAGCCTCGGAACCCTTGCCCAGCAAGCGCCTCTTACTCCAGCTGTCCGGGGGCTGATGGCCCACTTGTCCCAGCTCGGCGAGTTTACACTGCGCAAGAGTCCGTCCACAGCGTTTAGTGCTCGAAGCGACGACACCCACCGGCAGGATGACGACAAACCTGACGTGGCCGGCAGTGTCCATGCCAAGCCCAACGCCATCGCGTGTGTTAAGTGCCACGGCACGGGGTACGTTGAGCCGAACGCGGCTCAAAAGGACGAAGAAAACGAACGGATCAAAGCATTGCAAAAGAGTGTCGAGGTGGGGTACCTCTCTGCACCATCCACTTCGACGACTTGGCATGTCCATGTAGGGTCTTCGCAAAGACCTCCGGGCGGAGCAGACTCGTGTGATCGAGCTCGAGACGACACGTGACGAGCTTGAAAACGCAAAGCGAGCCCTCGTTGCCAAGCGTACGTCGCATGCGTGTGCATGCATGGCCGTGAAACACTTCTCATGCCATGAATCGTCGCAGTCGGTGAATTCCAAACGTCGTTGAACGCTGTTCAAGCTCAAGCGGCAGCAGGTACCTGCCCCTACCTTTACGCAACTTCGCATCCCTTGTTTAGATGCCCAAGCGCGTGCAGACGAAGCCCTGGCACGCTCGAGCCAGATGCACCACGCTGCGTGCCAAACGGATGCCATAAAGGTGACCAAGCCCCCACCAGCATCCAGTACGACATCGTCGTCGCCCTCGCGTCATCCCGTATCGCCAACTCCATCGTCCACAAGCCCCACCGACGCTGAATTGGGCATGCTTAACCGCAGCGGCCTCGAAGACCTTGTCGCGGAAAAGTGCGCCATCATCGGCGAGCTCCAACTCACGCGACAAACCCAGTCAGATCAACTCGACGACCTGAAGCGGCAGGTCCAGGCGGCGGCAGAGAACATGGTCGCATTCAACCGGGCATCGGAGAGCGCACAGCAGTTGCTTCGACAGGAAATCACGGTGCGTGGCAAAAACATCCCGACGAGCCAGCGTGACGCGGTTGGTTGTTCGACGTAGGTCCTCCGCGACACGATCACGAACATCCAGGACACGTCGTCGGCGTCGATTCGGGAGAGACAAGCGTCCCTGTCAGCGTACTTGACCAAGATGAAGACGGACCACATGAAGGCCGTGTTGCTGAAAGCGCCGCCAGACAATAATGCCGGCGACGCCGCGATGAAATCAGCCACCGAGCGGGAGGTCGTTGCGATTGCCAACCAGCAATTGGAACACGACATCACGAAGCTCATCCCGTGGAGTGACAGCGACGTCCAAACCGAGTCGCTGGCGCAAGCAACCGCCCAAGCGGCGAGTCGCGCCGAGGCGGAACTGGACAACTTGCCCATCGGGTTCATTCACGAAGACGAAGCCGCCGACGTCGACGCCGCCCAGCGCTTATCTTTGACCACGGATTCGCGGCCACACGAGCTAGTGGACACGATTCAAGCGATGGCGGCAGAGCTAGAGGTGCCGTTCGATCTCTCTGCGCGTCCAACGCACTGATCAACGCTCGGGACGGCGGTGGGTGTAGGCCGCCAAGGCATCGGCGCGCAAGTTGCAAACCGTCCAGCTGCAACGAATCGTGACGCTGAGCACGCACTTGTCCAAAGTAGCGAGCGAGCTGCTCCTCCTACGCAAAAAGTTGGTCGCCCATGCCTCGTTCGTCCAAATCACGCGTCCAACATAGATCGGGCGCGGAAGTTGCATTTTGGAAGACCGAATGTGAAAAACTCGACCGCGAGCTGCTGTGCCTCGTCACCGAGTTCAACTTGTACAAGAGCAACCACATGATTGACGGGTACGGTGACGCGCGTTGTCGTCGAGGAGTTCACGCCAAGGGTCATGGCAGGGAGCGTCAAGTCATGCAGTCGCTCCTCACGGCTGACCACGAAACACTGTGGGGTCAAGATGGACCGGAAGCTCGAGGTAAGCGCACGCCATGTCTGGCTCGAATGCCGCTCACAGGACGTGTACTTGGCACAGCGTTTCTCGCCACCATGCGCGAGGCGTGTGCGACGTCCCCAGTGAACCCCATGGTGGCAAAATTCTTGGTGCTTGGAGAAGCAATCCACTCGTTGGCCGAGGGCTGTGGTACGCAAGTGTGGCGCACACACGAGTGGGTGTCATGCCTTCAACATGCTTAGCCCGACCATTCCACGCGCTGAAAGCCATCTACGACGGATGGCGAGATGGCGGCGGCGGGTCGTCGACTCCTCGAAAAGCACCTTCCAAGAAGCGTACCAAATCCAAAGTGGTCGGACACGGCAGCTCGTCGACCAGTCTAGCCGACATGGCGTCGTCGCCGAGTCCATCCAAGAGTGCGTACTTTTGTCTTGGCATGCGACTGCCCCAATCGATCGTGACACGAGAGGATCGTAGGCCCTTCCAAGCGAGCGTCGGCACTAGCTTCCCTGCCCGGGGCGCCGCCTCCTTCCCCCAAGCAAAGCAGCAGTCCTACCAAGAGGCGGCGGTCGTCGGCATCGTCCAAACCGCGACTCCTGTCGGCACGGATCCCGACGGGAGACGCTGCCCTTGCATTGGATTCCACGTCACCAACGTCGCCAGAGCTAGACCATGGAGCATTGTCCACAGCAGATGACCGCGACAAGAGTTTGCCGAGAGCGTTTGAGCTCACGGCGGTCGACGAAGTGACGGAAGTGGAAGCATCCAACCAGTCCCCGCATGACATTGCCATGGTCCCCGACGACATTCACGTGCCCACCGCCCCCTTGGACAATACGCTTCTGTTGATCGAAGGGGACTCGCCGCTGTCGACAGCCACGGCATTGCAAAGTAAAACGTACACAACCTCACACCGTGCGCCTGACGTGTGCAACATGGCAGACCACGCGAGGCTGCAAGTGACGACGCAAGACACGCCGCCGGCGTCCGCCATGGCCCAAGCGACTATTCCCTTGGAATCCCAAGACGAGAACAACAACCCACCCGTCCACGATGACGGCCGGTTCCTCGACTCGCTCCACGCGCCCAACCCCGCCGAGCAAAACCCCAAGGAGCTGCAGTACCTCAAATCCCTCGCTGGAAATCGCACCGATACACTGCGAAGCCTTGCGATGACTCAGTGGGAGGTCCTCGTGCTCCAGCTGCAGCTCCTGGCCCTCCACGCCCGCACCGTCGAGGTTCGTACACACGCCCATGACGGTCGAGTCACGTGGGAACGCAGATGAAAGAGCGCCGCGTCCGGTTCAACCGACCCCATGTTGCCATGTCGTCCATGGCCGAGTTGCTGCACCAAGGCATCCACCGACGCGAGATTGCGCTGGCGGACTGCCACCAACGCCACGAACGACTTCGCGAACGCCTCAAGCACGTGAATCTTTGTGTACGTCGTCTCGATAGGACTGCATGACTCGACCGACACGGCCTTGTCCATGCGACGGCGGCACCATTCGTGCCATCAGCATCCCCATTCTCCGCCTTGTCACGTGTAGATCATTCACGCGATATCGACAATGTTTCAACCCAGCGATCGGACCGACACCCGCACTGGACGCCACGGGATGAGCGGACGTCAGCGGTACAAACTGCTCTGGCTACGTTACTAGTTGCCCCTTGATGGCGTTGTGGCTGGGCATTATGACGGCTCTCGATCCATATCCACGTCGTTCGTTGATATGGCGTAGACTGGACTTGGTGGACATGAGCCTCATCGACATGAACAACTTGCCATTGTCCCAGCAAATTCCAACGACGCATTTTCCGCTTGATGGAGCGGTCGACGCGGCTGTGCCACCTCACCCAGCTCGTACGTCTGGCCATCGTGCATCCATCATGCATACATTTCCATCCTGACACGATCCTGTTGGTCGCAGACAAAGACCCGTCATCATCGTCAATGTCGTTCTTGACGTCGCCGTTTAAGGCGGACAAGCGATTTCCGGTGCGTGCGCGCCATTTCCGCGCCAGCCGGTCGGACCTGGAAGCTCTGTGCACGTGTAGAACCGAACGACGAAGTTCCAATATGACAAGGACAAGCATGCGTACTCGTTCATGCACGTGACCAAGCTCGTGTATCCCAAGAGCGCAGGGCCCACCAAGACGCCATTCGAGCTCAAGCCGTCCGTACAAGTCGCCGGCATCCGCGTGCCACCTCCGGACGACGTGCGAACCATGCTGCTGCACCCGAAAGACGACTTTGACCAGGTGCGTCCAGCCCGATCGTTGTCGTTTGTAAGGTTCTACATGAAGCGCGCCGTGTCGTAGCCAACACCCCGAACTCGACTACCGGACGACCAACCCCATCTTGTTTCGTTCCGGTCGCCCCTGAATCCGTACCGTCCAAAGTCGACGCCTTCATACCTGACCCGCGGGTCCATTCGGCAATCGCCACGGCAACGAACCATGCTTGGCAGCGACAGCGACGACCTCGCCTCTCCTCTCGTAAAGCGATAACTCTTCAGCTTTACATGTCGTCGGTTGCCATCGTGTCGCTCCATTTGCCATGGAAGCATGAGAAAATGGCAAACCTTTGACTTTTGATGTTCGGAAAACCTGTCATAATTGATTTTCCCGCCTGGTTCATTGATAGCTTCGTGGCGTCGCGGCATGTTCAGCTACCTGTCGGAGAAGCTGAATGTGAAGGCGCTGGGCGAGATGATCGCGCCAACACTGACCCCGGAGCAGCAGCTCCATCAGGCCATCGAGGACAACCTGATTGACAAGGTTCGCCACCTCTTGGATGATGTCAAGGTGAGTCCGAACGCGCGGACGCCCGAAGGATCGTTCCCTGTGCACACGGCCGCGTACAACGGCCGCGTGGACATCCTTCTTGCCCTCATCGAACGCGGCGCGGACATTTCGGCGCTTGGACCTCGCGACAACACACCTTTGCATCTCGCGTGTGCGCAGGGCCACCTCGAAATGGCCAAACTGCTTGTCGCCAAAGGCGCGAATGTCGCGCAGCGCAACAAGAGTCACAAGACATCGTATGACGTTGCCACGGGCGACACGTTGCGTCAATGGCTTCTCCCGCTGCAGTTTCAGCACGAGGATCCGACCGACCGCGCCGCGGCGATCCAGCAGGCACAGAACATGGGGCTGTCGGGCTTTGAAACGGGAAACGTGGTGGCAGCACCCCCGCCGCCGCCTCCCACTTCTGGTACGACAATGCGGACTCTGCATTTGGCATCTCGTGTTGGTACGTTAGGTGCATACTACGGTGCCCCGCCTTCCGGAGCTGCTCCACCCGCTCCGTACGACCCTCATGCAGCGTTGTACGCTCCACCGACCCACAGTGCCATCCCTCGTCACAACCCATCGGCCCAACAAACCCGTCGCGATCCGTCAGTGTTTCGACCAATTCAAGCTGACGGGTTTGGCTCGAGTGTTGGCAACCCCGAGCTCACGGCGAAATTTGGCAACACGGTCTCCGTCACCCAAACAAGCGCTCCGCCTCCGCCACCGGGAGGTGCTGGCCCCAGCGCCTACGCTCCATTCGCGGCTTCGGAGCCCACGTCGACCCCTGTTCCTATGCGCCAAATCCAACCGCCTCCCCAGTTTAAGATTTTCAATCCTCGAGCTGCATCGGGCGGCGGGCGCCCGCACTCTGCCGGGGTGTCCCAGCCTCCGCCCGCAGTTGCATCGTCGGGGCCGTTTTCCGGCCCATCAGCGTACTCCGCGGCCCCTGGCTTCCACCACGGCCCTCCATCCCCCACAGAATCCCCTACGCACCACGGCGACGCCATCGACTTCTCCGCGACCACCAGTGCGTTGCAGTAAATTTTCTAAGACTTTGTGGTCGGTCCCGTAGCTTCATCTTAATGCAAAAGAGGGACATCCCTTTCAGTGTCGTCCCTGCTTTGGAGCTCTCGTCACGGCGTCGAGTGCGATCTCGGCACGCACGTCACTAGCGCCAACAACCTCGACAAGCGCCATGGCAACGTCTGCAGACAGTCAACCAGTGGGGGCGACTGGCCATGGTCGACGTCATCGCCACGGCTGCACCACCTGTACGTTCGGCGCTCGTGTCTCAGCGCAGTTTCCATCTCCAGCTGATCCACACGCCACCACCAACTCGATCTCGTTGGCAACCGCGGGAGCAAAGTTGTCGGCATGTCCTAGCGCGAGGTCAACGCATCCACTTGGGTCCAACAATGTCCACATTGGCATCGAGCTATCTTCCATTTCGGCGACCAGGTCGTGGCGCCATGGGGGTGTGTGTTGGCATGGCCCCGTGGTAAAACAGCGCGTGCAGATCGAGCGATTCCTTGAGTGTGTTTTCGTTGCGAGGGTCGTCAAACGCGCCGCGCCACGGCCGGCACAGACGGACTCGGCCTTGCTTGGTGCCGTAGAGGAACCCGCCGCCCGCAAGTGGATGAAACAGCGCAATGTTGACGTCGTCCGCGTCCGACTCGACGTGGCTCACCAGACTCATGTCCTCCCATCGGTACATGCGCGTCACTCGATGCAATGGAAACTGGTTGATGCTACCACCAAACACACGTCGTCGTCAACATCGAGCGTCCCGTCGCAACAACGTACCGCTGGATGCGGTCCCGCACGCCGTACCCCAGCAGCACGTACGCGCCACTGGGACTGAATTTGACCGACGTGACGCCGCCGGCCGCGGTTTCCGCCAGCAACGCGGTCTGCACCACGGTCCCCAACGTCTTGTCCGGCGCAAGCGACAACAGCGCAAGCCACGTCGACTGATGCTCCACCGCCAGTCGACCTCTGCGCCACAAATGTGAGGAATTGCCAAACGCCATGTTCAAAGCAAACGGCTGTCCAGGAATCGCACATCGATAGGATGCAACATTGACGGATGGACGCTGGCACGCACCGCGTGAGTCGCTGGTCGTGGGACAATCGATTGAACGAGCTCGCGATGTTTGGGCGGAGATGCGCCATCCGACAAGCTTGTGGTGCCGACGGCGCAGGGATCACTGGATGCTGCGACGACGGCACAACAGGGGGATGGCCCATGGTGCTGGCGGCAAGGGACGGTCGCGTATGGATTGCATCGGGGTGGGTAGTAGTCGATGGCGGAGGTGGCGGCGCAGCTACTCGATACCATCGATTGTGTGTTCGTCCACGAGTTTGGCGAAGTCAAGGGTGTACCCAGTCGCTGCCGAATCCGCCGAGCCGCGGCATCGTTCGACGCAAGATCTGTCATGAAAGCACGACGTCGAGCCGTTGTTGTGGTTGGGCTACACGTGCTGATCAATACCGTTCGAATCGCGATCGCACAACGCATCCAGCAACGAGTTCATCCCATGCACAGACCACGGCACACCAACGCGACGCTCTTACTTGAGGGCAGGCCATTCCGGCACAAAATAGACTCGATGCGGCGCCAACGGGTCGGCGCTGTGGGCATTCTGGCCGTAAAATGGGCTACATGGCAGCGGCACCCGCCGTTCAGTCGCGCCTTCGGCACACATCACGAACACGTACGATGGATGGTCGACATGCGACGGTGGAGGCATGTCCTGCTCGGCCTGCCACAGGCTAAAGTCGGTGCACACTGCGAGGTACTGGCCACACTTGGACACGTCGAACCCGCCATCGTTGTACAACAACGCATGAGTCAACAGCACGTGTGGCTACATGCAAAACGGAAGTCCAACTCGCGACGAGGCGGGCGAGACAAGGCGTACCGAATGCATGGCTTTGGACGAAGACGGTTCCGGCGCTGTCGACCACGCCACATTGTACTCCCATAGCGTCAGTGTGACCGTGAGATCGGACGGCACCGTGCCGAGCGGGCGCTACATTGCAAACACGGTCAAAACGTCGTCAGCCACACGAGTGCCGCAACGCGCCGACGACTCAGCATGCAAGGGTGCGATGTGCCAACGGAACGATCGTCGTGCAATTGCATGTGCACGCGCGGGCAGAGATTTAGCCGTCGCACCGTGTATTTCTCGTTCGCTTCGCCCACGAGGATTTTGGTCGGGTCGGGCAAAAACGACACGGACCGGAGCGTTTGGTTGCTAAACATAACGATGCGGGGACTCGGGTGCTGCCAAGATAGAGAGAGGTGGCATGAGGCATGACGACAGGATGACGGGGGAATCGTACGTGCTGGTAGTCCCACGTGTAAACGCACGTGCCGCTGGCGATACCCAGGACATTCCCACACGGGTGAAAGGACACTGAGATGATGGCGTGGCGCAGCGTAGCTTCGTACAAGCACTTGCCAGTGACAACGTCCCAAAAACTAATCGAGCGCACGGGGTCGAGACAACAGACTCGCGTAGAAGGGCTGGATACCGAATTTGGTAACCAAGGCAGCCCGATGCGACGTAGCGAGGGTTTGTCGGGTGAAATTTGACGCTCCAGGGAGTACGGGGATGGCCCACCAGGGTCTGGAGAGAAGCAGATCACGTGGTGGATGCCGAAGCGACGACGACGTACTTGTAGAATGCGCCCGGTAGAATAGCACACAATCTTGACGGTGTGATCGCCATGAGTCGACGCGAATGTCTTCCTAATCGACCAAACATTGCAACGAACGATCGTTGGCAAGACAACGTTCCTGGTGCGTTGATGACGTACCCGTCAGGGGAGAACGCGATGGAGATCGCGGATCGAGTTGTCGGCGGCATGTCAAAGTACTCGCAGACGTGCTAGCCATCAGCATGACGTGATGAAGAAGGCAATGGTTGCGCGTCACCTTCGTGGCCGACTCGTTCTCGATCCACATCTCTTCGTCATGAAACGCGAATCGGCGTCCGTGGCCGAGTTCTCGCGACATCATGGTTCGGGCAATGTTGGTCGCACGACCTGCTCGGCGAAACGACGGCGGTACTCCTGGAGGGTTAATGCTTCTTTGGGCACGTTCCGCGATCCCTGCGGGGGTACTGCTTTCCATGTCAATGTCTTCCGCGGCGGCGGCAGCCGCCGCTACCGCACTTCGTTCATTTGGATCGGCCATGTAAAGCAAGCAGTGAGCCATATAAACTTTTGCAGGTTGCAACGACGCCAAGAATACACGATTCCCCATGCTCAAAGAATTCGTTAGGAAAGTTCCCAATGCATGGATTGAAAACGAGAGTAGTTTCGAGTGATATTGGGCAAGTCGATCCCATCTCGTCGGAAAATGGATTTTTCCCATGCACCCTCCAATACTTGCACATTTTATGTCGATAGATGACCCATTATTCAAGCATCAACATGGCGAGGCTTTCGTCGACGTGCCAGAGCGGCATTCGTCCAGGAACGCGTGAGGAGAAGCACTCGGATGCTGTCAGTCGTGGCCACACCCATCGCCTTCGTCTTCCTTGATATCGCTTGCAAACTTGCTCTTTTCGTAACTCGCCAGGTCGTTGTCAATCAAGTACGCAAACCGTTTGGTCAACTGCGGGAGCTCCGTCTTGTACAACACATGGGCAAGCCGCACCAAACACTCGCAAAATTGAGTGTACGTCAATCCTGCCGACGATGGTATCGCGCCTTTGTCGTCGCTGGCCGCCTTGCGATCGTCCTTTGTTGCTTTTTGCACCATCGCGTGCAACTCGTCCAACGACACGTTCTGCAGAAAGCCACATGCTCTACAAGCCCGTGAATGACCCCGACACATCCCCGCGTTCTCTATCTCGTCCGACGTACGTGGCAAAGTTGACAAATGCTGGCAGCGACAGCAACGTGGCCTTGCCACCTGCCGCCGCCGACGCCCCAACGGACTGCAACGTAAGCCCTTGGAAGACTCCTTTGAGGGCTTTTGTGTGCGACGTCAGCATGAGCTGCAGCATGTTGATCTCTTTCGCGTTATCCTGGCGCGAAAGAAGGCGGTCCATGGCGTGCCATGATCCTGTCGCACGTACCCCTGGCTCGAACAGATCGGACACGTTGACCCGGATGGGTTTGCTGGCTTTCTTGTCGGCGATCGATGTCACGACGGGCAGGACTCGAAGGAGATCGTCGCGCTCGGCCATGTAACGTGTCGCCTCTTTCCGCAGTACTTCCTTCTCCCGCTTCAGCAGCGAAATCTACGTCGAGCCACGGCGACGCGTGAGCATCGTCGCACGAACGCACCGTCCTTCCATCTGCAGTCACGTCCACCCATCGCGAGAGCTGTGCGTGGCTCGCCACTCGCCGTCACGCGCGACCGTACGGCATGGACGGTTGACGTCGACGGAATCGTGCGGCATTACCTGAGCACGCAACGAGTGGACGTAGGCCTGGGACCCTTCCCGCTGCAGCGTGTCTGCAATCGCTTGTTGTCGGGCTTTCTCTTGGTCGCCTAAGAGGCGAGCGATCTCGACGTCCTTTGCGACAACTTGAGCTGCCCATGCGGCATCCTAGAATAGACGGTCGCGCGGGGGAGTGTGAGCGCCACGGCGCGCGCCAGCCACTCGATCTTGCATTCGGACGACGCGTTGCCATCATCCCATGCCCGCACCTGCAGCCTGAGCTTGTCGAGCTCGTATCGGCTTTGCGCCACTTGGTGCTGCAATTGTACGTCGTGGGCCGAGTTTCGCGCTTCCAACGTGGCAATGCGTGCCGCTTGTTGCTGTTCACCTCGATGATACCGGACGGCGCGATGTCGCAGTTGACGCACCGTCAAGCAGTCGAACGCGCGCATCGCGAGGTCCTCGCTTAGCATATACTGGCACTCCCACCGCTCGCGCTGGTGCATGTGGTCGCGCTGGAGGGTGGCCAACTTGGCATCGGTCGCGACCCGGTGCTGCGTTGCCACGTATGTCTCATGCACACACGCAACTGCACGTTCCTCGGCTTTGATGCACCGTTCCTAGATCGACCGAGGACCCATCAATGCCATGGTCGTCCTCGTGAACGCCGCCGCGTCCCCGGACAACGACATACCGTTTGTTGGACAAGATCTTCCCGGAAATCTTCGACCTGTCGCGCCAGGTCCACCATGAGCGCTGGACGGCACGCCCGATGCATCTAGGTACGCTGTCAGCACTGCCAAGCGATGATGATGCATGGTGAAAGCAGAGTGCCACGGGAATGCCTCGATGGCGGCGAATTTTCAGCGCACGGCGCTGTCCATGCCACCACATGCACGTGGACACATTGTACCGGCAAGTGCAGCCGACACGACGATTCGCATTGCATGGCCGACAGCTTTGTGACGAACTTGCCGTCGCGGAAAAACTTGGACGGCGACGCATTCTTGTACCGAGGGCAGCGATCCGCGGACGCGACGCCACGGGTCCATTCGTCAGTGGACGACACTTGGGCGTTCGGGACGGACGGAAAGCTACCCCCATGAGGGTGCACGTCGTACGAACGATCCACGTTGAACGGGACTCACCGGGGGGTTTGCGTCGATGGAGTGGGGGCTGTTTTGTCGGGCGGCGGTGGTCGACGAGGAGTCGCCGCGTTGGCCCGGAGCTGGGCGTGATGCTGGCAAATCAGGTGCGACTCGGGGTCTGCGTGGGCTAGCAGTTCCCACGACGGCATCGCGTCATGCATGCATGACACCCCGAGGACACCAGTCATGTACACGATGTCGTCGTCCGCGCCGACAATGTACTCGCACACGATGCCTGCCACCGCGTCCTGAGCTCGTTCGTCGACAGCGGACGGTCGGTACCTTGGACTGGGTTGGTCACGTGGTGGCTATTGATGTGGTGCGCGAGGGTGACAGTGAGATGCTTCATTAGACTGACGGGGGACACGAGCTTGGCGTCGCGGACCCCCATGTGGAAATCGTACGAAGCCTTGCGGTCGGCAAACAACGGCGGCGGGACGGGCTTTTCGGTCCTCTCTGGATGAGACACGACCTCGGCCTACCCATGTTGGCCACACTAGGAACGTGCTGTCGTCCGAGATGAACGAAAAACCTGGCCGAGATGGTAGCGTTTCGAGTACGGCGCGACAAACACGTCGCACATGGCTGGCTTGGAGTGTCCTTGGCACGGCGGGTGGAGCGAAAACGACACAATGTACCTGCGGCGCACGTCAGGACGTGTCGACGAAGCGACCGACGACGCATACCTCTTGTCGTCTTGAGGCCGAATGTACCGCTGCAAGCAAAACGGCACACTCGGCAGCGACGGACCGGTCGGTCGCAAGGGCGTGAGTTTGTGGCCATTCATGTCGTCGCACAGGATCTGTCCATGCATGACAAGCGCACGTCATGGGGACATGAACGGTACTGCAAAGTCGGCGCGGGACATCACGCGCGACGAAAACCCAAAGCGGACGACGGCGACGGCTTCCGTGGGCCCGACGACGTCGGGATGTGGCCCCACGAACGCCGCCAAGATGGCGTTGGCGGTCATGTGCTACACCAGCGTGAATCATTCGCCACGACGTGGGGACGGCAAAAGCGACGTCACCGCTGGTTGCTTTCGTTTGAGCACGCCCCCCGACGACGCCGACGAGTGATACCAAATGCTGGGCGCCCTACGACGACGTTCAACGGACGGCATACGTGGCGGGTATCACCCTTGGGGGGTCAGGAGGACGGTGTCGGGGACGTTGAGACGGATCGGGTTGGCATACTACGACACGTCTCGTTCAAGGCGCAGTCCCCAAGAAGACGACGTGTACCGGCACAACGGGGCAAATCGCCTGAAAAAACGCGACCCATTGCATCGCGTTGTCCACTTGGCCGGACGCGCGGTGCAAATCTTCCCGGAAACGAGTTGGGCGAGCAGGCGGCGGCTGCAACGACGACTCACTCGCTACAAACGACGAGCGGTGGCGACGAGGGCTTGTGCCCGACATGGACGCTGGCCTCGGTGGCGACCGCACCATCCAGCTTGCGACACGAAATGGCGGCGAGAACCTATATATAAACTCATGCCATCACATGACGGTCAATTGGCGTCGACATGGCCGACCCAGGAGCATGACGTTTGGCGGCGCCCCACATGCGCGAGACGGTGGCATGCTGGTGTGTGCTTGGGACGTGCTAGCGTCACCGGGAAAGGATTGCATTATATTAACGGCGGCCACCTAGCAGGTCTTGACAGGTCGAGTTGACTCGCGCGGGGTCATTCAAACGCAGCACATGCTCGAACCAAGAGCGCGGCGCGGAAAGATTCGCCAAATGCATCGGGCTGGACAAACGTTTGCAGCCGGTCAAACCAGTGGCGGGCACTCGACGAGCCCGGACCGGACGGTTGAAGCAATACAGCGACTTCCGTTGTGTACGTAAGCATGCTGCTCAAGCACGCACGGGCTACGGCCGACGCCTCGATTGCGTTGTCGCTCAAGACGTGCAGCGGCTTGGTTTGCCACTGGTGCAAACGATCGCACAGCGCCACGACGCTTTCCATGGTCGCGTTGTCGCGGGTGCGGCGCAGATTCAAGTACGTCAAGACCACATTGCCGTACGCTGCCCACTGCGCAATGTCTTGAGCGCGGGGCGCCAGATGGGCCTCAAGCACGAGGTGGACCCACGTGGTATCTTGGTGAATCATCGCTGGGAATACCACGTGGTGAATGAGCACGTCATGGGCTGCCGTCCACGCGCCTGCGCGAAGGTAGTGCTCGACAGCGGCGTCGTACTGTTGTTCCGCGAGGGCATACAGCGCCAGAGCGTCTTCGATCCACGGGGACGGAACAAGCGCTTCGAGGGGAGTCCGAGGTGTGCTGGCCGTGATGTGGCGTTGCAAGATGGCTTTGGCGGTGGCTTCGCGCTCGACGTCGTCGGGCATTGTCATGGCAACGTACAGCGCTTGGGCAAGGAGGTTTCGATCGGCGACAAGATGGCTGAGGTAGTGGCGGGTCAGCACTGCGTTGGCCTTGGTGGTCAAGCGAAGCGATTGGCCTGGCACTGCACACAACACTGCGTTCAAGTGCCACGCAATGTCGTCGGGAAGGGCCGACAGCACCGACGTGAGAGACGTCTTGACGTCGCAGTAGAGCTGCATCAGTTCCATGAGGACGTCGGGCTTCATGGCGGCGTTCACGGCCGGTTTGCACCACCCCTGCTGGACGTACGACTGGTACACCGCCAGCGCTCGGGGCAGCGACGTCGGACCTTCGTGGTACCACAGCACGAGCGCCAGCATTTGAATCCAGTCCATCGACGAGTTGGCCGTCGCGGGCTGCGTCACCACCCCCACGCTGCCGGCGAGTAAGCTGTAGATCTCGAGCAGCTCCTTGTCCACATGGCGGGACGCCGATTGCGTTTCCCACTGACTCAACTGGGCCTGCAGTTGCATGCGAAACGTACTGCTTTCGTACGACTGCGCCTGGGCCACGACCATCGCGAGGCGAAAGTTGCCTTGGGCCATCGCGCGCTCGGCAGCGTCCACAATGTTATGCTGGAGCAGTGCTTGAAGCACCGTGTTGTCCGCCGCGGATTTCGACCGCCGCGTCGCGAGTTCAAACCACCGCGAGATGAACTCGTCCCGCTGGCTCGGCGACAACGGGTGGGGGGTCGTGCTGCCTTCACGATGCTCCAGACCAAACAACGCCAGCACCAATTGCCACATCGGAAGCGCAGACACGGCCATGTCGGCATATTCATGAATGTGCGCCGCCATGTTGGTCGGTAGCTCGACGTGGTGGGTGTGTGCGTTCGTCGTCGACAGGGCTTGGTGGACATGCAGCAGCGGAAGCGAGTCGGCGGTGGCGGGACTCGGGAGTGGATGCTGGTGCACTCGGACTTGACGGTGGCGAGTCACGACGACCAACTGGCCGGACGGGCCAAAGCTCGCGCCGCGAAAAGACCGCCCCATCGAAATGCCCATGTCCATGGTGGATGTGCTGGGTCCATTCCACAGTGCCAATAAAGTCGACTTGGTCGAACACGTCAACGTGGGGACGGCGTATCGTTTTGGGACCGACGGCGCGGGCGGCGTCGGTGCTGCAGGCTCGACGACCGTCAGCCGGGTCTGGCTGACCACCTCGGTCGAAGCTGAGTCCAGAGTCCCGAAAATAGACGGTTTGTCCTTGGCTTCGGACGACGATGGCACCTCAGTGGGCGGCTGGTTGGCCAAATACAGCGCGTGGAGTTGGTGGAGGCGCGCCGGATTCAACTTGAGCTGGGACGCCATGGTTTGCAGCGCGCTCGAACCAGAGGCAGTGGCTTGGGGGATGTCGTGCGCCTCGTCGTCGTCGAAGCCGTATCGACTAAAGTGCTCGACCTTAAACTTCCACACGCCAGCCTCGGGCTGGTAGTCGACAAACGTCGCGTCCATGTGATCCGTGCGCGTCTTAACGCGGTTCACATACTGCGCCCGTCTGGTCGGATCGGATGGAGGGTAAATGTGCAGCAACTCGACCAGCGCCGGCTTGTTGAGGCCTTCGCCAAGGGGGTGTTTGACGTCTTCGTTGGGGTACACAATCACTTCTTTCGGCGCAAACAGGACGAGTTCGTCCAAGTTGAGTCCCGTTACGTCGGTTGAGCCATACCATTGCACGCATCCCATGCCTTTGCACCCCACAACAAAGTGGTCGACTGCTTTCAGTTCAGCCGTCGACATCGTGCACAGCGACGCGTAGTCGGGGAGGGTGTAGTACCCTTCCTTGGTCAGCACTGGCGCAAGCGGGTTTATCGCACGGCACGCTTCTTCTTTTTCCTTTTCCTTTTCGTAAAAGCTGTCAAACGATAAGCCCGTCGTCGATGGCGCAGACGCGTCCGAAGTCGAGGATGTGTCCGCCGGGTCGACGACATCGACTTCAATGGGCGCCGACGCATCCACGGACCCGACCGTGGCGTGGAGATCGAGGCGTGAGCCGTCACTGAGGCGCCACCGAACGAGCTTGGCCGGCTTCACCTGGCTCGCGACAACGGGCCAGACAGCGTCAAATGTTGTGTCTGCGTCCCCAGTCCATCGAATGGTGCGCGTCGTCGAGTCGGGCTTCGCGATCGTAAACGACAGCGTGATTGCTTCAGGAATCACTTGGGGTTTGTCCGTCGGGCGGTGCAGTTTCGGCGGCGGGGTCGCGATGGTCAACTGCTTGGTCGCCAAGCTCTTGAATTTGGACGAGGCAAAGCTGGTGACCGATGCGTTTTCCGACGATTTGTCCACGGACAACACGGATGGTTTCGCGGCGACCGTGTGGAAGCGCAAGCCAGCAGCCGTTGCAATGGGCTTGACAGGTCGGTCGTCGCGGGAACGAGTCGTAGCTTGGCTGGGCGTTGAAAACAACGAAGACGGCTGCGACGCGCCAGACGACGGCACGGGCAGCGTCAGAGTCGTCTGGATTTGCTTTTCAATCAACCCGGCACCAAACGACCCGGCACCGTAAGGGTTGGTGTCATGGCCCGCAAACAGTGTTGTGGGTTGCTGCTGTTGCTGTTGGGTGGCAGTGTTGGCCGGTTGGGACAGCCCAAAGCCACCACCAAAGGACGTGCCGCCAAAGAGGCCGGCGTTCGTGGCAGTGTTGGCGGCCGTCGTTCCAAAACCCGATCCCGTCGACCCCGAACCAAACGATCCAAACGAAGACGTGGTCGTAGGAGTCGATCCAAACATGCTTGTGGTCGTTGTGGCAGGTTTGCCAAAGCTAAACGCAGATGCTGCACCGGGCTGCGTCGACGTACCGAGGGAAAATGCACTATTTGTCTGCGGTTGCGTGGAGGTACCAAATCCTCCAAACGCCGACGGAGCGGACGACGCTGCGCCAAAGGACGTGCCAAACGCAGAAGTCGTCGCTGGCTTCGCGGCGCCAAATCCACTGGCCGTCGACGACCCAAATCCGCCAAAACCACCCGTCGTGGCCGCAGGTGCAGCGGCGGGAGTAAAACCTCCAAAACCACCAGTTGTTGTTGAGCCAAACCCACCCGTCGTCGTCGTACCAAATGCACTGGTTGTGGTGGCGGGCTTGGCTCCGAATCCACCAAACCCGCCAGTGGTTGTGTTGGCTTGTGCGGTGCCAAACGCACTTGGCGCGGTAGCTGGCGTGCTACCAAATCCGCCAAATCCACCTGCGGCTGGCGCCGACCCAAATGCGTTGGTGGTTGTGGTCGATCCAAATGCGTTCGGCGTCGAGCCAAAACCACCAAATCCACCTGTTCCGGTCGTGGCTGTATTGCTTCCAAATGAAAACGCGTTGTTCGTGGCTGGCGAAGTCGTGGCGCCAAACGCGCTGGTCCCAGTGCTTCCAAACCCAAAAGCATTCGTCGCTGGCGCAGCTGTGGCAGTGCCAAACCCTCCAAACCCTCCGGTCGTGGTCGCCGAGGTGGCCTGGCCAAAACCTCCGCCAAGCGGCGGTTTGCCAAACGCCGATGGAGCCGCCGCTGGCTGGCCAAACATGTTGGTGGCGGGGGCTGCTGCACCAGTGTTGGGCACAAGTGCCGCCTGGGCGGCGGCTGCTGCCGCATCCGTTCGCTTCAAGTAGTCCTCCCATCGAAGCTCTTCCACCGACTTGTGTTGGTACTCGGGCATTTTTGAAATGGACTGAAAATGGACTGTGGTGACTTTGCCCTTTTCGGATTCTTGCTCGGATGTCGGCTTGTAGCTCGCAGGAGGACCAGTACCAACAAGCGCGGCCCCAGTCGACGGAGCCGCGGCTGCGCCAAATCCACCAAAACCGGTGGGCACTGCTGGCGCACCAAATGCGCCAGTTGTGGCCGGTGCAGGCTGTCCGAATGGAGTGCTTCCGAACGTCAACGACGACGCAGTTGCGGGTGCAGCCCCAAACGCAGTCCCGCCAAACCCACCACCACCCAATGTGGACGGAGCCCCGAACGCGCTCGTAGCTGGGGCACCGAAAGCTGGTGCTGCAGCCCCGAACGCAGACGGAGTTGACGACGTTGCTGCCGCCCCAAAGCCACCAAAGCCTGTGGGCTTGGCCGCGGCGGTGCCTCCAAACATACCGCCGCCAAAGGGGCTAGCCGCAGCAGCAGATGCTGGTGCGCCGAAAGGACTGGCCGCCGGTTGCGCAGGTGCACCAAATGGAGACGACGCTGTATTTGTACCGAACCCACCAAATCCCACAGGTGTGCCTGCAGCTGGCGCGCCAAACGCGCTTGTGGTTGCAGCTGGCGCGCCAAATGTACTTGTCGTTGCGGCTGGGGCGCCAAACGCACCCGTGGTTGCAGCTGGGGCACCAAACGCCGACCCGAAGGCTGGCGTTGTATTGGCGCCTCCACCGAACGGGGATGCCGCGGCAGGAGCTCCGAACGGCGATGCGCTGGCTGCGGGGGCTGCGGCGGCCGCTCCGAATCCTCCGAACCCCGTCGTGGGTTGAGCCCCGAATGCAGGCGTACCTCCAGCGGCGCCAAAGCCGAAGCCTGTCCGCTGTTGTTGGCCGCCAAACATGCTTTGCAAAATACATATCTCGACAACCGTTCGTTCTATTATATCAAGTGGTGCGACAATAACGGGGAGTTTGTATCAAATAAAATAAACCATGCCAATTTCTCCACCAATCACAATCAAGATGGACCCGCCATCGCGACCGACGCTGCAGAAGTTGCTGCTGCAGAAGGAACTGCTGTGGTCCCGTGCCGACCAACGTGCCCGGCAGCATTGCCTGCGAGAGCGCGGCGTACATGTAACATTCCATGGCAGTGTATCCACGCTTGCGCAGAACGATCGCACCATGTCACAGAAACAGTGATGTCTTGTGCGTTTCTTCTCTCAGCGGCACGCACGGGCGTTGCACCTCCGACTTGTGTGGTCAAACGATCGCTTCAGTTATCGACGCACTACAAAGCGTTGCCGTTGTGGAAAGCCACCGCCGTCTGGTGCAGGTGCTCTCGGATCGACACTTGAACGAACCACGGCTTTGAAGCGCGTGCATGGCGGTCGGCATCACGAATGACGTCGTCATGGCGAGTAGCACAAAACTTGTGGAAAACACTTCGTTCTTCATACCCATTGCACGCCCCTGCGTCGCTTACTATTCGATCCTTCCACTTCCAGAGCGTATTTCATACATGGAACGGACTTCCAGGTAGGTGCAAGTGTCGATCAATTACAGTCTCGCAACAGCTTAGGGCCGTCGCACTGCACCTCCCAGCTCCACATATGGCGCTGCATGCGCCATCCTCGTGGACTTTGCGACCTACGGATGCCATCGTCGTCGCTGCTTGTCGACATTCTCACACGCGGTGCGAACGGGTTGCGTTTCGTGGGGCTCTCGCCAGGGGATGGCCCATGCACAACTGCTTCAGAAGAAGTAGACGAAAGCGCACCAAAGCTATTGCACGAGCATCGTGGATGGCCCCTCCACGTGCTATATCCGACAGAGCGGCGGTTGGTGATGGCGTCCAGTGGCGCATCGAGGCCGAACGAGTTGATCAGCTCGTTTGCCACAGTCGACTTGACAGTCATGAGCTCCTCTCGGCTACATCATGTACGTGTTCGTGGGAGTGGTTGTGAATTTCCTTGACGAGCAATTCCCCTCAAGGCACTCTCGCATGCGAGGTGGGGGCTCCTCGACTGCAATGACCGAACTCGATACATTGCTCGTGTTAATGCTCGTCGTCTGCGAGGCGAATGCCGTCGGCACCGCTGGAAAATGTCTTGCTAAGGAACATCTCGCGATCAAACGCGTTGCCTGCCACCACCACCACCATGAAGTCGCTCTCGCTCCGTCGTCGTCGCAGTCTATCCAGCGTACCTGCAAACTGCGCCTTGTCGACTTTACGCGCTCGGTTGATCAGCTCCGCCGTGTCTGCGCGGTAGTGATGCTGCGCGAGCTTGCATTCGTCGCCGCCGCAGCCCCACACCTACCCAGCCTCGTCACTCCACCAAAGTTGTGTGGGCCACGCTACCTCGAGCATTTGAATGCGAAACGATCCTTTCATGGCGACTGCGCCTGGCTCGTACGAACCGCACTTCAGCGCAGACGTGCAGTCGTCCAGTTCGTCATCGAGAAACAATCGGCACTTCGACGTCGTGCCTCCAAATCCCAGACCTCGCGGCAGGACAACTCCCTTCGTGTTGTAATACATGTAGTTGGAGGCGGCGCCCGTTGTCGCGGGGCACAACAAAAACGACGGCGTCGTGCGAAATAAAAAGCACCCTGGGCCTCCGAAAAACTTGGTGCTTTCTTTCCACGGGGTGTCGGCGTACGCGCCGAACGTCGCTGTGTTCACTGGTGTCAAAGGTCCACAAGTGAGCGGCTACCAAGGCCCCATACCTCCATCGGCATCCGTCATCACCAACAGCGTTGGTCCAGTGTAGCCGAGGAGATGGTACGTCAACCGGTTGAAACTCAAGCCGTCCTGTATCCCATTTGAAAAGTCGATGAACGGCGGCCAACACACATGATACCTCACCTCTGTACTCGTGTAGAGTCGATCCCAGTTATTTTGGAGCTGCACCGATTGCATCGACAGCGCCAAGGCTTCTCCTCTACCGTCAAAACGTCGTCAACGAGAGCGCGCACCAAATGCGAGCACGCACCGCGACAAGATGTCCGACGGATGGGACAGCCGCGGTGCCACATACGACACCTTGGAATGGACACCGAGGCACTTGCGACTCATCCACGACGAAAATACCGTGTGCAGGAGAGGTGCGTGCGTGGGAATCCATGCCGCCAGAGTCGACGGCGTGATGTGCGATGAATGGAGCTGGAACGCGTCGACCATGGACGTAGCCATGGGAATGAATTCACGGACGTCTTTCGGCGTGCCAGCGGGTGACGAAGAGTTGGAATCGTCCGCCATGAGCATGCACACCATCTACAAACGAGAGCCATGAGGATTTGACACAACATGCTGGTGGGTACGAAGAGTTGGTGGAGCTCCGGCGGCGACAGTTCGAGGGACGGATTCAAAATTGAGACTAATGCGCGCAAAACAGTCGTCGACGACGACCGAATGCAATCGGCAGCTGAAGGCACAAAGCATGATAACGATATACAGGGAGTGCCCATGTACCGGCTTTGGCGACGTGGACAATGGTTAGGTGATTGTTGGTTGCACACGTGTCTCCGTCAGTGCGCGCAAAAGACTTGTACAAGACATCGCCAAAGTCGTTCAGCACATGGTCCGACGAGCCGCCGCGCAACGGACCCAACGAGAAGCGCTCCTACAACAACTGCAATGAGAGATGTCACAACGAGCACAGAAAAGGTACCAAGAACGCGCCTTTGTTCGCATCAGATTCTGCCACAAGCGCTTGGAGCGCGTCGAATTCCTGGGGCATGCATGCACGGACATGACGTTCATGTGGTACGAGCAACGCAGCGTGCCTACCGCATCACTGAACGGGCCCTTGAGTTCCTCGAGCTCTCTCGCGCTCAGTTGTCCCGAGTGGCTGTTGCCCATGATCAATCGATTCTGAAACTTGTCCACATCTCAACATCCGGATATTGTATCCGAATAACGGTCGAATTCACTGGAATCGCACACATCCGAAGTGTCCATCAACTCTCGTCTCTGCCACACGGCGAACACGACGACGTGGCGGATGACATCTATAGAAAGGTTATGCGGCGCAATCTCATGGATCTGGCCATTATATGCAACTACGGTGACGCTGCGTCAGCTATGTAGCTGCGAGCAGTGTGATGGCCATTACGACGACACTGACGATGGCGATGGAGGCGGCGGCTGACGCGGGTGTTGTCGGTTTGGCGGTGGTGATGACAACTTGTTGCAACATGAGGCAAGTTTCTAGGCGACTAGACGAACACGTACTTGGCGTAGTGGAAGTTTCCGAGGACGGAGGTGCAGTGGTAGTCGTCGAGGCCGGCGCCATGCATGGAATGTTGCTGGGTGTCCCAGGCGGTGCGTTGCCGGCCGTCGTGGGGGATGTGGACGAGCCGTCTGCATAAAATGTGTCGATAAAGAAAACAGCAATTCCAGTGCTTGTTGTGTCATGAGCGTACCACTGAGCACACACACGTTGTACGACGACTGAAGCTGCTTGACCGTGTTTGGAGACTTGCACGTAGCAGACACATCCAGCGACTTGACGGAAAAGTTTGTTGCTGGGACAGCCGCAAGTGCGGCGTAGGCGGTCGCGTCCACGGTGAACGTAGTCAACGGGCATGCGTTGCAATTGCTACCGCTACAGCATGAGCACATCGTGTAGGATGGCGCAAACTCCGCACAAGTTGGTGAGCTTGGACGTGACCTTCAAATTCGTGATGGATGTCAAGCCCGCGTTGGCAGCAAACGACCTAGCAGAAGCAGTCCATGAGTGCTGCACCAACCAATGCGACAAGGACCGAACAGGTCTTGGACGTTCGGGACGTTCAGGTTGTCGACACTCGTCAATTCGTTGCCGGCAGAGCTAGACGGCAAGTGAGTTGGCCATCAAGCAAAGAAATGCTACAATGTCACGAGTTTCGAATAGTCGAGGTTTGATGGAAGGTACTTGAGCCCGACTGAGCTCATCAAGCTCCTAGTGATCATCCAAATGACCCTTGGCGAACGATGCATGCGATGCGTACAGAGTGGTCAGGGACGTTGGGAGCTTTGCATTGTTCAGGTTGGCGCGGTTCGTGCGGTAAAATGATCTGCGCTTAGTACATAAGGTATCGAACAGGCCACAGGAGCGATTCATACAGCGATTTCAACTGGGAGTTACGAGACAAGTCGCCAACGTCCACGGAGGAATACGTGAAATCGCCCGAGACGGCGGTGGCCGGCAGTTCGGCAATCAACCCGTCGAACGGTTGGCCCACACGAACGTTCTGGCCGTCGAACGAAAACGTGGCTCCGTCGGCGGGTGGAATTTCGTTGCACTGGCCGTCCACAATGCACATCGCAACGTCCTTGGACGTGCACTGGGACACCGTGACGACGGCCTTGTACGACGAGTACTGTGTCGGGCACGCGGCATGCATTAGCGCGAAGGAAGCGGCAGATACGACGACGCGGGCCAGCGTCATGTTACGGATCTGGACCAGTGACGAGATGGGACCACACGATCCGTCGTCTGGACTGTCAAATTGACACGACCAATGAAATGCGGCGACGAGTTGAAACATTCTGATCTCCAACAGCCAGCCAGAACAACTCGGCGTCCATGACAGTTGCGGGCTGTGATGGCGATTTGGGTGGCCAAGTCGACGTCCTCTACACGTCGAACGTGCCACGACTCGTTGTGCAAATACATCGTCTTTGTGCCATACTGCTGCATAAAGCTCGACGTGGATCTATGCCAACAGGGGCCATGCAAGCGGCAATGTGCATGCCATCGCAGATGAATGCTTGAAGAATCTCCTGCGGCCCTCGCTTCCTTCGACACAGGTTCGAAATCCTTCGGATAATTTTGGATCCGGATACGTAACCACGATGTGGTTTGTCGTTTGAGGGTCGAGGAGGTCCATCCTGGTTGACGCATCTGAAGCTCCCTCGACCATGGCAGGTAGCCCCGTCGAGTCGTGCAGCGTTGGCTGGAGCTCTGACGTCGTCGGCGTGCCGCTTGACATGCACTTCAACCAGTGGGAGTTTACCAAACCCTGTGTTTTGCGTGGTTGAGTCAGGTTTCAAACACCGAGTGTCCGAGCCGTTCGCAAACGATGCTCGCAGTTCCCAACGCTTCACCAACTCGTTTGCGCGAGTGGCTTGGAGGTTTCTGACATGCTGTCGGTGGGCGAACGCCCTTCTGAGAATCGTCCCATCTCGAGTATTCGCGGCATGCCCAGTGACAAGAGGTCGTCGATTGCATCAATGAGTGTCGCGCGATTCTAGCCACCGATGCACACTAGGACTTCGAGCGCAGCGACTTTACCCCGTCGAATTAAACGGCGACCAATGACATCTGCATCCACCCCCCGTCGTCGGACAGCTCCGACAAGGCCGCCGCTGAGGCCAAGTCACCCGGGTGATGTACACAGTACCCGCCACGACGACTAACGCAATCAACAAGACTCCTCCTTTTGCGCTTGTCTATAGCCCTTGCTTACAGTGCACCGAGTTTAAGAGAACCTCCGACACCGTCTGGGCAATGTGGGCTCTGGTCGTTCACACAGCGCACGTTCCGATTTGTGTTGTATGAAGGTCCGTCCATGCTGTTCTCGCTTCGGCACGACCTTCACGTTACTCTAAAACCACGGCGGTCTTGGCGCCGCGCACGGCAAGCTAGAGGCATGTTCTAGATCAACTAGTCGGAAATGACAGAGACAATGCCAATTTAAACCGCCCTTCAACTGGAGGATCTCGAGATTCGCGAAAATGAAGCGGATTTTTTCGAAAATGCACACCGAATTTTGCGAAAAACGTACACAGACAACCATTCTCACCGACGACGTCATATGTACATGGCAGATTACTCCAAGTTCTTCGTTGGCGACGCCATGACGGCTGGACAACTAGACACCGCGGCTGCCTCAGACGAGGAGTCCTCCTTGACCGTTCTCCATATCAAGGAATGGAAGTATGCGAGGACACCAACGCGATCGTACGTGGAGTTCACGGTCGTTGTCAACGAGCCTGGTGGAGGTGGAGCATCGGCATCCCACCGCGACATCCGCATGATCCAGAAGCGATACGGTCAGTTCGCCACCTTGCATCAAGCGCTTGTGGACCTCGGGTTCGCGTTGCCCAAGATGCCATCGGGCGACTTGTGGACGAATGTCCTCATCAAACTGACTCCGCGTTCGGTCTTGGCACGGCGACGCGAAGAACTTCAGAACATGTTGACGTGCATCAGTCAGTCGCAGCAAATGCAACACACGGCGGCGTTCCTCGAGTTTGTCGCTACGAACTCGTCTGCGACGAACTACACGTCGCTGCGAGATGCCCAGTTCACGCCTAGTCACTTCATCATGCGCCAAGAAACCACGTGAGATTGCCGCAGTCTTGTCAAAGCACCCTTAATATACGACGTTCGGCCTGGTCGTTGGGGAGTGATGATGGATGCAGTGGGCCAAAGGACATGCCCTGCGCTTCCTGTCCGATCACAATGACAAGGTTTGCACCGTAGCGTCACCCTCGTCAAAGGTGCGTGGTCAAGCTCTGCAAACGCAGTCACACAGCTCTCATCCAGACAAGCGGCACCGACCGTGGACGGCCACACCATTTGCCCTACGACAGCTCAACGCAACCCATCTTCCCGAGTACTTCCAGCGGCACCAGCTCGCTCGTCTCAGGAACAAGGGAGCACTTTTCACCTTGCGTTCGGATGGAAATTCCAATTGTCGTACTTCAGCGGGACATGGCAACAATTGCCTTCGTCCGAGTATATTTCCTCACGCAAAACATTAAATTCTGTACAAATTTCTTGTGAAATAGTCCAGGTAACATTTCTTTATCAAACCAATAAAATTTTGAAAAAGCAACAAATTACCGTACTTTGTACTGTACTTTTGTCACCTCTTGCCAGAGGTTCAAGAAATGTAATTGATACGTTTTTTAAATGCATTTTTAATCCGCAAAAGTACGACGTTTGTCGAACTTACCAGAGGACGGTCATTGACGCTGACGTCCACAGTCATTTTGCACAATCGCGCAACAACGTGGCGGCGGCGGCGATACAAATGGCGACGACAGCAAAGAAAGCTCGCCGTGAAGGGGAGAAAGTGTGGTGTCCAGACCCGCGGAATGTGTGGCAATTGGGGTCCATCGTTGAAGACGACGGGGATTCGCTCTTTGTCCTGACCCCCGACGACAATGAAGAGCACAAATTCAATGTGTCCCAAACACATCCATTTGATCCGTCCCATTCGCTTCTCTTGCCGAACGTGTCGGACATGGACAACTTGCACGAAGCGCCTCTTTTGGACCTCCTTCGTAGACGGTACATGGAGGACCTCATTTACACGTTCACAGGGGACATCTTGATCTCGATCAACCCGTACAAGAACATCCCACTGCTCTACAACTTTCCTGACATTGGATCGCTGAGCAAACAAGAAAACCCGACCCCCCATGTCTACGTGACAGCGGACGGCGCGTATCGCGCGCTACAAAATACGGGAAAGTGCCAGTCGATTTTAGTGTCGGGCGAATCGGGTGCAGGCAAGACTGAAGCTGCCAAGTACATCATGCGGGTACATGAGCCATCTTGACGCATGCACCCTCTGAATTGTTTTTTCCCACGTCATGTTGTTTCGTATAGTACTTGGCAAACATCAGTCAGTCGTCCAAGTCACCGAACGCCACCGGAGGCGGCGGATCCGTCGAGCAATGCGTGCTTCAGAGTAATCCGTTGCTTGAAGCGTTCGGAAACGCCAAGACCATCCGCAACGACAACTCCAGGTCCGTCATTCCGCGTTGAAACCCAGTCTTACCGCCCGTGAGTTCAGTCGTTTCGGCAAGTTTATCAAGATCAACTACGATCGGGATGGCAAGATTTGCGGCGCCAGCACGAGTCACTTTTTGCTGGAAAAGTCGCGCATCGTCGGGTGCTCGGAGAACGAGCGCAACTACCACATCTTTTACCAGATTTGTTCTGGGTTAAATGACGCGGAGCGAGGTGCATGCAGCCGATCGACGTGGCAACTCATTGTCGTTGGTAGCGGCACTGCATCTCGAGCGCGCGGACGACTACGTGTATTTGAATCAAGGCAATTGCATCCAATGCCCCGAAGTAAACGACAAGAAGAGCTTTAAGGAACTCGTGGACGCCATGGACGTGATGGGAATCACACCAGAAGTCAAGCACAACATCTTCACCCTCGTCGCGTCCGTCCTGCACCTGGGCAACTTGCAGGTACGCGCGACTTGTGTCCGTGTATCATCGGCACATGCCTGTGGAGTGGTGGCGGCAGAGTCGTTGAAGTGTTGGTGAGTGCACAAACTGAATTGCATGGTGCCGCGTGCTTTCGGTAGTTTGTTGAAAATGCCAAGAACGAAGCGACTTGTCCCGACAAGAAACAAGTCCAAGTTCTGGCGTCGCTTCTTCAAGTCACGCCGAAGGAACTCGAGTTTGCTCTGTGCATGCGCACCGTGAGTGCCGGTGCCCGGTACTGTCCACCTTGCGCAATGACTTGAACCGATGCGTGGAATCTTACCAGAGAGTTGTGGCGGTTCGTAGCGGAAGTGTAGCGGAGATCTGTTTATCGGGGGTTGACGCCGGGAAATCTCGAAACGGGCTCGCGAAAGCCATCTACTCTGCCATGTTTGACTGGCTCGTCGACCGCATCAACGTCGCGACAGCGCAAATGACGGGCGCGACCACATCGACGACGATGGGGGACACTGGTCCTCGGTTTATTGGGATTCTCGATATTTTTGGGTTCGAAATCCTCGCCGTCAACTCGTTCGAGCAGCTCTGCATCAACTACACAAACGAAATGCTCCAACAGCAATTCAACCAGCACGTGTTTGTGTACGAGCAAGACGTGTATGTGGAGGAAGGGATCGACTGGTCCAAGCTGTCGTTCCAAGGTACGGTGTCCCTCGGTCTGTGTTGCACGCCACTGACTGGCACGTCCACAATTTGCTTGGATAGACAACATCCCGTGCTTGGAATTGATTGAGAAGAAGCCGCTGGGCATTTTGATCTTGCTCGATGAACAAGCGCTCATGGGCCGTCGCGCTTCCGACGACAACTTTATCCAAAAGCTACATCAAACACACGAAAAACATCCCAACTACATCAAACCTCGCTTTGGCAAGGAAGACTTTATCATTAAGCACTATGCTGGTACATGCGAGAAAGTTGGATGGCATTTGGGGTCATGGCAGCGCTACGTTGTAGGCCAGGTCACGTACAAGGTGGCAGGGTTCCTCGACAAGAACAACGATTCGCTCCACAACGACCTCTTGGACTTGACTAACAGCAGTCGCATGGCGTTTCTCCATGGGTTGTTCTCTCCCGCGGGGCAATCGCCCAGTGAACAGAAACTGAAACGCGCGTCCATGACCAAGATGACGGGCACGATGACCGTGGGCCGCAAGTTCCGAGAGCAGATGACTGAATTGATGCAGCAACTCAACACAACCACGCCTGCATTTGTCCGGTACGAGCCTCAGCTGTTGTCGATCGTGTCATGACAGAGAGTATGCGCAGATGCGTCAAGCCCAACAACTTGCGGTTCCCTCAAGGCTGGAATGCCGAACTCATCTTGAACCAGTTGATTTACTTGGGCGTGATGGAAACCGTGCGCATTCGCCGGTCCGGGTTTCCCGTCCGCCGCACGTTTGCCGAGTTTTTTGAAAAGTACAAGCTCCTCCACAAAGTGTACGCTGCCAAGACGAAGTCCAACCCGAAGACGGACAAGGAAAAATGCGAGGTTTGTACCAACAATGATCGTGGCAGGCACCGCACCATCAAGCAAGCTGATCGTATTTGCCACGGGTAGCTCATATTAACGCATGCTGTCGAACGAGACAACTGGCAACTCGGCCACAAGAAAGTCTTCATGCGCGATTCCCAGCTCCGACTGCTCGATGCTGTCGTTCGAAAAGTCCGCGTCGAGGCCGCTGTAGTCGTTCAGAAATACGTTCGCCGATTCCTCCAGCGAAAACTGTACGTCTCATAATGGCTCACGTTGGTGGCGTGGATGAGACCACGATCTCACATCCGTTTGTACAGGTTTCTCCACATTCGCGCTGCCATCGTCAAGGTCCAATCCAAGGTTCGCATGTTTGTGGCACGAAAGAAATTTCGACGCATGCGGCACCGAATCACATTGCTCAACGCTTGTGTTCGTCGATATTTGGCGCGCCGTCGGTTCTTGCGCATGAAGCGAGCCGCCATTTCGATCCAAGCTGGCGAACGCGGTCGGAAAGCCCGAGCGGTACGACTCCACTTCCTGTAGTACCGTCAGCATCCTCGTTGTGGATGTGTATCGTACCACATACCTTGATGGCTCAACGCGACTCGGTTGTAGCTGGCTCGGTACTTACGTGCTGCACCCAAGGCCCAGACCGCCATTGCCAGACGTGTTCGTGGGTTCTTGGCTCGCAAGCGCTTTGTCACACTCAAGCAAAGCGGTTTCGTCGTCAAGGCGTCCATCCAAGCGTTCTTTCATCGCCAGCGATATCTTCGTCTACGCAAGGCTGCCATTGCAATCTCCAAGTCGGTCAAACGATTCGTCGCTTGTAAACGGTACGTGCACATTTCGTTTGAGAGCGTCGCGCGCTCACAAAAGCTCGTTTGCGACAGGTATGCCCGTCAGCGCAAGGCGGCTATTCGCATCCATGCCGTGGGTCGGGGATTCCTTGCGCGCTTGAAGTACGGCAAGAAGGCGCGGATTCGGGCTCAAGTGCGAGCCAAAGCTCAAACCGCCATCTCGAGGTACCATCCCTTGTGTGTTTTATATTGGCGCCTTGACGTGGACACCGATTTCCTCGGTCGATGGCCATTGCTTTTCGCAGCATCTTTTCACCCCTGGAGTCGTAGAATGGTTCGGGGGTACTTGGGTCGTCTGCACTACCGCGTCGCCAAGCGCTGCATTGTCATGGTCCAAGCTCGTTGGCGGGCAAACCGAGTCCGAACGCTGTACATTCAAGGTCTTTCCAATGCACCCTTGGCCCATGACGTGACGGGTTGACGTGTAGGTCGTCAAGCGACCATTGCGTCCCAGGCTATGATCCGTCGATCCCTCGCACGACGCAAATTTCTTCGTGAAAAGAAGATGGCGACGCGGCTGTGCGCCTTTGGGCGCATGATCATTGCCCGGCGCGCGTACTTGACGGCGAAGCGCCAGATCGTGCTCGTGCAGTCGTTAGTGCGGCGCTACTTGCAAGGCAAACAGTACGTACTTCACGTCTTCTGGACCGTTTGGGGCGTTTATATTGTTGATGGCCACTGGCATGATTGTAGTTATCGCCACCTCAAACGGCAATTTGTCCTCGTGCAGGCCATGTGGCGCCGCAAACAATGTGTCAAGACGTACCAGCGCCAGCGGTGGGCCATCATCAAGATCCAGTCGTTGGGAAAGATGATTCCGTGTCGTCGGCGCTTGCACAACGCGCGCAAGGTCGGATCCTCGATATTGCCCGCGACGTGACACGATTTGTTTGTAGGCGGCAACAACAATCGCGTCCGGCATTCGAATGTTCTTGGCGCGTCGGCGGTATCGCAAGTCACGAGCGGCATTTGTCAAGCTGCAGGCGCGATGGCGCAGTTTTGTCGCGAAACGCCACTACCTCGCTCAAGTGGACTGCATCATCAAAGTTCAGTCCGTGGTGCGGTCCAAATTGGCTCGCAAGCACATGCAAACGCAGCGCCGCGGCTTGCTTCGAGTTTTGTCGTTGATGCGCAAGTACCTGGCGCGCATTCGTCTGCACAAAAAGATCGACCAAATGTTTGCCGCCGCCCACGCGTTTGACTTGTCGACGATTTTGGCCATGGCCCAGGACAAGGAGTTCCCAAACGCGACCATGGTTCGAGGTACGTGTCGGCAGGTTGTGCTTGAACCCACAATAATATTGTTTCCGCTGGGCTGCCATCGCGTGCATATGCCGACTGACTCGCGTGGCACGTAGTTCGAGATAAGCACAACCACATGCGGTCGTTAGTGCACATTGCTGCGATCAACGGCGACTTGAACTTGGCGCGGTTTGTCTTGTCCGAGATCCCGAATATGGAAGACCAAGTGATCGGGCGAGACAACCTTGGCAACACGCCGCTGCATTACGCGTCGCGCCTCGTCCATCTTGACATGGTCAAGTACCTCGCCAAGATCGTGAACCGCATCAACCCGATGCAAGACAACGCCAAGCAAATGCCCCTCGGACGAAAGTATTCGTCTCCCGTCAACGTCAGTAGCTCGCCCGTCCATGGAAGCTCGTACGTCGTGGCGTCCTTTGTTCGGATCGAGAGTCATGACGTTGCTGTGTTCGTCGACCCAGGAGCACGCTTCGCAAGGATTCAAGCTTTAGCCAGACGCCGCGATCACCCGTCGGCTCCACGGCCCTTCGATCGCCGTCGAATGCGAATGTCGGGCCTGGCGGAAAGCCCAAACGCCGCGCGCTGGTGTCGAGTGCGTCGGTCATGCCGCCAAACCCGACCGCACAAGCCGCCGTGGAATTGCCGCCAGGTACTCGGTTGCATGGATGGAAATTGCTCACGACAGTGTCTGGATCTCTCGAAACAGATACGACCAAAGTGCTGAAAGAAGGCCCCCTTCGCACAGCCAGCGGGGCCAAAATGGCGTCCAAGCGCCACGTCGTGCTCGACGAAAACGTGTTGGCGCTGTACAAGTCGGCCAACGACCGGGTACGATGCTGTGCCGTCGACGAATATTTTGGGACTAAACTTGAGACGGCATGCATGTCAGATTCCTGTGAAAATGATCGAGCTGCGCGATGTGACGTTGCGTCGTGCGACCGCGATTGAAAACTGCTTTGACATTTTGTCGCCGCGGTTGAAATGCGCCAAGGACCCGTACGGCATCGTGTCGTTTGTGGCAGACACAGAAGCCGACGTGCACGAGTGGATGAAAGCCATTCGCGAGGTACGCAACGACATTTCTTCGTCGACGATCCTTTGACGGCGTCGTGGCAGGTGCCGATGGTGCGCATCGGCACACTTGTGCCGCCCAACCCGTCCATGATTTGCATCGACTGGTCCAACCGGAAGGAATGGATCAACGCAAAAAACAACCAGCACGAGTCGGCGCTGCATTTGGCTGTCCAAAATCAGGAAGACGAAGGCTTCGAAGCAGTCAAGACCGCGGTCTGGCTCATCGAAAACGACGCCGATATCAATGCAAAAGACCGCGCTGGCAATACCCCCCTCCACTACGCAGTACAAGAAGAACGCGATGATTTGGTGGAATCGTTGCTCAAGAAGGGCGCGCTGACAACCATTGCCAACAACGCGGGACTCACGCCGCTGGATTGCGCGACGGAGCAGTCGACCAAGGACCTCTTGGCGCCCGGGGCGATCGTTTCGGTCGGTTGGCTTCGTAGGACGTTCATCCAAGGTGGACTGCAATTATTTTGTAGGTGCCACAAGATCGATTCAACCTGTTGCCGCGGCCGACGGGACCGAACAAAGTGAACAATGCCACGTACGTGTCGGTGTTGCTGTCGGCCGTCGCCATTGCCGGGGCGGTCATGCTCACGCCGCACTTTCGCATTTACGTGATGGACGTGCGCGGAAACATCGTCGACACGCCGCAGTACACGCCAGACGCGTTGATCCAAGACGGCCCGTCGCTCTGGTTTGGCAATACGTGGCATTTGCAAGTGCCACTCGAGCACATGACGGAAGGGTGCGTCGCCGTGTTTGAGTTGCTCAGGTACGCATGCACGCCGTCTGCTGGGTCGCAACACGTTTGCTTGGCCTAGATACGACTACCACACGGAGAAGCCGGACGTATTTTGCTGGACATTTTTCCGCCTCGACTTGAGCAAGATCTCGAGTGCGCCGCTGACGTTCGAAATGTACTCGCCGCCCGTGAATCCGTCGAGCCAAATTCTCGCCAAGATGCTCGGGGACTCGTTCTTCCAAGCCGAGTTGAGCATCTCGCTGTAGGAGCGCGTCCAAATCCCTAATAGAGACTCTTCCGTTCGCACTCGACGACGGACGATGAAGGTGGATCCTGTCGTCACCACCAGCTGCTGCTCCGCACACAATCTTCATGATGGCAAATCTATCTGAAGTCCTTATCCCGTCGAATGCACTGTCGTCATCACCTTGCGACGTGCGCGATGCTCGTCGACTCGGCCCAGCGCGCTCTTGGAACTTGGCGCGACTACCACGCGAGATGAATATTGCGCGATGCATTTTCATTCGTTGAAAATCACGTTTTCAGGGTTTTTGACTGGCTATTGCAAAATTATTTCACCAATCCGGTGCGCAGGTTGACGTCCAACGGGCCAACCGTTGAGAGGAAATCGATCGGCGGGATGCAATCCTTTGGCGACGACGACGTGGATCACGACGACCTCGCGGCCGACCCGGCCCCCATGTACTTGGAACTAGGATCGACGTCGCTGGATATGATGCAGATTCCCATGCCTCTAGACATTCCATTTCCAGGAAGCACTGCAGGTGGCACGGCGTCGACGCCAGCCCCTACCGAGCTCGAGCTCGCGCATGTCATGTACACCGATGACCTGATCGACTATTCCTCAAGCGGTCACATCCGACAGCGCGGTGCCAATCGGCGAGACATCAAGATAGCACCCGTCGCGCGCTATTTCCCACTCGTGCCTCCATCGTCGTACACCTGTCCTGGAAACAACATCAAGTCGATCCAACAGCAGTTCGCGCTGCGACTCGCATTTCTCCGCGACCCGCATCCCACGCGTGAAATGCTCATCGAAATGAGCGTTCGCTTTGGCCTTCCTTCCCAAGAAATCACGACGTGGTTCAAGACAGAGCGCCACCGGTTCAAGAAGCAAGGTGGCATTGTGCTTGCAGGCAACGCAAGTTCCAACGCATGGCACATGGCGATGCAGGGCCTACCCATTTCGTCCGCCTACCCTGTGGCTGCTTCTGCCAAATCTGCCGCGTCGGAAGTCGAGAAGCGCGCGGCCCGCGCCGCCGACACGCGGCGGATGCTTTCCCCCTACCAACTCAAGCGCAGTCGCGCATGGGCCGTGCGTTTCCCACCCTGAGTTCTATCGACGCTCAGTTCTGATGAATCGACGACTTGTTTAGGAAGAGTATGCGCTGCTTGCAGACGCTAACGAACGTGCGTTCCGCGTCCGTCAGCTTGTTGATCGCCAAGACGCACGGCTGAAGAAGGAATTTCGCGCGGCGGTCGTCGACGAACCGTCCCTAGGCCTCCGCACCGACCAGGAATTCAAGGCGAGAAAGTCGTGTGCGGATCCGAGCTGCAGTCGCGAGGTCGTGGCCGAGCGCGCCGACAGTTGCTGGGAGTTTATGCGGGCCCGGTTCGGATCAAACTTGCACACGTCTGCCGAGAAATACGTAGACAACGGTGCGGTCCATGGACGTCAACAGGTCCCCCTTCGTTGCGCTGATCGTGTTCATCTAGATGGAAACATCCTCCTCGATGCAGCGCTCTTGACAGGGCTCGAAGTCATGTTTCTGCGGCACCGAGACTATTTTATGGCGCTCGCCCATCGCTTCCGCGTCCAAGGTCCCTTCGCTCATCCGTGCGTGGACTCACATCCGACGGATCGTAGATACGTTTGCAGAAGTGAGCCATAAACGCCAACGGACTGCCACGAACGACGTTGCGCGCCCCCCAGCACCGCCTCAAGACACCCAAGTGTAGAATTCGACGGAGTGTTTGCCGTGACGAGATGTGAATGAAGCAGCTGCAAATGCACGTGCCGCATGGAGTTGCAAAGTCGCCAACAGGGCTGATTTTCACATCCCTTTGCAGCGCACGCACCAGGAAAGCATTCCACCTTCACACAGGGTCTCTCGTCTTGGCACCGCGTGTGGCGCAATTGCTGACGGGAATCCCTGGTCGCGCGCGATGCACGCTGACTTTTCGCCACCGCCGACCATTCACTCGAACGTGTGCGACGCGCCGGTGTACGCAATGTTGTGGTCGCCTGCTCTCTAGTTGCTCGCTTCTGCAACGCGGTTGTCACCAACGTTGGGATGACCACCGATTCTGTAACATGCAGTCGCATTTGCTCAAGTTTCGCCACCAACCACGCAGCATTGTTTCCAGTCAGACGTCCAACAACGATCAAAGTGGAGTTGGTTCTATCGTGGCTTTGCAGCATGGAGCGACGTCCTGTGGCATCGACAAGGTGCTTCCGCCGTGGCTCTCGTGTCACCAACTGGTCTTGTCGGACTGTTCAGCACGCCCCCTGCAAACTCGATGCATTTTCAACGAGACTGGTCGACGTGGCGTTGGTTGCAGCCTCTATCAGCTCAAGCAGGTGGTGCTGCGTACACATCCCTGGCGACTAAAATAGCGGGTCACGGTGGTGGCACATGCACGGTGGCGACGACTTGGTACACACGGCGCCGAGGCCAACTGCACGGCGACCCTCCCCGGCGAGCCAAAGTCAGCGGTATTTCACCGAGCGTAGCCAGTGTAGTGCGCGACGCACGCACGGCTACGACTCCCAAAGAGCTCGTACACGCCACGGCTCGTTGGGAATATCGCACAACACGAGGAATACATCGAGGGATTTCGGTCGGTAAGCAACTCAGTGCACGATCGCATAGTGTGCGAAATTTTTGTGGCACCATGGTTAGCCCGTACACACCCTCGTCGAACTGTCGCACGCAAGTCAAGGTTGCCACTCGATGTTAACCGAGAGGGCGATGCCCGCACTTTCATCAGCGAGGCTTTGACGGTTCAAGTTCCTCGTCGAGCATGGCGCTTTCAAGGCCAACACGGTCAAATGCAGAGGCGGTGGTCTCTCAAACGTTTGTGCGATGTGCGCTGGAAATGGGCGACGTGGGCCTTGGACATGCATGTCTACACTCTTGGCAAGGTAGAGTACGACTTCACATGGTCTAGTCGGCTCGCTGCCAAGGCAACCCCTCGGGCACCGCGCCCTTGAATGCGTTCGGCGTATCCTAATGCGTTCCCTGGACGGTCGAGTTGATTTGGCGATTCGGCGGCAGATTCCCCACCCGTGGTTGCCATCCACGCGGTCGAGTCCATGATGCGGCGTAGCATTTCCCAGTACATGGTAGCGTTGTCCGAGTAGCGAGTGCTGCCTCGCCGCTATTTCGTGTGTGCGACTTCCTCCACATGCGGTTGGCATCCTTTCAACAGGACCAGGCCCTGAACATGTCTGGCCTCAACATTCTCGCAAGCGCCACGGCGATATCTCGTTGGAGCTGGCCAACCCAAAGGTATGCGCGAGTACGGATGCATGGCGACATGACTTGTATCACGGTGGCATTCTGCCTGCAGTCCTTCGGCGAGACGTACAAGGGCATGGGGACGTTGTCTGCAGGCTCAGTTTGGCGTTGAATATATCAACCAAGAACAATGGAGTGTCAAACGAGTTGACAGCGACCCATCCCAGCTCGTTTATGCCGTTCAAGAGGAACCGTTGCAGCAACGTCGACAAGTCCCATCGAACCTTTGCCTTCTCGACTGTCGTGATCGGGTCCAGCCCGTGGGAGTTGTGTCCCTTGCGTTGTCAATATTGGAATCGTGTCGGCGAAAACCACGGCTACATGCCATGCCCAGTCACCGTCACACGTGAGCTTTGTTGTCATCGGCCGTTTGTTTGCATGTTCAACATCTTGATCGAGCTCGGTGCAGTCCAACGAATCGTCCAGGTTAACGAACGCAATCGCGGTGCAGGATGCATGCGACCGCCGATGTCTCTCGGCGGGGCCGAAGGCAGGGGCTTGGCACTGCGGTGTGTGCGGCACAGTGGAGAAAACAACATCTGCGGTGGGCGAGGTCGATGCCGACGATGTGAAAGGTCACGAACGGTTTCGTGACGACAAAAAGAAGTAACCGACCGTTGCGAAACTGCTCTTGTCGCAGTCTGCGGATGATGGCAGCCCTGTGCCAGCACGAACGGACGGCTCGGTGGGCGTCCCTTCGAGCGACGCTCGGACGAAAGAGTTATCGCTGGCGACTACGTGCGTTGTCGCAACCGCATTTCCTCACAAGGTACATCTTGCGACGAAACGATGATACCCGTCGTAGGCAAAACACCTGCTCTACCTTCATCCGTTGGAGCGGCCCACGTTAGCACGAGCGATCGCACACTGACGTAGTGTGTTTGATGGCTTGGAAGAGGGGTCGTCGACAGGGAATGACGAGGCTTCCCTCCCACCGACCCTCCAAGGTGTAGCTGGATTTTTCGAGCGAGGACGGATGGACGTTGGTGGGACTAGACAAAGGTCGTCCAGAAGCATGCTGCTTCACAGCCGTACGTTGCTCCTCACGTTCGATTTCCACCACCACGTGCATCAAGCACCACGTACCTGTGAACAAAGCACACGTCATATCGACAAAAGGGCGACAGCGATAGCCCGATCGAGTACATATGTATTATAATTATATATCAAGTTGAAGTGGCGATGCCGTTCGCCTTCGTACGCTTCACTTGGGACACACGACCTTCATGAGACATGCGCGGTGGGCGGCGACGGTACGCAGCGCCGGCTGCCCTAGGCTGCCTTCAACGGGAGCGTCGGTCGAACGACGGGAAACTCCGAGATGTGGGCCCACGATCCAGTCGTGTGTGCGCGTGCGCTCATGTCGCTGGGAATGCGCACGCCGCGGGCCGTGATCTGTGGCGCGGTCATGAACATTTCCAGCACCTTGTCTGCGAACGTCCGCGCGGTGGTCGGGGGAGTCGATGGTGCGGGCTGCATGGTCGAGTTGAAATTGGCCTGGCAAGCGTCACAGATGGATCGATTGATACAATTTTCTCGACCAATCAGTTGCTAGGAAAACATGACGAACTCGAATCCTGAACTCTGATTGGCCAGAGCTTTAATTGGGGAGACATGGGGATTCCAATATCCCACCACACGGTTCATGCCTCGGACGACAACATTGGGATGGATCGCATCGCGGTATGCCAGGGTCGTTCATGCAGACATGTCGAATGCCTAAAGTGGCCCGTGGTAGCCACGTACAAAAGCAAGAGCCCGCGACGTGTTGCGGGACACTTGCAACGCATCTGCCCAGATGCGACAAATGAGGTTCGAGAAGTTCCAGAAGTTCAATGGTGAGAAGTTTTGGCTCATGTACGACGTTGGTGGGGTTTTCGGGATGGTATATATCAACGTCGATCCTGGCGCGGACGTCGACGCAGCCCGCCGGTGGCCGGCAGCTCGCCGCCATCTATCGCCCGAGGTATTCAGAAAGCGGGTGGAGAGGCACGACAACGCAATGCAGGGCCAGGAGCTAAACGACGACACCGCCTGCGAAGCGCCTTACCCCCAGCGAAAACCATGGTGCAGCACTCTTTCCCCACAATGGAGGAACGACATGAAGAAGGCGGCGGTCACGGCGACATGCCTGCGTGAATGCCTCGTGTGTGGTAGCTGTCGAGCACCGACGAAAAGTAGGTAAATTTGCCTGGGTTGCTTTCCACGGCTGCAGGGCCGACCCCAAGTCCGGTCGCTCTTGTTGAACAAGACGCTGCTGCTGCTGCCATCGTCGTAGTCGCTTCGAGTCGCCGCAACCACAAGTGGGGCGTACATGTGTCGACTGGTCGCACAGAAGCGCCAACCTCGTCTCATCTGGGGCTGTTATGACCAAATCGCCACGTGCTTCTTTCGGGAATGGCATTGCAGGGACTGTGGGAGCAATCCACGCGGTCGACAAAAGAATTGCAATGGACTTGACGTGGTCAAGGTGAGGGACACCCATTTAAAAAAAAATACCAGTTAAAATAAATAAAATAACATTTATAAAACCAAATATTAAATATACATTTTCAAAATAAAGAAAAATTAACAGAAATTAACAAAAAAATTATATCAACAATTATCAAGAAATTATTTAAATGCAGTCGATGCACGTATAAATGTGGAGCCATCACGCTGGCGCATGGAGGAGGAGTCGTTTGCCGATGGCCATGGCATTTGCCACGGATCGTGGCAATCCCAACACGAGGCAAGCAGACGTCGCATGACTTCGTCGGGACCACGACACTGTGAGACGACGATCGTGTACTCTTCGCAGCACTGCCACACACTGCTGTGCCGTGGCCAACTGCACCACCGCCAGCGCCGTCGATTATGTTGTTGATGTCGGCAGATCCTACTTGGAAACGCACGGCCACCGGCGCCTCCCCAACCTGGCGCCAACGTCATGTTCCTGAGCAAGACATTTGTTCCAACATCGTATGCACGGCAGACGACAGACCCGTGTGCAGGTCGGATGGCAAGACGTACTCGGCCGCGCGGCATACGCGAACCTGACCACAAGCCGTGCGAGTGCATGACGGCGTGCGCCACACTCCCCGACTGCGGCTACAACTACGCGGCGGTGCGCGGCAGCGACTGCAAGATGTACAAGAACGCATGCATGTCCAAGTGTGCGCCATGCGCGGCTCTGTCGACGGCGAGTCCCAAGAAAGGTCTACTACAAGTTCAAACTGAACCAGTCCAAGCTCGGGGATACGCGTCAAGCTTACGGAGAGCACACGGCAAAAAGAGGTTGTGCGATAAATAGTTGAATGCCGTGGAGAGATCACGATCGCCGTGCTAGACAAGCCGAGCGCAAACTTTCAGCTTCCTCCCGCGCCAGTGGAATTCTTGCCAAAACCACTTGATGGCGAAGACTGACCCAGCCACTGCAAACGCATGGGCGTAGAGCCTCGATATCGTTTCCAGGAGAGATACCTGCACGAAACGTGTGGTTGAAGCGATGCGTATTTCCACTTCTGGTCCCCTTACCGGGGGCTCGATGTACAATGGCGGCTTGTGGCCGCCTTGGCACGTCCGATCACTGGCACATGCAAACCCCACTCTTGCTTGGTGGACGTCAAACACGGTGTAGTACGCCTACGCGTACGTGGGATGAACGGGACTTGTGGATGGCGCTGAAGATCGCCGTACTCGAAGGAAGATGTCGCCGAGGACGAAAAAGTTGGTCGAACTCATGTCGAGCTGGGGAGAACATGCTGAAAACTCGCACCTGTCACACGGATGTGTCAGTGCCGTTGGGAAAAGTTGGAGCTGCTACCGAACGTAGTCGGTGGCCTGGAGAGTGAAGGGTGGGCCGTGGGGGGTGAACTGAAATGTCAGAGATGGAAACGACGCATGGATGCAATCCGTGCATAGATAGCCTTGCGTGAGAGGGGTATCGCAGGGGGCGTCCGGGTCAAGATGTCGACAGAGCTGCTCCATGACATGCTCGAACACGGCGGCTGGGAGCAAGATCAGCGATGTGCCAGAATCGATCACAGCCACTTTGGCGTTGAGGTGATCGACACGGACGGACCCAAGGGACAGCTGGGTCATTTCGATGGCCCAAAACCCATCGACCTCTACTTGAATAATGCATGTTTACCACGGGGTACGTTGCAAGGTCAAGCAGTACCTTCATCGCGAAGGACGGGAAAATAGTGCCAGTAAGCGTTAGGCCCTGCCAAGACAGGGTCGACCCCTATGCGGGTAAGCGCATCATTGCTCCATTTGATTTGAAGCCAAATGTACCCCCAAGAACGAGTTGCGACGACCGCGCGATGTCGGTTGGGAGAGGGTTGATGTACAGCGAAAACGCTGCCAACCCGACGGCCTCGACAAACGGGTGTGTTGTGATGGCGGCTAGCGCGCCAAACCCAAGTCCCACAATGCCTTCCGACTCAAAGTGCTGGATGTTGACGTCCTCGATTTCGATTTGGCCCATGCGGCACCTTACAACGGCGCTCGTGGACGCTCCGAACGTGATCACGTCTTCAAACACTGTGCCAGCAACAGATCCGCTCCCGTACGACAATGTGAACGTTTTGCCCGTTGGCGTGAACCTGCGCATGTCATCATGTCCGCCGTACATCACTTCCCATGCCGTGCAAGGGGCTGCATAGTCACGAACGTGGTCGACGAGTTGCCGTGATAGCGCTGAGTTCCCGAACAGGCGGCGCAAGTCGCAGACGGGACCCAGATATCGCTTGATCCTGTGTCGAAAATCACCTTGAAAGGCTGGGGCGGCGACCCCACGAAGATCGTGCCGTAGAATTGGAGCTGATCGTAGTTGGTCAACGGAATACGAATCAACTCTACGGCGTGGAAGGCATCATCATGGTTTTGCAGACATTCTGTGGTGGGCACTGGTGGACGTACCGGCGGCGACAGAGGTGCTGGCTGGTCCTGGATGCGTGGCAGGTTCAAGATCGGCAGAGACGATGCACGTACACCAGAGCACGGAAGCGACGATGCTGCATGTCCATGGTGGCCCCATCTACGTAACAGCGTTGCGGGTGACGGTGGGGATCAGCTGTAGGGGGTATTTTTAGGGTGAGCCTTGATTGGAAAACGTCGAGTGACAACGAGGTTGGGTCAAGTTCTTGAACAAATGCACTTGGTTGCTCGTTTGTCGCTTTGGTGAAAGAACCGCGTGCACACAGGACGACGACTTTGATGCAGGTGCAAAGGGAATTCATTAATTCAGAGGCAACATTGCTTGAACACTCTAAGCCAGGACGGGGTATGTGGGACTGGTGGCGACACCGCAAATGTTGTCTTCCTGGGCGATCTTGACGTATCCATTGTCGCCCCAGTGCGTACTCCACGAGTTTTTCACCTACGTTCCAGTGAAATCGTGATGGATTGCCTCGAGTGGACAGCGCCGTACCAGCGTGTACGTTTTTCCAAGGTGCTTGGTATAACCCACGGCAACGACGGAATGGTCCAAATCGTCAATGCCGCTCTTGCAGTTCAAATCGTTATAGTACCCGCCAGAGTAAAAGTAAAACGAAGGGGGCGTCGCGTCAATCGAGACGGACAGCGGACCGACAGTAACCAACGCTTCGTTTAACGCTTGAACACCCGAGATGTTAACATACGACGTCACTGCTGCGAGCGCGTTCGACGCATTGAAATGGCAAAACCCTGGCAGATTCTTGTACGTTCCGTACGTGACTTCAGGCTCCAATCCGCCGTGCTTGATGATCCAACGGTACGCTTGGTAGTCCAGACCTCCGTTGCACGCATTGTTTCCTTCGTCCCACGAGCAATCGAGCAAGTTTTGTTGCGAAAACTCCACCGTTTGGTTGGTTTTGCGAAACCATTGGCCCTCCAGTGCCCCCGTTGTGCTAGGAATGCCCGGATGAGTTCAACAGTACTTGCAAGATGAACTCGACTGAATGAACCCGAATGTCCAGCAGGATCCGCAATTTCCTTGATCTTTCACAGGCGTCACGCCGCCCTTGGTGCGCCAGTCCCATTCATCGGGCAACGCAATGTTCTGGACCTCATATACACCACCAGCTCTGTTGTCCAACGCACGTTTCACCGTTTTGTGTCCAAGGAATGCCTTCATTTCATTGGGAGTCAAGTCGCCCAAATGATTCATTGCCAAAGAGTAGCTCAAGCCCTAGACATTTGAATATTGAGCGAGCGTCCAAGTCTCGACAATCTAGGCAAGTATTGGCGCACCTTGCGATTCATGGCATTAATGTACTGTAAATTTGAATGAAAGATCGACGCTCGACGTGCAGTCTCGGTAGCATTGTATGTCTTGGAATGCGTCCGGGTAAATGTATCAAACGCACCCATGCGGGCGGCGTGGCCTTCGGGCATGCGCATGTGGAGCTACCGCACCAATATTCGTTAAACAACGTGTCACGTTCTATGGATACTTACGTCGTGCCACGGAGTCATGGACGGTACGGTAATGGCCTCGTCGTCGCCCTTTGTGCAATTCAAAGTGTCCACACGGTAATGGAACGTCTGCGGCGCGACCGGCCCAGCACGCACATAGTTGTAGTCGATGATGTACTCGTCAGTGTGGCTACCGCCCAGGATAACGTTGTGGCCGACGAAATGGAACTGCACAGGCTCGTTCGTCGCAGCATTCACAAACAATTTGTACGTGCCAAAGTACGAACTGTTGTCAGGTGAGCCCGCCACGTCGTACTTCCACGAAAAGCAGTCGATCGAATTCACCAGTGTTTTTCCGTACACGGGTTCAAATCGAGATAAGTCGGGGAAAATATGTTGCAGCGATGATGGACCGTCTGCAATGCACCGAATCGAAGCGATGACAGGAATCAATTGGAATGACGGCCCAGACACGTTCAAAATGTACTCCTGGGTTCCTGTACCAACGATGTAAGACAAAAAATGTGACAAAAGCGCGAACATACCGCCATAGAAGCTCAGCTTTTGAGCGCCGAGCATTTCGTCGACGTGGACAAACACCGGTTCGACCAAGTTCATGTACGGCATGCGAAACGTGAGACTTGCTTCATATTGTGAGGGGAACGACGGCTTCTTCGTTGGGAACTCGTCCGCTTGCTTGGATGCTTTTAGGATCGCGATGATACCGACAACGCCGACAGCAATGAGCCCCAACCACACAAACGAGCACCACGCGCGATTCCGCTGAACTTTACGTGTCACAAATCCTGGCTCCGCAGACACGGGAGTGTCCATGTCATGGTACGTTGTTTCTTCGAGCAAACGCTCTCGCTGCTCCGCGTTCGGCTTCTCTTCCTGCTTGTGGGCGCCTTTCTTCGAACGCGCCATCGGGTCTTGTTTCGAGATGCTGGGAAATCGCAAAATGCGAGAAGTGTATCCAAATTCATTAAAATAGAAGTTCATCCATGAATTTATTAGCAGAATCAAACGTCCCATACTCATATCATACATTTATATAAAGCCTAACCTGATTATTCATTGATGAGCGCGCATTTTTATTCAGACGTTTATGATTGGGCGCCAAGTGCAACCAGCATTCTCAAGCGGCGCCACAAGAATGGCGACCGACGCGCCGGCGGTGGCTGCTGCCCCAAAGAAACCACGCACTGGTCGACCATCGCATGCCGTGTGGAGCCACTTCATTCGTGGAGAGAAGCGGAATAAGTGCCACCACCACGTGTACTGTCGGTATTGCTCGCAAGCGCAGGCCCAAACCCTCACCGGAGCGGCCACTGGCCCGGCCAGCGTCGAGTGCATACGTGGGGTGCCTCAGGCGATGCTGCGCCACTTGACAACGTGTGCTTACTCTCCACAAAGCGTTCAAATTGAAATGAAGCTGGTTGTCGCCCAGCAACGATCGAAGAAACGCTCGTCTCCACTGCATACGCCAGCTACTCCCAACACATCTCTTGACGACCTATTGCAGCTTGACGACACCCTCAACAAGACAGCGTCGTCCTCATCGCGAGATAGTCGCAGCATTCACGATCACCCCGTTGTTCGCACGTTTCCACGAAATCCGCCGCTGACCATAGACACGTGGGTACAGGTACACCAACTTTAAGATGCTCGACTCGAAATGTTGTGGCATAACCAGCAAGTTCAGATTGCTCGGAGCGGCAGTGTGCCGTTTGCGTGGCTATACAACGATCACGTTCAGTCGCTGTTGCCTCGGGCACTTGAAATCCCGCCACCAGACAGGATCTTCGCGTTGTGTTCGTCGTCTCCGTTGAATTCTCCATACGAAATGACTCGAGGCATGTGGACGGTGAGTGTCAGCTCCTGGGACTCTGTGTGCACCCGCCAGCACACCGTTGCGTGTTCTGTCGTTCGGCAAGCACCGTTCGCCGCCGTTGGTGCTCGCACATCGGCAAACCAATCCCGCCCGGTCCGTCACACATTTTCCATTCAAGTGGTGCCGCGAAATGCCGACGCTCTGACTAGGCATTTGAAACAGGTTTGAATGCTGTGCTTGGCCATCTGCCTGTGCCCTGACCAAGTCCGTGAGGCAGATTTTGCAGAGTCTGTGCGGTCCAGACTCCGCCTCCGAAGGCCAACCAAGGACGATCTGCCTGGAAGAAGGCGCATTCGTTGTCGGAGTTGTCTGCGACTCGGCCAAGACTCTTGTTGCTGCGCGAGCTGCCATCGATAGTCTACACTTGCCCTTTGTCTCGACCCTGTGTGTCGACAGCATCCTGCGGCTCCTGGTCAGTCGGCTTTTCATGACGCACAAGGACGTCGTGCGGCAAGTCTTGTTCCCGTCGGGAATGCCTCCCCTGGCTGGTTTCTATCCAACGCGACAGTCGTGGGCCACATGGATCGATTGTATTCTGGCAGCGAATGCGATCCATCCGTTGTCCGATGCGTGTGTCGTCCTCCGCGCGGCGTACGCATCCACATCGACGTCAGTCCATTCATTGACTCTGCACGATGTTGTGGAGTTGATGGTGACCATGCACCAACACAACCAGTTCCAAGACGTGGTAGAGACCGTATGGGCCGCCTTGATGGCCCATGCAGCAATCACAGCGCCATTTGCGATCCTCAGCATTGCTTTACACGCGCCACATGGTTCCCGCCACGAGATGTGGAATGTCGTGAGCGCAACTGCTGCTGGATCGATCGTAGCGTTGGTGGCTCCGACGGATGCGCCATCCCTTGGCAAGCCCGACACGAACGCAGACGCGGTGTATTCGCAAACTGCGCCAAACGGTCTGCAATGGGTGAGGTTGGGCTCGTATGCTCAAAATTTGGCCCGCCGATGGCACATGGATGATGTGGCGCTGGCGCGTGATCTCTTGGTCTATAAAAGCGCCCAGACTTGTCTTGCCCAAGATGCCAGTTCTACAGGAACCCCGTCGTCCGCGTCGACCGTGCCAACGTTGGAAGCCTTTCAAAGCAGGTTCGCGGAATGGCTACCTCATGCGTGCAATTGTTGTCGTGTTGCGATAGATTGCAAGCGTTCACGCCGATGGTGCCGTCGCTGGCGCGGCATATTCCAGGGCTCGACTGTGGCGGGCTCACTCTGACCGCTAGAACAGACGTCCCCCACAATGTCTTGCTGCCCATGGTACAACACCAGCAAATGGATGAGGTGGGTTTCGAGTCGCAGTCCAGTGGCTTGAGTTGGAATGAGCGTTGAAAATCCACACGTAGAACTGGACGGCCGATCGGCACGATGGCGAGACCCATGCTGCTTTTGGCAAACCACACCTCGCGATTGTGTGGAGTGCGGCCGAATGGGACTCTATATGCGACGACGTAGAAGTGTTTTTGACCCAAGAACTCGACGAGCTACAACGCCATGGCGGTGTGCGTCGGCCCCTTGTGACGCTAGAAGACTTGAGTCGGTGGTGGCCTGCCTGCTGCCGGACCACAAGCTGCGCTTCATAGCTCACCGACCCGAAGTGCATTGACAAGCGTCTGCAAATCCGTGCCGTTGGGGGGGGCGTTTCCTCGAGCGCTGAACTCCATGGATGGCACCAAAGTGATGGCAGTTGGGACGCTGTGTGGGTTGTGCCTACCGAATTCTCACACATCCATCGGTGGTAAGAGTCGAGCGGGTCGTGGCAAAAGCGGCAGTAAGAGAAGGCATTTCGCCGTAGCCTTTAGGATCATTATACTGAGGTCTCCCTGACCATCTTGGCGGGCATGATGATGGTGACACTGGTTCAGTCACTTCCTCGCCCCAGCGTTCCGGCGGACGTCACCTTCATTTGTGACCAATTTCTTCCCGAAGATCGTAGACGGAATGGCTCGCGCGGGGCCACGACCAAGGTCAACAACGCTTCGGTTCTGTCTCGACGATGCGAATCTGTTTCGTCGAGCTAAACTCAGGACGACGTCCTGCCCGTCGAGATGAATCTGCACTCGCAGTTCACCCACCAAATGCACTCGATACCCGTCTCCCATCGAGTGGGAAGTCCACAACGTCGCATGGACGCTGTATACGCTCAACCAGAGCATGAAAGCGAACCATTGTGTGGCGTCAATGGCCCCCGTGGCGACATGTACATGAAGGTTCAGCTCAACGAGGTAGTCTTGCCAGCAGCTCCTAGCCACTATCTTCCCTACTTTGGAGTACTTTCCGTCCACAGGCGGGTCCACACCCGCGCTAGTGCGGCGATGCACACATTACTTCTTGACGCACGTCGCTGGTGTTTGTGTCAAACTTCCCAATGATAATGTTCGAAGAAACGTCAAATTTTATTCGAATTAGCATGTCATTTTCAACCTCTTTTCACCAAGTTTTTGCACGAAAGTTGTGACTTCTTCCAAAGTTCATCATTTTCCGCAGTTTTTTGACACATAATTGGATTTTTTGCATGTTTTTTTACAACCGCATGGCATGCACCGCTGTCGATGCCACATATACCTGGTGACACACACCACCGCCGATATCTGCCGCCACGATGCCGCCTTTTCTAGCCGCACAAGCTAGCGCCCCTGGCAAAGTTATCCTCTTTGGGGAGCACGCCGTAGTGTACGGAATCCCAGCCATTGCCATGGCTGTCTCCGACCTTCGCGTGTCAACACGTGTCGTACGAATCTGTCACTGGTGGGATTGTTCGGTCGACTCATGTGGGCTGCTTCCTCTTTAGACATTTGGCGGCGACCCGAACGTCGTTGTGAGTCTGCTCAACCTTACAAGCATGCAAGATACCTTGCCTCTCTCTCGCACGTGGTCGCTAACGTCAATTAAAGCGGCGTTTCTTGGTGTCGACATCGCCTCCCCGGACACCTTTCTGCCGCGACCGTCCGCAGCAATCACGGCCGCGCTTGGTAAATTTTTGTCGGGTCAACATCCCAAGGACGCAAATGCTCTCCGTCCTGCGCTCTTTCTCGTGCTGGCGATCCTGCCCGACCTTCTGGACCAGTGCGGCACATATTCTTCCCTCGACCTCAACCAGTCGTCAACTTCCATTTAGGTCGTTGGGGGTGCGCATCCAAGTCACGTCCGGGGAGTTTCCGTTGGGGGCTGGTCTTGGCTCGTCCGCCGCTTTCTGTGTGTCTGTGGCTGCCGCCTTGCTCCGGTTCGTACCCCAAAAGTTGTCGCCGTCTGGACAAATTGACCAGCGACACGCGATGTCTTAGAAGTCGAAGCTCGGACGTGTTGTTGAGCACGATTAACGCGCATGCCTTTGCGGCCGAAGTCCTGCTGCACGACGACCCGTCTGGCGTGGATAACACCGTGTCCACGTACGGTGGGGCGATTCTGTACGAAAAGAGCCCCCAGGTGCGTCTGTCCTCGCGCCGCGTCGTCCTGGCACTCATTGTGGTGGGAAATCCGTGGGGTAGTCGATGTCGTTCCTGCAAGACTTGCCGACCCTGCGCTTCCTTGTCACGAACACAAACGTCCCGCGAGAAACCAAAGTGCTGGTGGCCAACGTCCGAGCGCTGCACACGGCCGACCCAGCCTTTGTCAACGCCCGCTTTCAAGCGATTCACGAGATCGTGTCGTCCTTTCAACAGCAAGTACGTGGCGTGTTCTTGGCGTCGATCGAATCGATGGACGGAGCTCACGTCGCTATCGCTTCAACCGTCCATCTGACGTGATGATGACCATGGGCTCATGCAGTGCTACAGGTTGGGACGGACGCAGCGACAGCGTTTTCGCCAGCGGCATTTCAAGCGATGATTGCGCGCAACCAAACGCTTCTGGCCGACGTCGGCGTGAGCCACCCTGCTATTGAAACAGTGGTGAAGTTGGCGGGTCCTGATCTGCCCACGAAACTAACGGGGGCTGGCGGCGGTGGATGCACCATCACCTACATCCCAGAGCACACGGACGAAGCGGTCGTGTTGGCTCTGAAGGCAAACCTTGCCAAGGAGGGGTTCACTGTGATCGAGACGGTCCTGGGTGGCCATGGCGTCAAGGTTGCTGCCTTGGCAAACGTTGAAGCGTAGGAACGAGCGACGGATAGACGTGGTTGCCGTCCTCGTTCGCGTAACCATCACGTACTAGACGTGGCTTAACATTCCAGACGTTGCCATGGTCAACTGCCTGGCCATTTGAGCGGTTCTGTAGCAAGTTGCCGCCTCTGAATCTTTGCATGGCGCGTGCATGCATCTGCAGGCTCGACGCGAACAAGTTGTACGCGGCGCAGGTGCCTCCAACTTGAAGGATTGATCGTGCCGCTCACACGTGCTGCGACAACACCGAACGGTCGTTCGTGCGAGCTGTGCAAGGCAGACAAGCCCTGCGCTTTCGCGATAGAAAACGAACCCTTCTGAAGCACATACACCGAACATGGCCAACCTCACTACGTCACGAGCGGCGGCGGCATGGCCATAGCATTTCCGAGGAATCACTGAGGTTCATTGCGCACCTGAATGTAGAGACCCATGGACCATCGACGCATGTATATACCGCCAATTCGTCCCCGCACGAACGACAGGTCACGGCGGTGTTGGGATCTCTGGGTGAAGATACAAACGTCGACTTCATCCCTTCACGATATCTAAGAAAGTGGCGCACACACACCAGGGGGAGCGCAGCGCTACTCGGCGGTGCTCTCGCTGGCGTCACGTCCGTGGCGTTGGCAGCATAGTAATTGGCATCAGCCAGGGCATCAAAGAAATCGGACATGCCATTGTGAATGCTGTCCAAACAAGGTATGCGCGGCCGACCCGGCAATCGACTGCATCTCCGTCGAACCCCGGTCACATGAATGATGCGTCAGGATCTCCCCACGAGGCAACGAGGCGTCGGCCCATGAAAGGTCGCTAGCCGACGCCTAGAACACAACGTGTCGAGCACACAAGCAGCCGCCGTCCATAGTGCGTCTCCTCCATGTGGCTGGAACGTGGCGCAGACGGCGGCAGCGACGGACACGAGCTGTCCTTCGTGCCATCCTTCGAGGGCAGTCTTTCGAAGATGACAGTGGACGCAGTGAGGTTTGTGGTTCGTGCTGACTGGTGGTGCCCTCGTCTTGACCGCTGGAGTTGTGACGGCGAGGGGGGGGAGGTTGCAGGAAGGTTCATGGAAGCCATGAACAACGCGTCAAACAGTGTCCGAGCTCAAGTCGAGTCATCCCGCTGTCTCAAGAGCTTGGGTGCAGCATGCTCTGCACCCCTGGCGAGAGTTGCCGACGAAGGCGAGGTCCCGCTCACCGGCCAAAGATATCCCAGTCGACGACGAATTCTCGCAGATTCCCCGTGGCAATGTGGCGAGCCACCTCCCACATGTCATCTCGAGCTATCCTTTACCGTCCATCGCAGCAAAGCACGTCCGGTCGTACTGCCGCGCTCAATCGTCGTGCACGTGATGTGTTGTTGCCAGACTCGTTCCAGGAGATGCTGCAATGTTGGATTCAGCGGCGCCCCATCGTGCTTGGTGGAGCGGATCTGGCTTAAATGAGCAATGGATAACACACCATTCCAGGACAGAGATGACTGCAACTTTAATCGCAGCAATTGGCACACATCCCTTCATGTCAAGGTGGTGTCCTTCATACCGTGGAAAACAGATCGTACCTGGAGGGAGTCGCTCGTCGAGTTGCGGACGTGATAGTGCTTCATATGGAAAGGATCAATATAAAAATGTCGATAAGTTATGGCCAAATCCTTCGATTGTCACAATCAGCACACGCGGGCCCGCGTGACGCGTTAGACGGCAGCGTGGGACTGTCGGGACGTAGCAGGGTGAGCAGTGGTGGCAAGGTTGTAGTCGGCGCTCGCAGCGTCGGCAACGGGCGACAACTCCGCACTTGGATCGCCATCCTCCAACTGCTTGTGCTTGGACGCAGCCTTGATCTCACGAATCCCCGACGTGACGTTATGCATGGCGCCAGCGATACCGCCGACCAAGTATCCACCTGCGAGAGCCGTGCCGCCAAGAATAAACGCCCCGCCGCTGAAAACAGCCTAGACTCACGTACAGATATATGATTCGCCCGCATGGACGTTGAGCAATGTTCGCACCGCAACAGGAATGGCTACCGCGCTCACCGTCGCCTTCTTCAGGCCTCCGATAAAGGTCGGGACATGGTTTTCTTGTTGCTCTGTACAAAAATCACTTTGTAAGCGCCTGAATCAATGGTTCGAATCAAATACCTGCCGGCGGCGTTTCGTTGTTTGGCGCCTCGGAGCAGTGGGAATGCTCTGAGGCACTGATTGAGGGGCGGTGGCTGTCGGAGCGGCCGCTAGATCGCCGACGACGTTCTTGCGACGACTTGGACACGCAATTAATGCTGGCTTCGCCCATTTCCTTGACGCCCATGCCAATGCTAACGGCCATGCCACTCAAGCCGACGGCAACGGCAGTGGTGCCAACCACGACTCCACCGAGAATTGCTCGACCACCATACAACAGACCTTTCGCAGGTGCGTACACCAACCCAACGGCGACGCGTTTGATTCCTTTGGAAGCTACAGAACGCGGTGAAGTTGATGAAATGGTGACTTCGGAGGTGTCGAACCAACGGGAGCACTGGGATCCATTGCGTCGCCGAATCGGTAAAACTCCTGAAAGATCTCCATCGCCATGTCTAGCGTCACGGGCTGTGCGTGATCTTCAATTCCTTCTTTCCCGAACTCGTCGTCTGGATCACGGAGCGAATTATTGGCATGGTTTGTCAACATTACCACAGCATCATCATCGTGTCGTCTTACATCGACGACGAGTCTTCGGGTCGGACAACACATTGTACGCTTCCCCAACGATTTTAAACTTCTTTTCAGCTGCTTCTCGATGGAGGAGGTTCTTGTCTGGATGGTACTTGACCGCCAACTTGCGATACCTACGACGAAGCAAGTAACGCACAGCACGAGACCGTCCAGACGTACGCAGCTTTGATGTCCGTTTCCGTCGCGTCTCGCTGAAGGCCTAAGTTCTCGTAGTAGTCGCTAGAGTCGAAGTTTGCCATCTTCACGCGATGGAGTGCTCAGGCGGGTGTCTCTGGACCTGCCGTGATGGACGTCCTAAGCGCGCGCTTCCGAAATGACGAAAATTTGACTCGATCCAATCCGAGTCAAGAGCATACAATGATCAAGATATAAACTTCCATGAAAAGGTTTAATATCGCATGCGGCGAATTCTCGTCGTGATGATATTTAGTATTCAAATATTAGTGGAGATCATAGCTGACCTCGTCGTGAACAGATATTTGATACTTTCCCATCCAACAACGAAAACCAATCTGGTACTTTTTCTTTCATCACGTAAAATTCTCCGTATCTCTAGGTAGAATTCGACAAAATAGTACTCCGGAGTATTCATTTCAACAAATTTGCATGGAGAGAAGTTCTTTTTGACGACGTACACTAAATGACGCCCTTGTGTTGAACGGAAATAGTGTGATCCACCCTTGAAAGAAGGGCACCATCGCGTCGAGATGACCGATGTGTCGGTGCCAGGACTGCGGAACCTAGGCAATTCATGCTACTTCAACGCGGTCCTGCAAGCACTAGCTGCGTCTGGGTGCTTTCAGGAGTATTTGACTGGGCTCGTCGAAGCCGGTGATGTCGCGTCCGAACAAAGGCCATTCACGTCCGTCCTGCAACAATGCCTCGCAGGTGAGTGGTAATGGATGGAACTGCGTCGAGATCTGTCAAACTTCGATATAGATCTGTCGCCCCAACGCCGCGCGTACATTTCGTCGGTGGTACCGCGAGACCTCAACTCCATGTTGTCCGAGGACACGTCCATGTTCCGCGGCATGCATCAACAGGTCCATGAAACGTGACTAGCTTTACGTCGTTGGCATCTTATTCTTCATTAGGATGCCGAGGAAGGGTTTCAATTCATCATGGAGAAACTCGAGAAAGAGGTCAATAGGTCCAAACCTGACGCTTTCTCGCTGTCGACGCTACTACCCACCCGCGCTCCCAACTCCGCCGACACAGACACGTCGTCGATCCATCCGTTCCATGGCCTCACGGGCAACGTGCTGGTGTGTGTCGTCGCCCTTCGTGGTTAACTCACCAGTGTAGGAATGCAGCAAGTGCCACATGCAGAAACCGATATCGACCGATTACTTTCTCGACTTGAAGCTGTCGCTTTGTCCGTCTATGGACAGCCAGCGGCCATTCCGCACCCTCCGCGAGTCGCTGCGGCACTACACGAGGAAAGAGCAGATCGACGGTACATGCCACGACATTTGGCATCGTCACGTACGTCCTTTTCATCTGCATGCGTAGAGGTTGAATGTACGCATTGCACATTCCTTCAACTCCTTCTCGCCGTCGACAACGCCCTCCACGCGCTGGCCGCGGCGCCCTACGCCGACTCACGATCGTTCCCCACCACAACCCGTTCCAGTGAAGACCCCAGCGACGACGACGATCGAGATGCCCGCCTCTTTAACTTCCGTCGGCTTCGTGGTACGACCAACTCATCCTGGTAGCTGCCGACCTCTGCGGTGGTAGATATGCTGTCGCACCGCGTCGAGACAAACAGCGGCAATCCCGTGTGTGATGTCGACTTGGACGATCCGCATTGCTGGACCCCCGATCAGCTCAGCATTTGGAACGCCAACACAACGTTTTTCCAACAGCTCGGCATTTGGGACACCGACAAGCGTATCCCCGATCTACCACGGGCGCACGCGACGTTCTTCCGGCACGTCATTTTGGCGCGGCCGCCGAAAGTCCTTACCTTCCACATCAACCGCAACGTGTACGTCCATGACACCATCGTCAAGCTGGACGTGCATCTGGCGTTTGACGAGTCGCTGCGGCTCGCCCATCCGTTCGTGCGCCACTGTGTAAGTCTGTCCTGGAGATGTCGCGATGGAATTGATCTCTCGGTCGCATGCTCCTCGACAATTCCTTGCGACCGACCCACTGAAAACTCCGTCGCTCGAATAGGAAGCGATCTCGTACGCGCTGGTTGCTGTCGTCGTGCACCACGGCAACGAGCGCGGCGGCCACTACACGTGCTATCGCCGTGTGACGTCAGCGCGGCACTGGGTGCACATCTCAGACGAGCATGTTGTCGATGTCGCCTTTGCCGACGTGTTGCGGGCAAAGGCGTACATGCTCTTCTACGAAATAACGTCCCCATAAAGCAGGGCACGTGCCCTCCGTCCAACGTCTGTCGAGGTCGGGTCGCGGGTGTCACCATCGAGGAGGACCTCCAGTGCCCTTTAGCGACGCTAACTGCTGGACGTGCGCCCTTTCGTGGCATGTCGATTGAACTGCCATGTACAACCATCCTTTGGCTCTCCCACGCGTCACCAGTGTCGAGACTCAGCGATGTGTGTTGGTTTGGCATTTAAATAGGGCGACCACGGACGGCATGGCCAGCTACGACGACGGAGTTAGTTGGTCGGGAACAGCATACGTCTCCATGTCGAAGCAGCGCTGCATGTCGATGCGATGCTGGTGTTCCTGGAACTCGAGCATTGTTTTGAGTGTGTGTTCCTGCGCTTGCATCTTGGCGACCAAGTGCTTGGCCATTTTTTCCCCCTCGAGTTCTTTCCGCAGACGCTCGGCTTGCGCGCGTTCCAGTCGCTCTTTGTGATGTCGCTGCACACACACTGCGTGAGAGATTCATTCGCACTTGTGTCGTGACAGATATTGCTCGATGGATGGACAGGGCAGCGTACCTCCCGCAGCTCGCGCTGGCGCTTGCTGCGTTCATGATGGCAAACCACGCTGTTCTTGGCTCGTAGTTTCTCCTGCATCATGGTGGCTTCCCGCGCCTTCTTGTCCTCTTCGAGCTCCTGGCACATATCGCTTCGTTTTAAACAAACGTGTGCCGACGACTGCACCTTTTGCTGCTGCCTCACTCGAACGGCCGCCTGCCGCTTTTGCTGGGCCACGTTGAGCGCCTGTTGCTGCAGACGGGCCTTCCCGTGAGCACTTTGCACCGCCATGCAAATTTCGTACTTGTACATTCGATCGATTCTGCGATTGTAGAGCCAGGGCCTTTGAGTGCTTGGCTGCGACGCGCTGGCGCTCTTGGTCGGCGCGGGCCGCTCGCTCCTGCCTCTGTCGTTCGAACGCGAGTTTGGCTTCCTTTTCACGGTAAAACTCCACTTGCAGTCGCTCCGCTTCTTGCTCGGCACGAGATTTCTCCATCTACGAAGCGAATGCAGCAACCACATGCCAGCAAAGTCGTACGTGAAGGAAGCTGAGACGATTGGCGAGGAGTCGGGCAGACTCCTCGGCTTGTTTTCGGGCTTGGTAAGCTGATAAACACAGAGCAGCAGTCGGAGCAACGACGACGGGTGTTGTCGATGGCGTGGATGTCGAGATTTTGGAAGGAGATGCACCCGCGTCGGTGGAGTCGTGTGTTGTTGTGGTGACTGCGTCATCGATTGCTTTCGAGTCTTTGGGTCTGGGTGGTTTCGCCTCTGTCCACGCTGTAATGTGCGGTGGGGATGGCACCGAGAAAGTGGAGGAATCTCCTTCATGATGTGTTTCGTTGTGGCTCACTGCGTCGTCATTCTGTACACTGGAACTAGTTGCCATCGTGGCGATCGGCGAGTCTGGTGAGGGTCCAGAGGCGGTTGTTGGCGGGGCGGCTGACGGATGCAAGGACGGCTGGCGGATGGATTTGACCGTTGGCTGTCGAGGAAGTAGGTTTCCTGCTCGAACGATTTTGCTTTTGAATCCTTCCGGCGTTGGATTTGGCGATACGTCGTTGTCCACGCGGGGTGGGGCAGTCGTGTGATCCAAGACGCAGTACCGCTGAACGACGCGATGTCGGGACTCTGCTTGGTACTTGGTCGGCGAGTCGCTCACGCCATAGCTCACTCGGTTTGCCCGCGGGGATAGACCGAGGACGAGTTCGCCGCGATGCGAAATGTGCGCGGATTTGGGTCGTTTTGAGATGTTTAGCCGCTGGGCGCGCAGCGCCTTGACCTCAAAGATCCGGCGCGTCTCCATGCGTTCGCTGCGGCTGCGGGGCCAGTAGTCAGGCAGACCGCACACGGCGCGTGGCGGAGTGATTCTTATGTCTCCGCAGTCGCCGCCGCCAACTCGGAAGTCGAAACGTCGCGAGCTAAACTTAGTCTGTGGTGGACAGCCCCGTCTGTGAAGAAAAAAATAGCAAACCTTAGCTATTTCAAAATATTACTGGATATTATGAAATATCCACTTTGTGTTTCTTCCGAACCAGCAGCGAAAACGCCCCCAATCCAAAAACATCCGAGTGTTTGCGCAATTTATCTCGTCAATTAATCAATATGAATGGGGCGGAATGGGATTTTAACTTGAAGTTTGTATGTGATGTCATCGAGCAAATCCCAGTGACGCTTGGAATCCACCCAATCGCAGTGTCGGCCTTCAGGTAGCAATTCATTGCGCGCACCATGATGTCGCTGCCTCGAGCGCCGGCGACAACGACGGCCGTCGCGCCCCCCCAACTCACTACGTCGTCGTCGCAATCCATGGCAGAATACTATCAACAGAGCGCTCAGAATGCCCCTGTCGACATCGCGTCTGTTGACGGCGAAGACGACGACGACGACAGCTGCCATCATCGCGCTGCAACTGCGTCCATGCTGCTGCGACTGTGTGTGTACGGGTTCTTCATCGAACTCAAGCCGTCCGAGGCGTATTTGAATGCATTCTTGACGACGGAGAAAGGTAGTCGACGACTGATGACTTCCTACTCGATCGGCCCTCATCGCGGTGCGTTTGTTGTAGGATTCTCAAACCAAGTCACGAACGACGACATTTACCCGTGGTTCACGTATGGCCAGCTGGTCATGCTCGTCGTCATGCCGCTCTTTGTCGAGCGCTTTCAATACCGCACAGTGCTGCTGATCGAGTCGGTCGGGTTTCTCTTTACGCGCGTGCTGCTTTTGTGGGCCACGTCGCTGTTTTGGATGCAGGGTATGCTTGGTTGCTCATCTCCCTCTCTACATCTCACGAGCGTCGTCTTAGCCATGCAAATTACCTACGCCATTGGCACGGCCAGTAAGGTCGTGTACCTGTGCATGATCTACCGCGAAGTGAACCAAGACGAGTATCATCGCGCGACGGCGGTCGTGTGGGCGGCGTCGCTCGGCGGCCAGTTCGCTGCGGGTGTCCTTGGTCAAGTGCTCGTGTCGTCCCACGCGAGTTTGTGGCTACTCAATTACATCTCGCTCGCGAACGTGTGCATTGCGTTCGTTGTGGCGTTCAACGTGCCCGAGCACGCCGACCAGCTCCTCGCTCATTCGACGACGAGCTCCGCCGCGACCGCCATGTTCTCGACTGACGTTGTGACCAACTTGGCCGACGATATCCAAATGCGTCGACAAAAGCGCGCGCGCAACACAGTTCAAGCGCGGACGTGGCAGTGGGCCAACTTCCTCGCCGTGACTTGGGTCATGTTCAAATGCTGCGAAAGCCTCGCCAGCAACTACATTCAGAACCGATGGACGAGCTTTCACGGTACGATCCCGTCACTGGGTCCAGCGCTCACGTTCGCAAAAGACCTGAATACTATGAACGGACTCGTCACGGCACTGTACACCGCCTGCGGCGCCATCGCGTCATGGGTGCTCGCGTGCTGTAGCCGCGCCTCGAGCCCCCAGGTGAGTACACCGAAACTGCATGGTGGGCCATTCCATTCGAACGCGCTGCAAACGTAGGGCCTTCAGTGGTTTCTCGTTGGAGGAGGAGTTATCCTAATGCTGCTCTCGTACAGTCAATCGGTCGCGCCAACTCTGCAGTCGTCGTACGTGAGCTACGTATTGTACGGCTGTGCGTACTACGCTGTCATGACGACGGTACGTTGCTGTCGTTGCCAAGTAACTGTGGCGTCGTTCACGAAGTCATGCAGGTGAGCGCGGAATTGGCCAAGCAATGCACGACGAACGAATACGCCAAGCATTTCGCCATGGTGTCATTGGGGGCGGCCGTCTTGGAAACAGTACGTGCATCGCGTCGATGCTGTCGCTGGTGGTTTAGCAGCGTTTGGTCTGTAGGTTGTGACGTTCTTACTGCAGGATACGAGCGCCCGCACGGCGACGTGGTTCGACGGCATCACGATTTTGCATGTCGCGCTCTTAGGGTTCTACTTATTTGTGTTTTGCCGCGTGCGCCACGACGGCTCTCAAGTGCCCCCTTCCACTGTATAACTGGCAAACCACGCAGCCATGTATCTTCGTTGGGGAGGTCCTGAGTTGGCATGGTTGCAATCAGGGAAAGAGGGCAGAAGACCAAGTGATTTGGAGGCTTATGGAGGTGACTCTTGCACAATATGTAAAGGAGAAAGGACTTGGCGCCATATTCGAGCAGACTACGCCGACTACAAGGCACCCAGGACTCGGCGCTTTCCCTAAAGTTCTCCAAGGCGGCGGTGGAGAGATGACCTCGTGATCGAACTTGGCAATCTTCTGCTTCATCCAATCAAAGCGTCCGATTCAGGAAATGTTGGCATTTTGTCCAATCACATTTAGTCCTTGAGCTGTATTGGCTAAAATCTGCCCGTTGGCAGTCAAAAAATAGCCAATCATATTTTTGAAAAGATAATTCTTTTGTCCAATGATCGGGCTTCAACCCCGACTTCGACATCGTCCCAGCGTTTTTCGATGACCTTCGTACCACAATGCGATTGTTCGGTCTCGCCAGAGTCGGCGGGCGAATCTCGTCATTTCCACAACTGCTTCGTCGGCCCATGTCCACAACTTCGTACGACTACATCGTCCTTGGTGGCGGCTCCGGCGGCATCGCCTCTGCGCGTCGCGCTGCTAGCTACGGCGCCAAAGTGCTCGTGGTCGAGAGAGGTCGTACCCTTGGCGGGGCTGGGCTAGGCGGCACGTGCGTGAATGTTGGTTGCGTGCCGAAGAAGGTCATGTACAACGCCGCGTTCCTCGCAGAGATTATGCACTCTGCCAAGACGTACACGTTTAAAGGGGTGCAGGGCGTCGAGTTCGGCTCGTTCGACTGGCCTGCGATGAAATCGAAGCGAGACGCATATGTCACCCGGCTCCATGGAATCTACGAGCGCAATTTGGCCAAAGATGGGATCTCACTCGTGTCGGGGGTAGCAGCCTTTGTCGACAACCACACGATTGCTGTGGACGGCGCCAAGTTTACTGCGCCGCACATCCTTGTCGCGGTCGGGGGCACACCCCAGTTGCCGTCCATCCCCGGCATCGAGCTCGCGATTTCGTCGGACGGGTTCTTTGCCTTGGAAACGCAGCCGAGAAAGGTCGCGGTAGTCGGCGCCGGCTACATCGCGGTGGAACTTGCCGGCATTTTCAACGCACTCCAAACCGACACAACGCTCTTTTGCCGCCACGACCAAGTGCTTCGCAAGTTTGATCCGCTCGTGCGCGACCACGTCAACAAGGAAATGCGCCGGTACGTCGCAACCCGCCCGTCCCTCGAAGCATCGTCTTCTTCCTGACATGATGTAGAGCGGGAGTGGCCTTTGTGACGCAGTCTGGCGTCGATTCGATCCACAAGGAAGCGAACGGCACGCTGACCATCCAAGCCACCATCAAGCAAGAAAACGGCAGCGCAACGACGCAAGAGTTTAGTGGCTATGACGCAGTTGTCGTCGCGATCGGCCGCACGCCACGCACGACGGACTGTGGCTTCGACCGCACTGACATTGTTTTCGATCGAAAGGGGTTTATTCAAGTGGATGGCCAGGAAAATACGACTGTGCCGGGGGTGTATGCCATTGGAGACGCCACGGCAACGGGCTGGGAACTCACTCCGGTCGCAATCGCAGCGGGTCGTCGGTTGGCAGACCGGTTGTTTGGTGGCGAGGTACACTCCACTGTCACGTGCCCAGCGCGGCGCAGTCGAATTCGTCTTGGATGGTGCGTTGGATCCGCTTCTAACTTGGCGGCGTGTGCTGTAGCCCGATGCGTGCATCAACTACCACCAGATCCCGACCGTCGTGTTCAGCCACCCCCCCATCGGCACGATCGGGTACACCGAGCCCGACGCGATCGCCAAGTATGGACCGGCCAACGTCAAGGTGTACACTTCATCCTTTGTCAACTTGTTTTACACGCTCCTGCCGCCGAAAGACATGCCGAGCACGGCGATGAAAGTCGTTTGTGTCGGCAAGGAAGAGACCGTCGTGGGCATGCATGTTGCGGGTATGGGCGCCGACGAGATGATCCAAGGCTTTGGCGTCGCCGTCAAAATGGGCGCGTACAAGTCGGACTTGGACAACGTTATCGCGATTCACCCGACGGCGTCCGAGGAGTTGGTCACGATGGCGCCGTGGGGAAAGATCCAAGACAGGATTACCCTACCATTCGGCACAGCGCGGCCACCACCCACCATGCTAGATTAATGGTCATATCATCGCTTGTCGCTTTGATGGCATGCGGCGTTGTCTGGAGCTTCGGCTCCACCCTATCGACCAGCATTGTCCAGGCACCTCTTGGCCACACGTGGGGACCACCGCGTCCGCTTCACGACGCTCTCCTCCGCGACGACTCGTCAACTTTCAGCGTAGCCAGAGTGCATCGCAACTACCGACAGTGGTTGGGCTGCAGCTGGTTGACGTCGTTTGATGGATTCGAGACTGAAAGCGATGGCATTTTGGAGGGCAGTCGGGACGCTGGAGGTACATCGCCAAGCACACAGTGTGTGTGCATGCAGCCACGCAACCTAACTGTAAAGGCAGATCGAAATGGCTATCGGGCCCGACGCGTGATGCTCTGGCCATGGCGTGCATTGTAGACAGCTCGGACGCTGGGAGGCGCTTTCTGGTTCGACTGCTCAAGTTGCAGGTGCCGCCATGCGGTGGAGCGAGGGCACCAACGCAACTCTATTCCGCAGCCTCAAGAGTGTGTTCCAAGTCGTTGCAACGTCCATGCACTTGGTCCATTGCCGCCATCATGAGCTTCACGTGTCTGGCGTATTCCGTGGCTAGCCTCAACCTTGGGCAATACACGATGGCAGGACTCCATGGCCATCAAGGTACATTGACGCCGCCGTTCTCGATCGAAAACCACGCCGCGAGCACCAGCATCATGATCTCGACGAGAGGAACGGCGGCAGACCACGGCTCGTTCTCTGACGACGACATCGACGACAAACCGTCGCAGACCTCGACGCGGCGACACAGCAGGCGGTCCTCCACCAGCCAGTCCATTCTTAGCCGCCTCGGCAGGTTGTCGGCATGAGAACTGCTGCACCAACTACACCAAACAAGTCCACGAAACAACACCGCCATCCCCTATGAACGAAAGAACCACCCGTCGATCCTTCATCGAATCGCAAGTCGAACTGCATTTGTGCAGTCCGAACTGAATCAAACCATTCTTCCTTCCGTGTTTGCGTCGGTAGCTTCGAACAAGTTGCATGTGCTCCCTCGCCTCAGTTCGTTGGTCTTTCTGCACATGAGGACGTTCCTGCAACAACGTTCGAGGGGCCGCGCGCCCACCCGAGGGCCTTTTTACAAGCATCCTGCAGCAAGGTCGCTACAAAAGCATCTTGCTTATTGCGCGACGTGCAGAACCACATCCGGCAGTTCAAGTCCTGAATAGAATGCGTGATTGGCACGACCACTTTCGTGCTGGCATCGCGAGCGCTGGTTGATCCAAGGAGCGATCTCACCAGTATGAATTCCCAGCCCAGACGTCGAAGAACACACAAATAAACGGGAGTGCCATGAGAGCCGAGGTGTGGCCGAGTCCGAACGCCACCGCGTAGTCAGGAACGTGTGCTGATGTCGGTGGAGTCGTCGAGCTTGAGGATAAACGATTGAGCTGTCGGGATGCGGATGAAGAGGGCTGCGCCGGCCATGTCGAGAATGTGGAAGTCCATGCCGAGCCGCGAACAAGTCAGTTTCTTCTTTCGGACATCGACTTCGACCAATTCGTGGTACGGCTGGCGCTGTGTCCATGCTCCGTTTGGCTCTGCAGCATCCGGGGTCGGGTGTGCGTACCTTGAGCAAATTCGTGAGCGCCTTGCGCGCCCGCGCGATGCCCGTGATCACCATGCCCAGGCGAGGTAACGTAAAGTAAAACTGCTTGGCTTCCAAGTTGGTCGAAGCCACCAAGAACCGACTTTGCACGAGATGGCTACACGTGTACAACGGTCAGCCTTGTCGATACGTCCTGGCAGCGTGGGATGGCCATTACGTCAGGTCTTGCTCTAGAACGGAGGAAGACGGTGGAGTTCGTTGCCTCGACCGAAACAACGACTCGACCGCGTCAACGAATCCAGATGCCGTGAGTATTGGCGACTGCCACGTGTCAGTGAGCAACGCGACCAAAGGAACGCTGCAACGGACCTTTGTGAGTTGGGGAAGAGCCTTGGCGAAAACCCGAGTCGCGCGGTGCTGCTTGGTGTACTGCAGCATGAACGCAATGTAGTCCGACGTGAGCAAGATCGCCATGGCATGGGGACCTATGTTCAAGGACGTGATTTTGCTACAGTCGTTGAGAAGGAGCACCACCTGGGAGTGAGATGCGCAACGTCATAATCAACCCGCTGTTGCGCATGCGCTGGACCTAATGCAAGGACATTAGCGGGATTGGATTGTCAAGTGAACGTACACTTTGGTCGACGGCAGTGCGATTTTCCACTAGGCTGTAGCTGCAACGGAACTTGAGCGACAACACACGTGTCACAGACAGAACCTACGTACAGCTGATGCCACAAGACGAGGGAAGGGAGATTCATTGCGGCAAACTCGGCATGATATCGACTGAGCAACACGTGGATTGCGGCGAGGGTGTCGTCCATGATTTCATCGGTATTCGCCTAGTTCGTGGTGAGCAATTCCACGCGCACCAACGGACAAGACTACAACATGCTCATGAAATGTGTCAAGAGGCTCTTCGCCACTGTCAACACGTCGGGAAGTACTCTCGCCGGACGCGGACATCAACCGGCGCCGCTTGTGTCGGAGCATGACCCCGCCTTCGATTTCACAATGTCGATTTGTGGTGTATGAACCTATTTAATTTGATGTACCATGTAACTGCATACCGTACTTACCTCTAATATTCAATACGACCTTCATTGCATAGGCATCGCAATTTAAACCGACGAAACAGCATCCACGTGTTCTGCCTGGCTGTAGGGGATAATCAGTTAGATCCATATTTCTTGCTCTTGCTCGTGGGAGCGCATGCGGCTCAAGGTCGGCGTTTCGTCGCACTTGTCATGTCGAACGGGGACTAACCGCGGATGTAAACCTCTATATATATATATATATACATCCGAATGGAATCGTACTTAATCGAGTCGCACCTGATCGGAAGTCGATTTCCTGGTGCCGCAGTTTTCAAGCGCGATGGAGAACGCAGGTTTCGAGCACGTGGCTCCATGGGAGAATCCGTCGACGGCGCTGCACGAGGAAGACCCTCTTTCCGCGAAGCGCACCCTCGAAGATGTTATGGACGACGAAGACGACGACGACGATGATTTTGAAGATGTCAAAGTTGTCAAGAAGCCCCGAGTTGTCGACAACGTCGAGATCGTACAAGGAAACGTTGACGTTCCTCAATTGAGTTCTCATGACCGACTCCATGCTGTCGAAGCGAAAGAAAATGACATCACGGCATCACACGATGTTGCGAGTACTCGAAGCGGAGGTGCCATTGCCACTGGGCTCCAGATTTGTGGCGACACAACCTTTGAAGCCGTCACCCCCGAAGACGACGTTCCTGATACGAGTACCGACGTCGACCAAGTGACTACTGCTCCAGTCACGACAGCATCCGAAATGGACCCGTTTGAGTCCGTCGCGTCTGACAGCGATAACCACCACGAGTACCCTGACGAACGATACCACCAACACGATTCCACTGCACCCTCCGGTCGGTCCGCCGTCGACGTGCTCCTGCAAGGCGTTGTGGACGGCACGTCGCCCTCTGCGCCATCTTCCGTGTCGTCGGTTGAAGCCGTCGACACGTGGAGCACGACAGCAAGTGAAGGCGCTGACGGCCCCCCTGCAGTGATTGATGACTCTGTCTTGCTGAGTGAACAACCTAGCGAAGAGCAACGTGGCCAGCCAAGTTCTGTTGTCTCCAACACATCGGACTACCATGTCGCAGACACCATGTCACCTTCAGCCAGCACATCTAGCGCTGCTTCGAAGGTACGTTTTTGTGATGCTCTAGGCCACCTGGCTCATGCGACGTTAAACCTAGGAACAGCGTTCCGATCTTGCAGACCAGCCCCACGACGGAGAGGTGGTCGACTCGGTGGCGGCGCTACCGTCCCCGTTGGACAACCAGAGTATCGGAGATCTAAATGACATGACTGTCGAGAGTGCCGTGACCGTCTTGGAGGCGCCGCAGCAGCAACTTGCATCGGACACCGCACGCGAGGACACACGTACTCAGGCGCAAGCATTTGTGGCGGAACACCAACCTCAACCGACGCACGCCACAGGCACGTCGACCGCCGCCCCGGCACCGTCCACAGACCATTCCACGCACACTGCAGCAGGCACATCCTCTTCGACGTCGGGGGCGCCACCGGCAGCGCCGTTGGCACGGGAGCCGTCCAACAACAGCACAAGCACCGGCAGTAGATGGGGCTCAAGGCCAACCGGAACAACTGCACACGGCACCACGCCCGACACTGGAGTGGCGACTTTGTCGGACGTGATCTGGACCCGTTTGTTGGACTTTCAGCACACGAACCACATCCACCACGCAGACTTTTCCTTGTCGCAACTGCGACCCGCGACGTTGGACATGCTCGCGACGTGGCCGGAATTTGCCCAGCTCGCGATGGTTGCTCGATTCACCCGCGCCGCCGCCGCGCTGCAGACCGCAGGCAACAAGGACTCGTTGCTCGCTCAAACGATTCAAGAGTACGAAGCAGAGAATCCGACCGTGCGGCAGTTGGTCCGCTTGCCGCCATCGGAGGTGACGTCGCAGGTACGATTCGCTGTGGGCTCGTCGGCAGGGCTCAAGCGCGAGTGTGTAGGAAGGACATTTCTCCTTTGGCTACGCTCCTCCCCAGCCGTCGACCGGAATGGTCCCGAACCCTCCGCGGCGATCGTACAACGTCGCGGTCGAGTTGTCGCAGCACAAGGACAAGTTTCTCCTGGATGAATTTGGTCGAGTCAAAACGGCGGCGATGGCCACGGCGACGGTTCCAGCCACGGTTGCAGCAACGACAGCCGCAGCCCACGTCACCAGTGCACCGAGTGGTGCGAGCACGAACGCCCGTCCTGCAAATCACGGCGGCCGACACCAAGCCCCCGTTAGTCAAGGCTACAACACTGGTGGCCCACGCGGTGGTCGTTCGCCGCCCCGGCGATACCAGGGCCGGAGTCGCAGCCGTAGCCGCAGTCGAGACCGCCGCCCACCTCCTCAGCCGCACCACCATCACGTCGACCGCTACCAAGATCGTTACAACCCGCAACATGCGCCACGTCCGCACCACCACGAGCAACCACAGCAGTATAATTCGCACCAACAGCAGCAGCGCTTCCTTCCACCGCAGCAACACCATGTACCTCCATCATACCAAGGCCCGCCACCCCAGCAACACTACCCTCCTTCGTCCCATCACGGAGGGCACCAACAGCCGTCGTACCAGCAACGATCCCAACCGTACGAGCCACCTCCGTCATCGTACCGGCAAGAATACCCGCCGCACTCGTATCCAGACCGAGGAGGCGACCCCAACTCGCGGCAATACGCTCCGCCACACCAGCCGCCGCCGCACCATCCGCACCAGCAGAATCATCGAGGACCTCCCCCGTCGCAGCGGTCGTATGGGGGAGCGCCGCCGCCGTCGTCGTCGCAAAACCTCGTCGAGGACTTTCGCCGGTCGGAAATCTTCCATCGCCTCCCCCTCTCGATTCGCGACGCCCTCCAAGCGCTGTATGCCAAGGGCCAGGTCCGCGAGCTCCTCAACGACTCGGTCCTCTCCCGCCTTGTGAAATTGCCCGAGCATCTGGCTGTTCGCGCGGTCGAGAACCTAACCAACACGGACTCGTCCCACGTCGACAACATCCACGGCTTCTTTGTCGGGATTATCTCGCGTGTGTACGAGCGCGATCGAGGTAGGGCAAGTTGTTTTCGTGACATTTGGCGGGTCCCCCATCCTGGCACATGAACCATGCCATGGCATTGCCATTGCGTTCACCATTTGCGGCTAGGTCCCCCACCCACTGCCAACCTGCCGCCGCTTGGTGGCCCCCACGGCGGCGACCCTCGGGCGGAGTACTCGTCTGGCGCAAGCGACCCCCGTCTGCGAGGAAGTGACGTGCGCGGCCAGCACCAAGGAATGAACCAGCAGGCGGGGATGTGGTCGCAGAATCCCGTGCACGACCAGCTCATTCGTGCGCTGTCGCCCCAAGTGCTGGCTCAGCTCCAGCACATGGCGTCGACAGGCGTCATGTCGTCGGTCGACGAGTGGGGTGAAAAGTGCTACGAAATTCTCGGCCAGCTCTCGGAGAGCCTCGCGATCGAAGTGCTCAAGCGGTTTACGATGGCCAACCTCGACTCGGTGCGGAATCGATCGGGGTTTTTGATTGGCGTCGTGAAGCGATGTCGCCAAGAGTACGGTCTCCCGCCGTAAGGAAGAGGATGGCCCGGCGGCACCTGGACGCCATCGAACTGACAGCATAACGTTTATAGCGCTACACAAATACACTTGTCGATGAAATGCCCGGTCGCCACCATTCTCCCATGATGCGAACGCATGCAAAAGTTTGGCGCGGAAATCAACCATCGACGACGTCCATGAGACATGGAGCGTACAGCACGTTCGGTTGGTGGGACGATGGCATGCACCAACGGATGTCCGCATTGCTCCATCGGCAAGTCGTTGGGCTGTCCACTGGTCCAATTCGTTTCAACGATACGTGTTGGCACGCCGGCGGTAGCCCATCTGGCGATGGTCGCTGGGAGACAGGACCGTCAGCACTGCAGCCAGTAGCGCCAGATGCTTTGTGGATCCATCAGCCAGAGAGATAGCCGTGGAAGCGTCCACATTGGTCGTCAAGATGCTGGTGCTCGGCGCCGTCAGCCAAACACACGTGCGGGATTCATGGAGCTGTCCTTAACGCGAGGGATGGAACGAGTTGCGATTCAGCATGGTTAAAAGAATGCGGCGACGCGGGCCAGAACCAAGCAAAACGTCCCCGAGAACGCGACCGCTACGACCGGAGGTGACGACGAGCACGACAAAGGAGGATGGGGCGTACTATACTGCAGGATGCGCTTCTCGAGCTTCTCGTTGGCAATGTGCAGGGAATTCAACGTTTCTTCGTCGGTCTTCTTCTGCAGGAGAAATTCGCGCTCGACCTTGGCCAGTTCCGTCCGCACTTTGTCCAAGTCGAGCTTCTCCGTCATGCGAATGTCGTTCTTGAGGTTGCTAAAGTCGCGCTCGATCACTTCCCGCATGTGTCGGTGCGCAATTTCTACCCAGATGCAGCCGTGTCGACATGAGACCGACACACGATGTCGACAGCGAACCAAAGTTCATCGTCGAGCGGAGCACTTTCTGCGTCAAGTCCGTCTTCAGCTCCAAGTGCTCGTTCTTCGGTGTGAACTACCGTCACAGCGATAAGAGCATGAAGATCCATGGAGGCAAACCAGTGTCGTGCGGGCCGAGTTCATCTCGCCGACGGCACCTCGTGTCACGGTCAGTATCGCGTCGGCCTCCTTCGACGTGAATCCTTCTCACGGTCGATGAGAGCATGCCGTCGAGGACATGACCTACCCTTCGAACGGAGGTTCTTTGCGAACAAGTGTGTGTCAAATGGAATGGCCGTCGCCGCTGCCATGCAGAATCCCCGCCGAAACGGAAGGACACTCAGCCACAGTCGCGCCATCATGGTCGCCACCATAACACCTAACACTGCGGACGGCAAGCGAAAAATCTCCAATTTTTTCATAAATTATCCTCAAAATTTACCGAAAATTCTGTAACCGCGAGCCGTCGTCGCTCTGCCCCGACGGGTAAAGAACATCGACGCCATATTTCCCATCGTGGCAGCCACGTCGACGGGCACCGTGGCCGCCACCAACCATAGCATGAGTGAAACATGGCAATGCACTTCATCCACGCATATCTTGGTGAACGAGGAGATCACCTCCCACAACAGATAGGGAGGAATGCGAGTGTGCGTGCGTTAACTTAGGCGATCAAGTGATGGTCGCTGTCATCGGTCGTTTGGATATCTGTGCGCAGCTCCTTGGCTTGGTACGTCTGTTCTTCGGCCTGGAGGTCCATGCTTGCGTCAGCATCTTCGTCCCTCCGCTTCTTCTTGTCGTGGCGGTGGTTCCGCATGAAGTACGTGCCGTCGATGAGAGCAACCAGTTCCGGCCACATTTTCAAATGCGACAGCGTGATCTTGAACGATGCAGTCAGCGGCACCGACAGCATCATGCCTACAACACCTCCGATCGATGAGGCCGCCATCCCGACGATCCTCGCTCCTCGTCCAAAACATACCCACAATGCTCCAGAGCAGCCCCCACGCCGACAAACTGATGATCACGACCACTGGCGACATCTCGAGCTTCTGCCCGAGAATCTTGGGCTCGACAAAGTTTCCCACAAACAAGTGAAACACCCCCGGGAGAACGAGTGCGAGAAACTTGTCCATGGGAGTCATGATCTCTTCCGGCGAGATCAGGATGATGCACAGCGGCGCGAGCGACGCGATCATCGCCCCGACGTTCGGAATCCAGTTCATGATAAATGTCAGAATGCCCCAGAGGATGGCGAGACCGACATTGAGCGACACGTACGCAATCGTGACCAAGAGGGCCACAAGAAGGCTGAGGTAGCACTTGAGCGTAACAAATCTCTGAATGTCGTGGTCGATCTTAGCCCAGACGCCCCCTGGTTGACACGTCAGCGGCCGGAACAATCATCATCCATCGAACAAATGGCGTCCTCGCACAACACGCAGCATGTCGGAGGAGCTTGGATGCCTTTCAGCCAAAGCGAACGCCACCTCGCGCTGCCTCGACAGCGAAAGTTTTCAGAAACGAATGCCCCGGCATCGACCATGCCAGTTTGTAGGAACAGCATCCGCCACGACAGTAACACATTTCTTCATGGCCACTGGACGAACATGCACATCACCCAAGACATGCCAAGATCGTTCGAGTTGAGCCATAGTGGCAATCGCAGGCATCCCGAGCACGTCGGACGAGGGTACATGGGCGTACCTGCATCGCTAGCGCGCACGCGGGTGGACAGGAAGTAGGTAAGGTAGATCATCGTGACAAATAGCGTCGAGAACAAGTCCATCATCTCGGTCAGGACGAGCGTCGCGACCTTGTCCACGTTTTCGTGCAGTGTGACCGTGATGTTCATGGGGAGGCCGACTTGCTTGGAGATGTTTTCAATCGATGCTACCAATGCATTGTACCCCTTCTGGTACGCGCCAACATCGAGCGCATGCACCGACAGAACTGTGATGTACCCGAGGAGCCCGAAGAACGTGCATACGACGGACACGGCGCACAGAGATGCAAATGCGCGCGAACAACCGCGCGACCTGCGGCGGGAATGACGCCCTGCACGATGCGATGAGGTGGAAATTGGAGGATGAAGCATACCTCGAGACGTGCAGACGCACAGAAAGTACCGCGGCGACACGTCGATCATCTCGACGAGGGGATCGACGAGGTACATGAGGAAGATCGCGAGGAAGAACGGGACCAACACGACCTTGAACCAGTTCAATAAATAGCACGTTGCCGCAAGACCTGTCGCAAGTAGCGCACCCTTGACTTCAAACGCCAGACGCTCCATGGGACGCGTGAGGTTGGTCACCAGTTCCGGCAGCGACACGGTCACCGACGATGGCGAGCCGAACCCTGTCGTGGACGATGTCGACTGGGTCGGCGTGTGAAGATCGTCCACAGACACACTGAGAGACGAGTAGGGAATGCTGTCGGGACCGTGGGCATGCAGTTTCGATGGAAGCTTCGACAGTAGCGCAGTACTTCCACTCAACCGGCTGCGTAATGTCGACTGATCTGTGATGGAGTCAAGAAGAGTGGACGTCGGTGGATATGGCATGCCGCTCTGGTTCGACTGGGAAGCATCTGGGGACATCGAACCTCCTCCTCGCTGCCGCAAGTCGGCGCCAGAGCTGCTCGGCGATTGACTCATCGGATGTCGTCGTGTGGCCGTCCAGGTGCTGCTGCGGCGGGCCAATATATCCGGTTAACAAGACCTACACCCCGTCCCGCCTATTCAAAAACCAAGAAAAACTCCAAGACGGGCTATCCGGATATGCTGGCCCCAAAGTGACGGTAATCGTGTTGGACAAAGGGACATTTGTCGGTGCCTCCACGTCATGCAGCTAGAAGCGATGTGGCTGGCAAGGTTGCATCTGTGGTGGGGGACGTGGCCTGCGTTGAGCAAGGTGCATGTGAGCTTTCCATGCCATTGCCTTGCTATTGTGCCCGCTTGCAGCGTTGGCGCTTTCACAACAACCGGGAGCTTTTTCGATTCTGCTTGGCCCTGTAGGCCAATGCAGCGCATGTGACCACTTCCATTCGACGCAATTCCCGCGCTCCAGTGCCATGAGCAATTGGCATTACTTTTCCCGAACGGCATGCCATCGAGCTCGACCGGCATGGATGCAACTCGCAATGTACAAGATGTCCCAAACCCGTTAAACATGATATCATTTGTCGAGGGATCTAGGCATTTGTGGTCACGAGGCATATGGCTGTTTGATTGGGTGAAATGTTGCGGAATTATATCCCAAGTCAAGATATTGATTGGCTATAATGTCCAGCTCCATTCCTTCGTCAGCCCCACCCGTCAGTCGCCCTGCTGAAGATGTCGTCCTTAACCGCCACAGCACGGGCTGTCTTGAAGAACCCGCCTGGCCGCTCCTCCGCATCGCCCATCACGGCCACCGTGTTCGGTGCCACGGGTTTTGTAGGACGCTATGTTTGCGCGCAACTCGGTACGTCCATCTTGGTCATGAAGTATCGATTGGACAGAGGTAATTGACGACTTCCACGTATGCGCGTGTAGGACACATTGGCGCCACTGTGGTGACTCCATACCGAGGTGACGACATGGAAGTGCGTCACTTGAAGGTGAACGGGGACTTGGGTACTGTGGCCCACGTCCCGTTCAGCGTCCGCGACAAGGACTCGATCCGGGCTGCCATCGCTGGCTCTAACGTTGTGATCAACCTCATCGGCAAGCATTACGAAACGAAGCATGCTTTGCCGTGGTGGATCAACTACACGTATGATGATGTGCACGTGGATGCCGCTCGCGACATCGCCGAAGTTTGTGCGGAACTAAACGTCCCTCGCCTGATCCACTTTTCTTCGCTGTTGGCCAAACCCAACTCGCCGAGTGTGTGGGCCGCGTCCAAGTACCGAGGTGAAATCGCGGTGCGCAAAGCATTCCCCAATGCCAACATTGTGCGTTCGGCGACCATCTACGGCCCCGAAGATCGCTTTCTCAACTGGTATGCGCGCCTCGGGTCTGCGATCCCTCTCATCGACAACGGCGCTGCTCGCTTGCAGCCGGTACTGTTCTTGCTCCATCATGTCTATTGAAGTGCGTTGTGCATTCGATTAATGGGAGTTTCTCGTCCAGGTGAACGTGAACGACGTGGCCAAGGCGCTGTATGCGCTTGTCGTGGACACGACGATCAACGGCCAAACATTCGAGTTGGTCGGCGACGAAGAGTACACGACGAAAGAAATCGTCGACTACGTGCTCGACGTGACACAGTCGGACCCGCAACTGCTCAACTTGCCGCTGCCGGTGGCTGAATTGATTGGAAAGGCGATTCAGAACCTGCCAGAGCCAAAGTTTTCCCAAGATTTGGCGGTCCGATTGAGCTTGGACGACGTCAAGACGTCGTCGTTGCCGGGGTTCCGCGAACTCCAAGTCGAGCCGTCCAAGATGGAAAAGGAAGCGTTCTCGTTCTTGTTCAAGTACAACAAGGGCGGCCATTTCCAAAAGGTCGAAGGGTACCATTGAGGGGTTTGCCTTTGCAAGGCCGTGACGATGTTATTCCCAGTCAATATACACCAGTTCCACTACGTCTCATTGGAACACTTGCCACCGGAAGAGCAGCAGCAGACATTGCCAAGCCGACATGTCGCAGTAGTGCCGCTGGTATCCTGGCATCAGACACTCGACATAGAACGCCTCATCATGCTGTTGAGAATGTCAATTAGAATTACATGTGTAAGTGCGTGGTGCGACGGCGCTTGCATGGAATAGGCAAGTTTGAACTGGGGTTGAAAACTCCACAGGATGCGGCTCTACTTGAGCTTCTTCTTGAGGTCGCGGACTTCGGTCGTAGCGCGCTCGGCGATGTCTTCGTTGCGCAGCATGTATCGATCGGCAGCCCACGTGACGAGGAATCCCATCGCCCCGAGTGGCAACTGGTCATGATTGAGGTCACCCTGAAGTTGGTATTGGATCAAGTTGTACGTGTTCATGCCAAACCAAGCGAGTTGTACCACCGAGAGTGCGAACAGGGCTTTGAACACAAGCAGTGGGTTGCTTGTGGCACGATGGAGGAACAACAAGTTCAAGACCACAATTGCCACCGACAGGACTTCGTACACAATGCCAAAGCGAAACACAAACTTTGCGGTCTTCAACAAATTGTAGCTCTGGTACAGCGCCATAGCGCCAACGATAGCTGAAGCCTTGGTCAAGAAGTCTTTCCATAGACCATTGAAGTACACTGTCTTAGCATGGTGAGTGTATACTTCCTTCTCCAAGTCGGCGGCGGTCTTTGCGGGGGCTTTCATCTCGGTCAACTTCGCAAAGTGACCAACAGTTAACCGGTGCAATTGAACTCGTATCCGGATGACAGGAGTGCGACGACTATTCAAATTTGCGCGCGCGAAGGACAACGATCCCTCAACACATCAAGACGCCATCAATTACTTCGGCGCTGCCTAAAGGTGCAGCAAGCCGAGATTGCACAGTGATAACACGGCAATCTGTCCCGCGTGCGGATGTAAGTGAGTTCGACTTGCACGCATGAGGTCTGGTGCCACCACGGGGAACTAATCGCTGCAAAATTCACAGCTGTGGGCATGTGCATCAGCTTTCCGACGTGCTCTGAGTGGTTTCGACAAAGTTTCGAGAATGTCACTATGATACGAATGTTTCCACGATGCATGATGATGATGCTCAAGTGAAAATAGAGGTAGATGCATGTTGCCTCTTCCATCATGGCACACGTCAAGCTCAATGATTACTCTTATCATGAAATGACTCACGCCATATTGTTGGACTTTAAGCAGACGAACGCCGTTGATGAAGACGCAAAATCGATGTTCTTGACGAAACGCCGTTTCACTTTTGCTGATCGTTACAATGTGAAAGAGCTGTTTGCAGCCATGCCGAGCCCAGGAAATCCAGGTAGGTTTCAGCCCTGCACCACAGGTTTTGTTGTGGCAAAGCTGTACTATACCCAGACAAATCCACCCTCACGAATTCTCTCGTCTCTCGAAGTTGGTGTGGGAAACGACGCCTTGTGGAAGCAGCTTTGGGTGTTTTACCTTGCGCTAACCTGGGTTTCCAGTCGAAATTACCCACGCTATTGGCCACGGACATGCAACATGATCTGTGGCGGTCAGTTTACAATGCCTCGGGAACTCAATCCTGTTTAGTGGATCTGGCCTATGCGCATCGATCGACAGTCACAAGCGAAAATGCACTCATGGGCTCGACAACGTGATTGCTGCAGCTGACTACATTCCAAAGGACTACCCAACGTTGTGCGCCAAAAACGCTGGTCACCAATTCAGTCCTCTCCACTGATTGCCCGATCATTCCAGTACACCTGTCATACAAACTTGATCGCGATTGTGAAATTGCTTCGCCACCAGAAGCAAGGCCGGACAAAGTGTTTGCCATTGTGGCTCGACGTCAATCGAACATGGCAGACTTCTCGCTCCGAAGCCCGTCAAAGCCAGTGTTACAGCCAGGTGCCAAACCAATGGCGCCATATATTGGGACTGAAGGTTGCCGAATGTGGACCCTGCGATTCTATGTACTGGCACTCTATGGCGGTTCGCTACGAGCTTTCCCGTCCGCCATGAAGCAGACTATTCGCAACAGTGAGACCATTCCTCGAAAAGGTGACGGCGTGCAACGTTATAGTCCCTGTAGCCGATGATGTTCCGTACTGTCAAGGTCTTCAATACTACCCTGCGAACCTTTTTTGGCGAGGGTGTGGTCGAAATAATCGAAGTCGTCTCCTGTGGCCAACCAAAGTTAGATTCGAAGCTCCAGTTAGTTGCCCTTGCCAACAAAGCTTCGTCAACGTTCTTGCTCAAAATCGCGCGGTGGACTGGCCGCTGCAGGCAGCTTTCGTAGCGTTTGAAAGCACACTTCAACCACTGGGGTGTGTGGAGCTCAAGCACATTTTTCGTCTCCTCGTGCTGCTTACCCATCTACCTTAAGTGTCTGCGGTGGTCGACTGGTTGGTACGAACAAATCCACTGGCGCATCGCGCGCGCAGCGCACGGCATTTCGTCTTGCATTCCACGGATGATTTCACAGTCCACGTGACGCAGTCAACGGTAGTGGCACCTTCCTATGGGGACGTGAACCAAACGCTCCATTTTCTCATTGGCACCGAGCGTGTCTTCACCATCGCATGTCAACGGGAGTACGTCCGACCCACCACCATGCAATGGATCATTTGCTTTGCTAGGTTCCGGTCTTGCCCGCTCCAACCTGACTGAGCTTACGTTGCGATGCACCAACGTGTTACCCGTTCGTGCATGTCGTTCACTCAAGCTTTCTACTCAACACGTCGTCGTTCTCGACACTGGACCATCCGCTCTGACTGGGTTCGTTCAGTTGGCCCAAAACGACTAACGACATACTTATTCAACTGATCAACGTCGAGGTCACGCATCTCGCCTCCAAGCGCTGCGGGCCCACAAGTCGATTTTTGGAGAAGATATCCATTTTCATATTTCACGCCTGGTACTTCATGGTGGAGTGTGGAAACTGGAGACGTGGTTTGGTTTTTGCTCGTAAACGGAAGGACTCTAGTTCCTATTTCAACCAACCTAGAAGTCCCAGACTATGCCGCATCTTTTATGCGAGTGGCGTGCACGTATATCACGGGGATGACGGGGCATCGGCCTCGCGTGCTACTTGTGTCGATCATCTTCGGACGATTTAAGGAGGAACGATGAAAGTTGATGGAGCTGATCGCATTGCTGTGGTCATTTGGATCGTCCGCCCGCTGCTTTTTCTCGGGAGAGCGACGACTATGGCCAGTTGAGCAAGGGCTCCCTCGAGTTGGTACCGGCTGATGGGTCCAACTACGTGCTGCAACACTCGTCCAGCCGACGTCATCAACGTTGTCGCTTCCGTCATCGCGTCGGGCGAAGTGCTTCGGCTTATGTGCGTCATTCAAGGCAATTTCAATGTGTACACAAAGCAGTACAAGTAGCTCGGGTTGATCCAACCTTTTACCGGGCTGCTCTCGATCATGTCCCACTTGGCGCAAGTTGATGCCGTCGAATGGCAGTTGGCATGCTCGTCATGTACGGCGAACCGATCTTACATCCTGCGTTGGATGCTTGGGACCGTCGCACTCTGCCTTGTCCATCGGCGTTGGACGCATCGTCGCTCTCTCGATTGTCTCTTCGATCCTATGTTGTGCTCTCGACTATGGGGTGCATGCCGACACAGGGACCAAGTGCCATATTTTTTCGGCATGAGCCATTTTAGTATTTGACTCGTTCGATAGGGTCAAGGGAGGCGTGTGTACCATACTCACATTACCATGGACGGAATGTCATGGATTTCGACGACAGGTGGGCTATTTTGACATTGGGTCGGCTGCTGTCGCTGGCCTCTTGTCGATTCTCCTTTTGGACATCAAATCGTGCAAGGTTTGCCCGAATGTCGTCCCCGATTCCCGACGCACCGACCTCCACGACTAACGACTTCACCCGCTTCGGTGTTGCCTTGACGCATGGAGTCTCCACCTGCGCGTTTCCCTCGCTCACAGCTTGGATTGCCCCCATACACTTGACCATTCCTTGCGAATGTGAAAATGGACTGGTGCTTTATGCAGTTGCTGGCCATGTGTGATACACCATCGGCAGCTTAAGTCACTGAGCGATTCCGACTTGCGTTCATTTGCTCCAAAAGGTTCAAGTGTGTACTTGTGGAAATATCGAGTTCAAGCAATTAGCAAGTGTACACGCGGACGACGGCGGCAATCGCGCTTCTGCAAATGGGGCATCCGCTCTTCTTTTGAACGACAAGGAGGCAATTGTAGCATCCCGCCAAGTGGCCGCACGGGACGCACACTGCCGCACGTGGCATGTCCATGCAGATCACGCACTCGTTGTTGTCCATCTTGGCGGCGTGCCCGTCCTCGTTATCCAACGGCGGAGCCGACGGCGACAAATCCGCCATGTTGATATCGTGCTGTATGCATTCCATTTGCGACGACGACGTGCGGAAGCGCGGATCTTGCCACGGAATCGGCTCGAGGACGGGCTCGTCTTCCGGCGGAGCTTGCATGCTGTGCGGTTGGTGCAGTTGGGCTTGAACCGGCTACAGAACAAGTGCATCACGACCAAGACGCCCACAACAAACGACGGAGACATTTTGGACAAAGCAAGCATGGGACGCACCAAGTTGTTGGAGAACGCCAGGGGACCGAGCAACTGAATCCACTTGTCGCGGCCTTCAAGAGTTTCCGTGGCAAAGCGAAATCCACTCGCGTTGTAGACTGGGATGTGGCGCGCTTTCCGCACTGCCAAGCTGCGAGAGAACGTGTCGCGCCCTTCGTACTTTTGGTACGTTGTCGTGGACGTGAACGAGAACGAGTGTTTCGATCGATGGCGCGACGAAGACCGCGGACTCGCGGCGTTCTCGGATGCCGTCAGGAACAGCACTTTCGTTGGCTTGACGTCGTCGGGGTGGTGAAACAAACTAAGCTCCATGCGGGAATGGTCTGGGCCGCACTCATAGATGACACACCACCGCTTTGTCCACGACAGGAGCATCGATCGACCCTTCTTCAGGTACAACCACCCTTTGGCGTGCATTAAATGCCGCGCAAACACATTGCCTGCTTCGCGGTGGCCACGAAATCGTGCCAAGTCCATCGCGGTCAGCCCGTCTTTGTTCCACACGTGCGGGTCGCAACCTGCAGTCAGGAGCTTCTCCAGGACACTCGCCTTGTTCTTGGCCGCGGCAAAGTGCAACGCCGTGTTTCCATGCACAGGGTCGCACATATCCACAGCCGCGCCACGTTCGACGAGAAGCGTCACAATCGAGAGCTGCACATCCATTCTATCTCATGAGCTCCGACCCAATTCGTTCGCATACCTTGCCAGCGGACGCGGCCGCCATGAGCGGTGTCATGTGTTCGTCCGGGTGGATCCAGTTCAGGTCTTGGCCCACATCGGGATGTGACGTGATGGCGCGAACCTTGGCAACATCCGCCGCCGCCGCGGCCTTCCACAGCGCGACTCCTGACACAGCCACTTGCGCTCCTGTCGATTCACCCGCTCCCATATCGCAAATGGAAGAATGGTCGACGGCGCCCATACGCCGAAACCCCTCGACAAGTGAAACCGCCAAAATGTCCACTTGACACCCGAGTCCCACACGTCGCTCAAATTTTGTGAAAATGGTTGGGATTTTGGGGATTTTGGCGACTTGTGCGTCGGAAACGAGCGAATTCCGTCCGGTTTCGTCATATTTGACAGCCGCGACGGCGTCGCCGATTTGACACTGCATTGGTGTCGTCGCAGCCGCCATCGATGCCACCGCGCGCAAAGGAATTTTGTGCTGCATTGCCCATGACGAGCGAATCCCAATCAACCCTGAACGAGACGATCGAAAGGAAGGGGAAGATGAATTGCGACGATTATGTCTTGCGTTGCGTGGGCAACCATCGATGGTCTTTGTTGGCGTTCTTCTTTCGTCGCTTCGCCATAAACTTGGACAACCGACCGGATTCCTGAAGCTCGTCGAACTTGGCCTTGAGTTCCAGTTGCTTCTTGTCTTTTCGCTGCAGGCGATGTTTACGCGAGTGCCAACGACATGATGGATCGACAGTACCTTGAGGTAGAACGCGCCCTTGCCTTTCTCAACGGCCTCGCGCTCTTCTCGCTTCCGCTTCAACGTGGCGTCTCGAATGCGGTCGGCACGCTTGGCCTCTGCCAGTTCTTGCTTGCGCAACGAAATATCTTGCTGTCGCGACATGTCACCACTGGACGATCACGATCGACGTGGCGTACCTGAAGCTCGGCCTTGCGCGTCTTGCTCTTGGCGTGTTTCAGGAGCTTTTTCGCTTCTTGGAGTTCTGCTTCCTGGTAGATTGCATGACTCGTCGAAATGGACATGTCGTTTCGTACCTTGATGTCGTCGAGGAAGGCATACGACTTCTTGAAGAGATCTTCGTTCAGTTTACCGCTAGCATGATCGAAGCGAGGATCCCGCGCCACCTTCTTGCGGATTTGAAGCACTTCGCGGAAGCGTCCGACGGGCCGCTTGGACGTGACTTCTCGCGGTCGGTTCTTGTTTGCGCGCTTGGTCGACGGGTGGTCGCCTTCATCGCCACCAACTTCATCGTTGTCTTCGTCGTCGTCTTCGTCGCTCTCTACTTGCTTCGGGGCGTTTGCAAATCCATTCTTCTTCATTTGGAGGCGCTCTTCCAGCGTCATGTCGCGGACATCACCGGGTCTCTTGGTCGCCGCCACCATGGTGCTGGATTCCTTTCGTTGGTTCGGGCCTTGGCTGGAAATTTGCTTAAACCAGCACCTTGTCCAAAAGAATGCACAGCTACTCTTTTCGGTATGCTTGATTTATGTATACTTCGAATACAGAAACGAGACGTCCGGTAACGAATTTTCCTGTTCCGGGCAATTTCTCAAATACCAAATGTCAAAAAGATTACCTTATCGAAAGGGAACCCGTTACTTTGTTGGGAGAAGGGTACGTTATCAAATAGATATCACTTTTTCAATACGTTGACGGAAAACGGAACACTTAATCGAATGGAGATGTACTTAAGGGAAAATGAAAAATATCAAAGGCAACCGACACGCACTCGCCTCGAGCAGAGGCAGAAAGCACCTGCCGGCACACTTGACAACATGGCATCGACATCCACGCTTGGGCTGCATCTCATCCAAGTGTGCGCCACGGGCACCCCAGACGAAGCCAGGTCTCTCCTGGCTGCAATCAAGAAGGAGGCGCGTCCGGCGTCTGTGCTGGAATACCGACATCCGTCGTCACAGTTTACCGCACTGCACACTGCCGTATTTCACGGGTGCTCCGAGATTGTGGATCTTCTTTTGCAGCATGGCGCTGACATCCACGCACTTACGAACGTGCAGAAGAAGAACACTCCCCTTCACGTCGCTGCGTACTACGGACATGCGCGTGTCTTAAAGGTGCTCGTGGCACGAGGAGCCGACCTGTATCGCCTCAACGCAGACGGGCTCCTTCCGCTGGATCTTGTACGCTTCAAGAACCACACAGAGGTTGTGAACCATCGAGAAGCCGCGCGCATTCTTATCTTCGCCGTCGAGTTGCACAAAGGCTCTGTTGCATTCTCTACGGGGTCGGATTCGTGGAACCCTTGCTTTGCACGGCTTCTCCGCGTCCAGAGCGGTGCGCCCGGGCATTCCATGGTAGAGCTGGCGCTCCACTCAGAGCGAAGCATGCTGTGCCCGTTCATGGTTGTGCTATTTGATCCAAAAGTTACTCGATTTACCATCACGTCCGAGCGTCCAACTTCATGCGAGCTCGTGCTTTCGAATGGGGTATCATGCTTCCGGTACAAGGCGCCGTACTTTTCAAGAGAGCCGTCCAATCGACGCGCCAAGGTACCCACCGACATGCGATCCATTTCGCGATGAAAAGTCTCATGTCGAGTAGGGATCCGCGATCGCTTCCACGTTCGCCATGCGCGTCGAGTCGACTGAAGAGGCGCGGCAATGGATGGACGTGTGCAACATGGTGCAGGGAATGAAATCATCGCCAATGGGGCCCGATACATTCCGTCCACTGTCGCCGCCATCGCCGACGCATGCTTCATCCCCTCCATCGCACCTTCGGTCCATGGTGAACTCAACTGGTTCGTCGAGAGGGTTGCCACCACCTCCACCGACTGCCCCGTTTCAAGGCCCCCCGCCGTCGTATGAAGAAGCGCTTGCCATGCAAGGCCAGGCGAACCCGTGGAGGCCGTCCGTCCCCGACATTGTCGTGTGCAAGTCATGCCAAGGTTCCCTCGGCAACTCGCCTGACGCCCAAAGATGCCGTATGTGCCTCAAGATCGAATCCCTTGCGTCGTCGCTGGATAAAATCGCAGTTGACGTGCCGCCACCAACGGCGGCTACCGCCCCGTCCGCCCCAGACCTCGGCAGTGCCACAAACGAGTGCGTCATCTGCATGGATGAGGTCCGAAACGCTGTGTGCATCCCATGCGGCCACCTGTCGTCGTGCATCCAGTGCTTGTCCGATGCCGCCACATGCCCCATCTGTCGCGCGCCGATCCAGTCCGTCGTAAAGGTGTTCACGGCATAAATCTCCGCCAAGTCCCATTAACAGGAGGACAACTACACGTTGGGAGGTTGCACCTAACTTAAAGCTTGCACCTACAACTTTCACCGAGGCGTTCAATGTGCACCTATAGGCGTGCACCTAGGCTCTTTTCGATGCAAAATTATTATCAATTTTATTCGAGTCGAATGAATATTTCCTGTTGTTTGAAATCTTACGGATACGTAGCGTTGTGGCATTAAACGCACATGTTTGGACGCGTTTTACCGACTGCCATCAACCCCAGAAACTTCCAGCAGCAGCAGGATGGACGATTTCTCGCTGACGAGCCCAGTGTGGGCTGATGTGACACGTGTGCCGCAAGACGATGGACCAAACCCGGCGGCCCCCATTAGCTATTCAAAGCACTGTACGTCGGTGCATCCGCGCCAGGGAACAACCAAGCTCATTGTGTGCGATTGTAGTCCAAGAAGTGATGGATCTGTTCCGCGCGGTGCTCTTGCTGGACGAGCACAGCGAACGCACGTTAGTACTGTCCACGGCGGCCATTGAGTGCAACGCCGCCAACTACACGGCTTGGTACGTCTTCACCCATGTTGTACCCTGGCGATCTCAAACGTAGTCGCTCTGTAGGCACTTTCGCAGAAAGGTGTTGGCGTCACTCAACGCTGACCTGTATGACGAACTTGAATTCACGAGGCAACATGCGCTAGAATCGCCCAAGAACTACCAGATCTGGCACCACCGCCGCGAAATTGTCGAACGGCTGCAGGACAGCTCGCTCGAGCTAGCGTTCGTCGGAGAAGCGTTGACGGACGACCAGAAGAACTACCACGCATGGTCGTACCGCCAGTGGGTAGTCAAGCATTTCTCGCTCTGGGATGGCGAACTTGCCTTCGTCGACGAGATGCTGCTGCTCGATATGCGCAACAACTCGGTAACAAGCCGCTGGCGTCACCACTCTTGACCAGCCTCTCCATTGTGCAGGCGTGGAACCATCGGTGGTTTGCCATTCACCACATGCACGCCCGTGACGTGCCCGCGGACATCCGCGCTCGGGAAATTCAAGTTGCCGTCTCGTATATTCGCCGCGCGCCGCACAACGAAAGTCCATGGAACTACCTGCGCGGGTACCTCCGGTCGAGCCACGACATCGACGTCGCACCGATTCACCGCATGGCCGAAGAAATCTACGCCGAACACCCCACGACTTGCATCTTTGCCGCGAATCTCCTCGTGGATCTGCATGTGGCAGCGAGCACCCCCGACAGCCTCGACAAAGCCAAGGAGGTACGTCATGTTTCTCTCGGCATGCTCGACGTGAAGTTGAGACGAATTTCTGCATAGATTTTGCACGCGCTCGCAGCCACGGATCCGATCCGAGCGCCGTACTGGACGCACCGCCTCGACCGACTCCCCGCCGTCCGCGTCGACGCACATTAGGACTCGAGAAGGTGCTGTTGTTATACACTCGATGGATGCCCTGTTGCCACTCCCGCCACGTGCACATTGCTCGCGTTGATCTTGCTGTGGAGGAAATCCGCCATGGTGTGTGTGGCCGGTCGAAAACGAATGTTCGTTCAGGTCGTCGTTGCACGGAGAGCGCGGGCAACGACGACGGGGTAGCCTGCCCACACGATGACATTCCTAGCTGCCCAGCTAACGTAGCTCCTGTAAGTAGTCGCTGGGAGGGAGTGGTTTGTGTCGACTGGCAGGGTGTCGGTGTGCGGCCTCCCAGGCGATGCTCCATCTGTGTGCGATGCCTTCGTGGCGCTTCAGTCTGTCGGCGCTTGATCACATCGTTTGTGTGAATTATTGGGAACGTTCATTCATCGGGCAGTAGGGCATCACATCATGGGGATGCTCCTAATCGCCGCGGGTCGCCTGACGTAAAACCCATGCGCGTGCGAGATCGAGGGAATGCCAGCGATCGCGGCCGACGCCATGGTCTGGGGACGGTTTGGCGACCAAAGGCGGTCGCAGCCACAGCGTACAATCCATACAGAAGAAAGCCTCGCCAGTGGCCAGAACGGCGGGGTGATGCCGCTGCCGACGATGCCTACATCACGTTGAGTCGACCGCACAGGTTTGACAGCCCGCTCCATCGACATTCAAGCGTACCCGCAGCGCAGTTAAAGTCGGCGGCCTCGGCTGTACATTGCCGTGACGTCGTGGCAGAGTCGGGGCCATGAGTCACATGACGATCGTGGGAATCCACAAGAGAGCGCAACAAGTGTGGCGCATTACATCATGTGCGTGACTACGATGACGGCGTCGTGGAAGCCGTAGATGAGCTACGCGACTACGCCGGACGCGAGGACAGTTGCAAGGACGCGGTGCAGGCTTGATGTCGCCGAAGAAGTAGCATTCCTAGGCGTTCTCGTGGAAACGAGCGCGATCGCAGTCATGCCGAGGGAAGAGGGAGGGAGGGCCGGCCCTGAGGACCCCCGCGATGCGGTTGATGTCAAGTTGCATCCATCGACCTGGAACCGCCCGAGCGGCACACACAGGAGGCAATAGCAGCGGTCCACCTGACGCATGCACATCGCATATAGTACACTACGTTGAGTGGCTTGTTGAGGGATCCAGTGCCCTCGACACAGTCATGCAGCACCTGATATCTCGTCCGAAAAACGACGGAAAGTCGCCGTCGATGGTCGCTACATTCCGGCACTTCAATGCCCAACATGGCTGGCAAAGAGCAGCAAGTTCGGGCCAAAGAGGGGCTGGTGCGCAAGGGCGGCATTCTCGACTCAGTTCATCGAAGGTGCCGGAGCTCATGTCGTTCGCAGTCACGTCGGGCCCCGGACAAGCACAGCCCCCACCCCGACGGCTACGGAGTTCGACCCGACCAACGCTTGAATGCACTCTCCCTGACGTGGGGAGGCCCCCGCAAAAGCAGCAACGAAAGATATTGATTTGCCAGGCACGGCGCGTGTTGGTGTGTTTCCCGACAACCTGACGTCGCAGGTATCGTGGCAAAACGTGCGTGAGACCGAGCATTCAGCCGCAGGCCGACGGGTCCACACTGACGACACGACCTCTGGAACATGAAGACGAGAGCGGCGCCGGGAACGAGCTTCGCGCAGAGCTTTGTCGTTGGGGGCCCTGGCCCGCGGCAGTGGTAGCGTGAGTTTGGCTAGGCCGACTGTGGCTGCAACGTCGCCAATCTTCACAAGCATGAAGACACGCACAAGGCAACAAAACTCACGGCGGCAACTCGACTACCCGGTCGTGACGTTTTGCGACTTGCACCAAACATCTCCTTGGCTCTCACGGGCGAGAAGAACTCGATCAAGATACACCACGTGGCCCCACATCGTACAATTTTGTGGTCGGCGTCACAGAGCGCCGCGAGGAGGTCGTCGAGCAGGATGACGTAGGTGGCTTCGACCGCCGCGACAAAGTGCGGTGAACCAAGGAGGCGCCAGGCAACACGAATCGTTCGTAGCCATCCTTTGCTGACACTGAATGCGCGAACGGTCTGAGGAAATGGGTGGCAGTGGCAACGCTTAGAAGGAGGAAAGGACTGTCGGCCCACACTCACTGCCTTCGACACGATTGACCTGCGCGAGAGGTCGCCCCACGATGCGGAAGTGAACATACGTGCCATGAGGAGAACTAGCGGCGTCACCACCATGAGCTACATGGACGATGATTCGCCAGAAGTACTGGCAGGCGCAGCTCGGAGCGTCGAGGGCTTGCATGAACTTGCGGTGGATGTGTGTACGCCCTCGGCGAACGGCTTCACGTCGACTTGGAACGCCAGGACCCCTCGGCATCCCTAGTCATACAAACACATCCAACCAAAGAAATTCCTAGCAGACACTCGATCGGCGGTGGGGCGGGGTTAGAAGCGGCAGATGGAGAATGGACGCATCGTCGACTGCAAACTGGTTCGGACCACAATCAGCTTGGGTGGCCAGGACTTTCGCAGCGCGCGCATGTCGGCAACTGCGCTCAGCCGCACAAGCGCTCTAGACTCTGTAGCAGTGGCCCAGCGCCATCTTGAGCTCACATTAGCTGCACACAGGCGAGATCTACACGACTTCAGCAGACGCACCACCTTTGGTTACGTTAACCACGACGCTGTTTCGTACCACGAGGTTTATCCCGCTTCAACGTGGGATATACCTGCCAATTGGCTCTGATTGTTGTCCGTTTGGCGAATCAGACGCATTTATGCTGATTGTCCCTGAGGGCGTTTGGTATTTCCCACACATTGGACGTGCCGCCCACAACTTGCGACCATGGACGTCGAGCAGGAAGACGCGCGCATCCTGGCGATCGGCGGGGCAGCGCTGGATGAATTTTATGCAATGTGCGTCGAGTCGAAGACCTTGTGGCGCACTGAAACCTGCAAGGTGTCGAATGCGTCCATCTGGAGCAAACCTGGCAAGTCTGTGCGACTATTCCAAGCCGACGCGATCGTGGAAGCCCCGCCGTCGGTCGTGTTTGACGTCCTCCACATCAAAATTGCCGACACTCGTGAATGGAACACGTCCGTGGACGCGTGCACGCTCGTGAAGCAACTTGCCCCGAACGTTGAGATCATGCACACCCTGACATTTGCCATGTACGGCGGCCTCGTGTCCGCCCGCGACTTCATCAATGTCCGCGTCGCTAAAGAACTCGAAGACGGCAGCGGGTACATCGTTGGCACGACCGGCATCGAGTACAAGAACGTCCCGCGCGGCAGCGGTGTGACCCGTGGCATGAATGGCGTCATGGGGTTCCTCATCCTCCGCCACGAACGAGGCACACGGCTCGTGTGGATCATCAACACAGACGTAAAAGGGTGGATTCCGCGCAGCCTCATTGACGCAGCCATTCCTGCCGAGATGGAGTCGTACATATTGGCGCTGCGGAAGCGCGTCGTGGCTGTTCAAGCTCTGGAATAAGTAGCTGCACCTTCGTCCCATGCATCAAGTGATCCATTGGTTTGCGTGAAGACATAGCTCACTCGATGCCCCAGCTGTGGTTCCTGATGGCGAATGTGGTAAAGTCTTCCCCGGCTCGGTGCCACCGCGCGTGCGGCGAGTCGTATCCATCTTGGATATCCGTGCCATGGAGCCCATGCGCGATGCTGCATGCAGTTCAACAGGCAATTCTGGCTCAGCGGACGCATCCATGCCGCAGTGTTACGGCCACTAGCATATCCTCAGCGCACCGGCCTGGTTGTAGCGAGGTCTTTCGATCACCTCCGTCGCGCCTTGACGCTAGACATCCACCACCATTCGCCTTGGCTCAGCACAAGTGGTCGAATGTTCATTCATGGGGGTGTGCCGTTTCCAACGAGTGAATAGCGTCTCCCACGATGCACACACCCTCATGTGCTACACATGGAGACGCCGGTGACCACGGATCGAAATGGCAGCTCCCTCAGTTCCTTGGCTACCTCGTCGTATGCCGGGGCGCGAGGCCAAGGCGCCCTCGATCGTATCGATGCGACCAAGGCCCACGCACAGCAGTTTCGTTGGACAGAGCTTCTCTCAGGGAAAGCATATGCACAGCAGAGGCACATCCGTGAATCTCAGACCAAGTGTCCCGGATCAAACTGGCTGGGTGAAATGTGGATGGCATCCACCACGTAATGTTGCCGTGGATGCGCCAAGACGAGCCCACTACCTCTCGTGCTTGAATGCATTCGCTACTTCGCCAGCAGCCCGCACACTCACCTAGGTGGTGCCCCAGAGTGCCCCGTACGCACGTTTGTCAAGCCGTCGAGAGGCCGTCTAGGCCAGCGTCCACGCGCTGGCGTAAGCGACGCCTGTGCCAACGCAAAAACCCTTCAAGAATGGTAGCTCGCCCAGATCGTCTGTGAGTAAAGCCACATCACATCGTAGTCCTTGGCCATGCAGCCAGCCGTCCGCGCTGTCATTAATGCTCGCTTTTCTTTCCACCCGGGTAGCGGTGGCTGGCGCTCGCTCCACCTCCCGGCAGAACGGCCCTCTGCACCTTCGATTCCGCCGAAGTTGCCACCAATTGTACTGGATTGTGGCGACCAATCAACTGCGACACCATACCAATCCTCGAATTTGATTGGTTCCTGAAAAAGGCACAGTGCCCCTCCCCGATAAAAAAACGGAATGGTCGCGGCGCTGGGTCCTCGGCGAGCTCGGGATTGCACTGCTCTTGGGGAGTCCACCGGGGTGAATTTTCTTTGGGATGGATCGCGACCTTCAACGTGAACACACACCACAACTTCAACCCCACGCGGACGACCCCAGCCGCAGGGATTGTTGGGAGAAGCCACCCATGCGCGACCGGTTATGCCCCCTCTGGCGCGATACCGACAGCATACACGGCTACTTTCGAACGCCGTCCGCGTGGCCGACGGGGTGGGGGCGACCCGTGCCGATCGCCATCTCCTCAGCCTCCCAAGTGCATTGCATCATCGCTGCATGACATGTGACACGAGAAGTTGGGGCGCCCCCGATTGGCTTAATTGCCTGCCTCGGCACCTGAGGCAAGGCAGCGTCATCGTTGACGACGGACTATTCACTAAGTTCGTGTTGACCAATCGTACTTTAACCGTGTTCATCAAGGGGTTTGTAGGCTCGTACTTCAGCGACGCTCGAAGTTACCCTTGCGCCGTGCCTGCTCTTGTCCAATCCACGACGAAATACATCGAAGTTCAATTTTCTAGATCTCAGGCGTCACTAAGTGCGATTTCGACCGCGTTGGAAGCGGCACCCCATTCTCCATTCGTCGCCTTCCGCCACATCCTACGAACCCTCGCGCCATCATGGACACGCTGTCTGTCACAATGCTCAAGCCGTCGTCCGCGCTGGAAGAAGCCACCCGCGCGCTCGGCTCGTTCATCAGCCTCGGCTCGGACCAAGACACATTGGACATCATGCAAGACCTCATGTTCATGCGTAAAACGTTCTCGATCAAACCAACCGTCGCAGTGTTCACGGCACCCAAGGAAAAGAACCTCAACACGATCTCGGAAGAAGAAGAGTGAGCGACGTCGCACCGCACCCAACCCCTCCACGCGGGAGGGGTATTGTTAGCTTTTGTTGGCCAGGCTGGAAGTTCCTCCATTGTGCTTCGTCAACGCCGTAGGAATCCCATAGGTTTAGTCTACTCGCCATCGTACTTTTGGAAGTAATCTATTTAACTCGACGTGGCTACCCCATGTTGTTCGTGTTCATGTTGATTTCTTGGGCCGCAACATCAAGCTCGACGCCGCGTTCGAATCAATCCAGCCCTGCACATCGGCGTCCACTGGAGGCGCCGCGACGCCCGGTTGACGCATCTCCATCAGCTCCTGCGGCCTCAGCGACCCCATTACGATGTTCTTCACCAGGACGACAGCATGCACGAACAGCGTGTCGGCTTTGCCCGTCACAAATTGGTGCTCCACATAAAACGCCTGGTTGTCCCACGTCCGGATACGAGTCCGGAGATTGTACCATTGGCCGAACGTGAGCTCGCGGCGGTACCGGATCGACAGCGCGCCGACGATTAAGTTGCCACCGTTGGCGCAGACAAGTCCCCACACTCCATTCGCCTATGGTAAACACGACGTGGGTGAGGTGGAGGGCACCTTGGAAGAGTTGCGTGTGACGGAGAGGAATGATGTCCACAACTAACCGTCCAAAATGCACGACGGCCGTATTGACACGCTCGCAAGTACCGCGCATTGTTGAAATGTCCGTTGCGATCAATGTCGTTCAGACTCACCAACGCAGGGTATTCATGCGTGTCGAGAACGCTCTGGATATGCGTCGGCCGCGGCTTCACGACCGTCACGATGATGTGAACAAAGTACCACACGTCGGCCCACACAAACGCTGAGAGAAAAGCGATCACTAACGAGACAGCGACGGACGCATTCAAGAGCACATGCGCCAAGCAAAAGACTGCGATGGACGGAAACACCACCACGACGGCCAGCCCAGTTGGATGCAACTTCATCTTTCGTCGTACAGGGGCGGTTGGCGCACGGGCGCATGTCGAAGCTCCTTCCCCAAACTTCGAACGATTCGTTGGCGTTTCGTGAACTTTTGGTGCAAAATTAGTGAAACATTTACGGGAATATCCTCAAATCCAGGTTGTCCGTTTCGTGTACAGCATAGAGTTTGACGTCTACAGTGTTTGTGCGACAATGAAAAGACCTGCGCACGTGGAGGCGATGGTATCCTAGTTGCTTCACAGGCTCAATTGCCCGACGAAAACGCAGTGTATCGAAGCCCGTTCACTCGAACTTGACTTAGCCAGCGCGAATGGACTTGTCATTTTTTCCAAAATCGAGCAAAATCAACTTCGAGTTGTCTGTGACGGTGGCGCGTCAGACCATTCAAACGTGGAAGCCATTTGATTGGTCAAAGCGTATGCAAATGGAGCCATTCGATTGGCCCATTTCGCACCGCGCGGGCTATGGCACTTTAGGCATGTCGTCGAGATATCCGTCGTCCAAGGCGGTGATCCTGCTGGGTGGCCATGAGGACCGACACTTCCGCCCGCTGTCGATGGATCTACCGACCCCGCTGTTCCCAATTGCCGGTCGACCCATGCTTTTCCACCACGTCGAAGCGTGTGCAAAGGTCCCGAACCTCCAGGAGATTCTCTTGATCGGCGCGTACGACGCGGGCCTATTTGCGAGCTTCATGGACGTGGTCACGCGCGACATTGCGGGTGTGACGTCGATCCGTTACCTCCAAGAGAGGCAGCATCTCGGGACCGGTGGGGGGTTGCGAACGTTCCGCGAGGACATTGAAGCAGGCATCCATGGCAGCCCCGACCTGTTCTTTGTCTTGCATTTCGACATTTGCTGCAGTTTTCCACTCGTGGACATGCTGCATCATCACATTCGAGCGCAAGCATTTGTGACGGTGCTTGGGAAGCGAGTGTTCCCCGACGAGGCCAAGACGTACGGGTGTTTGGTGGCTGACCCAGACTCGTCCGAAGTGGTCCACTGGGCCGAAAAGCCAGCCTCCTTTGTCAGCGACCTCATCAACTGTGGAGTGTACCTCATGAATATGGACATGATCCAGGACATTGTCGAGTTGGGCGATGCGCTCGTCGAGCAGCGGCAAGCGGCCACTTTGCGCAGCGTCGAGTATCCTCACCTGTTCAACGACATCCCCGACCAGCTCCGGTACGTCTCCCGTCGCGCGACCACAATCTCACGGCATCGATGACTGTAGTCTCGAGCAGGACTTTTTGCTTCCCATGGCTGGGACGCAGACCTTGTATGTGTTCGAGACCGGTGACTTTTGGTGCCAAATCAAGACTCCCGGCATGACCGTCATGTGCTCTGAGTTGTACATGCAGCGGTATCGCTACGTCGATCCCACGCTTCTGGCGTCGACCGGCGGCAAGCTCTCGCCGCGAATCGAAGGTATCAACTGCACGCCGTCACCTTTGACCTGCTTCCATCGCACCAATTTGCGCCTGCATGTGCTGGTTGCCACGTTCGCTCGCATCAAGAAATCTCCTGACTCGATCGTATGACTAGGCAACGTTGTCGTTCATCCGTCTGCCAGCATTCATCCATCCGCCAAGCTTGGCCCGAATGTGTGCATTGGGGCCGGCGTCACGATCGGGCGCGGCGTCCGCGTCGCCCACTCGATCGTTTTGGCAGGGGCGACCATTCGAGACCATGCGTGCGTGTTGTTTTCGATTGTCGGGTGGAATGCGATGGTTGGCGAGTGGGCTCGAGTGGAGGGTACGACATCATGTTGCAGCACGCTCAGGGTCGCTGCGATCGCGACTCGTTGGGCTCGGTGACACTCAGCGACTCATGTAGGCGAGCCCCCGAATAGCAAGCCAGATGCAGCGACGGTGGCGCTGGGCGGTGGAGTCCGCGACGTGACGATCTTGGGGACGGCCGTGGTGTGTGCGCCGGAAGTGATTGTCCGCAACTGCATCGTCCTTCCCCGCAAGACGCTCCGGCAAAGCTGCCACAACCAAGTGCTGCTCTAAGGCTGCCTCGTTGCTACACGAAGGACAGTGTCGACATCTTGCCAGGTCGACGCCTGGTACAGCGTCGGTTGACATGCATCCGCGGCCTTGGACAGACGAGGCGAATCCGCGATGGACAACCCGACATGCGCGGCGACTTTGAAGATGCTGCTCTCACTCGTGTTCAGCACGATGCCGACGTCGGCCGCCAAGAGCGCTGGGAGGTCGTTGACACCGTCTCCCACAAACGCCACCGCGTTGGACGGGTGCGCTACAAACGAATCATGAGTTGGCAAAGAACACTTTCCAGTATTTATCAAGACAATGGAATAACGAGATCGAGGCGTTGTATGCTGGCATTCGACTTACCGCGCCGATGTTTGTGAATCCAGACGGCTTTGTCGTGGGGAGTTTGGAACGGAAGAACGAGGTTTCCCGTCGACACGTCGGTGGCGTCGAACTCGAGCTCTACGGATGGGGACGAAAGACTCGTGGTGGGAAGATAACAATAACCGTGAGAGCAGGAGGGCCTCACCGTTGGCATGCACTGCAAACGGCAAGCCCGCGGCGTGTCGAGCACGTGCGATGTCAATCAGCGCGGAGGCAACACTGGTCTGGGACCAATTGCTTGACACGACGGCGACATCTCCGCGCCATGAGGACAGAACACGCGCGCAGTCAGGCTTCAATTCCACACGGTTGACGATGGATGCACGTGGAAGGCCAGCTAACACTCGACTCGCGATGACGCGGTCCACGGACCGCAAGTCTGCCGCGGAATATGCCGACAGAAACGCATCTAGTACGTGAGGCTGGAACGACGATGGGGTGGACGCTTTGTTTTTGATGTCCACGGCGTCTCTGAGTGACGACATCACCACCGCATTGTCGTCAAGGAATTGCTTGACGAGGTCATCCCACACTTCGGACGCCTGAGAGTGCTTTCCCGTGCGGGCAAGGCGCGCAAGATCTGCAGTTGTGTCACGTACAGAGCACGTGTCATCGAAATCCACGCAAAGCGTCCATGAGGACACCGAGGCGGTCGGCGGCCTGGCCGTCGACCTCACGTGCCTCGCACACAGCATATTATCCGTATCCTGCATCATTTTATCCGGAGAATTCGCAAGAACTGTGTACATTTTCACCGTCATCATCGGGAAGCGGCAGCGGACGTCATGCAGCTGTCCGAAGTGAGTGAGCTGCGAAGCATCGTAAGCCTCATGCGGCTGAACGCATGCAACAGTCCTCGATTCCACGATCGCCAGGACTCTGAAGTGGACCGTATCTACAACTCGTCGCCGAAAGTGGCCTCGTACGAAATGCGATCGTCCTGGATGGACCGGCCGTCGATCCAATTGGCGGTGCCGTCCGTCGCCCCACCACAGTCTCAAACACAAGCGCAATTGCCGAATGATGACGTGGTATCGTGCGACGACGACGCATCCGTCTCGTCGTTCAAGGCGAAACCCCCTGCAATCCAGGAGAATAAGCAAACGCGCAACGACACAAAGGACGCGTTGGCCGCCGCGCCAAACGGCAAGCCGAAAGTCGTTGTGTTCGATGCAAAGAAAGCGTCCTCTTCAAACGCGGATGCAGGTGCTGGTGAGGTAAGTAGAATGCTGTTTTTGGCGAGACCACTCCCGCGTCATCAAGGCCATGTCGTAGCCGCCGACGTTCGTGTTTGAGCGGGAAGACGTTCCCTCCTTCATCCAGTCTGTGCAGACGTCGCTCCTGGATGCTGCGCTGCGCGGGGCCATGATGATCAATAACAACGGCAACGGCCCCTCGACCATGCACAAAACCCACCACGCCATGGTCGACGCGCCGATGATCCCGCTCCAAATCTACCTCCCAAACCGCGCCGAGATGCAAGTCGAAGTATCGTCTTGTCTATTCGGTCATGTTGCTCAGCCACTAGCTTGGTAGCTGTACGAAATCTCGACCGTGGAAGAAGCGATTCAGACGATCCTGATGACGCATTTGCAAGAAGGCAAGCGCCCGCAGTTGTACTATGGCCATCCCGAGTGCTACGACCTCCGACTGCACGAAGCCAACGGGTATCCCGACGAAGACTTTCCAGGTAGGTACGAAGGGCGACCCGGGCTCGCGCTTGAGTTGCCGATTCCGAGTGTGGCGCATGTTGGCGTTCGATGTCAGCAACCAGCCCGTATCTGCGCGGCCATGTTGAGGGCCGACCGGTCGCATGCATGCGCTCGTGATTGATTGCTGGTTGCTACTGCCGTGACGTGTGCTTTGTTCAGTGCATCGACCTGACCTCGCTGCGAGTAGCGCTGGACCGCTCGCGCAAAATCAAAAACTTTGGGGACAACGGGAACCACGAGTTTTGTTTGTGCGAACGGTCAGAAGCGTGTCCGCCACCGGATGGATCACCTCCATCGAGTGCAGACCCGTCGATCATCCACCGAGGTGGTCCCCAGCACTCGATCCCACCTGGAGACTCGCGCCGCATCGCGACGAGCGGCGACAAGAACATTCTCAAGATCATCATGTACGTTCGACGCCGTGGTGGAATATGTCGCAGTGCCCATCGGGCATTTCGTGGGTAGGCCGAACGAGAACCACTCGGTGATCCCGATCAAGGACGGCACGACCGGCAAGGACTTGCTCCCGATGCTCAAGAAGAAGCATCGACTGCCCATGCTGGACGAGTACATCCTCAAGGTTAGCGAAGCCGACAAACTGCGTCTGGACCTGCCGTCCGAGATCATTGATTTGGAGACGAATTTGAAACCTCTCGGGCTGCAAGAAGTCACGTTGGCACGAAGCACGTCGTTGTTATGTCGATCGTACCCGTTGGACTCATCTCGCGGCCTGCGTAGAGGTGTATGCCGACGCCCCGGCGCCAGCTCCCCCGCAGTCGAACGTATTTGGCGAAACCGGTGCGGTGCTTGCGATGCCAGGAATCTCGTCATCGCGTTGTCATGTGTAGCGGTCGAAAGCGCGGAAGCCATCAATAAGAACGTCCGGCCGCCCCCGTCGACTTTTATGTATAACGACGTGAAAGCGGCCATGTACAAGGAGTGGACTGTGATCAAAACCAACAAGTTTGGAAAGCGCCAGCATCGCATGTTGGGCGTAGACTCGCACAAGGTGTACAACTCGAAAGTCGGCGAGCGCGCGATGATCTCTCGCACCAACATCAAAGTGGTAGGCCGCGATTTCGTGAGCCATGGCGCTGGATCCGACGTGGGTCGTGCGTAGGCAGAACGCCCGATCTCGAGCATTACGTGGCTTCGGTTCCTTCCTGGACCGTGCGACTTTCAGATCCAGTACAGCCAGCCCGACGAAGAAACGATTGATTACTCCGCTGCAAGTGCATACGAATGCGGTACGTGGTTGGAGTGCTTGTCCTCTCCTCGGAGGAGGGCACGCCTGGCCTTGATGCTGCTTGCGTAGCCGAGATCGTCGCCAAGATCAAGTACATCCAGGAAATGCACAAGCGCAAGTAGGGCCTCGGCGACGCTACGACGTGATCTGAATGCTATATGACTTTGCAACGGGGGTGGATTTCGGCATGGGTGCAACAAGAACATTCCAACTCGGCAGCAATGCTGGCCGTGGGATGGGGCAGTGGCCTTGGGACAGCCTGTTGCGAACGACTCGGCACGCAAAATTGCTCGAAACGGCGTGGTGCTCAGTCGAGACGTGCGGATGATTCAGTTGGCATCCTGTCCATCGTGCCACATGCAGACCAGGGCGGTCATGTCCGCGCCGATGCTCCGTGGGGTGTACTTGCACGCAGTAGATGGACGAAACAGCGTGAGCGAGGGTATAGAGAAACGAGTGGTGGTGGGTGGAGAGGTCGGTCGTATCTAAAGTCTCCAAGCGCCAGATTGTATTGATGGTGGTTAAACAATCGTGTAAACGCAGTCGATGATTCAAGCTCTCCTTTGGATGTGTCACTACTCTTGTGCTGCTGCTTCTCGCTAGTCCATGGCTTAGACCTTGAACCCACGCGAGTTGCGGCGACCGCGAGCCTTTTCGAACTTGCGGCCCTTGCTGCGCACATACGGCTTGACGTGGTCGTGGGTGTTGACGCTGTCCAAAGTCGATTCGTGGCCGAAGTGGCGGTACACTTCACGGGCGGTCTTGCGGCCGCGCAACAGCACCGTGTTTTGGCCCTTGGGGGCGCGCAACGCCAGTTGGTCGAAGGTGAGGATTTCACCGCCAGCCTTCAGCACACGGGCGCGGGCCGATTCAGTAAAGCCCAACGCGGCAATCGTGAGCTTGGGCACGTCGAACAAACGGATGTCGTCCGTGATGGTGCCGACCACGACCGCAATTTGGTCTTCCTTGTTCTTCATGTAACGCGCGACGCGAGCGATGGACATGGGAGGCTGGTTGGTGCGGCTCATGTACAGGCGCTTCAACACGTTCTGGTTGAACTTGGCGTCGGTACGGCGGGCCAAGAAGCGGTAGAGGCGCACGAGGAGGTTGAGGTACACGTTTTCCGACTTTGGGGCAGTGCGGGACTTGCGTCCGGTGCTCTTGCCGCCAGCTACGATATCCTTTCCCTACATCCAGACACCACAAACGACACCGTCACATTCCCTGTTGGTCCACGTGCACATTCGTGGGGCTCGTGGCGGGCATGCGTTGGCAAAGCATGGCCACACACGCAAGACATGGCTCGTGCGGCAGACCCAGCTAGCCTGTACATGCCACGCACACCTCGACCACCTGCATCTCCATCCATCCAGCCTTCCTCGCGACGTACCATCTTAGCAGTTTACACGGAGACTGAAAATGGACCTGCCCCCCAAACCCACGAGGCCGTGCCCACCAACGAAAATGGCGTTCGCCCTACCCCTCGACCACTCTACCAACCAACCAGCGGGATATCCGGTAAAGTGCGCCCGACGAACTTAAGCCGATCGTATGGAACTAGACAGGTTAGTATGTGTTTTCACAGGTCGACCGACATGGCGTTGAGGCTGGCGGCGGCGGCGGGATGGCGGCGATCGTGGGACGCTTTACCACAGATCGTCGCCCGACGGACTCGGGGGTCCGCACGGACATCGGTGAACACGATGACGACTTTGTCCGGTTCGGATGGACAAGGACCCCGCGCGACGCTCCCGTTTGACTCGAATCGGTTTGTCACACAGCTCCAACATCAAGGTACGATGGTGTGTGGTGCGTAGCATAATGAACTCCATGGGGATGTAGGCTTCTCGGCTGAACAGTCAGAAGCTGTTCTGGATGCGCTAAAAAGCACGATGAAGGAAGCTTTGGACGTGCAGGATGGCATGGTACGCAGCTCGATGGCGACAACTCACCAGGAAAATGATGTGGGCGAACTAGCTCGCGACAAAATCCGAGCACGTGCAACTCAAGTCGGAGCTAACGGACCGCGTCTTTAACTCGACACTGAAATTCGGTACGGCGTAACGCATGCACCGAGTGGTTGCCTGACACGCTGGTAGACATTGCCCAGCGACACATGCGGGACTTGCTCGAGCGGGATTTTAACAACCTGAAGCAAGACATTCGCATGATCGAGAAGAATGACTTTGACAAAGTACGCAACGAAATCGTCGACATGGAGAAGCGATTCCTCCTTCAAAAGCAAATCACGGACCGCATGGTGCACAAGCTTCACTTGGCCAACGAAACGATGGAGACCATGATCATGAAGTTCTGTACGTGCTGTGCTCCATCTCCTTCCCTTCCTTTCCTTCTCCTTTGGGCTTATGGATCGCTTCTCCCCGTAGCGGTGGCCGGCGGCGCAACCCTCGTCATCCTGATTGCCATCGTCGGGACGTATTTTGAAAAATCTTGACAATGAAATCAGTTGCACTAATATCGGCGTTTTCCGGATAAATTCCGGATCCCACACTTGTGTTTTCACTCGCAGGTTGTGGCATGCATCGTGCACTGCGGGCGAGGGCTGTCGCGGCGGCGGCGACGACGCACCAACTGGCAACGATTCCGCGATTCACAGCGGCTGGTTTTACTGCATAATCAACGAACCCCCTTGAACGAGAAGTGATTTCGACGGAAGGACTTGATCTTGATATTGTGGACTCACAAACAGAAGCATTGTCTCACTTGGACGGCGAAGGTGACTCGTACTCGGAGCGCGTCCACGTTGTATCTCAGCTACAACGGCACGGTAGAAACGAGGCCTGCTTACGCAAGAACCTCATTGAGATGGTAGGGTACTCGGCCGTGCAGGCGCAGGGACTTGTTGACACGATGAAAACAGCATTCACCGACTCGATTGAAGTTCAGCAGGCGGTGGTGCGCTGCAGCATGCCAGTGCATTTTCGCAAACTAACGACTGGTACGTGTATGGGATGCAGGTGACTACCAAGGCGGAGCACGTTGCACTCAAATCCGAGATCCTCGAGAGGGTGTTCAACTCGACGCTCAAATTTGGTACGGTGTCCGCTGGCCAAGCCAAGTGATGATTCCGTGCATGCTTAGATATTGCCCAGCGCAACATGAGGGATTTCTTGGAGCACGACTTTGTCACACTCAAGCAGGACATCCACATGATGGAGAAGCTCGACTTCGAAGCAGTGCGAAATGAAATTGCCCAAGTCGAAGCCAAGTTCAAAGTACAAAAGGAGGCAAGCGACGAAATGTTTGACAACTTAGTCAAGTCCAATGCGCGATTGAAAAAACGCGTGCTAAACTATGGTACCGACATCGACGGGATAGCGTCAAAGTCACGAGTTCGTAGTCGTGGCGTTCGGATCGACCATTGCCATCATCCTGGGCGTCCTCGGCTCCATCATCGACAAGCACTAACGACTTGCGTCATTTCGTTCAACTTGGCTAGTTGTCTGCGGACATCGCAGTGTCTGCGTGCCTCTTTGCCAGTGTGTTCCAGACTGGTTCTGCGCCTGGGATGTTTGTCGGAGGGGGTGGGGGCGATTTCTCCGTTCTATGCAAGTGGTCACGCCACCTCCAACGTTTGAATTTGGTACCTGACTTCTTTCGGTGGTCGTGCTTCGGGTGCCTGTTGCATAGCAGCATGATGATAGTGATGGATGTTTTGTGGGATGCGATCATGAGTCGTCGGACGTACCGGGCTTGGCGAGCGTTTTCGTTTACCCACGTCGTTGGAGTATTTGCCTATCAACGAAGCATGCATCGATGCAAAGTGCTCCTTCAGTCGGTCGTCGCGGTCCATCCGTTCCACCACTTCTTCAAACCGTCGTCGACCCGCTCGAATCAAGAGTTGACGACTCGCCGCGCTGTCCACGAGTTGCCGCCACGTCGGGTCACGGTTTAATGTCGGGACGTTTCCTATGGCAAATGAAAGCCTCGTCATCGCGATGGGACCTCACGCAGCGTACCAAGCACAAAACAACAGTAGCGCGCACGCGTCATGCCGACGTTAAGTCGCCGGAGATCGCGGAGAAACCCAATGCTCTCAGTTCGCACGCACGAGAAAATGATCACGTCCTTTTCACGGCCCTACGCGCTGTCGTGACAGATTGATCGATAGGATCGACAGGAACAGGCAAGATGGCGAACCTGAAACCCATCGACCGTGTTTACTTCGACGTCATGGAAGCCTTGCTGCCGCACCAGCGTTTTCAACGTGTTGACTTGCTCCTTGTACGGGGTAATGAACCCGATGGACCATCGATTGGATCGAACAAGCGCTATTTTTTGATACAGCATGGCGACCTGCGAGACATGAGAGCCCATTTCGGGAGGGACAGTCCACCGATATTACCATGGCCAGGCCAAATTGAGCTTCGTCCATGTTGCACTTGGACCCGCCAGGGCCATTGGACTCGCGCCCATCAATATCAAACAGCAAAAACGGTTGGAAGAACGGGTGCTTGTATACGGTGTTGCCGAGCGCGAGGACGCGCGTGCCGATCACGTCGCCGTCGTTTAAGATACCACCGTAAAAGCACTTGGACGGAAATTCACGGAGAAACGGATGCATGCGATATTGCACCTGAGCAACGATTCCACGACATGAAAATTTGCATGTGACGAGCAACGTACTCGAAGAATCGCGCGGGGCACACCACCTTCGGCCAGACGTTCAAAGAGCGATCGATTGTACAAGAACTCTTGGGCGCGAACACTCTTGACCGTCGCCGGGAGCTGCTTGGGGTCTCCAACAAAAATGGCCCGGGCCACGCGTTCACGGAGCGGAATCAACGTGCTCAATTCGACTGCTTGAGCGGCTTCGTCGATAATCACGGCATCAAACCTACCGATCCAACATGCAAAACACGTCGTGGAAGCATTTGGCAACACCGCACCCTCGTGTCAGAACGTCCAAGTCACCCGATCCGCACTTGGACAATGTACAGACGATGATGTTGGCCTGCATGAGGATGGACGTCGTGATCTGTTGTTCGAGGTTTTGGACTTCGTCTTGCAACCGCCGCTTTTTGCCTTGCACTTCGTTGAGCTCGCGATGCCACGCGGTCATTTGGCGCTTATCCTTCTTTTTGGCCGGGTCGGTTTGTGCGTGGAAGGTTCGAATGTGGTCGCGCAGCTGGTTCTCTCGCGTCTCGAGGATTTTCCACGCTTGGTACTTGGGATGGATTTCGATGTTTCGCCGTACGACAGCTATCATTTGTCAGCGACAAGGGTGACCGATTCAATGCGTACGTTTCAAGCACACGTGCTTGACGGCGTCGGGCGAGTCGTCCGCTGTGGACCCCAACCGAACAATTGTCATGTCCTTGTTCTTGGGTTGATTTTCTACCGGCAAAGGCGACGCTCGCTGGAGAGTTGGCGGCACGACGGCAAGCTGGGCACCAGTCGGGCCGACGATCCCGTCCGTCACGAGGCGCATGATCAGCTCGTCCACGGCTCCGTTGGATGGCGCGCAAATCAGGATGTGATTCGTGTGGCCTTTCTCCTGCGTTAGTTTCGACACGGACAAACCGGTCGAACGATGGAGCACGCCCATTCGATTCGCCGTGCCTGCCATGACGCCATTCAATCGCTGCCGACTGAGCGATTGATTTTTTATTTGTTGGATGCTTGTGCGACTCACGCCATCGTTTTGGACACTGAAGCGCATGGCGGGCCTGGGTGTGTGAGATCTTGTGGCCGCTGGTAGTTGAATCGACAACAGGCCAGCCACAAGGCCTAGTGAGCAATGTCAACCGACTAAAATCATGCTTGAACAACGGACCTAGGATCGTCTTGGTCTTGCCGGTACCAGGAGGGCCTTGCAAGAGACTCACGCCGGACTCGTAGTTGCTCAAGACGGAGTGAATCGATTGCAACTGCGAGCTGTTGTACATGGGACGCACTACGTCCCACATTGGTTGCGGCACAAACACTGGAGCGACGTGCAACGCGTCAGATGCCGTGAGCAACTTTTGCCACCGCGTCATGAGTTGCTGCGCCATCGTCGGAATGGTTTCGTCGCCTTTGTACTTTTTCAGCTTTCGCACAGCCACGCCAATATTTGTCGACTACAGCCACCATCCGTGTCAGTATTGGTGCCTCATATACACGTAGCATTTGCCGCGTACGCGCAAGTCTTCCAGCTGAATCGGCAACTTGCTCAGTTTCTTCAAACTTCGCCTCAGCAGCTCGGTCGATTCGTCGCACTGTACACCACCAGCGTAAGACTCGACCAAAACACATACGCCGTACCGGCATTTCTTTCCACTTGTCAAAATCTGACACCATGGAAATCAATAAACTTTGCGTCGATTGGCACGACTCTGGCGACAGCACGACCTTGCGCAGGTGCATCGGGATCAAATCCAATGCCATCATGGCCACGTATTCACGCGCAGCGGTCGTGAGGTTGCCCAACACCCTCCCGTCGAATTCGTCCATGGCGTTCAACATCACGTCTTGCGCCATGTCGTCGCTCGACAGAATCAAAATTTGCATGTCCGTGGCGCCGTTGGCGTCTGGCTTTTGCTGCGGTCGGTCCTTTCGCTCGGGCTTGACGAAGATGCCGACGGTCGCGTCCGCATTCTACAAATCCCAGACCACGTTCGATATCCACAGGTCATGACCATGCCGCATTGTCGTACATTAACACCACGCAAGTACAACACATCATGGTTTCGGAACTGAGTGGCTTGTTTGGCCGGACACGTCACGACAATCACCCGCATATTGTCTCGAGCATGCTCCGACTGTAGGCGCAGACGAGTGGGCTTCAGTGCATCGACCTTGTTCCACCTAAAACCGCATAACCATGTCACACATCGATCAGCCACGTCACCATAGGAACGGATCGTACGCTTCAACCATATCGCTTTTGCATTCTTCAAGCATCAACGGGGCAAACACAGCATGGTAAGCTCCAGCGCTAGCAAAATTCACGCCCGGCACTTGAAGCTCGGCCACATCGCCGGATTGCTCGGCCAAAACAGACACGACAAGCAGAACTTGGCGGAAAAATGGATGCAACGACGCTGGGGCTATTGGCACGCGCATGGTTCGAACTTGCCGCACGACGTTCAATATCTTGTAGTTTTCGACTGGGATTTCTGGCTCCGTGGTCACGGGCGCCGGGCGCTGGACGTTATGTGGGGTTGGTTTGAGCGTGACTGTTCCGCGCACAGGCGGAGTCGGGTCATGCGACATGACATCCTTCATTTCGGCCTCTCTTAATGCTCTTGCTTCATTGGTCTTTTTCATGATTTGCCTCGCTCGTTCTTCCACCAGTCGCTTGACATCTTCTTCGTCGTTGTAAAATCCATGTAATTGACTGGGGGCGTTCTTCACCGTGTCCGCTGTCATCCGCGTCGTCATGCCTTTGGACGATGTCCGACTCGTCCGGAACTGGCCTTTGTTGAGTTTTTCCAGCTCTGATTCGGTCGCATCGAGGCGTTTGCGCTGCCGCTCTTGCTTGCTGTCGGCAATTTCCCCACTGAATCCAAATAGTCTGGTTTGGTGATACTGCAGTGGTGCTTTCTTTCGGTTTGGTTTCGTGTGCCACGGATTATAATATTGCGAATGCTCGACAACGTCGTCGTCTTTGTCGTCGACGATGACCTCCACCTTGCGGGCTTGCATTTTCGACGTTAACTTCGTGATTGCGGCGCGGAGTTTTGCTATATTCAGCCAAATCTGTGTTAGCCTCCACTGAATCGGCCGTATTGCCTGTACCCAGTTCGGCTGGTGCGCTCCACACGTCAATGGCGACTACATTCGGTTCCACGGAAGTGTTCCAAGCCGCGGACATCTTGACCAGTTCGTCTTCAATGCACGTATCAAGGCGAAAGGATGCGTAGTCCTTGGCGTGGCCCAGTTCCCCGATGATGTACATGGCCAAGTCCACGACTCGTCGCTGAATTGCAATGCTCGGATGCGCCAGCGCATGTCGGAGCAAGAGAAGTAGCACTCGATTGCCGGCAAATTCCATCGACTTGTGCTTGCGCGGTTGAAACATCCACCAAAAGCGCCACATCACCTTGACGAATCGCAGCAATCGAACGCCGTAGCTTTCTTCCATGGTGTGGCTTGTGTGCAGCGCAGTGCAAAAGAAATCGTGCATGAGGCGGGGGAATCGGAGGAGTGACATGCGACCTCTCAACGTCGACCCGGTTGCTGCCGCGATCGCATCAAACATTTGACTAGGCAACCCTTCCAAGACATATGTCCAATACTGCAGCACTTCCTTCAACACGCTGACGTGGTGGCCTTGGCTGCGCATGTATAACAACGTGGACATCACTCCCCGACAAAACGACGGCATGTTGTACTCGACAAGTCGCTTGTACGACACATTGATGGGCTCTGTGGACACGTTGTTCACAAACGTGCTCGCCGGGGACCCGCCATGCATGACCAGACTACGCAACCTCATTTAAAGGACGCTCACGGGTGCAACCTACGTACGTTTTGATGCTGGCTCGGATGGTCGGGTGCGTTGAGATCAAGCACATTGATATATGCTGGGCGACGGCTGGGATTTTCAGGACATTATACAAACCTTTCTCGGCAATTTCATGGGTGAGGACAGTCAGGTACGGCACCAACCGCTCTTGGAACTCGCGCAAGTGCGGTGAAGTGGGCACGACGTGGCACAAGTAGGCAGTGACCCCCACACACTCAAACAACGCAGCATGGACGGTGAGAGGGATCTTTTCGACGTCTTTCCACGCACACAAGTTGTCAAGGAGCCACGTGCTGCTGAGCAGGCCAGGGACGTCGAATCCCCCGATCAAGGCGTCTCGTATTAAGTACATGTGCTTTTGAAGGACGAGCGAGATCGTGGACGCGGCTGCGTCCACCAATTGAAGCAACGTTGACGTCTTGATCGTGTGGAATAGGTGCTCCATCCATTCGGACGCAAAACACGAAGCATTCCGAGCGTCGTCCAGTTCTGGCCGTGGGTACGGCCACCAATACGTGTACCTGGGTGTGACGATTTCGACGGTGTGGTCGCCAGGGAGGTCACCGTCCTTGGAGGCAGTTGGAGTCGTGCTTTGCTTCACTCCGTAGGCTTCCCGTACTATCGTATACAACACCTTGACGGCCGTGGGAAGCAGCACAGCATGGTTGGCATACACTCTTGCGCTTGACAGGAGAAACGTGTAGATGGCGGTCCGCGTGGAGAAGTAGGTTTGGGTACTGGTGTCGTCGGCGATGGCGGTGATGGTGTCGCCGTCGAGCTCTGGTCGTAGGGACCACAGCAGTGCCGGTAAAAGGTCCAGGAAACCAATTACGATGAATTCTTTCCACGCCTTTTCTTTGCATTGACGCAGGATCACGTCCAAGACAGTTGATGGATCGTACGCCGTGTGCTCCCAGAAACGATGTTTCAGGGTGGCCAGCAGCATGCGATAGCATCGGGTGACCTACTCCAGTCGTGACGCAACAGTACCACGTGAAAGAAGGACCACAAACGTCAGCCGACGAGCTCAAGCATCTTGCACAAACATCGTAACCAGGCAGGACGTACCACCAAGAGGCCCTGCAGAGGTAATGCTTGGGTTTGGGCGGGATTGGCATCTTGGAGACATGAAAACACAAGGTCCGGCAAGTTTTTGAAGCGACGGAGGAGCGTTTCCTTGCTTGGTTCGTCCAACGCCTACAACACTGGGGGGTATTGCGTGCATCGTCTTGACGGCGTGAACAACGGACCTGGAACAGAATGTCCAAACCAGCCCAGAACACTTGGGGCGATGGCGACTTTGTACACTGCCCGGAAGTGACAAACTACAAACGCCATTACGGCAACCGAATTCAACACAATGGAGAAAGGGTCTACCAAGTCAAAGTGCGCCGTCGATGGAACGTCCATGTCGGTCCAAGGCTTGTCGAACGCGTCGTTCTCGAGCACGTACATGAGCTCTTCCATGTAGTTCACGAGCGACGGCGTGAGTTTTGTCGCTTCTTTTGCCGCTTTTTGGGCACTCCATGATCTAGTTCGAGAATTAGCCTGGTCAAGAAAGTCGGTCGATTTGACTGAAAGGGTACCGCAACGTCGAGTCGGGGCAGATGGACAAAACGAACAGTCCAGGCAACGAAGTCAGGGCGGAAAAATCGCAGTATTCTTGAACTTCAGTGGGCACGTCGGATATCCACTGACAATGACGTGACGCACTATGACCGTGTCGAGATTCGAAAGTACCTTTTGCAACGGCTTGAGGAAGCGGTTGTCCCGCAGCATGCGAGGGGACGAAAACAGTTCGAACAATGCCATGGTAATCTGGTCTTTGCTTTCCTTTGCGTTCAAGCTTTTTTCCATGGATCCCATCGACCATAACTTCTTGAATCGCATCATGTCAAACTCGACGAGGATTTGAAACGCCTTCTTTGCGCCATCCGACCCGATTTCGTCGCGCAGTTCCGCCGCGAGAGTCGTCAAAGAATTTTGGTACCCCTGCATGCTACATCCACACGTCAAGTGAGCATCTTCGCTTCATGTGTCGAGTGGGAGCGTACCAATCTGTGCATAGCCCCAACTGTCGATGGCTTTCCTTAATCCACTTCAATGTAGCGCTGTTGTCCTTTCTTGCAAACACCAAGCGTAGCATGAAGCGACTTAGCTCCGCGTACCGATAGCGGCACCACCAGTGCACCGTTCGAGCTTTGGACTCGTCAGCCACCTTGAACAAGAACGATCCTACACGGTTCCACTCATCGAGGAGGTTGCTGTTCTTCTTGTCGAGCTCGACAAGTTCGTCCGCAAGCTCGGCGGCAGCGGCCTCGTTTGCATACTCCGCGTCGTCCATAATATACATGTCATCTTCGAAGTCCTCCATATTGCCGTCGCCCATTCCGCGCGCACTGTCGACGAGCCGCTCGGCGCCCGAAATTACGCGATTGAAACGATGCCCGAGATATTGGACCAACTCAATGCCATCCGGATAAAATCCGGATTAGCGCGCCAAAGCGGTAAGCGGCTCGCATAATCCCGAAAGTGGCAAATGCTCAGGAAAGGTCCATGGATCGAAGAAGCCAAACATTGTTCGGGCTTGTACATCCCATTGCATTGATTGCTTTCTGCCATACGAACCTGTGAAGCAGCATGCCAACAGCGAGCCTGCTAACGATGTGGATGAATGTAGTTTGCTCCTTCTATGAGACCCATTGCTGAGCAATTCCTCCATGACCTGCTCTGACAAATGTCAAACGAATGGGGGTTGCTGGAGGGTGGAGAGAATTCTTGTTCTGGCACACCCCATAGCATTCCCCCACTGCATAGCGTTCATGACACGTAACACTAGAGAAGACTCATGCTGGATGCACGATGCCTTCAAGCCATGATGTTAATGACGGCGTAGCAATTTACTTCTTCATGCGTCGAATACGTGCCTCGACGCGGGCGTTTTGCGCAGCACGGACCTCTTCAATGGCGTCTTGGACCTTTGGCGCAATGTCCGCGCGCTCAAAAGTGCCAGACTCCTCCTCTGCATCGTTGTCGTTCGTTCCTTCCTCGTGTTGGATCGCAGCGCCAACATGGGGGGCTCGTTTGGACACGCGGTCGCTGACATCGTCGTCCTCGTCGCTGCTTTCCTCACTGTCGACCGTTTCCGATGTGTTGCCGTCAAGGTACTTCCGTTTCAAGCGCGTGAACAGGACTTCTTCGTGCAACCGGAATCGGCGCAGCAGGTCGTCCACAGCATCGAGCTTCGACGGGTTGTTCGCAGCGTAAAACGCTATCAATTGGTCGCGATACTTCCTTTGACGGTGCGCATGGTGATATTCCGGAGTCGGTGCAAAGAATCCCACGGCCAGGAGCAATGAATACGACCCGGTCGCAAGAACGTTCATCGCTGCTTGCTGCACAGCAGGGGACCACATCAAGTTAGGAAGGGACAAGTCCGCCGAAATAGCATACACGGCAAACGTATTCACAACAACGAGGAGACCTGTGATGACCAACCAATGCCGCGGCGACGCTGACGTTCGAGCAAGGGCAACCGTCAGTGCCAGGGCGGTCAATGCAGCACGTGTTGCAATCTCGGCCTGACTGTCGTTCATGATAGCTGCAGCGTACACAGGAAGGACGAGTGGACTGTCCATGATGAGCTGCACCGTCGCATCCACAACGGCACGTGGGTGATGGTACACCACCGTGAGGCCGCCCCACAGAAGTGCTCTCGCGGGGCCGACGGTCATTTTGTGAGTGGGCCTTGTCGCAGCCTTTGAACTAGCCAATGAGAGATATCCGACAATGAAATTTTATCCAATCAAAGGCAATCAATTGTATTTTCAAATTTGAATTGCGCACTCCATGGCGGCTCAAGTTGACACCGCATGGCATTTACCGCGCCACGGAAGACTTGTACCGGCACAGCCCCCAGGAAATACCGCGAAAGGGCTACAATACAATGGTTCTTCGCCGCACGGACCATCCTCTGGACTTCGTTAACGCCCCAGTCGACGCGCAAGTGCTATTGCTGTTAAGTGTCGCGTTGAGGCGCACGCGACTCGTCGTGGATGTTCCCACCGCTCCGGCGCGATAGCAGAGTCGACATTAGGTTTGGTGTAGAAGTAGGTTACAAGGGTGAGATCATAAATACGATGGGTGGGGCGGATGGAATCACTGACTGAACTGGGTTTCCGGGACAAATGCATGGTGCGACCCTGGTGACGCGCTGTCAGGAGTGGACCGTTGCGACAGTGCCGTGACGGCGGCACCATCGCTCAACTGATGGATCATTGCTTGGATCTTGGCATATTTGTTCAGCTCAGCTTTCTATCTCCAAGCGATTACCACGCCACAGCACTTGTCCAAGTACAACAAACGAAGACACGTACGAGCCGTTGGACGTCTCCATCTCGCTGGGCGAGTGCTGCTGTCGTCGTGTCGACCTGTCGTTGAAGCTCTGCATTCTGCATGACGATCGCCGCCGCTTCGTTCTACACCCGCTATCACCTTCTCTTCCTGACACATGGACAGGACGATCTACCTGCATTTTGACGTGCTGATGGCGCAACATGTCCAAGTCGTGGCGTAGGGAGCTCGACCGTGCTTGTTCTTCAGCCACCGACTGCTCGTAGCGCACAATTGTGCGTTCAAGCTCTGCCATGTGCTCTTTGTGCGACTGAATCCGAATTTCTTGGTCCCTATGCGGTCCACCCATGAGTTTTCCAATTGCTCGGTGGAGCACATTACTCGACGTGCTGGTGCAAGTCGTCGAGCTTGGCATGGGCTTCTTGGAGCTCGCGAACGGCGACTTCTCGTTCCTACAGATCCACCCGTCGATACGTGACTTTCGTTTGGCGTCCACATGGCCATCGATGTCGTCGTCGGCATGGTCATGGAGTGAAATGCTTCATCATCCAAGTACCTCGGTCGTGCGTCGCAAGTCGTCCGTTTGTTGGTGGTGGGCTTTTGCTAAGAGAACCAACTGGCGATACAAGCTCTCGTGCTTTTCTTCGTGCAACTCGACCGTCCGTTTCAAATGCTACACGACCCAAACGCCATGAGCTAGCGAACGAATCGAAGCGCTGCGCATCGACAGTCCACACGGACAACGCAACAATGCCACGCAAACGACGAGATCGGCGAGGGATTACCGTGTTGGACTCGCGGGCGGCGAGGAGGTCTCCGCTCTGGGCAGCGTATGCCTCCGACATCGACTCGAGCTCGGTTTGTGCTTGCCTCGCTTTGGTTGACCTGCCAACGCATTGTTCGCCAAGGTCAGAACGGCGCATGTATACTCCAACGAGGAATCCTCGTACATGCGCTCGACGTCGGCGGCCGCGGCGGCATTCGCTTCACCCACTTCATCCAGTCGCATCTCCAACATGAGCAGCTTTCGCTGCAACGCTTGGTTGTCTTGGTCGAGTTGCCCGCGTTGCATGCGGCTGTCCTGCAACTGCGCTCTCTTCTTTTCCAGCGCGTCGGTCTAGAATTCCATTTGCATCTCGATCATCCCACGTCCTGTCAACACATCGCTGCCACCGATCGCACCTTGTCTTGCAGCTGTCGAAGCAGCCCATCGCAGTGTGCTTTGACTTTTCCCAGCTGAGTCTCCATGTTGGCGGTCAGGCTCTCGAGAACATGTTCGTGCGCGGTCCGTTGCGCGTCCAGTTCCTTTTGGAGCCGCGCGTGCTCGGTCCTGGCCAACATTCGCTCGTCGGCCGCGTTGGCACGCACCAAGTCTAGTTCAGCCGTGACTCGGTCGACTTGTTTCGACGCGAGTTGAAGCGCCGCGTCGCGCCGTGTGACACGATCGGTCCAAGACACGATCGCATCGTGGTGTTTCTACGTCGAAAGTTGCAGTGAACAACCAAGAGGCAGACCGAACGAAGCACCTGATGTGCCGCGTAGAGAGCGTCGGCAAGCGGGAGGAGCTGCGGGGACTTCGTCGAATGAATCGACAGCGCAAAGACCCGACGGAGAAAAGCCAAAACACGCAATGTCCACTGCTTCTCGTCGACTTGGCACAGCCCTCGAGCCGCGACAAACGCAACCGCCGGATGTTGAAGCGTTGCATGGCATTCTCGCAGCACGTCGTCGTCCATGTCGTTGTGAATCACCAATGCACCCACGAGCGCCTGACACCAACGACCCTGCATCAGTCCTCCATTACTGGACAAAGAATGGCCTGCGCTCACCATAAAGGCCAAGGAGAAGCGGGGAGTGAATTCAAGGGCAGCTTCAGGGGGTAAGGACTCGTACAGCGTGGCCTCTCGCTGGGCCAGCCCGACCAGCTAAACTCGATTCGTTCCACGTCATCAGACCATGCGATGGACCAACAGGCGTCGACGACTCACCTGACTAAAGTTGATGAGGGGTACACTCAACGTGACGATGCGCGCGTCCGCCCCGAGCTGGACGAGTAGAAGGCAGATCCACACGGCATGCTGGTATGCATCGGTCGCACTGATCGGGTTGTTCAAGTCGTTGGAAGGACGATGGTCGACATCGCTGGATACGGCTGGGACGACGTCATGTCGGACAAGTTGGGTGATTGTGGCATGAAGGGTTCGGAAGAGACCAATGAGCAACGGCTGCAGCAACGGGAGCAACTTGTCCGGAGTTGACGACTGCGCGGACGCAGGCGTCGTCGGGTTGGCGAACGACATGGCCGCCTACTCCACAAGTCGCATGACCACATGCACGGGGGACGTCGAAGCTGATGAAGCATTCATACCGACGGTGGCGGTGTTGAAGCCGGGTCAGCGATGCTCGCGTCATCGAGCAACGTTTCGACGAGGGGCTTGTCGTCCGTGAGCAACGCGACAAAAAACTTCGTCGCAGCGATTGCAACGATTGCAACTGGATGAAGCACCACCGCCATGACCTTGGCCAGCGGCGGGCACTTGGACCCGATTGTTTTCCGCAGGCGATGGCTCGTAGCGGCTACGCCATGGAGAAAGTGGAGCGCGACGTGGAGGCGCTGCACTGTCTCGTGCAGGTGGAGGCGAGGCAGCATGACCTCAACGAGGTGGACGATTTCACCGGACGTTTCCAGTAGGTCGAGGATCCATGGCTGGGTCGCCCAGTCGAGAACCAAGTTGACACTGGCGAGTTGGAGACGTACGCTAGAGATTACCTAGTGAGGATTTTCCGAAACAAAAATGGCGACAGTACGTGTCAAGAGCGCTGGATGACGACGTGGAATCGAAGCGCAGCATCATGGACGAGGAAGATGCGGTGTCGCTGTCGAGGATTGACACCACCAACGCGAGCGCGTGCGATACGTTCTTGGGCTGGAAAAGCTTTCGTCCCATCGGTTCGTGCAAAACCAGACAAGCGAGCACAGACATGGCGTAGATCAATATGCTGGCGTCGTCGGTTCGATTGAGCAACAGCGCCAATGTCCGCACGAGTTCTTTCCGTGTGGGGAGCTCGGACACGAACAGCTTCACCCCGACATTTCCGCGCAGACACGTCGCCAGTGTCTGCAGGTGCAAGATGAACGACGCTTCAAGATCTGCATTGGTGAGTTCGATGATTGCATCTACAACCGTGCGGACAAGTGTCGCGAGCACCTTGGCGAACGGCGGCGTAGGGTAGCCGACAAGCACTGCCCCACCCGCGATGTCGAAGAGGAGAGCGACCAGGTCGTTTCGAAGACTGTCGTTGTCGTTTGTGTCCACGCACAACGTTGACACTATGTCGAGCACGGGCGAGAAGACGGATGCGGGTAACGTGTGGAGATGCGCGAGAAATTGCAAGGATTGACATCGCGATTTCATCTCGGACAGGGCGTTGTTCTTGGCTATCTGTTTCGAGCCGTCGTTAAAGGCTGCAATGAAGGACTGCACCACCAAAAGCACATCTCCCCTGGATGTTTCCACGGAGCACGGCTGGAATGTCTTCCGCCATGGCTTTTGCTCGTCGACCACGTCACCCGGCATCCTGCCTTGCCGTCTCGTTGTGCCGCGGGATATCCGGTTAAATGGTGCGGCGATGATTATCCGGACTTGGACTGGGGTCACGGATTGGTCGACTTGAATCTGTCATGTGATTCGCTGAAAATAGAGCATATATGAAAGTTGATTTGCTGATGAGAATATTTATGTCCAATAATTGTCCCAATTTGCTTTCTTCTTGAAACCGACACAAAGATCCATCGCCGCCATTGTCGTGTGTGCGGTGGACAAGACGATGGCGACGGACCTGCGCACGTTTGCTTCGATCGTGTGCCGGGACTGCCTGTACTTGGAGTTCCCAGGATGTGACTCTCATCAGCTTCTGTACACAGAGTCCATCTTGGATGGCACGACGACGCATGCCAAGTGTCCCAAATGCTCTGCCGCCACCAACAATCAACGACCATTCCGCGAAGGTTGTCGGCGATGCAAAGGCAAGACGTTTATTGGAATGTGGAATTGCAGCCCCAAGGAGATCAAGCAGGCGTTTCGGTTCGTTCCGATGATGCTGTACGCTCCTGGTTCATGACCTCCCTCAGGTGTTTTCCATCCCGAATCGAAGAAATCGACCACACAGTCGTCCAGTGTGACGAACACTGTTGCGCCAGTGTCGTGTTTCCGAGCTCGCGCGAGGTTCTCACCACTCGCACGGCGGCCTGTGCCCTCGTCACCAGCAGCCATCGGCAACTCAAGCTGTCCAACTTCCAGTTGAGTATGCCGCATGTGCCGGGGTGTCCGCGACAAGGCATGCCGCTCCACGCGGTGAGTTGCCAGCATTCTCATGGAACACACTTTGTTATGCGCATCGTGCGCTTGGAGAGTAGGTGGCGGTGCGCTTACCCAAGAGCGAGCTAAAGTTCGTGTTGGAACGGATCGAGCAATGCCCGATTCCACCCGTTATTTCCATGGGGCCAGCGTATCGGAAGCGGCAACTCGCGCCAGCTCGAGATACGAATCAGCTGCACCAAGTACTGTCGACGCCACTACGACGGATGCAAAGAAAAACTAAACGACCACGTGGTAGATTTACCTCCGCTTGCTGGCGACAATCGTCACGACGTTCGACAGCCACAACCTGAATTCTCTCGAGCCCCTCAAACAGGTCTCTTCACCTTGACGGCATCCTTTTTAAAGAGTCTTTTTTCTTCGTAGATTGCCACGTTGTTTGAAAAGTCGGATGCCCTGCGCATGTTTAAGGACTGGGCGCCGCCGCAAGAGCCTCCCATCACGCACGTCGTGCCGACCAAAGCCATCGCGACGTCACAAGCAGATGACCAACACGACGTGACTCAGTACGAAGCCAAACGAGTTGAGTCTGCGAGAAAGACGTGGGGTTACGTAGATTGCTGGACCCAGGTTCGACCACGTACTGGCAGTCGGCCTTCGTTCCGCCTTCAAGCCCCTTGGCCCCGACCCCGACAACCGTGGAGGTCACGCTCGAGTTTGACCCGCCTACGGCCGTCCAAGCGATATCAATTCTGTGGCACATCGACTATGTTTGCCACAGCTATAACGTCCAAGTGTCGACGAACGGCGGTAAGGCGTACGACAGCAGCAACTTTTCCATCAGTACCAAGCAGCACCTGTCTGGATCCCAGACCATTCGTTATCACCTGCCATCGGTGCGTGATGATATCCGAGCCCATGTTTCCTCAACCTCGATATTTTTGGTTGCTCGTTGCGTCGCGCGGTGGACTGAATTCGTTGCTGACCACAACTGTCGATGGGGTTGAAGCAACGACGAAGCATTGCCAACTCACCGTGCGATTGTAGCCGGTCGTGGCATCCCATGTCAAAGTGTCCATGATGCCTCATTCGACTAGCGCACAAGATAAACCCATTTCGTTCGGCATCCACCATCTCCTCGTGTACCCAACGTCCGTGGAGGTTGTGTACACGTCACCGAGCAAGGTCTTGCAAGATCTCGTCACGTGGGTGTCTTCCGCCGCGACCCATTCGCCCCATCCCGCGATTCGCGATTTCGCGCTGTCGATCCTGCAGGTTCGCACTTGCGCTCGGGTTCGTTTCCATCGGTCTCAATGGTGGGTGGGCTTGGTTGTAGACGCTGGCACTGGCGTCGGGGTCGCTGTGCGCGCTTCTGCACGTCGTGCACTGCCTGCTGCACTCGCCGACCGGATCGAGTCCCGATTTTTCCCCGGACAAAACCGAGGCGTTCTTGCACGAGTTGGCGACGTGTGTTCAGAAGGTCATGTTGCAGTCCAACTCGGACCACAGCGCGACAAAATCGTTGGAGAATCGCATTATCCAACAAATGTCGCTCAACCTCCAGGACGAAGTGACCCGTCGAACCATTCAAATCTTGCAAAACATTCCCGGCCTTGAAGTGTACACGTCCCCGGATGCTGCAAACATGGCGACCATTCCTGGGCTGGAAGTGTACTCGCCACCGCGGCCGACTCCCGCTGCTGGCAGCCCAGCGCCAGCTTTGGTCCCACCACCCCCCATCTCGCTGACTAGGAACGATCAAGCAGTGACAAGTGCACCAGACCCCACAGTCACCATCCCTGCCGCAAATAATTCACACACGTCGGTGGACGATGAATGCGCGAGCCCCACGTCGTGCCCAGCTCTGGTGCTGCTTCTCTGCCAGGTACCATGCCCAACCTACTATTGCGCGAATGCGTTGCTCGATGGCCGAGCCGAGATGGGCTGAACAACCATGGATGCTGGTGCATGCTCGAGGAACGGAAGGATCGTGCTAACAGTGGTGTGTGGCTATGGCAGCAGCGCTCGTTTGTCAAGTGCATCGAGACACGCGCGCAGGTACACAAGGCTTTCACTCGACTGTCTCACGTGGACATGGCGATAGTTGGCGATGGTGATCTTGAGTGTGCTGAGCGAATTGAGTGTGTGGCAAATGCAGCGCATGCAACGACCAGAAGATTTTGTTGGGCGTCGAGAGGACGAACTCAGTCGGTTGGAAGATCCATTTTCGATTCAAGTGAGCGCCGAACTGTTTGGACTTGGGTACACGTTGCTGACGGAGCTCCTGGCCCCGTGGCTCAAACCGACACAATCAAAGCTCTACGACACGCTCGCGGCCGCGGCCGCGCGGTTGACACAATCACTGTCGTCGTCGCCATTTAGCCCGACAACAGGCCATGCCTTGTCCAGCGGAAAGAATTCCCTCGACCACCGATTCACGCCCAACGCGATGGGACTGGCAGTCTTGCAGGTAGGCCGCCCCACACACGTGTGTATAGCAAAGCATCGTGCAGAAGGTCGACGGCATGGCATTTTGTAGATCGTGACGTCGAATGTTCGCCGACTTGTGTTGAGTCATGTGGACCCGGCCGAAGTCGGGCTTCAAGATGGTCAGGACGAGCTCATCCAAGCCCTCGAGCACCTCATTCCGTTGGGAACCAAGCGAACGGATCCGTTGTTTCCGCTGTCGCTGCAAGCTGCGGCAGCAATCGAAGTGGGGATGGAAGCTTTCTACCCGTCGTCGCAGGTGCGTGGTTGGTCGAATTCATAGCTCGGCCGTGCTGACGGCCTCCATGCCTTTGCTTGTCGACGGTGCCAACCCATGATTGTAGCAACGAACGACGCTGCTCACGACGCGCATGGGCCATGGCGCCACACTCGAGTTTCAACTGCGATGGCCTGTCCAAGAACGTGAACAGGAAGACCCGCGCTATGAACGGCTCGTTTTAATTCTGCAGGTGTTTATCATTCGACTGCTCGTTCTGCTGGTCGAGTCGTGGTGATGGCACGTATGCCGTGTTGCGTGGATGACGGCCCATCCGTGTGACGCTCAACCGGCGTTTCTGGAGCTCACGAGGGCATTCTGACCACCGTTGTTTGTGACGTAGCTGGCTTGCATCAAGCTGGGGTTTGTCCATGCGCTGCGGGGGACGTGGGGCGTGTTTCTCCATTTGGTCGTCGCGCTTCCACCGACACAGTCGACGGCCGACGTGCTTCAGCAGTGCATTGCCGAGAGCATCCAGCAGGCAGGGTTCGCCGGGTGGCAAGTCGCGGCCGGGGCGCAGGAGATTTCGATCACGCTGCAGCGCCACTTGCACTGGAACCGTGTGGAAAAGATGGGTCACGACTCTGGGTCCGGCTGGATCCGAGTGTACCCCCGGGCCGTTGCCACCTACGACGACGTCCTTGTCGAAGTCGACGCGTTTGTGCATCAGCATGCAGCGTTGGTGACGTAAATAAACCCTAACTCAGTCACATTCTTGACCACACAGCACTCCTTTTGGCTTCGTAAGCCGAATTCGGCCTGGCGAGCGGCGGCCCAGCCATCGCATGGGCCATCGCAAGCCGAGTGACAAGAGCATTGGAACGATTCAGGACGGGGTAACGAGATTGTGTGGTTGATGCGGGACGTCACCAGCACGTCAGCACGTTCGTTTCGACGTGGGAAACAGTGGAAGGGACCGACGAGTGTGGAGGACGATGGAGAGGTCGAGACGGTCCTGCGGAAGTGGACGCCAAAGCCATTGGCGCAAACGAGCTCCGCTGCACAAACGGATTCACCGGCGTTCTCGACAGTGGAAAGACCAGAGGGACGACTGTTGTCGAGATTCGTTTGTGTCCATTCGAAGGAGGTGTATCGTTAGGAGAACTGGAGCAGGAGGATCACGATGGTCAGCGCGATGCAGCCTGCGATGGTCCGTGGCGAGAACGGAACTTCGACGTCGTCGCTTTCGTCGGCCGGCGAGTCCGTTGGATGCTGTGGAAAGGACGACGGAATGGCCGACGACGGGCGAGTCGTGTAGGACGACGGCTGGTGTCGCTTGCGGAGCTTGGCGCCGAGGATCTGATGGGCGATGTGTGGTGGCATCTAGACGCCGCATTGAGACATTCCAAGCAGCGGGCACACCAAAAACTCGACGACTCTGGGGCGTGAAACGCTGGTCTTACCTTGTTCACGTCTGCCTCCGAGTACCCGAGCTGAAGCAGATCGCGCTTCATTCCAGCCGTCACCATCAAAGGAACGGACGTAGAATATGCCGAGGCTGCTGGTGTTGATGTGCAATACGACGGCTTGCCACGACCCACCGACTGCGGCTGGCCCACGTCAACGACCGACGATGTCGGAATCAAGCCCTCGTCGACGTCTACAACACAAGAAAACATGATGACATTCACGTTCAACATATTGATTCGAATGCGGTTAAAGATGCATGCACGAAGCCTTGCAGCAGCACATGCACGGTCGGTGCCTCCTCCATCGAACGCACGACGTGGCATGCGCCGATACATTGGAAGTGTTGTGCCAACAAATCTACTTTTTCGTCGACGCACTGGCAAATACAAAATACAGCAACGCGAGCGTGACGAGCAGGGCCGCCACCGTCGGCGCCCTCGTCGACGCTGTTTTCGTCGCGTTCACAGGTTTCCTTTTCTTGACTTCACCTTTTCGCAACCCCGTGTCTAGGATCTCATGTGCTTCGTCGACCTTCATCTACACATCCATGCGAGATGAGCAACTCCATGGACCGGCAGTCCGTGTACCTTGTGGATGTCTTCGTCCTTGTATCCGAGAGTCTTGAGCTCGTACTTCATCTTGGCCGTAATCATGAACGGAACAGATGCAGCATTGCTTCGGCTCGACATCGATATCGCTCTCTCCTCTCTCTCACTACGCTCACAACCCCATAAGATTGTCTACGCCACAGGAACTCTCCGTCGCGGCGGCGCACCTGGCGGCGTTGCCTTGTGCGGTTGTGAATGCAGGTCGTGCACCTCCTCGTATTGGTGCGTATTATCATCTCAACGTGATATATTTATTGTGGGATAATTTCGGTCTTCGTATAAAATCGACAATGTCCACACACCATGCCGTGTGCTACATGATGTCTCAAGATCGGTCCAAGGGGCACATCAATTTACCATTTCTCCAGATAAGGTCGGAGCTGTGTCAGTCCTGACCACGTTGCTGCGCTGGGCGAGACTAACCCTTCCCGGCATCTGTCTTCATGAGCGGTTGGGTGTGAAGGTAGAAAAATATTTTTCAAGGGCTGAAACGAGCAAGTGGTGCGTAGTATTACCGAAGGGATTGGAAATGGGTGCTTGAATCCAAATGTGGGTGCGTGATGCCGTATAGCCCCAAAATGATTGGTCGACCGACCGGCACCACCCGTGGCTCGCCATTTTTCAAAGTCCCAACATGGCCGACGTTGCTGCGATCCAGAAGCAAGTTGAGTTCTACTTCTCCGACAGCAACTTTCGCCGGGATAAGTTTCTGCAAGCGGAGACGGCAAAGAATGCCGACCGCTTCGTGCCGTTCTCGGTCCTGTTCACGTTCAAGAAGCTGCAGGCGTTGACGACGGATGCGGCCGTGCTGGCGTCGGCGCTCGAAAAGTCGACCGTGGTTGAAATGAACGAAGACCGCACGGCCCTTCGCCGTATCCATGCCGCGACGTTGTCGGACGAAGACGCTAGCAAGCGCACTGTCGCATTCAGCGGTCTTGGCGTGCTCCCACCGACGATCGACCAAGTGAACGAAGCGTTCGACGCCGACAAGGTCGCGTACACGCGCATTGTCAAAGCTGCAGGTCGTTTCTTTGGCGTGGTGCATGTGGAATTCAAAGACGAAGCGACCGCGGACGCTATCCTGGCCGACAAAACGATCGCGATTGTCGGACGTAACCCTAAGAAGATGCGCTTGTCCGAGTACTTGGCGCTATCCCACGACGACAAGCGCGACTTTGAAAAGGGCATCCAAGCGATGCTCAAGGCGACCGGTGTGCCCGCGGACGCCACGTTCCAGGACACCGTGACCGCATTGGAAGGACTGTGGGATGACGACCGCGCTAAGAAGCCATTGATCAACTTTTTTGAGGACTTGCACGAGCTCAACTTGCTCTACCAGCAAGTGTCGGCCGCGGCGGAAGCTCTGGCATATTTCGAAGCTCATCCCGTCGAAATCCTTGGCACGAAGCTCTCGTTTGAGCTCGTGTCGGACGAAGATGCCCTCGCCGCCCGCCCGCGCAAGGACTCAAAAAAGCGCAAGGTCGACAATGCCGATCGCAAGTATGTGTGCATCACAGCGATCGGCAAGAGCGTTCGCATGTTGGACGTGAAGGATCTCGTCGTCCAAGCACTCGGTTCGTCTGGCGTCCGTGTCCCGTTTATCGAATTCCAGACCGGGTCATCGCTCGCCAAGATCAACTGCACGGACAACACGCAGGCGACTGCCGTGTACGAAGCGCTCTCAAACCTGACACCCGCGCCGCAATTGGGAGGCAAGACGCCGCACTTCCACTTGCTCACCGTCGGCGACGAACCTGCCGTTGAAGTCGACTACGAAAACGGCCTGATCGTCAAGCTCACGGGCGTGCCGTCGAACGTGTCCCGCGATGTGATCAAGGAGAAGCTCAACGAACTCCTCGGCGAGACTGGCGTCGTCGCGTACATTCAGTTTCAGCTGGGCCAGACGGAAGCGCTACTCCGTGTCGATGTCCCCAAGGCCGCGACAAAGCTCGTCGAGCTCATCTCGTCCGGCGACATGGCGGTGAAGGACCAAAAGATTGGTGGCGCGGAAATCTTGACCGGTGATGACGAAAAGGCGTTCTGGGTCGATGCGGAAACCGCCCGCCGTGCGCGATTTGTCCAGACCGACAGCAACAAGCGTCAACGACAAGGCGATTATGGTGGCAGAGGTGGCCGTGGCCGAGGTGGTGGCCGTGGCCGAGGAGGTCGCCGTTAATCTACCTAAACGTGAATGCTATATAGATACTCACCTCGTTGGTCCCGATGGGAATGTATTATCGTAGATCGAAGCTGATTGGTGGGTGCCCTTTCGTCAACACAACCTGGCGACACAGGCGGAGAGGACTACGCGCAGCTCGTGGTGGCCGATGACCACCGTGGCAAACGGTATGGCTCTGGGTTGGGTGCAGGAGGTGGAGCTCGAGTTCTGACGATGGCCACCATGATGAAGGGAATGGATTGAAGCATGTCCGTGGAAGTGGCTATTAGTAGTTTTTTTTGGGACGAGCAGCATCCTTGGCGATGCAATGGACTTCCCGCACCGCCCGTCCATTCACATGGCATGATGGTGGCACAACTGGTGACGAGTTAAAGAGGAGGTCCGAGTGTACACCGAGGCCGTGACTGGACTTGAAATGCGCAGCATTGGAACGAACGCATCTCGTCGGTCCTGCTTTCAAAGGAAAGTTACAAGTACGACGGAGTACGGTCGCAGTCGTGCCACGATTGCTGCTACTCAAGAAAGGTCGCAGCACGACGTTGGTGTCCCCAGCACATTTGCTCGACATTCGTGGACGGGCGGCCCCCAGACGCTGGTCGACAACATACGCATCACGCCACATCCAGATAAAAACGACTCGATACAGACGATGGTCACTTCGCTCCATCCACCAAGCGTATCCACTCCAACGACGGTGAAACCATCGCAAGGACCAACAATGTGCTTGAGATACGACCGACGGCCCCGATGACCAGCACGCCTCGCCCCCAGCGCATTTAGTCGTTCGAGGGAGTCTCACGATTGCAATGACCACATACTACTTCACGCAGTTGTCGCCAAACTTTCCCCATCTGTGATGACCCGACTTGGACGTCTCCAGCGGTGCGGAAGTTGGCGCATGTGATGCGGCTGGGCCTTGCGCGCACAACAGGTCAAGGACATGGTGCGCCGCATGCAGTACAGCTGCACCATGAACCCCGTCGGGAAGAGCACGATGATCTTGTATCCATCCCGAGAGACGGCTCTGCATCTTCGTCCCCCGACCTTTTTCAGAATTCCATGTAGCCGCCAACTTTCTGCCATCCCCAGGCCAAATTTGCCCCATGGATTACCCCACTTATTTGCCCCGTGTCCCAAGGACATCGAGGACTGGATGTCACTTAGCCAATAAAACGTCTGGATTTGACGATATATGTATTTTAGCCAATCAAAACGTCCCACTTGGACACCGCACATCATCTCCGCACAAAGTCAGTTGACGCTGCCGTCGCCGCTGTCCGCCGCACCTGGATCGACGCCCGATAATGAGCATCAAACTTCGAGATCTCATTCGAAATGTACGAGCATGCAAAACTGCTGCGGAAGAGCGGGCCGTGATCGCTAAGGAAAGCGCGCTGATCCGTACAGCGTTCAAGGACAACGACAAGCAGTACCGACACCGCAACGTTGCCAAGCTCTTGTTCATCCACATGTTGGGCTACCCGAGTCACTTTGGGCAGATGGAATGCCTCAAGCTTATTGCGGCCAACAACTTTTCAGAAAAGAGAATAGGCTACCTCGGCTTGATGCTGCTCTTAACAGACCAGGAGGAAGTGCTCACGCTGGTCACGAACTCGCTGAAAAAGTACGTGATTCGTCAACTCGACACGTCCACTTCCCGTCACTTGTAGCGATCTCAATCACGCAAATCCGTTCGTTGTGGGCCTCTCGCTGACCGCTGTCGGGAACATTGCGTCGGTAAATGATCTCTCTCGTTATCCCAGTGTTGACACCATGTGAAGCCCGACATGGCGCGCGACTTGATCACCGATATCGACAAGCATCTCAAGAGCGACAATCATTTTCTGCGCAAGAAGGCGGCTCTCGCATGCATTCGTGTGTTTCGCCAGGTATGGTGTCCGAGAGCATTGCACAGGTCGAATTGAGACCCTTCTTTAGGTACCAGAGCTCGTGGAAGACTTTGTCGAGCCCATTCTCGATCTTCTACGCAGCAAGAACCACGCCGTGCTGCTCACGGGCGTTCAGCTCATCATCGACCTGTTGCTCATTGACCGCGCGGTCCACGGCGAGTACTTCAAGGGCATTGTGCCGGCGCTCGTCCGCGAATTGCGCAACTTGCTTTCCAACAACTACACGCCCGAGTACGACGTGTCTGGGATTGTCGATCCGTTCCTCCAGGTCAACATCCTCAGGTGCTGTGGTCTCTCTCCGTCCATCCGCCAGTGATGGCTTTGTGAGACTGCGCCGCCTGGCTAACTTGGCACCGTTAGTTGTTTGCGCCTGCTTGGTCAAGACAACGAAGAGGCGTCGGAGGCCATGAACGACGTGCTGGCCCAAGTTGCGACAAACACAGAGACGTCCAAGAACGCCGGGAACGCCATCTTGTACGAGTGCGTATCGACAATCATGTCGATCCAAAGCGAGAGCGGCCTCAAAGTGCTCGCGATCAACATCCTTGGCCGGTTCCTGCTCAACCGCGACAATAACATTCGATACGTCGCATTGAACACGCTGTCCAAGGTTGGAGCGCGCCCTTTCGTTGGCTTTGGTCGTCACGATGGTACAGGTGATTGCGGACGACGCGCCGGCCGTCCAGCGCCACCGCAACACGATCGTCGACTGCTTGAAAGACCCCGACTTGTCCATCCGACAGCGCGCTCTCGAGCTCATCTACGCTCTAGTCAACGAGTCCAACATCCAAGCGGTACGACTCACTGCGACCGCATCCGTTCACGAACTTTCTGGCCGTCGCTGGTGCATTTGAGAATTGCATCGTCGACGATTGTACAATCAATTATCTCACATGGCCGCCGGTCTCGACGACGGTGATGCGAGCGACGTCCATTGCACGTTCATTTCTCGTGCATCGTAGTTGTGTGGCGCATGTTGAATCGATCGACACTCGCCGTCGTGAGGAAGAGGAGGCTTGACAAGTTGTGTGTAGCTCGCGCGTGAAATGCTCAACTACCTCGTCGTGTCCCCAATCGACCAAAAGCCCGCACTCTGCTCGCGTATCGCCGGTACGCTCGACCCCCCGTCGTGTGCATGGAGTTTGCGACCTCCGTCGGCGATGCCAGCATCTATCCACCCGTGCTGTCGAGTGTAGATGCCGTCGAACGATACGCCCCAACACAGCGCTGGCATATCGACACGCTGATCACGATGCTGTCGATTGCCGGGTCGATCTTGCCGGACGAGCATATTTCGTCGTCGCTAATCGTGCTGATCCAAAAGAACCCGGCGCTCCACGTGTACGTCGTGCACAAGTTGTTTTGGGCCCTCAAAGAAGACATGTCACAACTTGCCCTTGCCCACGTTGGTCTGTGGTGCATTGGCGAGTACGGCCGGGCGCTGTGCGGGAGCGATCCCCCCGCGGATGAAGAGACGCTCCAGGGAAAGACCCGCGTGGACGAGGCCGTCGTTGTCGATCTCGTCTCCACCGTACGTTGTCTTCTGGCTCGTACACACCCCAGATGACCCACGTGACTGGAGACAGATTGTGCGCCACCCGAACGCATCCGACCAGACGAAGGCGTATGGGTTGACGGCGGCCGTGAAGCTGACTACACGACTCACCCAGCCTGACTCGATTGCGACGCTTCGGGCGTTGTTGACGTCCCACAAGGCAGCGTTGGTAAGTGCTTCTGGCAAGCTCGTTTTCATCGCGAGCTGGATCTCTTTTGCTTGTTGACGTGTGCCAATGCGAATGCTGCGCTCTTCGTCGTGATGGTGCGATGTCGATAACCCCTCCAAACGTGTGGCTGGCGTTGCGTGGCTCGACTTGAATGTCCTGACCTCCTCTAGTTAATCTTGTTTTTCCCGTGGGATGTTGGCACAGGCGGTGGATTTGCAGCAACGGTCGAGTGAATTTGCAGGTCTGTTGGAGCCCCAGTGGTCAGGCATTCGTGGAGACATCTTGGCCCCGATGCCCATGATTGACATGACTCGCGTTCGAACCCGGCAGTCGCAACTGCTCGCGTTCAGCGCTCCCGCCACGTCCGCGGATTTTGATGAAGCCGCACCGACGAACGGGTCGTCAGCTCCCCCCACCACAGCGCCTGTCAACTTGTTGGACTTGGACGACATTTTCGGTACATCTGCGGCGACAACTGCACCTACGACGGCCGCCCCCGCACCCCCCGCAGCGACACCGGCGGTGGATTTATTGGCCGATTTATTCTCGTCTGGCCCTGCTCCACCCAGTGCCATGGCGGTGGCTCCTGTCGTGCCTTCGACAGCTCAATTGCTGGATATTTTCGGAGGCCCGCCCGCAGCACCTGCGGCACCCACGACTGTAGTACTGCAACGACATCCATGGCGACGCACCACGTCTTATGGGTGCACGTAGGTACAGCCCCCCGGCCAACACATTCGCGCGTACGAAAAGAACGGCCTTGCGTTGGACATTGAGCTGAGCAAGCCCAACTTGAGCGACCCGTCGATTTCGCACATCCTGTGTCTGTTTACAAACAAATCGGCGTACCAACTGGACAACTTTGTGTTTCAAGCTGCGTTTCCAAAGGTGCCGATCGAGTGGCGCGATGGACTTTTCACGTTTGTCTAGTACATTCGATTGATTATGGACCCGCCGAGTGGCGCGAGCATCCCGGCCAACTTGGGTGGCCGCATCACGCAGCTGGCCAAGATTCAAAACTCGAACCATGGCGAGGTACGTGCCTCGAGTGGCCGGTCAGGCGTGACACGATGGAATGCGGCTGTAGAAACCTGTCATGATGCGTATCAAGCTCGAGTTTACGATCAACGGTACCAAGATCGAAGACATGGCGACGGTGAATGTGTTCCCGCCGACCTTTTAACGCATACAAACATCAACCGATCGTCTCGTCCATGTGTCATGTCGGTCGACCATGTCTTGCATGCACTGGACTGCCTTCACGTGTAAGTTTACGTGGAAGGTGCATCCCCGAGCAGCTTTCCTGTACTTGACGGCGCACATCACGACGCAAAACTCTCCTCCCTGCATGAAAATATGCCTACTTGACGACACATGTGCGGCCTTGAACAGACGTAGATGCTTTTGTGGTCCTTTCAAGTGGCGCCACAGGGATCAGGACATTCGATGCACAACAGGACGTGAACTCCGCGATCGCCGCGGCATTGTGACTTGACGCTTCTCACTTCAACTGGAGCAAATGAGCTCTGCCTTACACGATGCCGACACGATCAAGAGCAGATGCCCCATGGGAGCCACTCGCCCCCGCCTTCGTCTTGAGCCATGCTTGTGATAAAAAACGCCATGGAAGTAAAGGAGGACATGGCGACCATTCCCAACGAATCATTGCCCAACCCGCTCCGCCGTGTGAATCATCGAAGGAGACACATGCGAGAGTCGTACAGTGAACTCTCTTCCCCTGTCATATTGGGCATGGTCGGAGGAGTCGACTTCGTGGTGTCGATGGGTTGTGTCGGTGCGCCATCGTTGGCGTTGCATGGGTTGCTTGCAACCGTGGTTGCGTTGATTTTCGTCGAAACTTCGTCCTCATCGTGCTTTAACATCGACGGTGCCGTCACTTCAGTGCCGAGGTGGTTCTGGACCTACTCGGGCATGTCGCCGTGCTTTGGACTTTCACTCTCTTGGTGTTGGCTCGCCACTGGGTCCACGGATGACTGCAACCGACCGTATCACGTGCGCTGGTCGTTTCAGTTGCGTCCGGCGCGAGTGCAGTTCTGCCGCAGGATGGACGCGCCTTGACCCCTCTTTGCATTCTCGCATGATGATTACACTGCGTGAGGCAGCGGCGGCATCTCAATCAAGTGAGATACCTCCGTCCCATCGTGCGGTAGTCAAGGCGCACGTGTAAGACGGAGAGTGTTATACAAAGCCGGCGCAAATGTCCTGCCTCATGCTGATGGACCCGCTGCCCTTCCTGATCTTGACACCGTCTGTGGCGTTGTTGGGAGGTTCTTCGCCTGGCGCAATCATCATGGTGGTAATGTGCGAATTTTCTTCCAAAATATTCCATAAATTTGGTAAAAAGCACACGATGAACGACCAACGGCAGTGGAGCCATGGTCTCGGTTGCCGTGGTGTTGAGAGTCGCATGGCTTGCAACCTGCCACGGCGCGAAACTCTCCTTCATGCATCAAGATGCGGACTTGCTCTCCCGTGCAGTGATGTGGACGGAAGACTCTACGATTCCTCTTGCTTCTCCTTTCGTGGAGTGTAACCACGGTGGCGCCATCAACTTTGCTGTGCAAGGCATCAAGGACCAAGCCGTTGTGGACCACCCGCTGGTGCTGCTTGAAGGGAACGTGGACTTCCCTAAGCGAATGCCTTCGCTTCTTCCACTTCCGTCGTGTTCGGTGCTTTATGTTCGAATCCAGTACATCGTCACGCTCTGGGCTGTCACCCTGCCAAGTGGTCACTTCAAGGCCCTCATTCATCTCCCATCTCCCGGGCTTCATTTCGTAAAGCTTTGGTCTCCTATGTTGCCATCATATCGCTGCTTGAATTCGCTACTTTACCGCCCTCCTTTGACATCCCTCGAAAAATCGAGCTCGACCACAACCATATCACCATTTCGGCTTCGCTTCACCCTCCAGACTTGCCCTGACACGAATGGGACCATCGACGCTCCTCTTGGCTCCGACAACAGCCTCACTGCAGCTCTATCTATACTCCAGTTCAACGCGATCCTCCTACAGACGATCATGGCTCAGCTGCAATCGGCGCACCATCTGCCACCGCACACGTTTGCTTTCGACTCGTTGGATGCACTCGGACAGCCAGTCGTGGATGCTTGGTCAACGCCAGAACTAACCACGTCCACAATGGCAGCCTTGGACGACCAAGAGATCTTTCGGGTCATTCGGCGGGAACTCAATCCCAACGCGACAGACTCGAACCTACTCCACGTCGTAGTGACGGGTTGTTGCCGCTACAACGCAATGACTCGCCGTGCTGTTGGCCACGCCGCTGTGGGAGCCGATGGAACGCCGCGTGTGGCGCTGTTTGGTGGATGCGGTCTCCACGCGTGGGCATCCAGCGTCCACGACGTCGTGAAAAAGCTTACGGACACCACAAGAATTCCGTCATACCTGATGGACGACAGCGGCCATCGTGGAACAATGGGGGGCTTGTACACTACTGGGCTTGGCGCTCTTTTGCATGAGATGGGGCATGCTTTCGGTCTAGGCCACTCGCCACCGGGATTTATCATGAGTCGGGGTGGCGACGATCTCCATCGTGTTCTCAGTCTGTTTGGCATGGATGGGGCACCCTTGAAAGACATGGGCGGCGCAAGGTGGCATCGGACAAATGCAATCAAGTTGCATCACTCGCCGTTCTTGCGGCGGGAATCGCCCGCACATGCTTTTGCAGGTAGACGGAATGGGCCTTCCATCCAGTGGCGCCATAATCTGCTTGGTCCAGCCGGACTTGCTTACATGGACGGCCCCCAGCGCCCGTTCAAAGTGTCCATCAGCAAGGGTTGCATCCACATGGGCCTGCTTCTTGACATTGGCGACGTCCGCATCGCTCCAGACAAGGACGGCGGGGACGACATGCTGTTTTGTCTTGCCACTGGTGAAGTTGTCGTGGCGGTGACTGTGCACGCCGTGGCATGGGTGGATGGGATTCAATTGCACACGTCCACCCGATCCACCCAAGTGTTTGGCCATGCAAACGACGTACCGCCCGTTCGACTTGCCGCGCCGCACGGCATGTACGTTCACGCGTTGGAAGGAACACTGGGGGATCGTCGCATTGGCCGACTGGGCGTATCCATCGCACCCCTTCATATGGGGTTACCGGATGATAAGACATGTTCAGCGTCACATATCGCCGCAATGGACAGTATCCCTCGATCGCTACCTGGACTGCCACGCGGTGCGTCAACTACAAAATCGGGACATATTGTCAACACGTCATGTTTTCCCACGTGGAAATGGACCAACGTCGACGACATACCGTTGCGCACCCATGAGCAAATTGTCCAGCTTGATGTCGCAAGAGATGGGAATGGAATCGTTTGCGGTCTGGGCTTGCATTCGCCGGAACGAGCTTTTCCGTGGCAAGGTGTTCGAACGGATGCGCTGGAGTTTTACATCGCCCCACCAGGATGGTTCATCGAGTCGTTTGAAGTGCGGCGTGACGGTGTGGACGCAAAATACACACGCTTCGTGACCTCTCGTCAGGGCGGTGCGCCGACCCCACGACGTGATCTGCGCCGTTGCTCCTCTGACCAATCTCTCCGAGACGACGTCGGCGATGTGAATGTCCAAGTGTTGTCTCCGCTTGGAATCGCAGCGATCTTCCTTACGCAACGCAACCAAGGTTATGACTTGGTGGATCATGTCTTGCCTTGGCCGTCATCATCATCTTCGTCCGGTCGGAGCCACGCAGTTCCCTATCCCAATCGGTGGTTTCTCTCGTACTCGTGGTGGCGTCACGTCATCGGGAAAAACGCCACCCCCTCCGACTACATCCTCGAAGTGTTAGATGTGGCTGGTGCCACGACGCGGGAGCCATGTGAAGCCATGTATTACGACGAACGTGCTTGAACCAAGCACTGCTTCTGGACGATGCAAACACTTCAAGCTTTACAAACGATACTTATAAATGAATGACTTTCTGTCGTGAACAGGCAGGACACTCACGACCACAAACGGAACGTGCAATCCGAGCTGGCGGATGCAATGTACCGACCAGCTGGGTCAAATTTGACACACTAGAAAAACCCCGATGTGAAGACTAACCATGTAGAGAAGGCGTGCATGTTACCTGTACAGGACCGTCGTGACCTTTCAAGTCGGACACGTATTCGAACGTCTTAGCGTTGCACAACTTGATCATGCCGTCGTCACTTGCCGCCATTACCACTTGACCGCTCTTGTCGAACGCGACGCTGTTCAAAGGCTGCTGGCCGCCGTCGATTGTAGCTCGCTCGGCGACCATGCGCACATCCCACAGCTTGATGAATCCGTCGGCGTCGCAGGATGCAATTGTGTCTCCCGCTGTCGAAAACGCCACACTGTTGCACGTGTTTTGGTGGCCATAGAATGTTTGGACGCACAGACCCGACCTATCCACAGCCAAACTTGAGCGATTGATGTGACACAAGCACGGACGAACCGAATGTCCCAAATCGAGATAGTCTTGTCACCAGACCCCGTACAGATATTAACCGTGTACGGCTGAAAGCAAACGCTGTTCACCGAGTCGACGTGGCCGCGAAACGTTTTGCGGCATTTCCCAGTACTCAAGTCCCACAGCTTGCACGTGTGGTCCATCGAAGCTGACGCAAGGAAATCGCCTTCGTGGTGGAACGCACTCTCCCACACCGGGTGGGCATGGTCTTGTAGGGTCAGAGTGCATGACGCGCTGACAAAATCCCAAATTTTAATCGTATTGTCACCGGACGAAGTCGCAATGTGGGTTCCGCGAGGATGAAACTCAATGCCGGCTATCCAGTCGCGGTGGCCTTCGCCACTCATGATGAGCTCGCAAGTTGGAATGGACCACAATTTCCACGTTTCGTCGTCGGACACTGTTGCCAGAACAGGGTTTTTGGGGTGAAATGCCACGGCCGCGATGGAATTTTGGTGACCTTGGAACACTTTGACCAATTCGACCCTGCACATAATCCGAGGTTAGGTTAGATGTTCTATGCCACATCCGAGCATTCGACGAGGGATGCCATGCCTCTTAATTTGCACGGGATCGAAAACTTTGTCGGTGTTGGGGTTGGAAGCGTTTTCTGTCGGCAATTTCGTGTCACCTTTCTTGGTCTTCTTGATTCCCGAAGATTTCGCAGGCGACGATTTGCTCATGCTTCCCTTACTGTCTTTGAGCTCCAACGCTCGAACTTGCGCTTCCTGTTATGGAACCGCATGAGAAATACAAGACAAAGCGATTATTTGAAAGAGAGTTGTCATACCAAAGCTTCAGTTTTGGCCATGAAGCGATCCCGCTCGAGTCGCATCAGCATTTTCTCCTTCATTGCAACTTCGTATTTGGTGCGCAACTCGGACAGCAGTGGCTCATAGGCGGCAATATTCTTCCGCAGTTTTTTTATTTTGTCCATGAGGGAATTCTTCTCTTGCACGACGCGCTGGTGATGCATCTTGTGGACATCCCGCTGATGGCGAAACTTGTCCCAGGTCCCTGTAAGACATGATGAGCCTAGAATGCGGACTGTATCGACATCACCCACGTACCCTTTGCCTTTTCGGTAATCTTTTTCGTTTCGTCGAGCTGTTTTCGCAATGCCTTTACCTGTGCATGCATCTGTCGTGAGGGGTCGGAGTCGTGACCTCGTGAATATCATCACCTGGTCGTCAAGAGATTGGTTGCGTAAATAAATGTCCGGAACAACTCCGATATCTTCTTCCTTCAATTTTCCCTTGGCCATGAGCTCATACCATTCGGTATTGAATACGTCCAATGTGCGTGGCATGCTGATCTTGATGAGAAAGTTGCGAATGAAATCATCGACAACGGAGGGTCGCACTTGTGTGTTTATCGTCCTGGGTGGAATCGTTGAGCTTGCACACTGGCCCTTAAACACTGGTGACGGCGCCTTTTCAATCGCTGGCACGTCCTTTTCCTTGTTCAGGTTGCGTAGCACAGTCTGAAAGTCTGCCTCATCGTCGTCGTCGTCATCGTCCATGACGTCGACGTTCGTGTACTGAAAGTCATCCTCGTCGTCCGACAGCTCCATCTTCTCAAGCTTGAGCAGATCATCGTCAGCTAGCGATTTTTGCTTCGTCGGTGCCGCGGGCTTCACCATGTTTGTGCCGCCCCTTCACAACTTGGGCCGTTTCAAAAGTGCGCGAAGTGTCCAACTTGCGAAACCATCTCCTGCATCCGGATATCCGGATAATACGAGTTGATGAGGTGTCGTGAGAATGTGTGGAAAGCGCATGACCCGAACGATCCAACCCACAGGGACAATTGAATGCACGGCGCTGGCCGTATCGACAGGGCTAGTTAGGCACCCATTGTACTGGTGTCAAAAATATATCTTGCGGAAGGAGGAGTCCATCAATGGTGGTAGCAGTGTCAGTGCACAGGACGAGGTAGTTGGCGAGAACCGCGTGAGTGTGTCTGTCCAAGCCTTCCTGAGCGCACGGGCAGTGAACATGCTCATTGCTCTTCTTGTCCGTGTTCCTGTCGACGTGGGACACGTATGAGAGGAGTCATGGCGCCACAGACCCACGAAATTGCATCACAATAAACTCTAAGGACCTAACAAACATGATCACTGCTGAGGTTACCACAGAGGCCTTCGCGTAACTGTTTATCGACTGTCGGCTGAGGATTGAGACTGCTTTGCACTCTTTTCTTCAAAGGCGGTATACTTTCGCATCATTTCGTCTCGTTTGGCGGCCAAGAAATCCTTGTGTGGCTCGGCCGCTTTCGTGGCCAATTCTTTCAGTAGCGGCGTTTCACGGGCTAATTCCTCTTCCTTGCCCGATTTGTATCCTAAACTCACAGTGGACCCCATGAATCAAGGCATAGCGGGGAGCCTGAGTACCTTCGACAAACGCCAACATGGTAAAGCGGCCTACCATGAGTTTGTCAAGAGCCCATTCCTCGATGTCACGTTTGACGTCGACAACTGGTCGATTCTTCAACGCATTGACGGCGTCCCCCACATGTTCGGGAATTCTAGGATGCCACATATGAGATGACTGTCAAACTCATCGGTCTACCTCTCGACGTCAACCTCCTGTGCTTGGACCTTCATCTCCTCGACGTGCTCTTGAACTTTTGCTGCCGTTTCACCTACTCCTCGCTGAATATCACTCGTCCAAGAGGTAATGTGTTGCTTGAGTTCGGGGTGGTGGGTTTCCAAGTGCTCGTCGACTTTGGCTCGTTGCTCCTCCATGGTCTCTTTGAGGTGCTTGACCTTTTCTCGGGCCGCTTGCCTCACTTCGTAGTCATCTTCAAATGTTTCCTTGTATTCTGCCCATGCTTCTCGCAAGAATCGAACGTGGTCAGCCCAAGTCAACGTCCACAGGTCAACGCATTGTTCTCGCGCTTTTTGCTCGCGTTCTTCTTCTGTCAATGGAGGGTTCGGCAGGCCTATCATGTTTTCCTCTACCCATGCATGAAACCGACGATGGCTTGTCTGGGTGACGTAGAGGAACCGTTGGAACAGGCTCATTCGCGGCGCCATCGCGACGCGCAATTGTTGGAAATGCAGTTCCCGCACGAACAATGAGAACCTCCATGATCAAATAATATGTATTATGAAGGGCTTTGTCCCCCGTCAAACGTCGAGAGCGACAAATGACATGTGCATGTGCTTCGAAAAGTGCAGAATGTGAAAAGCATTGTGCTCTACAGAAACGCATTATCCATCGCGACAGGACATGGAGTTTCCACCTGCTCGGAAAAGTCGTGATATTCATACAAGGAACGACGGAAATCCTCCATGTACTAGACTAACTAGAATACAGGATTATGAATATGCTACGTAGTACTCCGGAGTAGTATTTTAGCGGTGCGGTTTTACAGTGTTCAGGATACAATAAAACCAAATTTGGCCAATCGATGACAAATTTTCCTTTCTCCAACCAGTAATACCTGGAAAATTGAAGAAAAATGCTGTCGCCAACAAAACCAATCTCAAATTACTGGGACACAGAAAAACTTATCCTAAAGTGTACGTGGTACTTATCCTATCGCCAACCGAAGTGAGTGAAGCAGGTTTCATTTCAGTTAGGTCGCCTTTGGCACAAGAGGCGTGGGACCCGCTGTCACTTGCTGCGACTCCTTAGGAAGCGCTCGAACAATATGCGCTAACACTCGTGAGATAATGGATTTTTGTTGTGACAGCCGCGAAAATGCTGCTCGGCGATGTTGTCCAAATAATGAAGCTCAAATGTCAAGATAATTGTGGAGAGAAGTTGCGCATACGTCAGGACAAATTGAAAACAGCGTGATGATAATGCTGGACAATACAAGCTTCAACTTTCATTTTTCGAAATTAGTGTCATGTGCCCGCTGAAGAACATGCCGCACTTCAATTGGCACCGTAAAAGCCTGTTACTTCTGCATCGGAGATGAGGCTCGCTATGGTCAAGCGAATCATTGCCTCGTGCGAAGAAATTCCCCGAGAGGCTATCCACTCTTGTTTGCGGAACCATCGCCGCAACTAGCAGTGATATACTAGAAGGATTAACTACTACTGAATGTACTAAAAGTACTTGTAAGTAGTAGCTTCTCCTAAAAAATCTGAGATTTTGACCAATAAACGCTCAGTTCTGATGATCACCTCAGAACGTTTGGGGGAATATTGGAAGGATATCCGTCGTATAGTGTTGCCCCGTTGGCGATGTGATTTGGGTTCTTCTTAACATTCACGGCGACTACTCAACCATTCCACACTGTTCACGTTGCTCTTGCTGGCGCGGGTAACCCGAATTATGGTTCTGTCTTCGGTTCGTGTCGTGGTGTATTTCTTGACTCCGAGCCCTGGAGAGCAACATTGCATTCAGTTTCCCTCATGCGCAACGTCACATTTCCGATCGCGTCGGGGGATTGGGCAGGATGAAGTACCAAATTTCCATCAATCTCCGCCGTTTCGTGGTCGAGTGAACGGGAATGTCTCCTGGTGTGCGTTCCTGTGGGCAGTTGCTCGCGATGGACGGTCGCCAAAGACACGCCCAATGTCCGTCGGATCGACCTTCATGGCGCAAGAACGAAGCGCCGGATGGGTGGTCATGTTTTGCCGCTATGTGCACGCCATTCCATAGAAACGGCCCATTTGAATCAATCAACGAAGGCGTCACTTGGTCCAAACGCCGGCGCGTGGGAAATACGTGGGCAATTCTCCACCGATATGGTGTGAAATGGATCTTGGGTTGAACCGGTCCAAAGTAGGTATAATATACACCAATCAGAGTGCGGGCCAGAACAAAGACGTGCCATTCACCACGCGCCCGCCCTCGGCATCGTGGCATCCATTCTCAACGAGTATAATATTTCAAAGGCTCGAAGTGATTGTCTACAGATGACATCAAGCACATCAGTATATGCCATTCTGTTGTCATATGCATTTATACAGTTGGCGCGGTGGACGCTCGCCATTTGATGCGAAATTCCCTCCCCTTCGCTTTGATTTGAATTTTGTATCTTTTTGCCCTACCCGCGACAACGTTCCAGAAAGAACAGCGCCGGTGGAGTGATTCGATTGGTCGAGACAACGAACGGGGATTCGATTTTCCCAACGACGGACTGGATAGTTGTATTGTATAGTGAAATCAAGTACAAGTGATGGGCGGGGAGTTTTGCGGTCATTTTGGATTTAGCCTCGCCGTTGTGAGGTGTGTACGGATAGCGCGCAAATTTGAATCTTTGGCGCGCACCCCACACATCACCCCACCATCTGAGGTACGAGGATGGCCACGATTCCGTGCGAAAGGGCTGCATGTCGTAGGACAGCAACGTGCATGCATGCGTGCGTGCATCTAACGTAATGTGAGAAGGATGGTTGTTTATCTTGAGTGCTGTTTGTAGTGGAGGTCGTCAAGCACCACCTACCCATCACTTCGAATTCGTAACCTCGACCAACAAACACATACCACATGAGCCCCATGAAGAGACCGCGACCGTCGTGCTTTGAAGGAGATTCAAGTCCTATAGACGTCGACTGTGAATGGGAAATGGGCAAGCTGTCGGTTGCCCCGCCAGTGGACGTCACCACGACGTGTCCAGCGCCAACCTTCTCGCCGTTAGATACTGCTTCAGCACCGCAGCTGCGTCAGCATCTCCAAGACTTGCAACGAGAACAAATGGCGGTGCCTATGCTAGGTTTAGTCACTCGGTTGATGATCCATCGCATCAACCAATCCTTCTTCAACTCTCCCGTGGACGTCGTGAGATTGGCATGCCCAACGTACTATGACGTGATCAAGAAACCCATGGATCTGGGCACGATCAAGCAGCAACTAGGTTCCTTGGAGTACGCGAATGCAGACGACGCCGCTCAAGACATTCGCCTCGTCTTTCAGAATGCAATGCTGTTCAATCCTCCTGGCCACGTAGTCCACGATGCAGCTGTGATTCTACTCAAGGAATTCGAGCGCGAATACGCCACATATCAGCGAAAACAAGCCGATCGACTTGTGAAACGGAACGCGCATTCGTGCCCCCATTGCCAATCCCATGTTTGCGGATTATGCAACGAAAAGTGTATCAACTTCGAACCTCCGCTGGTGATGTGTGTCGGCAAGTGCGGTCAGCGATTGCGACGTCACGCCGCGTACTTTACGACTGTTGACCGTCAGCTGAATTGGTGTACGAAATGCGTTCCAAAACTCAAGGAAGTTGTCATCGGAGATCGCCGGATTGGCAAGAATGACCTTGTCAAAGCAAAGTTCCAAGATGAGCTCACGGAACCCTGGGTTCAGTGTGATTCTTGCTCTGGATGGGTTCATCAAATCTGTGCACTGTTCAATGCATCGACAGTGGATGCCGATGACGACACGCCGTATACTTGCCCACTGTGCCGGCTGAACAACTTGGACACAAGCAGTGCAAAATCATCGACGTCTCCATTGCCTCCTCTGTCCCCATGCACCGTCAGTTCGAATGAGTTGGAAATTTCCGCGAAGCGAAGCAAGCACGATGACATGAGCACCCACAGTCCCGTTGTGAAGAAGCAACGCAAGCCACAATTTCCAAAAGATCATGACGACGTTTCGACCTCGCATTTAGGTATATTCATGGAGACATGGATCCGCGATCACTTGATTTCTTTGGGCGAACCAAATGCTGCTACATCCATCCGAGTCAAGCTTGCCGCCTCAATTCACATCACGGCGCCGATCAGTTCTCGGGTGCAGGAGCACTTTGTTGCCGTCGACAAGTCGATGTATCCATCTCACGTCACGTACACGTCGAAGACGATTTTAGTGTTCCAGAAGATCCACGGCATCGAAGTGTGTCTGTTCTCCATGTATGTCCAAGAGTATGAAGACAATTGTGGTATTCCGTCGAACGCCAAGCGCACATACATCGCCTACCTCGACTCTCTGGGTTACTTTCGGCCGCGGCATGCCCGATCCTCTGTGTACCAACAGCTCGTGATTGCGTACTTGGCGTTTTGCAAGCTGCGGGGCTTCACTCACGCGCACATTTGGGCGTGTCCGACGACTCGCGGCGGAGACTTCATCTATTGGTGCCACCCCACATACCAGCGGAATCCAAACAAGGATCGCCTCTTGCTCTGGTATAGGTCGATAATTGCGTCGGCAAAGCGGAAACAAGTCGCTTTTGGCCACGATACGCTTTGGTCAACCCATTTCAGCGCATCGTCGGCGACGGAGTTGCTGCCGACACTGCCGCCGTATTTTGAAGGGGACTACTGGGTCGCTGAAGCCGATCGAATTGTCGGCATTAAGCCACGCAAGACGCGCCGCAAGAAGTCCCAGGACCCCGTCAAGGAAGAGGACCCACCAATGCCACAGCCTCTTGTCAAGTCGGATGATGTCATTCGTGTCGAAGTGGCTGCGTCCGTTGCGTTGGCGAAGGACTCACTGTTTGTAATCCCGCTGCAACCCACATGCGTTCAATGCCGTCAGCTTGTTGTTAACGTGGCGTACTGGAAACAAGACTCGACCGAGCTGTGCAACAATCTGGTGTGGTGCGACATGTGCCACACGCAGTTGGCCGCGTTGAACGACGCGTCTGGCGTCCAAGGGCAACGCCGCGTGTTTGTGCCATTGGAGACGTGGGCAAGCGCCACAAACGCGAGCAACGGGCATCCGATCGCAGACGACGCGGGCGAAATTTCGTGTCCATTCGTGAACCACCGATCCGAGTTGCTCAAGCTGTGCGAAGAGAACCACTACCAGTTTGACACGTTTCGGCGGGCAAAGTATTCGACGATGATGTTGCTGCATCATCTCAAAAGCGACCGCGACGGATGATCAAACCAACTGACGAAACTCAAAAACGAGACAAAAAAGTAGGTTAGAACCCAGTAGTTAGGCGTTAGTAGTTAGAGGCGGCCGAGCGAATCGCGCGAATCGTGTTAATGAAACTCAATCGGCCAATCCATACACGGTTTCGCGCCAGTACTGGCGACCCCTTTCAAGTTTTTCGCATCAAGCCACTGTTCGTACTGCGCACACATGGACGGGTCCAACTTGAGTTCGGCCACAAGCTTGCGCAGGCTTCCGCCGTCCACGTCGAGCGCGTCTTGGTCGAGATCCATCAATCCTTGCACGGCGAGGCTCACGGTGGACGCGGTTGTCGCTGCATTGGGCTTGGTTGGCAGAGTCGACCAATACCATTTGTGGTGGAAGGCCTGGACTTCCCCTTGGAGCAGCGCTTCCGACGCCTTGGCCAGAGGACTCGTCTCGTCGTCGTCGGACTTGAGCCAGTCGTCCTCGAGTTCCGGGCGCACGTGTAGATAAACTTCAGTGAGCAGATGGACGCAAGTAAACTTGCGCATCCACTGCACAAAACTTGTCAATCGCAAACGCAGCATGGGAGCGCGCGTACCTGATGGCCTAAGTACCGCCCTTGGGACTTGACGAGCTTGAGGGCGTACAACCGACTGGTGGGGTCGCGCAGACTCAGGACGCGTTTGAGCCACACCTAAGTGCACAAGGAGCGGTGGGTGTGCATGGCTGTGGACGCCACACACAACGGCATACCAGGGATTGAGTGCGGCAGAGTGTAGCGCGAATGAGCGATGGCTTTCGCTTGGTCAGCCGCTGGACAATCCGCAAAAGGGACGTGACCGTGCGCAACGGTGGAAGAGCGTACTCGACGCTAGGGTCTTCGAGCAGTGCAACGGCTTTTTGGAGGCCCATCGGAGGGCGGAACTCGACGCGTTGGTGCGATAGATCTTCGGGACGCACTTGCACGTACGTGGCAGTGTCTCGATTGAGAAATTTCTACCAGTTTGTGAGCAACTTGCTTGTTGGTGAGGGGGCTGGGTACCGTGGCTGATGGAAGCAATGCGCCTTCGACGAGTCCCTGGGCGAGGAGTTCCCCCTTGAGCACGTGCGACGATCGTACGTGTTTGAGGAGATTCAAGATTACGAGCGCCGTCACGTCGAGCACCTATTGCAACGGTGAGAAACCCATGCACACCGCCAACCCTGCAACCTACAATCGCTTTTTCCCGATTCATCCAGTTCCAATACAATTGCTCGTCGGGGTTCAAGTTGTTGTTCGAGGCAGTATTCAAGTTGGCGCAGCTGCCGCCTGCATCCTCGGTGAAGCTGCGCTTGCAGAAGAACCCTCGCTTGTCCATGACGTTCCCAGCCGCCATCATCGTGATCAGGGCAGAAAAGAGACCCATGTACTCTCTCCATTTTGGCACCAACACCAATTTGTACAGCGACTCGACGCGTGTGCTCCACGCTTCATCGTCACTCAATGGGGCGGCTTCGTTCGAGTATTCAAGAGACGAGTCGGTGGATGTTGGCGGGACTGGCGGGAGGTCGTGGTGGGGTTTGTGCATGTATTTGGCATGGATGGCTTCCCTGGTTGCCTGCGCCTTTGCCCGGACGGGGTACATTGGATCTGTGGCTGGGTCACCGAGCTGGACCACCGATGGCTTCTTAATGCTTTTGCATTGCCACCTGGAACTGTCGTCCAACGCTACGCGGGCGATTGAGATATGTCACGATGACAATCCAAATCAACTAAACTGGTCCAAGGCACAGCACACACGCGCAAGGCATGTAAGCATCAGCACGACACAGCTACGCAAGCATGCAACAACGTCACGATGACTCGTCAGAGACAATGGCCTCCCCCAGTCAATAACGTCATCATGTGAGCGTACCAAGGTTGTGGTGGAGGCGCCTGGCGGCTTTGAGACGATCGAGTTCGTTCAAGTCGCCGAGAATCGTCGTGGTCCACACGTACACGAGCAACATCATGCGTTTGATTGGAAATCCAGGGACCGTGTGATGGGTTTGCAAGCAGTCCAAGACGTCCACAAGAAGCTGCAATCCCCTGGTGAGTTTGGATGGCGGGGGAGATGATGACGGGACGACAGTACCTGCTGAGGGGCGAAGAACCCAACGTCGACCAAGGCTCGTTGCACCGACGACCGAGACGATGCCGGACTGAGAGTCACTACCAAGTACAGCATCGTGATGGCGCGATTGAGCTTGCCCAGCTCGAGCTCCATGTTCTGAAAGTTGAGTCCTTTGAGCGACGCCATGGCGCGGACGAGGTGCTGCGTGTATATGGGTAACGCACCGGCATCCATGAGATGCTTGTTGTGGATGCACGCTGTGTCGAAGTCAACGATGAGACGGTGTTGATTTGCGTCAGGAACAGCCCGGCCTTGCGAGAACGGAATGAGCACAGCTTCGGCGGCAAGCCACTGTTCGCGGTCGGGACTCTCGAGGAGCTGGAGGTAGTACGCCACATCGTCTGGGGCTATCAGGAACTCCGACGGATTGATTGTGACTCCCATGAAATCTTGTACGGACGAGCAGTAGAAGAAGCTCACGCGTTCTTCCAAACTAAGCGCCTGCAGCTCCGGTCGCTTGACGCCTGCACGGCCGCTGCCTTCGTCGGCAGTTGCCATACCGTTGTTCAGTGCTGACGGGGTCTGTCGTATCTGCACTTTGTTTCTTCCAATCACATGATGGTATTACCCGTAATGTACTTCTCGGAAGAGTACCTATTATCTCCATAATCATATTATCACTGCAAAATATTATATGGTAGTGTCCTTTATCAATGATACTCTAAATAAACATGAACTGTGTATGTCCTTATCAATATAACAGTCCAGTGGCATATTCTTTTTGATAGTGGACACAGAATGGCACAGCCAATCCGAAGAGAGATAGCGATGCTTCAAGCTCGAACTCCAGTGCATGCTGGGCCGGTGGAGCGGTGTCCTTGGTCGGCGATCGATTCATTCGTCGTTAAAACTTCAAGTCGTTCCTAAACCTATGGGCTCTTCTATCCCCTCGTCGCATCAGGCAGCGCCGCGTCGTGTGGTGTCATTGCTTCCTTCCGCGACGGAGCATTTCGCAGCACTTGTCTCTGCGGCAGCTCGCCTAGGGCACACGACGTTGCCGGAGTTGGTCGGGCGGTCACATGAATGCGACTTTCCCCCATCCTACGCGTCCATTCCTGTACTCACCAAGCCACGGACAACATTTACGTCTTGCGAGGACACGCACAACCAAGTGCTAAACCTGCTGCAGTCGGACGGCTCGCTGTATGAGATCGACGCCGACCTTCTCACGCAACTTGCGCCCGATCTCATTCTCGTACGAGTGTATTTGCCTTCATCTTGAGCCGACATGCCGTCTTTAGGTCCAAGATGTGTGCAATGTGTGCTCGATCGACCGGCCGAGCGTGTCGTGTGCGATGGCGTCGAATGCCACCACTGAAATCCTCCTCATCAACAGTCGAACGCTGACCAACGCCCTCGAGGACTCTGTGCGTCTCTTAGGCAAGGCACTTCACTTGGACGACGCCGCGGAGGCCGTCGTGGCGTTCAACCGAGCTCGCCAGACCTCCTTGACCAAAGCTCCGTCGTCGGCACGTCGTCCGATCGTCTACATCATCGAATGGATGGAACCGCTGTTCCTCGCCAAGGGGTGGGCCGATGAAATGGTTGCGTTGGTCGGTGGGAAGTCACCCGTGTCGACGGGGCGTATCGCAGACCCCTCCGTTCTCGAGCCACCGGACTTGATTGTGGTGGCGCTGTGTGGACTCGATCGCGCGACCTCGGCCAAGGAGCTTCGCTCCAAGCCTTTTCCATCGTGGTGGCGCGCCTCGCCCGCCGTGAAAGCAGGTTTGCATCATTCGACACCGGATCGACTTCGTTCCACCCAATGATTCCCTTCCCGTCTTGACGCTCCCACGTCCCGTGTGCCTGTAGGACACGTCTACGTTGTCGACGGCAATCAAATGTTTAACCGCCCGACGAATCGCCTTCTCGACGCGATGGAGTGGCTCGGCGTGGTGGTGGCAAATCCCGCTGCGTACGACTCGATCGAGGGATTTCCGGTGGAAGCGTTCGACTCACTGGACGCCGGTGCCCCCCCCGAGATGTCTGCGATCGAGGCCGCAATCTTTGCAGCTCACGCAGCCGCGTGTGCGGCCAACGAAGCTCGGTACAATGACCCTGCGACCGGCTACGGCGTCTTTACGGCCAAGTACTTGATGGATCGGCAAGCGTGCTGCGGCAATCGGTGCCGCCACTGCCCGTACGGCCACGCGAACGTTCCTCTTGAGCAATTGCACTTGATCAAGACGAAGAACACGTTGACGTCGTCGGTGTTTCTGCGGGCGCCCAAGCCATCGGCAACGGGCTGCCTCGGCTACCGCAACCCGAAGCCCGTCCACGGCGAATTGCGCGATGCCGTCGTTGTGTTTTGGAGTGGAGGCAAGGACTCGTTGTTGGCCTTGGTCGACACGATCGAAGCACTGAACAGCGCACGCGAGGACATCGTGCTGTTGACCACATTCAACCCGAATGAAGAGGTCGTCCCGGTGCAGAACATTGACACCCGCACGGTCGTGGCCCAGGCGAACGCGATGAACCTCCCGCTCTTCCTCGTGGCGGTATGTGCGAGCATGTCGATGTTCATTTGTCCGTGTGGCAGTGTCTGGTACACCTGGTCTGCGCCACTTGGAGATATCCGCAGCTGCACCTGATGTCTCTCCCCACCATGTTTAGATCCCGACGGGAAGCAACTACAAGGAGCTCGTCGACGACGCGCTCCGCGAAATCCCCCGCGTTCGCATGCCTCATATCCGCCAGATCAAAGCCCTCGTCGTGGGGGATCTGCATCTGCAAGATGTCCACGACTGGCGCGTCGCGGCGTTCCCAGAATATGAAATTCGGAGTCCGTTGTGGCGGCGGGACATGCACTCCGATCTCTTGCCCCGACTCGGTACACTCTGTGACAAATACAACGCGACTGTGCGATACTCGGCCGTGGACCGCGATCGGATGCCGCCGTCGATCCAAGAAGGCGACACGTACGACCCGACCCTTGTCCCTGCAACTGTTGATGTCATGGGCGAAAACGGAGAGTTCCACACGGTGGTGCACTTTGGCTAGATAGAAGCCGTCGAACAAGAGTCGATGAGTCGTTGTTGGCGATGGCAGCATGCACAGACTGCTCGGGTACCAGTCGGGAAAGATGTGCCGCTCCTACGTCTGGTGGTCGCCATATCATGAAGTCCCCCTGATCATGCAACGTAGTGTGGTCCCGATCGTGCACTGGGTCCCTGCACCGCGACGGAGCTTGGGTGGTTTCTCGTGATAGGGGAACAAGTTTCTCGCGGCCAGAGTTCAGTCGTGCACGGTTGTCCGTTTGACGGATCGATGGATGCACACACCTACGCCTCCTGAAAGCGCTTGGGTGTTGCTCACGTGTATTGTTCGTTCTGACGGCCGTGGCCATGGTCCCACCGGACGCGGCTTTCTCGCTGCCGCCGCGCCCGTCTGGATGACTTGCCGGTGTTACGTCGTCGAGACGCGACCCAGTCGGCTCGCCTCCCATGCAGGCCACTACAGTACAATTTCGCGACACCCCCGCGAAGTGCGCAAGAAGGCGAGATACGTTTAAACAGAAAAACCGACTCCCTTCGAATCCTGCCGTGCAGCGGGGGTGGCGATTCACGATGCCCACACCCCAGTGGATGATGGAACCGAGCGTAGTAGCTGCATTGGGTAGTGTGCGCCGGGTGAACGGGGGTTCCTTGACCTCCCATGTACCACAATTGCTGGACCACATGTCCCTTTCTGAGATGGAGTTTCGCACATGGGTGCAAGATCCATCTGGTACTGCGGTCCGCGACGAATCGATTACCCATAGCTCAGCCGCCGCCCATCGACCCTTCCATGCGCGTTAGCCAGTTCTTCTGCGCAAGCAGTGGGCATCGCACGCTATAAGAGCTGTGGCACGGACGCTCGGAGCGAATCTATTTCTCCTTGTGCTGATATATGCATCGATCTCTTTTTGTTAGCAGGAATATAGACGGTTTTTAGTATAAAACGCATCCAATCGAAAATGTTTCAGATCTGACGCACGTGACGCCAAAATCGGTGATGCAGCCGGCATTTCGTCAATCTGCGCCGCCGCCGTTGACCATGCAGCACCACCGCGTGACCATGTCGACCGAGGACGAGGAAGGCATCCATCGAGCTCTGATGAAGCAGGTTCAGACATCCATCCTCACGACACCGGCGATGCGACTTGTTCATGCGACGCAGCAAGAAGGGTACCGCTTGACCGAGCAACACCACGGCGTCCGCGTGTACACGCGGAAATCGCCGTCTGGCGGCGAAGAGACCATGTCTGTTAGCTACACCCAGCATCATCTCACGTTTGAGAACCTCATGTATCTCCTCTTGGCACAAACGACGGAAGAGCATCGGATACAGCAAACGTTATTCCACGACGACGCGTTTCTCGACGGGTGTGTCTTTAGCACGATCCTCTCCCCGACAGAAGAAGATCCCTTTCAGTGGTATGGACTCAAGTACACCAAGTTGGCGCTGTCGTCGTACCGTTTTGTCGATCCCCGCGACGTGTGCTACGTCGAGGTTGGTCTGTGTCGTCGCATTCCTTGCTCACGTGCGTGTCCTGCTCACATGCGTTTTCTTGGTAGATTTCAGGAACAACTGTCAACATGGACGGCCATACCGTGTTGTATGTGATGCGTGAATCGTTGACCCTGCGCTCTGTCCCGCTCGTTCCCGATGCCATTCGTGGCCGCGTCAAATCCCTCAGTCTCCACACCGAGTGCCCGAACGGTACCATCGAGCACGTTCATTTTTCTTACATGAATCCATACGGGTACACATCGCGGTTCTCTCGGCATGCTAATGAGCTCGTCCGTTCAGGTCCGTGCCGGCGTTCTTGTTTAAGCCGTCTCAACTTCGCATGAACACAATGGTCGAGCGATATGCCCAGCTCATCCACTTCAAGCGCATGCTCGACATGTCCAAGAACTGCACGACCTTCTTCCCTGTCAACCAGTAATCATTCATACCCAGTTCATGACGTGGGAATCTCGCACTGACGTGACGTGACTGTAGGAGGGCTTGTGGGTCCTGTGAGCGGTCGTTTTGGGCCCTCACGACGCGATGCTACTGCCGATCGTGTGGCGAGGTACTGTCGTCGTTGACAGCGCATGGTACATTCTGACGTTGCCCGGTCAGGTCATCTGCGGCAAATGCGCCATCTTCATTCCGCGGCCCAAGGAGCAACTCTTCCACATGAATTTGTGCATTGTCAAGGAAGAGTACTGCAAGACGTGCTACCTGCACGTTCGCGGCCCCACATCGTCCTCTATGACATCGTTATCAAGCATGGGTGGTACGTTCGTTGTGAAAGTCGAATGGATCGACGTGCGTTGATGGCAAGGCAGGTCTAGGCACGTACTTGCTGACATCGCGCCACTTCCCCAAAGAATCGGAACCGACCCCACCGACGTCGCGATCTCTCTTGTCACTGCCGAACTCGCGCCGTGGGTACAAAACACCAACGTCCAAGCAAGCGACTCTGTCCATGATTCCCCCGTTGCGAAGTTAACTTATCGATTGGAAGATCCTCCATCTCGTGCATCATCTTTCGCTGCGATCTTGCACCCAACCCCGGGAATGCATCTTTGAGAACGAGCGGTGCCACATCCACACACGCTCGAGCCAGGACTGCTCTGAAGTGAGCCGGCCATCGCGCGTCCTACCTCAGCAGAAGCGTCCCCGCATCTGTCCGTGTTTCTCGAGCATGTGGTGGTTCGTCATCACGGATTGGCAATGTTGACGTTTTTTTCGACGTTTTTTTGGTAGGACCACCTGTGTATTTAGTGTGGTTGTTCTTGCTTACTCAAAATGGAAATTTTCCAAAAATTGTTTCAATTTTTACAATTATTTTCAACCGCGAGGATACATACATTCTGGAATCCACCACCGACATGCACATGAGCGACAGACAGTACACATGTCCGTCAGAAAGGCGCCCGCGCACGTGAATCGCCCTGGTCGTCCGCAAAATGACGAATTCACCTTCTCGGTGTAGACATTTGGTTTGGATTTACGCTCGTCCCTGCTGTGGCGGATGCGAGGTCCCTCCATGCCATACGAAATAGCGTCACGGTGGGGACGACTACCCGAACCAGAGGCGTGGCAACTTCGACGAAGTTCAGAAATCACCTTCCGAACTTGATAAAACATTAGATTTGAGAGAATTCCTTCCACACGGCGTGCCATGCGTGCCGAAATCGGGCCATATGTGACTGAAGTGCAAACGTGTTGAGGTGACCCCCGCGCAACGAGCTAGCAAAGTGGACATGCACCTATACAACAGCGTGTGTGCATGTGCTCCCTGCGCTCGTTGGCATGTCGAGCTGGCGACGCTGGTACTTGAGGAGTCGCCCTGGCTTTCGCTCCACGAGGCCGTATCTCGAATTGCGTCCGTGGACGTCCCCCACGTACGTTGAATGAAACACGGCGCTATCCAGTCGCTCCGGGTGAGACGACACGATTCGTGCGGCGACCTCGAATGGACAAGTCAGTTGCTCACGTCGCCAGGGTACCGTACAAGTGTCAAGATGGACCGTACTTGGTGCGAGTGGGGCGACGTCACTGTGGGCTTGGCGCGCCCGACGTGCGCCGAGTGGCCAAGGCGACTGGCCCCCGCAGTATTTTTCTCAGGTGAGTCGCCTGGTTCTTCGGTTTGCTGTCGAAGTTTGGCATCCCACGCTCTTGAACGAGCACCAACGTGCGATAGTAGTGCGTATGCGCCTAGCAAATACGCAGTGAATTCGCAATGTGTTCGGATATTGGGGTTTGAGCGCCGTGGGATTGGGTATGTATCCGGAAGGTGCGTGTATTCGAATTCCCACCCACACCCACGTGCCCCGTGTTCCCGGCTCCAAGCCGCCTCCAATCTGGTCGCAAGAAGAGAACCGCCGTTCCGAGCACATCGCGATATATACTTGTATTGGTCGTGTGACAACATGCAAGGGCTCCAAGGGTACGAGCTTGGTCTCGGGGATTGCATGGCCATCAAGGCTTCCATGGGCCTCGTCGTGAAGGATTTTCTCGCCCGCAGCACTGTCGCGACGCGCGACGTCGACGCCCTCCATGACGGGTACAAGCTCGTGACGAGCAAACCGAATTCTCGCGTGTATACCCGCCGCGCAGCACACCCGTCACTGAAGGAATGTTTGACCATCGGCCGCACCACCGATATGTCGTTGGAGGACTTTAGCTACCTCTCGTACTCGGACACGACAGAGCAGTTCAAGTCGGACCAGGCCATCTTTTACGAGCACAACTTCCACGATGCTGCGGTGTTGACAAATGTACACAAGAAAACGAACGACGACCCATTCCTTTACTTTGGAGTCAAGTACAAGCGGCTGTCCATCCCTAGCAGCGGCCTTGCCGAAGTGCGCGACACAGTTTTCTTCGAGGTACTGGAGGCAGGCATCCATGTTGACCTGGCATGACCTTGTGTGCATAGTACTCTGGCACGGCCCACGACGCCGCTGGCAACCGCGTCTTTTTCATCGTACGCGATTCCGAGTTTCTCCAGAACGTCCCTCCAACCCCCAACGTCGTTCGTCTGCAGTTTCGTGCGCTCTTTCTGTTTACAGAATTGGACGACGGGTCCGTGGAGTGCGTGAGCCGTAGCTTCATGAATCCAAACGGGATCATTCCCGCCTGGATGTGCAATCGTCAACTCGTTCGATATGCTTCCATCATCGAGACGATGCCAACAGCGGTGCAGTACAAGCGCTTTCTCGAAAAGATTCACGCCAACCTAACGAGGAGGCCGCGGAAGATCAGCGCGTACGTATTTCGTACCACGGTATATCTCCACGACGGCATATTGAACGTCATGTAGGAAAACGTGCATCGCTTGCAACTCGAAAATGAGTGCATTTACCTTCAAAGCGCTCTACAATTGCGCATATTGTGGCGAGGTGAGCTCAGCTCCGATCAACGCATTATTCGCTCTTCATAGGAACAATTTTGTGGCCAATTTCTTCTTGTGGATATGGTCTCATGCGAGCGTGGTAGGTCATGTGTGCAAAGTGTGTGGTGCCAGTGCCGCGTGCCATCAAAACCAACTCCCCTCCAGCATGCGCGAAAGAAGACTTTTGCAAACGGTGTTTTGTTGAAGCGCAGACAGGACGCGTGCCATCGGCTTCCGCATCCCGAAACAGCGGCGAGTTTGGCAAGAGTTCCCTCACGAGCAACGATGTCGAGGGCAGCAACTTGACCAGCACAACGACCCAAGACGAGCTGTTTGAAACGTACGTGACGACGTGCAATGCGATCGTGAAGCCTGGCATGTTCTCAAAAGAGGGGACGGCGTCGGCTTCGTCGTCGGCCGCCACAAGCCTCACGTCGACGTCGACCCCGTTGTCGTCGCGGGATCCGTCGTTGGACAGTGCTGCGGCCGCATTCACACAGCTGCAAGTGTCGATCGAGCAGCAAAAGGCGCTGGTATCGCAGATGCAGCAACGGCTCGAATCGCGTTCGCATGTTGGGTAGAGTTCTTGTACGTCCCGTTGTTACATGGCGTAGTTCCTTGCGTGGACCAGTCGCATTCGATCTCGGTCGTGTTTGCACGAGTGTCTGCACGTCGTTGGCTTGCACACATCGACAGACCTCAACTGGAATCAGCTGCATGAGACGGATGCGCACATCCTGTCCGTGAAGCGCATGGTCGACAGCTCTGAGTCGTCGCAGCTCCTCTCCAGATCCTCGTACACGTCGCTAGTAAGGAATTTCCATGACGCAGATCCAGCTGACGACCGTCCGCGCACTTAGCAGGACCTCATCCGGATATCCTGTCCAGTATCCATCTGTCCTTCCAACCACACGGCGACAGGGACAAATCTCGCGTTAGCGATTTGTGCCATGGTGCATGTATCGTTTTCCCACGTCTCGGTCGTGTTGACGATGAAGTAGAGCGGGTCGTTGACGGCATGCTGTCTTTCGGGGAGATGCGCCGAGAAAATGGACCTGACAGGAGTCGCCTGTCAAGTACGACGACATGTTAAGTGCGATCATGATATGGGACGGTTCTCCCAAACCGAACTGTCCCAGCGAGGACCCTGTGACGATGGCGGATCGTGCCGGCCGGTGGTGGAAGGATCCTGTGCGAGCCACGTGCAAACTAGGTGGGATTTGGTGTTTCTACCGACGGCCATGCCGGTCAAACTATCTCTCCTGATGTGCCAACATTGTGGTGGACAATGCGCGTCTCGTATTGGGATCAAAGCAAGAAACACGAAAAAAGAATTGATCGGATTTTTGAAAACGGAATATCACTTTGGACGTTGCACGATATTTTGACCAGACCTGGATTGTTGCATTACTGTTGCCCACATGAACATGGCGCCGCGACGACGACGACGGACGACGATTCGTTGCGAATGTGCGCCCCATGCGCGGTTCGCCGCACGACGGAAGATCTGCACTACAGCGTGTATCGCTCTGTGCGCGATAAAACTGTGCACACGTTGGGACTGGTTCAGCCGCCCCGGCACATCCGCGGTTGTCGAGCACCCACTTACGTGGGCGTGCGATTCTTTTGAATTACGGTACAAACAGTCGCGGCAATTCACTGATCTGGGAATTGAAGTCGCGATGAAGCGGGATGTGGTGGGGGTCGTCGTTGACGTGAACGACTACCGGTTCATGCAAGCGAAAGCGAAGCAGGCCGTGCGCGAGCTGACGCGGTTTGGCGCGGGCGACGAGGAACTGTCTTTGTTTCACTCAGACGGGAACACGCGCGTGTACCAGCGCATGGTGGAAGGCGCTGGGTTTGGTGAACTCACTGCAACGGGCACTGTGGCGCTCTCGATGGACGCGTTGGCATACGCCCTGTACAACGCGTCTTCGAACGATCACCGCACGTTCCTGGCGCTGCATTATGGGGCAGACTACCTGGAAGGCAAGATCGTGAACAAGTCGCTGACACGGACCAAGGACCCGTTCTTGTGGCTCGGCGCCAAGTACAAGAAGATGTACTTGCCTGGAACGACGCTGTTTGAACCACGAGATGCAACGTACCTCGAGTACTCGGCCACGTTCATGGACCTCGACGGGCAGCGCCACGTGCTACTCCTTCAATGCTCGAAAGACTTCGCCGCGTTTCCGGCCGTGCCAGAGGTCGTGCGGTTCACGTTTACACTCATGCATATGTTCACGGAAGTCGAACCAGGGCGACTCGAATTTGTGTCGCGGTACTACCTCGGCGACGTCGGCAAAGTCCCAAACTACCTCGTCAAGAAGATGTTACTGCACGAACTACTCCTCGATCCGCACCTTCCCCAGCTCGTACAGAAGCGCCGCCTCCTCGACAACTCCCTCATCAACACGAATGGCAGCGCCATGCCGATCGTGGCCAAAATGTAAGCGCGTTCTATCTACTGGACCGTGTCACATACGTTGATCATGGCAGCAAAAATGGAAAATGCACCACATGCGAGTCCAAGTTTGGCCCGTTCCGGTCGGTCACTTACTGCGCAGCGTGCGGCCATGTACGTGATGCCAAGCTCTCTTGATGGCGAGGCCTGGATCCCTTTCGCATGCTCCCTGTTGTGTCGACGGCGGTCTTCCATGACGTGTGCCGTGGCCAGAATATCTCACGAGTCGTGGTGTACAGGGCATGTGCAAGCCATGCCGAGTGCTCGTGTATCGCGCATTGCATGTCAAGTCTGTGAGTCCTGTGATGAAGTTGTGCTTCTGCAAAGCGTGCTCGATCGACGCACAATTGGCTCGGTCGGCAACGCCCCCGCCCCGTGTGCTCTCGTCGGCATCTTCGCAAGGTACACCTCACCACCAAGGCTTCCACGCACATGTTGATGCCACCTAGGCGGTGGTCGTGGCATGGACATGTTGGATTTGGGTGATCGATCGACAGTGGACAAGTCGTTCGAGCCATTGAATTTGAAACCACAATACGTTGAAATGGGCGTCTCGATCGCCCGCGCGCCGTCGTCCCAGTCGAAATCGTCGCCGGACCGTTTGGCGCAACACTTGACGCCGCGGTTCCGTTGTGACCAAACGCCGACTGCCGCCACCGAAGCCATGGATCGATGGATGGACGACACGCCGTCGGAAGCACCTTCAACGACTACGGAAGCCATGGAACTGCTCCAACATGTGCAAACGTCGCTGGAAGATCAAAAGATGCTCCTCCACATGATGCGCGTGCGTCTAGCCGGTCTCCACGACTCCAAACCACCGAGCGACGCAACATGCATGATGGCTCCTCCCAGTACTCCCGACGATCCGGCGGTCGAAATCGAGGAGCTGTCTTAATTAAAATGTGGGGCGAAAGTGGCGTGAAGAGAGGGCGTGTGGCTGATCTCCACAAACCACCGGTGGAAGGCGTCACTTTTGCAGAATGGCCAGGTTGAGAGACAAGTAACCTGTGGACTTCACGTCGGGTTGCTCGCTTATCAACGCTGAAACACTTCCATCTGCTGACGTGCATGCATGCATTGAGGCACTTAAGGAAGCCCCAGGTTTGCGGCGCATCATGGTCTGTCGTTCAGACGTGAGGAAATCTGACTGTCCTTCCCACGTGCGCATGGATTCATGCGGTGTGGGGCATGCAAGCCACGTCCTTTATAACCATGCCTTCAACTCCTCGCGGGGTGCATCCCGTCATCTGCAGGGTGGGTGCGCACAGGTGGCGCGCCATCGGCCCAGCACACGTCGATCTCAGTCTTGATGCTGCACCGAACATCCGGTTGATGAGACATTTTATGCGGATGGTCCGAGCTATCCAAATTAAGCCCACCGGGGTTCGTTGTATTGTCGCATGGAATTCAGTTGTCGAGGACGTGATGGAAGTCACGTACGAGGAAATGGGTACGGCGCAGGGATGGCGGTGGCGCTGGTGCCGATGTAATATGGCATGTTGTAGATAAGAAGGCGAGACGGCGACTATATGATCGAAGAAAGCAGAATAAGAAGGTGGACGAGGTCAAGCGGTTGCGGAACATCGTGCAGGTCTTGATGGCCAAGGCGAGCAAGCTCAAGTACTTCAAGCAGAGTATGCTGCCATGGAAAGACATTGCGATTGAGCTGGGACGGGAAACCGCCGAGTCGTTCGAGTCCAACCGCATGCTGCGTGGGGACCTCTTCCAGGTCGAGAACCTCGCAATCGATATGGGTCGGTGGGTTGCCACGATGACCCAGGCGCCGTCGATTCCGCGGTCGCCCGTGGAAAAGCAACACTTTAGCTTGCGGTATACATCGCTGCCCAAGTCCGAGTCGGCGCGGCACCTCGGATTCGACTGGATCACGAAGCACCTCTTCCACAACTTGCAGCACGCAGTCGACCACTGCCACTTTCCTGCGACCCACGACCCGTACTTCTCGGTCATGGCCGAGCCCCTTGACGATACGCACGTGATCTCTCACGCAGCGCAGCGCGTCGAGCCCGTGCCGTATCATGTGGCAGTGCAATGCATGCGGACGATGATCCTCCAGTTTCCCGGGTCGATCGAGGTACAGACCGTCGGCTCCTCCATGGACGGATCGTCTCAACATAGCGGCGGTAGGAACTTGATCCCACGATGCCAGACATGACATACCTCCGGTACAAGGCGGCCGTGGGGCCCAACGAATACTTTGAGAACACTCTCATGCGCGAATTCCACGAACTCGATCGATACACGATCGTCGTCCACATCATATCGGAGGATGACAAGCACCCGGTCACGGGCGTCCGCCGCAATTGGACACAATGGTGCGAATCTGTCTGGGGTATATGCCAAGCTAACGTCGTACGTGGATCTGTAGGGTGCGAGTGGAGCCTGTGGGCGACACGCATGCAGTGATTCGGCAGGGCATGACCTGGTTTGGGTTGCGGACGCAAGACCGGTATCTGGCACTTGAAGAAAGCACGACATTCGGGCCGCGCCTGGCGCAGTGGAACGATATCGATCAAAAACTCAATGCGTACGCGCGATTCTTGGAAGAACGCGTGAAGCACGAGTTGTTCGAGGAGAGGGCCGAGTTTCACCGGTTGGCGCGCGAGATTCAAGGGCGGGGGATCGATCCACATGTGCCGGCCCAACATTAACAACAAACACGCGAGGGGCGGCCGAATGGAACCATGTACACGATGACAAAGGTGTATTTGCAAGTTGAGAGTGGGTGGTCGCCTAGAAGGAATGGAATACCATCGAGATGGGCTACGGTGGCGAGATAGGTTTTGGCACACAGACTTGGACGACGTACCAGTGGGGCCGATCCCGCACGCGATAAACTGGCAGCGCCTGCACCTGACGTAGACTCAAGTGGCTTCTGTGCTCGCCTGCAAGAGTTCTTCACGTCGTCGGTATTGGCGCTGGGCACTGCAGTGGTCGGGCGCTCTGTTGAGTTGACCGACGCAGGTCGTTGCGATGTTGTTCACAAGTCAACAAGCGTGTGTGTGTCTTGACGGGCTTGTTTGTGCTACATGACACTTCTTGGCCTAAGTGAGCTTACACATGATACTTTGCATCACATGTCGTCTACGCGCCTCGACGAGGTGGCTGATGTAGCCGTGGCTACGTGACTACTTGTGTTGCTTGTCCTACAGTGAGGAGCTCCCCGTTCTGATGAGTTTGTCGACTGCCGCGGCGGCATTCCGACGATCTTCGGCGAAAATCATCGACGGGTGGTGCTCCTATCCGTAGATCCCGCGCGCCTGAAGAGCGTGCATCAGGTGCATTGTCAGCCCTTCCGACCGGTCGGACCGTTCTTCCTGCCTCTACCAGCGATGTTGATCCGAGGGAATCAGGAGAAAGTGCTTCATCCGATACTGGCACCTTGCAACGCCCGAAAGTATGTAGCCGCTGGCTTCAGGCCCAATCAGCCCTTTATGCACCAGTCCATCCTGCAATTGCATCCAGCATCGCCTGAGCGGTCGCGCTGAACAACTGCCTTCGTCAAAACAACGTCGCAACTCCACGTGCATTTCTCAACAACACGGCCATCCGCGTCACACCCCCAAACTGAATCAAACGCCGTGGGTGGGAAAGTGTACGTGTTGGATGCACAAAAGATTATTGTGTCGGGGAAAGATGGTACTCTAAGCGAAGGGATCGATCCCGATGTCGTATCGACACACGAGATCGAGACAAGCCCATGTCGAC